AACTCTCCGACTGCCAATTTCTTCATTTTGGAGAACGGGCGGAGAGGCTGAAAGCAGATATTGCGCGGAAATGATAAATTCGACGCGGACGCGACCACAGGTGTGAACACGAAACTTTGTTAAAAGACGCAATAAAGCATCGCTTTTATGAAATGACTATTATTGCGCCAATTTTTTGGGATTTGTGTTATCCCATTACGATCGACGCTCAATTAATACGCTGAATTATTTCGAATAAATGCAAAACTTACGCCACTTCCTAATCCACGATTAAAACGATACTTTGAGTATAAAAAAGAGCTACTCGTTTCTCCGAAAAAAAAACCTTTTTTCACCTATCTCAGACGACATTTTTGTATAATTTTAATGATACTTAAAATTCGTTAGGTTACCATTCCTCTCCTAATTATCAAAGTGTCGATCGATTAATTGGACACGATAAAAGAAAAGGAAAAAAAGAAAGAAACTTATGTGATCCTGTGGTCGTAAAAAAACAACGAAACGAACATCAACATCCCATCACCTCGAGCAGAAAGAAAAAGACTCGTTACAAAAATCTATCCCCTCAATAAATCAAAATCATATATAGTTGGTCTAGGTGTGGCTGAATACATCCGCAGCAGCACGCACACGTGTCGTAGTAGATTGGATGCGGGGAAAGACTTGTTTCTAGGCTCGCAGGTGTCTTAATCAGTTAGGAGAGAAAGAGAAACAGAGAGAGAGAGAGAGAGTGAGTTGGCGCGAAGCTGGCAGCCGTGTAATAATCGCCGACGACAACAGGTATTTCCCTACTCGTTTAGCTAGGCGCGTGTACATCCCCTCGGGGCTGCTGCCGTGGCCGCCGCCACCGCCGCTAATTGTCCCCGAGCGTCACGCTTTTATTAGGGACGCGCGCGACAGACCAGCAGGCGCACTCGCCGACACGTAGCATTCCATAGGCTTGTTTTCGCCTATGAGCGCCTTTACCCGCCTCCTTTTAACGGTTATAATTTTACGACTCGAAATGAGATAAGAATCGAGAGAAGAGAGAGAAATTTCGGCTCGTTAATATCGCGGGCTGCTTATTCCTTAATTTATACCTTCATTCCTGTTACTTTTACAAGATATATTCCCTCTCTTCCTTTCTCTCTCTCTCTCTCTCTCTCTCTCTCTCTCTCTCTCTCTCTCTCTCTCTCTCTCTCTCTTTCTCTTGCTCCTGTCTCTGTGAAAAAGTGTTAAGCCTCCATAAATTCCTGGCCGCTTAGCCTCGATTTTCAAGATACATCTCTTTTTCAGTGAATCATGTTATACACCCGGCGACTATTTCTCTCTCCTCCCGTACGTGCGTGGCGCGATTAATCCGGCGGGAGCGTAAATTTTTTTCGCCTGGTCGCGCCGCGTAGAGAAATTCATATTTTACCGAGCGCGCCCGGCGAACGTTGATTTCATTGTGTTTGTCTCGTTTTTCGAAAAGTCAGCAGGTAGTCGTCGCTGACAATCCATCAGCGCGCAGCAGCCCGAGGTTTGCGCAAGCGCGCGTTCCTGCCTTTGCTACATAACATCGAGCCCCCTTTCATGCCGAGATTACACGCAGCCATTGTGTGTTAGCTTTGTTCCCCCCGTCGCGGCCGAGCGAACGAGCCACGGCGCGCGCACCCACGCAATCATCTCGAGGATTAAGCGTTCGTCGCTCAACAACGACAACAGTCCAATCAGCCTATCCTATAAAGACGTTACACACGCGAACGAAACGAAAAAAAAGAAAAAGCGAACGGGAAAGAAAACAACGCGCGTTGTCGTCGAGAGTCGCCAAAAAATGTCACTCCTAGCGACTCTCTTTTGCCAATCGGCACAGACGCACATTTGTCATTAGATAAGCATGAGAGTAAAACGAACGATTAGCCGCTGTAATACGATCCTTTTTTTATCCGCTCCGCGGCGGCTCATCATTCGCTCGTTCTCGTTTCTTTCTGATTTCGAGCCTGCTTGAATTACAATGCATTTGCCGCCGAAGAGAGAGAGAGAGAGAGAGAGAGAGAGAGAGAGAGAGAGAGAGAGAAAGAGGAGCTCTCGATTTTCTGCGTAATTAACAAAGATATCCGCGCAGAGTGAGAGTGGAGCGCCGTTGGCGCTCCTCCTACTTCAACACCTCGTTCTCTCGAAACGCCGAGAAAAATATCTCCGAGGGCCCGAAATTGCAACGGGCCCCACACAATAAAACTCATTCGAATCGCTTAATAGCTGGGCGCGTGCGCGCGCGAGCGAGCGGCAAATGTAGACATTGGCCGAGCTGTTTTCTCATGGTCGCGGAGAGAGAGAGAGAGAGAGAGAGAGAGAGAGAAGGCCCCGTGAGGCACATAGCGTCTCAATCCGTATATATACGTGTGTTGGAGGAGAGAGAGAGAGAGAGAAAGCCACTCTCACGTATACACCCTCATGTTTTAATTTCACGGCCAGTTCTCGAGCCTTGCCCTCGCTCTTTCCCCGTCGATCGCGTTGGACTCGGGGCCCTTCCCTCCCCTTACCGACCAGTTACACGGTGGAGGCGGGGCCTATCTCGCGCCTTCGCTTCTTCTTCTCTTCTCCTTCTCTCCCTCTCTCTTTTTCATTCTCTCTCTCTCTCTCTACTCACTGCAGCGACGAGATGAGTCGGCTATGCGCGCGTCCACCTGCTGCGCCAACGGGGCCCTTCTTCTCGCTCTTTCTCACTCCGACGAGCGATGCTGACAATGTCAAATCTCGGTGGATTAAAAAATGACGCAACGCATTTTCGTCTTTACTTTTTCCATTATCCTCCTTCGTCTTGTTGTTGTTTCTCTCGGTGCTATTTATGACCACGCAAAAGGGGAAATAAAGACCAATAGATGCGACGCAATTGATTAGAGCTATGAAGCCGTATCCTTTTTAGGAATCACCCCATGCGGTATATAGAAATTGATGCTATCTTTGCGATAGGCCATTTCTTAAATCGCGATGGGTTTGGATATGATTTTTCTTTTCTTTTTCTTTTTCTTCGATGCAGATATTAGAATACAATGCGCGGAGTATGCGTTTGATCAAAACAACGATTTATATTGGTTTTCAACGTCGTTCCAGAAAGTTCTCGCGCATGGAAATTCCGCGAACAACTTCTGGAGATTACGAGAGATGAAATATTATACAAACTGTTTAATCAAAGCAATGTTTCACGGAAAACAGAGCTTTTAAATGGATCTACCCTCGATGCTGTCGCCATCTGGAAGGATCGCGAGGCAAAGTCGATAATACACGAAAGAGTCCGAACGATGGTAACTGTTAAAAGGAGCAAGCTTTTGATAATAAAAGCGGGATCTTCTCGTCGGCACCAATTCTTGATACATTTTTTATAAAAATACGTGATGCCTGAGAATTTTTATCAGTGAAATATATCAATTTTTGAACGATATCAAAATAAAAATTACACAAATATCCAACGAGAATTATAATTTATTTCTTTTTACCTTGATCGCAGTCTCACTATATTTACTAGCACAAACGGTAGAATTAAAGGCATTAAACAGGAAAAATCCTGGTAATGCTCGGCATGATCTTGAAAAAGTCCATAGGTACGAAAATCTTCATCCGGATCGAAGTTGAATGCGGATCGTGATGCCTGACCAAACTCGAGACATTCCACTTGTGACAGTTAGGTTAGCACTCTCTCGCATTCTCTCTATCCCCCGTATATTGTTAGAATAGATTAGTGCGAGTAGAGAAAACCGATGTAGTTCGCAGTATTTTAAATTCGGCTACTAATTTTGGTAGACATCATTAAAAAATGTATACTTACAAGGATATTGATGATTTCTTGCTTGTGTATTGTAGACAATATTTTCTTATACAAGTATATTTCGAGAATAATTCAAAGATGTTTCGGAGAATGAATGAAGTAATAACAAATCGACGATTGTTATTCAAAATTGTATATTAAAAGTATACAGGCACTATATCGAAAATATATGTGTACAAAAATAATCTAGATTTAAACATTACACTAAGAGGTTCCTCAGGTGGCAATATGTACAAAGAGCAGTCATATGCTCAAACCAATGGCGCATGATATACAATGAGTATTCGATGTTTAACAATGAATTTAAAGAAAATTACATCGACCATGCAATTCTACTAATCTCGTCGAAATGACACTTTTCTTCGTCAAAACATTTATTCTGCCATGAAAACCGATCGCCAGATAGAATAATTAGCTACCGATATCAGCTAAGCGTCTACACGATATATTGTCTTAAACCGTATAATCCTCCTGTTAATTAAAAAAAAGAATTATTATACCAATCCTCCGTTAAACATGCTCGCTTGTTACAAACATTATGATTTATATCGCACTGGTACTTTAAGGAGTTAAGATGAAAAAAAGGTTCGCTGACACGCTACTTATTGGTTCTCTTTTTTTCTCGTTCTCGAGACTTCGACAATGGGCGACGTTGCGCGGCTCCGTCACGATATTCTAATCAACAACACACGACAAATGATTGCGTTTTGTTTTCTTCCTTTCGAGTGTTTATTTTTTAGGAGTATTTGTCAACGAGTTCAATCGGTTACCTATCGAATTGATGCTTCGCGACGAAGCCGGGCGACATGGCGCGAGTTTTTCGAAGACCGGCGACTAAATAAACAAACAAACAAACAACAACAATAATATAATAATAATAAAAATAATAATAAAATAATAATAATACATGCTCTCGATTAAGTTTCTTTTGTTTTTGTTCGATATGTAAAGGTATATATTAGATTTATCTCTCTTTCGCCTACTGGGCAATCGAATAAGCATCTCATTTTCCTCTCCGTTTCATTGACATTTCGATATTGAAACAATCTCTCCAGAATACAGACATCGAGCAAGAAATTCACATTGTAGTAAGGGAAAGTTAACAAATCTCGTGGGGTGAGCTTCTTTCTTTTATCTCATTGGCTACATTTTGGCACGTTTGAATTGCGGAGCAGTCTGTCGTTTATGCTGCGTGTATGCGCGTGCCACGCTCGTCGTTCTCTCGTCACTTCAATGGCACCTTGCGCTGCTGCTGGGCATCTCTTGCTTTTCTCACAGCGAGTCGAAGTTGGACTCGCGATCGCTGCTCGTCGTCTGCAATTCAGAGTTGATTTTTGTTCCAAGGTCTTTACGTTTCAGATGAAAGCGCGACTTTCTTAACGAAAATCGTCTGGTTGGCTGTCGCAATTCCGACGGAATGACGCGTTTCGCGGTTACGTGCCCGAAGTGAACGGTGCACAAAGGCAAGTGCGTGCCAAGAAAAACCGAGCCTACGTTCGCGAACTTCAGCGAGAAACTGCTTTCGATTCTTTCACCGGAACACTCTCACAATTACACAGCTTCGGCGTATAATTTTTCCTAATAACTTTCACGTCTACTCTTTTATTTTATACGACTCGTGCGGCCGGTAGCGTTCCAAAAGAAAGGTAGCAAATAGAAGGAGCGACAGTCAAAGTCTCGAGTAAAAATAAAGCGAGAAGAGAAGGAGAGGAAACGGCAGAAAGTGCCAGCAGTACTTGGCTTCGCGAATCAAGCTCTTGCCTTCGGCACGTAACCGCGCCATCGCGCTATTTCCGGGTGAGAGAGTGAACGAGCGGCTCTAGCCCGTACCCTGTCCTGATTGTAAAGCGTGGCACGCTGAGCGGGTAGCCTGAGCGTGCTGCCGAGATCCCTCTCGGCCATGGTGTGGCCCTCGCTGGCGCTATCCCTCGTCAGATCCCTGTCTTTGCTGTTGCGCTCGGCCAATCTGGTCGGCGGCTGGATCGTCGTCTCGCCGCACGACCTCGCCAGCGTGGAGCCCGCGTCGGCCAGCTCGAGGCGTAGCAGCTGCTTGGTCGACGCCTGGATCGTCGTCTCGGCACACGAGCGCACCATCGTCGACTCCAGGTCGTCGCAGAAGTCGGACACCCGTACGAGCTTGGTCGCCGGCTCGACGGTCGTCTCCGTGTACGAGCGACCCAGCGTCGATTCAGCGTCCATCGCCCGCGTCACCGTTGCGGATACCTGGACAGCATTGTATGCGCTCGTCGATCTCGTCGTCGCCATTCGATTGGAGAGGGCGCGAAGGGTCGGCAACGTACCTGAAAACCAGCGCTCACAAGCGCGCCGCTAGTGGCGAAGCTCGACTGTTGAGCCGGTTGCATCTTGATAGGCGACTGCTCCTTGTAATCCGGCTCGCTGGCCAGGCTCGGCTTGCGATGCGCCGACACCGGTCCCGACTCCAGATAATCGATGAGCTTGTGCTCGTCAACGGCGAAGCTACTCATGGGCTTGTAATTCGGAGGCAACGGGCCTGACTGTTGGGACGTGGCGCGGTATTTGGCTCGCGGTATCATAACCGTCATCGAGCGATCGCGTTGCTCGCCCGACAAGCAGCTGACGTTTGATGGCACTGAAATGTACGATCGTCGCAGTCGATCCTCAGGCCAAAGAAAACGGATAGGATTCGTTGGCTGAGGCTCTAAGCCTACCTGGAGCGATGAGAGGAGCAGGTTTGCGAGGCGCGCGTCGCGTCTTGCCACTGACTTTCTTGGCTACCTTCTTCAGAGGTGGCTGCGGGGCAATCATCTGCGGTGGTGGCGGTAAAATGTGAGGGACGTGATGTGGCAGCGCGAGCTCCGCTACGCTGCCCTCGCTGCTCGTGTCGCCGCCGCCACCGGCGATCATTGCTCGCCGGTCGCCGGCACCTCGTCTTCGCACTGGATTGCGGCAGCATGCCATGCCCACGCAAACCGCCAGCAGACCCAGCAGGATCGCTCCCGTTGTCACCAGACCGATCAATAGTACTGAAAATGCGAGCGACGTGTCGGCGAATTTCGTAAGCTACTCGCGACACCAATCGTTCGCTTAATAATTACCCTTGAGGTTCACTTGACACTTCTGACCACTGTACCACGGGAAACATTCGCAAACCTCTTGACCGTGCGAGCTAATCAGACAGTGTCCCTTGTTGTTACAGGCAGCGCATCCAAGAGGAGCTTGCGAGCATAATCTGCCGGGGTAAGTTGGATTTTCCGACAGGTCGGCAAAGCCCTCTTTGCACGAGCACTGATAGGTGCCCTTGAGATTGAAGCATGCCGCGTTCACCGAGCAATCGTGATGCGGTCCACCCTCCTCGTTCGTACACTCGTCGAAATCATTGGCTTCGATCTTAAATTAAAATCACATTGTTTTCAAGCAATCGCGCAATGCCCCATCGCGCGAAAATCTCAGAAAATAAATTTGCTGACCAGTCCAAGATCTTTTGATGCGTAGACGTCCGTACCGCCGAGGCTATAATTGCTTAGGACCAAGTACTTCCGTAAGACGTCCTTGAGATGCGTTTCGTCGGTATTCGAGCTGAGCTGCACGTTGAACATGACTTTCGATGGTTTGACCGTGAATCCGACGATATTCGCTGCTCTGTAAGCGTCTCTGAGATCACTCTGCATGAGGGTGCGATCCAAAGCTTCTTTGATGGGATGAGCGTAGCGTCTGAACGCTATAGAATTTGTGTCGTTCATCGCCGGATCGTAAATAAAACGATCGCGACCGAGTCTCTCCAAGCCCACGCCCAGTGTGAATGTGTAAGTAGCTGTTGAAAGAATTGCATTGGTTCTCGTGAACGGGTTGTTTGTTCGATCCGTTTTGTTGGTGATCGTTTGAAAATTGCCAGACGTACGTTTGCAGGGACGATCGGGGAACATGCGCGCAAAGCCAGGTCTGCAGATACAGCGCGTCTCGCCAGTTGCCGATTCTGCGCACACCTCAGACTTGAATCCCTTGCACTCCGGCAAACATTGTATCTTTGGTGGCCTGATCGGCACGGATGGTGCTTCTAATATACCACCTTGTAGCACACGATGAATCTCGTTCACGGAATTATCTTCCTCGTCTCGAGAAACGTCTTCTTCGCCGTACTCAGCTTCGACCTGCGTTGAGAAAAAAAATTATTGCAAGCGATTGATCATTACAATAATAAGAATTATAAAAAAAAAAGAAGTTAATTAACCGATACCTCTTCGGCACCGGCAGCAGGTGGTGTATGATCGCTCATCACAACGAAAATCGATTCGTTGTCGGTGTTGTCGTTCTCGTAAGTCGGCACGTGAGTGGCAGACTGAAGTATTGTCGAGATGATGGTAGAGATAACGCTGGTCGGACGCAGTAGCGTTTCCGTAACGGTTTCGACGCGCGTTGACGTCAAGGTGTGAGTGATCAGGAGAGTCCTCGTCGTGGGTGGTGATCCCAAAACTAACGTTTCTGTTCGCGTTACCGTCAGCGTCTCGAAACGAGTGACCTACGTTCAAGACAAACACACAGGTGATGTATTCAAGTGAGTTTCACTCTCGAAACGTCAAAGGTACTTTATTGTTTTTGTTTTCACTCGACTCACCTCGTGCGGTTGCGTCTCCACCTGCTCGTTCGTCGAGTTCTGAATGAACTCGTGCACGACAGTGCCGATGATTTCCATCATTTTCGAGGCCGACTGTTTGATCTTCAAATCGGTCTTTCTCGTTGCTTGTGCGCCTTGAGTGCTGCTACTACTTTGCTGCACGGTGTTCTTGGAAACTTGAGAGCTTTCGACTACAACCGGCGGCGCTTTCGTGACTACTTCTGTTACGCTTGACCTCTGCTTCGTTCTCTTGGTATTCACGGCGGCGATATTCAATGATTCTGTAGCCTCGATTCCGCTGGACGGCATGTGAATGTCAGTGCTTGGCTCGAGGTCAATTATCAATTCCGGCTGCTTGCTGGGCTTTATCGAGATGTCGGACGGCGATAATCGCGTAGGGACGTACACATCTTCGTGAACACGCTCGTTATTCTTTACTTGGGTTTGCTTTGTCACTGCTACGCTCGTCGTTTTCGAAGGCGAAATCGTAGGTGGCGTAGTGTGCCTACAAAAGAACAAAATACAAAAAATAAAAACAACGATGCAGTCATTCTAAGCACAGATTTATATCGTTTTACATTGATTTACAGTAATTACATACCTCTGTCGAGTTTCGAATGGCCGCACGGTATAAACGCTAACGTGATCGGGTTTCTTATTATCGATAGGCTTCAAGAATTCCGGCACATCGACAACCACCGGTAAGTCAACGGTTCCATGGACAATCGGTATCTTAGATTCCATATCTTGTACCACAGGAATGTGAGACGTTGCGACAGCAGTGTCGATCTGGATTGAGCCCGACACTGCGACTCCTGGACGAATGGTGGCAATTTCCAACGGCCTCGTCGTTTTCACGTCCGGTGGTGGTGGTACCATGTCCTAAAAATCAAAACGATCAGAAATAATATTTACTTTTCAATAATTTTTCTGGAACAATTTTTTTCTTAATTTTTGCATACTTGTGAAAGAACGTCGGCTAAGAATGGCCTTACAAGCGACGGCCTTGGGCTTGGCGGTACCATATCAACGCTCGGTTGGAGTGGTGTGCTAGATTCTTGCAGTGGAATGTACAGAGGCGGTGGTTTCAAACCCGAAACCTCGGCATTCACTTTAGGATTATTTTCAATTGGTCTTGTCGTCGTAGTAATATCTACAGGTGGTGGTGTAAGACCGAGGACAGTTGGCAGCGGTGGCGGCTTCAAACCTTCGTCGTTCTTTAAAATGTCTTTGTTCACCACAGGCGTAACAGGCGGCGGTACCATATCTTGCGGGAGCAACTTTGATTTCGAATCACTTATTTTTTGAGTATCCGAGAACGAGCCATCTGCCTCGACTCTATCGTTAACCACCTCGTCTTTATGATCGTCCGAAGCAAAGTTTGTCTGGAATGCAGTATCAAGCGACTCCTGTGTTGGTTTTTTATGGTAATTTGTCGTGTCTGAACTCGGAGGTCGTTCAGTTTGAGTTTTACTATCGTTTTCTTCGCCAGTCGAATCGATTGGTAGAGAAAATTGTACCTGTGGTTTTCTGTAATTGTTTTGTTTACGAATCTTGCCACTGCTTACGACCACTGGTCTGGGTGTTTTAAGTTTTGGCTTGGTGATAATTTCCGGACGATCGGCATGGATTCTTGACGGGAAATCCGGTTTGGGTCTGCGATAAATGTGGGTTCGCGAGTCGTTCTTGCGAGTCTCATATTCGTTTTTATCATTTTGAACGTGAAGCACTTGGCCTAAACCTGGTTTAATGTGTCCATGAACTATTTCGTCATTTTTATCCGGTGACTCGGTTATTATATCAGGTTTGTTGTCTGACAATGTCATACTAAAGTGAGATTTTAAAAATGGTCGGCTATGACCGTTTGGCTCGATTGATGGATTGACGACGGGTGATTGTAAATCAATGAATTGAGTATGACTCGTCATGTTTTGCTGAGGTCCAGTATCCGTTACATATACGTTATGGTGGTTGTTATTCATGTGATTGAATTCGCCATAAGTAGATTGAGCCAGATACTGGTCTTGCTTCTTTTCGCTGCCCATTATAATTTCACCATCGCCGTTTTCATCAACTCTGTCTTGATCGAACGTGATTGTTGTTTCAAACTTGTTTTTATCGGAATCCTCGGTAATGATAATATCATCCTCAGGTTTATCGTTCAATCCTGTAGATATTTTAATATCTTCAGAAGCCTCGACGTCCGAGTCCATTGGCTTTTCAATGATTTTCGAATCACTTTCAATTTCATCGACTGATGGACTTTTGTAACCCAATCCCAAATTTATTTGATCAGCCAACGAGTCTCCCTTATAATCTTGCACTGTATGATTGGTTGTTATTTGCAAATTAATGCCCGTATAATTGTCTTGGTAGTAGTGTTGCGGTTTATCTTGCGGGCCAGACATATATGTTTGTTGATTCGATTCACCAAATGGAATACTTGTCGGTGGTTGTTGATTGAACTTCTGCTGCTCGTTCTGATAATAAGTTGTCGTTGGTAATCTTTGCGTGAATTGAGGTGGTCGAATTGATCCCGAGGGTCTTTCCAATCGCGTAGACGGTCTTCCATAAGGACGTCCGGTTATTTTGGTCGGAGGCCGTGACGGCCTACTTGTAGGCCTTGCCCAGCGAACTTGAGAAGGCCTTAAGGGTTTTTTCTCATTTTTATTGCTATTCCAATTCACATTGGCATGTAGTAGTTGCTGATCGTAATATGAATTTTCAGATGGTACTTCAGTTCTCCTCGGCGGCGTTTGCTCCACGGCCATGTGAATCTTTGTATAATCTTTGCGCGGTGGGTGTTGTATATTCTGATAATTATGCACCGGTATTGGCGGCCTCGCGGACGACAGAGGTCTCGTTTGGCCACTTTCTCCTCCGTGGTGAACAAGTATTTCCGTGTGAACGTGGCCTTGCCCGCCGCTCGATAAAGACGACGTGTCGTGATGACGTATTGGTATCTTTTCAGGCCTCGCGCTCACTTGACTGTACTTTTTGTGGTCTTGATTGGTAGAAAGTGGTATTACGTGAGGTCGATTGCCGGAGTTGGAATTTTGCAGGGGTTTCAGATTTAACGTCGGCGAAGGTGGAGTCATGTAGTCTGACGGATTGTCATTTTTCGAGAACTGTGGAAGGTTTTCTACCTAAATAATAAAAATAACAAGACGATTATTTTTTGAGAATTCCAAGTGTAAATATTGCAGAATTGATTAAAAATTTAACTCACTTTATCTATTCCGATGAACCCAGGTCCCACTTCTGGTTCTGGATAAGGCGAAGGATCATCAAAATATTGACCCGATTTATGGGGTTCAGGAGTATCGCCGAAAATTAAGGCTTGAGTTCCTCCCTGAGGAATAACAACATTGGCTACTTGACTAGGCTGAATATTAACTAACAAAGGTTGACCCGTAGACCTATCAATAACATGCGGTACTTGATGCACAATCGGTTCCGGTACATATTCTTTCTTTTGGATACCACTACCTATGTCAATTGGAGCGTAGCCTAAACGATTTTTATCGTCGATCAGTACGTTGGCTTGAGGTATCGGATCTTTTGCACTCCATGGTCTTCTATGCTTATCCATGTGACGATGTTTTTCAGAGTTCAATAACACCGAAGGCGGAATGAGGAGTGGATCGTTTTCCAAAATATCTTTCTTTGAACTTATCCTATTGACTGGTGGTATGTGAATATTTTCATGTATATTTTGTGGTCTCTTTGAAAAGTTTGGTTGATCATAGGTAATTGGTACTTGAATATGCTCCTCGTAAATCTGATGAGATGGGTAGATTTCCAATTGTTGCGAGCCTTTTTGAATTTTCACCGGCTTGACTGGTTCTCTCTCGACGACTTCTAAAACTGGATGTACTGGTATGTTAGGCACTGATACCGGTGGCGGTTTCATGCCTATATTTTCCTCGTTTAAGAAAGTTTGAGGTGGCCTCGGAGCCATTTTACCTGGTTTACCGATTATTACATCACTATTCGCCGTTATTATTTCACCCGGTGATATTGCTATTCCGCCATCCAGACTAGCTGCCACTTTATGCCTTGTTTCCGTTAGAACATTACTATTTGCCAAATGATGAGCTGAAATTCAAATATTTTTATTCTCTTGTGACGAGAAAACTTGATGAATTTTCGCAATACGTTACCTATATTTTGACTTTCTGCGGTTTCTATATCGCCATCGGCAAATTCCCCAACGGGGATATAGATTGGTGATCTTTGCGTTGTCGTAGTTGGAAGCTCTGTCACTGACTCAGTATCGTTTCTACGCGTGGCAGAAGATTTTCCTTGCAGTAGACCGGCCATAGCTGTGATAACTGGGCCTAGAGCCGACAAGCTATTGATACCCAATGATCCTAAACTCAGCAAATTGCTCACTTGCGACGGTTTTTTGCTTGGAGGTGGATCTGTGGTTTCTTCAGCCGCCTCCTCCTGAGTGATTTCAATAAAACTTAACCATACTATTTTTTTTCAGTGGGAAAAAATATAAAAGTAACCATTATTTTTAATGTTCAACCTCGTTATAAGCGTTGTCTTGCTCAAGGGGTCTGGTAGTGACGTCATTCGATTCAGCCCCCACAGAATCGGCGACGATAGGCGATGTCGAAGTATTTTCGGCAGCGTCGATTTTATCGATAATCGCCGATGCAGAAGTGTCGAAGGCGGCGCTCGTCGGCGTGACTTGTTCTTCGTCGTCGAAGAAAATAATCGTCGAGCCTGTGACGACATTTTTCAGCGTATCTGAATGATGTGAAGTCGTGAGTAGAGCGTTCATGTATCCTGCATCCAATAAGCTTGGAGCAATGGACTCTGTTACTACGTTTTCAACGATTTTCGTCCGTGACGAAATCGTAGTCGAAGTTTCACCATCAAGGCCAGCCTTTATTAAAGTAATCAAAACAACCAAGAAAAAAAAAAGAGAAACAAACAAAATGTTTGGTTAGTTGCGAGATATGTGTGGTTAAAATAGTATTCTCGTTGAATGCGCACAAAATTATTACCTGAAGGAGAGTTGTGAAATACGTAAACGTAGTCAAGTAGGTTTTGGTTGCAAAAATTTGAATTGGCTCCGGTGTAGCACTGACCGCTATTGATTTCGTCGAGCTTTTCTTCGAGGGAGCTTTCTCGTAAATGATGTCTGATGAAGTTGCAATGTTCGTCTTGACGACCGTGCTGTCGTTCTCTAAGTACGTGTTAAAGTAAGTGTAAGTGATGTAATAAGTCTTGGCGATATCCGTCGTGGGGCTAATTGACTCGTCTGCTACTGGCGACGGAGTCGTTAAACTTGTCGCTCGAGGCGGCGGCACGGAAGATTCCGTTATTATTAACTGAAAGTTAATTTTGCGCATGATTTACGATAATTTAATGGACATGTCTCGTTTGATTTAGCGTTGAACTCACCTGCGTAACGACGTCAGTGGTCATTTCGATTTTCGTTTTACCTTCCTCGACGTAAGTTTTCTCGAGTGCCCTCGTGCTAAGGTACGTATTTGTTTCGGGTCGAGGAGTTTCCGACGGCTCGAGAATCATCTCGAGATAGTACTGGGGAGCAGTAACTATATTTGTAATTACTTTCGTACTACTTCCTAGTGCATTTTTTTCATCGGGATGGTCGCTGTTGAGCGTCAAGTACGTGTAAGTCGTCTTGAAAACTTCAGTTTGCAAAGTCGGCGACGCATCCAGTGTGACAGATGCTGCTTCCGCTGGGCGTTTCCTGTGCCTTTCTTCCGTCGCGGTGTTGGCTATCACCTGCGTGACAAATGCCGCTCTCGTCAATTTACAAAGCTCGCGCGGCAAAATGAATTTAATGCAAGTTCATCGTATGTCAGACCTGTTGATCTGTCGAAACGATTGTGGTACCGTCGCGAAGAATGGTGTTGAGGTAGGTAAAAGTCGTCATGCAAGTCTTGGTCACAAAATCATTTGGCTTATCTTGCGGCATGAGCATTAGCACTGCCTCAGAAAGAGTCAGTGTTGGCTGTGGGTTCGAATTCTCCCATCGGTAGGCGGGTGTCGTGCCGGCGACTATAACTTCAACTCCATTCGACATTACCCTTGTCGCAAGATTGAATTTTCTCCCTTCGTCTTCGACTTCTTCATTTTTTTTGTGTGCTATCGTTTGCCGAAGTTATAATTAATTAAACAATACTCACTCATAACAAATCCATTTGTTTAAAATATCGACTTGTTTACAGGATTAATATTCTCTATTGATTCTATTTGGCTTATGTCAATTTAATTGAAGTATCGGCAATGCATTAAAAGTATACATATTTTTACTCAAATACTAAAGATACGTTAATTTGTCTATAGAAGTCCTAGCCAATATAATTTTTAGTGAGAAAAATATTTGCATAGATATTTACAGTAGAAAATTGGTAGAACAAGTATATATATATATATATACATATATATATACTTATATATATTTACAGAATGTATAGAAACATTTTTACATATTTAATAAGATTCAGAAAATTTTTGTACATCAGAAAACCAAAAGCCAAGTATAAAAGTTAAAAAAAACAATATTTATATATATTTCAAAAGAATAAGAAAGTTCGTTACCAAGGTTAGAGAGAATACTTACCAAGAGAGCTATTAAGTGCAACTGACGACGAGATCAACGTCGGCGTCACCGTCACCGTCACAGGTACAGTCAATGTCAACGTTGTCACCCTTGGTCTAATGCTCGTCGACGACGTTACTTCAGTTTCTTGTCCGTTAAGTTTCGTCACGACATAAGTATATGTTCTCAAACGCGTAGATGTTACAACAGTCTCGGTATAGTAAACGCTTGTTTCAAGCTCTGGGGTAACTTGGGACGATTGCGGTATGGACGATGACAGGATGACGCTTCCTTCGTTTTCTACTTTTGACGGTACGATTTGCGGGAAATCAAGTCGCGAGAGTGATAAATATAATTCATCTGTTAGACCAGCTTCAATATCTTCCGTCGTAAGCGAAGGCGAAGACGTTGTCACTTTCAACGTCGAAGCTGGTGTTGCCGCAGTTTTCCTTTCGCTTGGCAATAAATCGGTAACCAGCGGGATAACTGTAGGTATCTCGCTTTGATTTACAGCGCTACTAGTCAGAGACAAATCAATCCCGGCGTCAGTAGGCGTACTTTCTATTTTTTGATAGCTTCTAATCGGAATAACTTTCAAGTAGTCTTCATTGTCGTGCATTGGCTGTGTTGTTTCCTCTTCTTCTACTGCAGTTGTTGATTCAACATCCTCCAAAGTCGTTAAAATTGAATCCGTCACATCGGGAGTTTCACTTGTAGGTTTTTGCTCTAAGTTTTCATCTTCGCTCTCGTCGATTGTATCATTTTTTGCATTATCATACTCGTAGTAGCTATTTGTTGTCGGTTCTTCAGGAGCAGACGGAAAGAAGAAGTTGTCTGTAATTATGATCGGATCGGTAGCTGTACTAGATCTAGTTCTACTCGAGATTAATTTATTCGTGGCCGTGGTAAACGAAGGTATTGGATCGTTCCTGGTTATGTAGGAGCCATGCAAAACCGGCGTTGATATTGGACTGTAATCATAATCAAAAGATTCTTCGTCCTCTTCTTCGACTTCAAAAGAAGGCGCCGTATAAAATCCAGTCGTTATTATAGCTAAAGTCGCGCTGGGTTTTGGAATAGGCCTGATAGTCACCAACTTTTTCCGAGTTACTCGAGTGACTCGTTCGCGTTGAGTCGGAGCTACTGTAGTCGACGATGGTCTTACTTTTCTTCTGCGAGTAACGGTAACTTTGTGCCGATTATTTTTTGAGTAAAGATCATTAGAGATTTCATCTCCCAAATGATAGCCAGCATCGATAGAATCGTAATTCCTTATTTTTGTCCTCGTTACGACAATTTTTCTAGGAGTCAGCGAAGATAGAGATGATTCTATTGGCTGATATAATAATGATTTTGTATAAGGTACAAGTGGACGCCTTCGCACGACAGTTAATGCATGATCTTTCGCAGTTCGGCCTCGAATCACCGGTACTCTAACGCGTACCCGTTTTCTTGATGTATAGTCATCTTCATCGGTATCATAATATTCAGATTCGGGTGATCTATCGCCGAAAGTTTGTGCACCTTCGATTATGGCGGATGTACCGCTTGTGTCTCGATAAAACGCACCTGAAAGGCCAATTGTTTTTGTTTGTTGTTGTCTGACGATTCAAATGTTTCACTGTCGAGTCTAATTACATGTTTATACATCTTTTGTTTTTTCGGCAATTTGTCATTCTTTGGAATTGTTTTTCAGCGTGTGGACGCGCGTGCGGCTCTTTCCGGAAAGTTGTTAGCTAGAGGTCTCACAGGGACAATAAGTGGAAAGAAAAACAAGGACGTAATAAAGAGATGGAAAAGTGTTTGTTTGAGCAGGTTCGATGGAATTGTAGAGAGATTAGCATGGAAAAATGTTGGTTAGGACTAGCACCCGAAACTCGGAAAAAACTTACTTGAGAAATATGCGTATAATAATAAAGCGATTGTTAATGTAAATTCAATGTGTTGGCTCTATAAATACAAATAAACAACGTAAAAACTAAAAAATCTTACAACCAAGACGGTAAAATTGTCATGTATATTTTTTTGTTATTGAAAACTCTTAAACTAAATGCTGTATGGTACGTAATATATAATTAGATTAAACTTACATTTATATTATCCAAAGTTATCAACTTCAAGTATCAAATAATTAATAGAAAGTACAAATCTACAAAGATTACAAAACAGAGGTGGTATTTGGAGGGAAGAGAAAAACAGGGACAATGAGTGAAACAGAAAGAAGAGATTTGGCATGGTTAGGTGTAGATGGACGTGGAAATATGCCGTCCGACATCGCCCACTACGCTCTCGAGGCTTTGAGTAGGTGCGTGCGCGTCGAATGGCTCTTCACTTCCTGCCAAGACATATTCTACAGGCTCCGAGGCTTCCGATAGTAACGATGGGGAAAGTGACGCGCTGATTGCGACCTCATTAATATTCCTCTTAATCTTTGTACTTGTGGATTCGTCGCCAACTTTCACGGTACTCAGTACAGTACTAAACTCGCCAGGTCTACGACCCGACACGTATAAAGTTATTACGCTGCTCTCGACAGCTGCTTTGTCCATTGTTTTTGGTATGTTAGCTTTCAATCGAGCTGGTTTATCGGCATCCTCATCTGACAGATCTTCATAACTATCTGGTTTATAGTCAAAGTCGACGGGTTGGTTACGACTTTCAACTTCTCCAGGCAACGTATTACTTTGTGTTAATGGAGCAGCGGCTAGTAGCGGATCCAATAGAGGATTTAGCTGCTGTGGAATTTGTGGCTGTTGGAGGAGGAGAAGGAGTGAATTCAGGTTCGCTTGTGGTAATGCAACTGTTGGTGTGACGACGACAGTGTCCGTAATGAATTCGGTTGCGGTAACGACATCACTCGTTGTATCTACGAGTGTTGTTAAGATTTCCTTGCCACGGAATGTTAGAGGAATGACAGTGCTGCGATGCTTGGTAAGAGTGGTGACATATGTCGTCGCACGAGTATCGTATCGAGTTGTCGGAGTGGCAGATTGTACTGATGGCAAGGCAGTTGCAAGAGGGTTTTGCTGACCGAACTGCCCAAGCAACAATTGCGAGAGTAGAATATTAGCTAAAGGTGAACTATCTGGTAGAGAAGGTCGAATGGTGGATACGATATTTTCAACTGAATACACGGTCGTTGGCACCACAATAGCTTGTGAGAACTTTCTGCCACCTGCTGATGTCAGTGTGTGCGAAACTTTCGTCGTTGGAGTTTCATGGATAACGAATTTAGTTACTTCTAGTAAACCCTGGAAATTCGTTCCAGTGATCTCACTTCCCAATACGACACTACTACGGCCATCGCTATTAGTTATTGTACTGTACCGATCGGGACCAACTACTTCTGTACTCGGGTGAGCCGTGATAATATTTCGCTTTTCAGTAATTCCGTTGTTGAAAACAGGTATTGTTACTTCGGTTGGAACGTAGTGCGTAACTGTAATAGTTCCATCGAAATCATTAATATCTCTGTAATCTTCATAAGAGTTCAAGCGACTTCGGGACTGTGTTATTCTACGGTTATTTGTTCTACCTCCGTTGCGAGATGTATTTCTCGACGAAGTGCGCCGGGAACTAGGAAAATCTTGGTACCTGTTTGTTCCTGTTCGGGATCTTGAGTTACTTCTTGATCTGATGTTAGTACTTCTTTGGGTAGTAACACTTGGTCTCTTATAGGACAGATTAACAAGTGATTCTTTGTCTCGTAAAGTAAATTGTTTATTCGACGTACTTACTGGCGATGGCTTTACACGTGAAGGTGTTCTACTGGTGACAGATTTAGACCTCGATCTAATTTGAGGAACTGAATCAGTATACTCTTCAGATGATTTATCTTCTCTATAGTTTGTACGAGAATTCGTTGATAAAGATCGACCTCGAGTACCATATACACGGCTATTAATCATTGGTTTTGAATATTCATCTGGATCCACATAAACGTCAACACGTTCTTCTAACACAGGCGTTTGGCTAGTTGGTCGACGAAAGCGAGAGTTGATCTGTCGCGATTGACTAGTTTGACGACGAACTCTCCTACCTCGACCAATTCTGGTGAATGGTCTGATTGAAGGTTGAGGGATTGGTTTTTCAGTAGATGGAGGAGCAGCTTCTTTCTGTTCCGATCCTTCGTAATCGTTATCATTTATCTCTTCTACTGGCGCGTCTTCAAGGTTTCCTTCAATTTGTTCGGGGTTTTCAGTTTGGTTTTCTACCGACGCCTCTGTTGTTTCTGGTTTTTTTCCAAATGGAGCTCTTGGTGGGAAGAGACTAGATTGACTTTGTCGACCCCTTGTAGTTAAAGTAGATACTGTGGGTCTCACTCTGTTATTATTTCCACGATTCAGTTGCCTTCCAGCATTTACTCGTCTCGCTGTTGTCAACGTAGTTGGTCTTGGAGTTGTAGTTCTAACGCCGCTACCAAAGCCTGGTGGTCTTTTGAATCTCAATAGAGGATTATTGGCTCTCCTAGATGATTCTGTAGTTGTTTGCGCCACTGGAGCAACAGTTTCGAGCTGCTCATCTTCTTCTTGTGCCACGGGCGTTTCTTCTGTTGCTAAAGTGGCTGCAGTATATTCATTAGCATTATCTTCTTGATCTTCGTGTTTGATGGTTGACGAGGGTTTCAATATTGTTGAAGATGGTCGAATTCCAGGTCTATACCTCGTCGATGAAATTGGTAGTACAGATGATCTAGAAATCGATCGTGCGGATGATCCTCTCAAGGGCGTAGAACTTCTTCGACCAGAGTATGCAGAAGATGGAGTTGCCTTGACTCCTCCTCGAGATCTTGAACTTTGAGCAATGTAATTAGAAGCGGAAGATGTTGCAGGAATGGAGCTTCTTCTACCCCCTGAGAATCTTCTAGAACTAGACGGATTTATTAATGATGATCCCAGTGATGGTGTAGCTCTTCCTCTAGAAGATGCAAAACGACTTCCTTTGCTTCCCGCCAAAGTAGCTGTTATAGTAGGCGTAAAGTCACTTCTCGTGATAGTGGTAGCTCCTTGAGGTTTTCTTTTCGGATTGAACGTTGGTCTGCTTCTCGATATAAATGGTCTTATTGGAGGTGCGCTTGATGGTCTCTTTCTAGTAGAGAAAGTCAAACGTGATTTTTTCTTTAATTTATCATCGCTTTCATCTTCATTTTCGTTTTCTTGATCTTCATCATTTGTTTCAGTATGATCTTCCGATATAGATGATTGTATAACTGCTGGAGATGGTGCCATGTCTGGAATAGCAGTTGCATGGTTCAGTGGTATAGTTGATGAAGGAGATATGTCTTGAGCAACCGTTGGCTTCACCAAGTAACTAGAAGTGCTTTCAATTATTTGAGCATATCTTCCGTCGATGCTAGTACCAATAACTTTAGATTGATAGTAGGTGATGGTATCATTAGCATCAACATGGCCTTTAATCAATCTTACTAATCCAGTTCTGTGACCTTTAACTGGAGTAAAAGTTTGCAATTTTTTATCGTCAATCTTAGTTGTGGAAGTGCTCTCGATTACTTTTGCGTAGAGACCGTTCAATGACGTGCCAATTTGTTTTGTTGTAAAATAAACGGTTGTTAGTTCATCAGCATCTACAATGCTACCTTCGTTGAGGTATAGTACACCTGTTGGAAGTACTGGTGTAGCTGAAGAAGAATAAACTGGTGTAGGTAATTCAATTTTTGACGAGGTTTCAACCACCTGAGCATAAAGACCATCGATATAAGTGCCATAAACATCAGTTATATAATGAGTGGTTGTACCATCGTTTACTTGACTCGATCTGACGGTAGATAATAACCCTGTTTTCGGTGTCTCACTGACTTGGCTAGGAATGATGGACGATTTTTCATCAGTACTCAAAATTTGAGATGGAGCTCCACCACCTATAGCTCGAGGAGTAGCTTTCACTAGTAAATCGTCTGGATAAGATATACTGGTTACAGTCTCCAAACGGCTGTTAAGTACTGTTGAATTTCCAATATATGATGTGGTAAAATAGGTATAGGTTGTATACAATGTTACTAGGTCCGGTGAAATAGTGGAACTCAATTCGTTGACCTTGATTGTAGGAATTTCTTTTATTATTACCTTAGGTGACGTTGTAATTTCATTGTCAGACGTAGCTTTCGATTCTCTAGAGGGTTCAATACTCGAGCTATGAACTGGAGTGGCCAAAATAAAAGGCCTATAAGTTTTGACAACTTCTAGTTGTACTGATGACGTATCTGCGACTCCAGGTGTAACTACATTACTAACGGTTTCTTCGCGACTAGTAGTCGCGGTTTCATCACCCTTGATAAATGTTGTCCAGTAAGTAAACGTTGTAAAGTAGGTGAGTGGTTGAGCAGTCTTCGATTCTGGCTGCACAACAGCTGTTGGCTTGATAGTTTCAGTCACCACGTTTGTAACTGTTTTGAGACGACTGACCACGTCAGTATTATCTCCGTTGTACATTGTGGTAAAGTAAGTATAAGTCGTGTAAGAAGTCTGCAACAACAGAGTTGGCGCCGGCTCTACATCATGATGATTAGTTTCTGATAATTCTTGATCTTCAGGATCGCTACTCTTTTTATCTTCGAGTAAAGTACTACCTCCAGAACTGGAAGTGAAGATTACATCAGTTTTAGTGGATTCTGGTACTTCGCCGTCATTCGAAATTTTTTCTGTTGTAACATCATCAGCGATCGTTGTTTCATCCATATCGGTAGTAATCGAAGAGTCATCTGTTGTAGTTTCAATAGTTTCCTCAGTGGTAATATGCGTACGTTCTTGAACTTTCTTGGCCAACTTCAGAGCTTCTTGCGACGATTTTTGTTTCTTCAAAGCTTCCAAATACGCCAATATTTCAGGTGGTGGCGAAGACTTTGGGGTTGTCGCAACCATCGTTTTTTCAACAATTGCAGGCAAGACACTTGTAGGTTTTATTGTTTCAGTTACAACATTACTAAAGACTTCCGTTCTCGTTTCGACTTCAGTTTCGTCATCGACAAATACAGTCGTAAAGTATGTATAGGTCGTGTAATAAGTTTTCAATTGTTCACTTACTAACTTAGCAGTTGCACTTGGAGTTGGGCTAGGTTCAAGAGCAATAACAGAATCAACTTTAGCTTTCAATTTTTCAGTTGTTGTTTCTGGGGTCGTTTGATCTTCGACAGTTGTTAATTGTTCCGGCTCTACAGTAGTAATACTTTCAGTAGTTTCTTCAGTTGTCGTAACTAATCTATTTTCGTATAGTCCTTTTGATTCAATAGCTCTGGTTTTCGAATGAGTGGAGCCAACCTCTGCAATTTTCGTTGGTTTAATCAAAACTGAAGCATCCTTCTCGATCAATCTATCAACGTCAACGGATGCGCTGATTGGATCTACGGTCTGGGTTATAACATTAGTTGCAGTTACTTTCCGACTTGAAACGCTCGTTGTGGAGTCGTCGTAAAATGTAGTCAAGTAAGTGAAAGTTGTAAATATGGTTTTGAATATCAACTGTATCTCTTCCACATCCTGCTTTTCCGAATCAATAATGTCAGTATTGGATGAAACAGCGACTTTATTTGTCATGCTCGTTGATAATTTTGTTGGAGTAATGCTTGCCAATTTTGTGTTGGAGGGTAAAATCAATTCTGTCAAATAAGTCACTTCTGAAGAGACGACTTCTCGCGACTTGATCGATGTGCTCGTTCGACCTTTACCGGGAATGAAGAACGTTGTAAAATACGTAAATGTTTTATAAATTGTCGATGGTAAAAGTCTCGTAGCCAACGATACTTTCTCCTCCTTATTCTTGTTTCTCTGACCTTTAAGATCTGGAAATATATTTTTAGGAGACGAGCCTTTAATGCTACGCCCTTGGTTTAACGGAATTATATCATTTCCTAATTCACTTTCAGTGGTGGGTTCCGTTGTAATAACGCTCTCGATCGTATCATTTCGTACATCATTGGATTCATTGTCATCTTGCTCATAAATTCCGGTGCTATCTTCCGGAAAGAAGAAGACATTCGAAGAGGTGTGTACAATTTGCGCATAATTATTATTGATATAAGTGCCGTAAACAGAACTCATATAGTGAGTAGTCGTGCCCTTATTGGCAGTCGTAGAGTCGATAACCTTGATCAAGCCAGTGACACTCTTTTCGCTTGGAAGCAAAAGTAACGGGCTAGTATACACTCCTGAAGATTCGGCTTCTGGGTGAGCCACCGTACTAGGTTCAAGATCGTGAATGCTACTGCTGCTCGATGATTTCAAATTCTTATGAGAGAACTTATTCACCGGCAGACGTGGTCGACTCGGCAGAGTCTCAGTCTTCTTCGGAGAAAGCAGCACGCTGGTAGGTTTGATTTTCAAAACCGCTACACCGTCGTCCGGACGCAAAGTAGCATCTCCCTTAATCGTAGTTGCAGGCCGTCCAACCGGTGCAGGAGCTGTACTCGGCGAGAAAACGATAACGGTGTCTCCCACGGTCGTCACGAAATCGGCAAAGCCGTGGTAGGTGACGGTGGCCAGTGGTTTAACGTCTTTCTTCGGCGCCGATTTCGGCACCGGTCTGAAAGATTTCGGCGTTCGCGGCTGGAAGCTCTTTGGCTGCTCATCCTCTTGCACAGCGGGAACAGCAGCATTTTGCCCCTTCATCACGTAATCCTGCTTCACCGTATACGTGAGAAGATTGTCGGATCTGACTTTGGCCGGCTTGAAGACCACTTCGGCGCTTAAAATGTCGTTGTCGTCTTCCCTCGGCGTGGTCGACTTCTCCTGCGCGTCATTGCTGCTGCTAGTCTTGCTGGCTATAGACTCGACGATTTTCAGCGGGACGTCGTCCAATACAAACTTGGTGTTGTCTTGCGACGTTGCCGATGGATAGACAACGAAGGGACTGATTGGATCCGCAGGAGTGTCTTTGTCATAGAATACTCGGCTGGATGTCGACAGAATTTTCGCGTAAAGCCGTCCATTATCTAGCGTCGTGCCTACAACTTGCGTCGCGTACTCTGTGCTTGCACCATCCTGCACGAAAGTCCTGGCCGTTTTCGTTAGAACGCCCACGGGTGGCGCGGGCTTACCAAGGGGAGCGGGTACCAAGAGAACTGTCGTAACACCTTTTTGTGTTCAAAAATCATCATTTAAACGAGCAATAAGGAAGCAATATTAAAATTTAATAGTGAAATAAAAGTTTTACGCGCAAAGTAATTATTATTCGTGTCGAAAATGAGATGAATGAGCATTAAAGTATCGATATCGTTATCGCGGTAATTCGTCGTCGACCAGGTTTTCAAAAAAGAAAAACAAAAAAAAATCGTTCATGTCGTAGATTGTCAGAGAGAGAGAGAGAGAAAGAGAGACGAAGTGGCGAACGGACGTTGGAGGCAGACGGCAGAACCCAGTTGTATGTGTGTTGAGAAGAGTTGTAGGCGGGGAGCAGACGGGACAGCGGTAACAGAAACAGAAAAAAACAAGAGAGAGACAATTTTAGTAGACTCACGGAATTAGTAGCTTCCTTTGTGGTGCGCATTTCAAAACCCTGCCTAGCGCACTTGAAAGAAAAAAATCTCCCTTTTCCTTCTCCTTCAATGGCTAATCATATTATTACTTGAGTATTTTTCAATTTGCCTCGGGAGAGGGATCTAATTACGAGCGCACGAGAGCAGAGCTTTAATCTGCGGTTCAGAGTCAGTAGAAGCGTTAAAGTGGCGGTGAGTTGGTTTAATTCAATGAGAAAGTAGAGTTACTTTGCCAATCAAGAAATTTTCCGAATGAACGTTCGTGGTTTATTGACCTTTCGAATGAAGGAAAGAGAATATCGAAGCTTGCGGATGACCTTAGTAATGTCAATGCGTTTACGTGCATGCAATGCTTTATTCCTCTTTCCATTTCAGTAGCATCTCATTTACGTGGCCTTCCCGCTGGACGGAGTCGGAATAATCAGACTGCGCTTTTATTAAATTTATTGCTTTTTATACGCGTTGAATAAAGTTTGCTCGAAAAATAAAAGACGGAAATTTATGACACCCAGAAAAAGTATTTTCGAACAGCCAAACACAGATATATACATGTACATATACATCTTGCCGAGAGGCAGAGAGAGTGTATAGGTAATACATATGTACAGAAACGAAAGCTATAACACACAGCTAAATCGTAAAAGGAAGCATGAGTCTACTCTGAATTTATGTACATGGCCGCACATCGCGCCAACGCATGAAAAGATTATACATGAGAAAAACAAATGGTGAAATAGAAGGAAGATAAGGTGATTATAAATTTACAAACCATTTTTTTAGTGATTTGAAGTTTCTGCTTTTTATAAAGAGAAGGAGAATGAGATACATTATAAACATGCAATTGATCATACAGTATTACTTTACAAAAAAAGCGTAATAGATTTTCATGAAATAAATATATTACATACAGGTGAACGAGTCAAAAGTGGAATGAAAAATATGAATTTGCCGATGTGAAACAAAATAGAAAAAAAAATAAACAAAAACGGAAAGAAGCGTTAAGTGACACGACAAAAAAGAATCGTATGCAGTTACGATATGGTCGAGAAGAGTGTAAAAGCGAGGGAGAGGGGAGTGTACTTACCGTCAGCATCTCTTTGTAATCCGGAGGTGACGATGTCGCCTCGCGCAAAATCATCTGTAATCAAAAGAAAAAAGGTTGTGTTCGTCATCGTATCTCGTTAGAGTTTTAAAGAAGGATTCAGGATTAGTGCTACAATACGGTAAATCTCGTCGCCACCGTCGTCATTACACTCTTACGGGAGAGAGAGAGAGAGAGAGAGAGAATGTGTGAGATCACACACAGGTAGCTGCGAATGAATTGCGCGCTGACACGAGTTGAAGATGTCGTTCAGGGGCCGCGCGACGTACAGTTACTTGACCGACTGACGACTCTGCTGTACGCGTGTGTGCCTCATCGTCTTCTTCTTCTTCTTCCTCCGCGCGCGCGTATACACACATCGGGAAGCAAGTGCGGGCTCGTCTCTATTTGCCGACGCTTCGCACATTTTTTTTCGCTTCGCGGAAATGCCTTCATCTTGCGCCGCCTGATTTATTTCACGATTACGACTCGCGCACTCGTTAAGCGTACTTTCCGAAATCCCCTTTTCTCGCGCTCGTTCTCTCCCACCCTGTCTGTCTCGTTCGAGAGATGCAGGTGTACATAGCCTACGCGTGCGCTCGTTATTACGATACGACGATACACGCCTTGCTTTTCCGAAAGGCTTGCGACGACGCGTAGAGATCTCTAATCGCGCTATTTCCGATTGATATCTCGGGCGACGACCGGAGCACTCTACACGTTTGTTCCTCCGATTGACTCGAGAGAGCTCGATTTTCTAAAAGCTTCGGAGAGGCGAAAATTCACGGGATCTGGTGAGCGCGCGACCTACATACCAGTGAAAGGGTTAGTTTTCGAGGTTCGCTTGTGCGCTATTTTTCTTCTTCTTCGACCGATTCCAAACGATCGTGCGATTATTTAGTTACAACCCACTTAAGGTACACAACTTGAACTTTCCCAGAGACGAGTACATACCGATGTACGTGTGTACGTATGTGTATGTTTGTCTGGAGTACAATGGACAAACTCCGTTGGGTAGCGCGTGAGAATGAATTAATTTGTTTGTAAATGTGAGCGCGGCGCTATGTCTACGGTATAATCTCACACCCACAACAATGAAATCTATATCAATAAAACTCCATTGGCGCTCGTTATATTGACACACATCGATGTGCATTGCATGCTCCGCGTAGGCGCGACTCATTTTATCTCTCTCTCTGGCGAATGACTTGCAACAATGCGCGTACGTACGTGTACGTTCGCCCAACAATGGCCAATACGGTTTTCGAAGAAAAAAAAAAAGAAAAAAAAAGATAAATAAACAACGCGAGAAGAGTGGAGAACAAGCGTCGTGTAATTTTGGTCCATTCAACCCGCAGCCGCTTTCGAATAGCGAAAGGTACTTGAAATGCCTACGCTTGCTCGGTCTTGTTTACTAATCGTCGAGAAATGCAAAAGGCAAACGAAGCGCGAGCCTCGGAGCGGCGGAACGAGGCGACTCCGGAGTTGGCGCGGGTCGAAAACGAGCAATCGCCGGGTAGCGCGAGCGGCGCGCGGAGCCCGTAAAGCAGAGCGCCGCCGGATACCCGTTAGCTATCGAGCAAAAGGAAGATAATGAGATTGGCAGCGGCGCGCCAGCCGGCAAGCTAGTCTATATTCCTATCTACGGTATGTGCAGGCGGCGTGGTGGAGCGATTGACCGATTCGTGGAAATGCATCCGGTGACCCGTCAGCCTCGGCGCTGGTCCCTCTCTCTCTCTCTCTGTCGCAATCGCGGCGGGCGCCGTTGGCACACGTCTGCACGCACGACAATGCGCGGCCGCTCCACAATCATAATTTTCCCAGAAGCCGAGCCGCCGTTACGAAACGCCCGATATATTGTTCGGCGCGAGCGAGGCGGCAGGTGCGACTTTCGCGTACTCTGACCGCGTGAAAGTGCCGCAGCATGCTGCATCGATTAGGAGATGAGCGCAGCGCCAGCTCGATTATACGCCATCGAGTGAGAGTTCGACAGTGCGCGCGCGTGTGTATCCGGAGCGTATAGTAAAAGTGTCGAAGGTGAAAGCTGCGCCGCCTCGGCAGCGGCCTTTTCGAGAAAGATAGAGCGGCTTATAATTGTAAAATGGACCGAAATCTATACGTACGCGCGCGTGTGTCTCCCTCTAACGCGACCCGAATTTTACGGAGACGGCCACTTTCTAACGAGAAGAAATCAACTATACTTCTCTCCGCCCTCCCCCCTTGCTGTATGCACACACATTCGCTAGCCGATCGAACTTGCATCGGCGAACGAGGTCGTCTCTTTTGCATTCCAAACGATCTATCTCGCGCGCGCAAACATCGTCGAGCCCGACATAATTCGTTGCCCATTAGCGGTCGGTATACCGTGAAAAAGACATCAGCAGAAAAATTGTGCAATCCTCACTCGCGGCTATCCATCATTGCACAATGCACACATTATTATATCAATTTTCGCGGCGAATCTTTCGTAATCGTTACATAAATAACAGGTACGTCGAGATTGTGCTGCCTGGCTTGTAACGAGCGTGCGACTCTCTCGGCGCCTCGCGCGTACGCGTTGTTTTTGTGCATAAATTTGACGTCGACCCCTTAATTGTACGCCTCAAAACGTTTACGCTTTTCCAATTGTGCCGCCGCCGCCGCCGCCGCCGATTTCCCATGAACTGGCTGCTGCGCCCTGAGAAACGAAATCGAGCGCTCTCGTGACCCAGACGCCGCAGCCAGATAAAGCTCCTCGCGACGGCAGAGCGATCCAAGCTATTTGGAAAGAGGCGAGCGCGGCCGCGGAGAGAACGTACTTTTCATTTCTGCGCGGCTCGTCGCCCGCCGCTCGCAGCCGAGGCCCCGCGAGAACCGGAGCGACGGGCCTTTCCGAAAACTGCTCCGGAGAGCGCCGCCCGCGCGGTGTTCTTCTCAAAACCCCAAAACCACCCAGAAAAATCGCTAACGGTACGTGCCGAGAGCGCCAAAGCAGAAAAAAAGACGTGGCCTCGAGGAGGGGAGAAAAAAGAGAAGAGAAAACAATAAAGCCACTCGAAGTGGGCTCTCGCTGTTCTTTGGCGCGTGAATTTAGTGGGTCACGCTCGCTCGTCGTCCTGGCTGCTTGGCGGCACATAGCCGTCGAATTAGCATGAGTCTTATTACCGGTAGTCTCTCTCTCTCTCTCGTTCCCATCCGGTCGTTGATCTCCAGCCGACGATACGAGCTACGCGCATATTGTCTCGCGCTCGCGGTACGACAAAAGAAAAACCATCGCGCGAACTTTTAATAATTGCTTCTCTGGCTCGTTTTTGACGGCAAGAGGGTAGACACGGTAGCCGGCCGATCGCCACCGACGCCGGCTCATTAGCATCGAATCGCGCGCTTTTGCAATGACTCTGCGGCTATATGAAACCCACGCGCTCTATCTCTCTTCCGTCCTACGCGCTGCTCTGCGCTCGAGCGCTACCTTGCGCAAGCCTCGGGCAGATAGAGACGCGCGACTGTCCGCGCCGACGACGCAGCGACAGATGGGACTTTCGCAAAAGCTCCACGCCGAATACGGCGCCATTCTCATCGCCGACCAATCATCCTCTCTTACTTTGCGCAACCACGCGCGTATGAGCCCAAGAGTACCGTGTAGCTGATTCCCGACGGGTCACTCAACTCCCCGATCGTCTTCCTCGATCTCTTTCTCGGTGAACGAGCGTTGGCCACTTTCACGAATCTAATCTTCTGGCCGAATGCACATTTGCGCACTGGCGAAAAGGAAAATATCAAAGAAAGTGTACGACGGAAAAATTAACGATAAGAAAAATTAATAAAAAAACGAGTCCTTGGCGCGCGCAAGGCCAGGTGAGCGAGCACGGGCGCGCGCGCGCGCGCGCGTGCGAGTGTGAGAGAGAGAGATGTGGGCCGCAGCCGTCGACGAATTTCGAATAGCCTTCGGCTCATAACGGATCGACACACTGACTCAACTCTCACCTACTTTCGGCCACACGCCGCCGTCGCAAATAATCGCTCTCTCCGTGGCGCGGGGATGTTTGAAATTCACGCGCGCGCGCCGTGTTTTGCCGCACGGGCAACCTCCTCGTTTCCACGCCGTCGCGGCCGGCGACGCCGAACGGACGCGCCTACATTCGCGCTCTGCCGCTGCACCGACGCGGCATGCCTTTCGTTTTCGCGAGCGCGACGGCTTATCACGCTTATCCGTCTCAATTAGACGGACTACGCGGCGCAGTTGTAAAAGGAGCCTCTGGAATTTTAATAGCCGCGCGCACTTTACATTCGCCAGCTGGAATTCAGCCGCGCTCACGGCTGCAGCGCCCGGCGCGGCTGAATATGGCCAGGAATTCAAAGTCGACGCGCGCGACTGGATTCGCACACCTGTCATTTTCGGCCGTTTGTCCCTTGACGACGCGCAAAACGAGGCCGAATCGAAGGATCGTAACGAACCTTCGTGAAGCGGACCGAGATAAAAGGAAAATAAAAAAACAAATCGGTCACGATGCAGAGATTGAGAAATAAGCGCAGAGAAATAAACGCCGGTTCCTGCGGAGATCGATAAGTGGGTCTCGGAGCACCTGCGACTTCCGGCTCTCTCGCACGAAAATTCCTCTCTCTCTCTCTCTCGATCCGTTCGGTTTCTCCTTCGTTGGCGTCGCCACCGCCGTTTCGGCGCGCGCGCTCGAGAAAGGTGCAGCAGGTATTCGTGCCAGTAGGCCGTCCAATAGACCAAGCCCAAATTGCTATAAAGCCAGCAGCGTTGACCCCTTTTGCGAAAATTCGCATCGCTTTATTAATTGTTTCGCGTGATAAACTTTCACCTGCCGAAGATGAGTTTCTTTATGCTAATCTCGCGTCCGCGGCGGGAGATCCTTTCACCTGTGGAATTTCGGTAGCCACGGATCTCTTACCAAGAAAGTGAATTACGCCTCGCAAGAGACTGACTTTCCACTTACATGTGCGCACTTTAGGGGTCATCGACGTCGGCGACGGTCCGCGCGAAGGACCTTGAGAGAGAAAGAGAGAGAGAGAGAGAGAGAGAGAGAGGAAAAGCACATCGTGCGTTGTGAATCAGCATGTTTTTCCAACGACGATAATCGATCTACATGCCTTCCTTTTTTTCTTCCTGGCGCGTGCCTTTGCGACGTATACGTAAGATCCCCGCGTCATTAATTTTTTCATCCTTTCCGCAAAACTCGCGAGGGTAGCGGCTGTTATTCGCCATTACCGACACGCTCGGAGCCGATCACAAGCCTCTCTACCGACGATAATGTTGTTAGCCTATTTAGCACTCTTGTTTTCCGTGCCCCTTTAAGTTGTTTCATCGATGCTAATTAACGGTAAATACAGCAAAGCGAAAGTTTTCGTTGCTTTTTGATAATTGCAATACGTTCTTTGTCAGCGGTCGTGTGCGTGCAAGTTGACCTGTAATTTTCGTTAATAACGTGTAATGTTAAATTTGCTTTCGTTTGCAATATTTACATCGCGTGATCTTGCACTAAAGAACACGTGATTTTCTTATCGCTGCACGCCCCTAATGAATTTTTTCCGATTCAACTAATATCGATGTAAATTGTTCTACTTTGAAGTGATTAGTATCAATTGTCCGATTAACCAGCTATCGCGATTCAACGAATAAACTCGAGCTTGGAGCGCTTAAAAATATCCCGAAAATTCGAATCGGCAACTCGAATAACAAAATCATCAAGGACTCGTCGACTGTTTAAATCCTTTCGAAAACATCAAAATTCAAGGCGTTTTCGCTAAAACCATTAATATCGCATTCCTATATGTTCGCGCGCGCTCGACAATTTCGCGCGCAGTGGTTGCGCAAAAGCCGCCGAGTGGCGAACAAAAAGGAAAAAAGAAGAAAAAAAAAGAAGAAAAAAAAAGTAGAATGAAAGAAAGAAAAAGCAGCGCCGCGAACGACAAGACTGGATTACGGTGGCGCGCGTCGCGCGCTGCGCATAAATTTGTATGGGCAATCAACCGAATTCCGAACGCGCGCGCGCTCCTATACGATGACTCAACTGCATCGAGCGCTCCAAATCTCTAGCCGCGAGACGGCGTCGAAAGCTTCCCTGGTCTATCATTACTGCAATCGCCTTTGCCGCGCGATGTTATAGCATCCACCGCCAGCCGCCGCCGCCGCCGCTCGACTCTTCGTTCCTGCGTCGTGACGCGTGACGCGCTTTAGCGGAGAATCGCGTGCCAAGTCACGTTTACACGGACGCCGCGCAGATATCATCGCCGCGGCGCACGCGCAGCGTGAGAAGCGCCGCGGTTTTCGGCCTAATGCAATTAGCGCGCACAGCCGCGCGCCGACCGTCCACGATCTTCCCCTTGTACCCGTACGGTCACGCCCGCGACGCTTTGCCCGCGCTTCGATTATCAATTTTCTCTCTCGGCTTGCGCAACGCTCGCGAGGAGCACTTTTCCCCCTCGTATCGGATTTTCATACGTCGGAATCGCCGAGGTTCGCGTTTGCGCGCGCAGTCGCTTTTGCGCAATCGTTTACGTGGCCGTTCCGCTGTCCGTGGCAGCTGGCTTGGAAAGCCGGGCGCGGGTCGGAAACGAAATCGCGATCGCCGACGAGGAGCAAAAGGGCAGCTGGCGCGCGGCGGCGCCGGCCGACGAGAGGGAAAGAAGAGGCACGCTCGCTTCGCGTCGCACGCACCATTGCCAAACAAACTCCCGATGTCGCGTGGGACTAACGTAACATCGCGAGCGCTTCCCATCACCTTAATCGAGTCAGCGGAGCGAGAACAAATGTGTCAACATTGCGTCGTCGTAATGAGCGCGCATCATTAGACAACGAGCGACTCGGATGGCGCAGTGTGTTTCTCGCGGTTGTTTCTCATTACGCTCGTGCTCGCCGCCCAAGAGGCTCGACCGTTATTATTAACCCGGCCGCTTGTCTTTATGCAACTCTGGTGGCGCGGACCATGCGATGTCGCAGCCATCTTCTTCTACTATTTCTCTCTCTCTCTCTCTCTCTCTCTTTACTCCTTTTCGGCGCTGGCGAGCTTGCGAAAGGCCGCGAACCCCTTTCTCTCTTGCCCGGCTAATCGTTGCTGCGAGGCCTGGATCGTAATTCACTCTCGTGAAACTCACGGGAATTTATCGATAATTGCGAAAGAGGGTCAGGTGCGCATCGACTTTATCCATTTTTCCATGCAGCGCGGGTATACATTGGGACGACGGTCACTGGCATCTCTCGATTTGATCGATATAATCACCGTGCACGAAGCTCGAGTAAGGCAAAAGCTCGAATGGAAACACTGTGCGATAAATTTGCGCGACGGGCAGAGATTCCATTCGTAAAGCGAAAATCGAGGAAAATAAAAGGATTCGGCTAATGAAAAGTAGTTTCCGAGACTCTCTATACTACGCGCAGTCATTCACTTTCGAACTCGCTCTCTCTCTCTCTCTTTCAGCAGAGCGAGCGTTCGCAAATTGTGATCTAGCGCCATTGCAAGGGTTTCGCCGAGCGCTCATAAATAATCTGCGATCTCGCGCGCGTGATACACGAGTGTCACAAGAGTTTTGCCTGTGTGTGTCTCTCTCTCTCTCTCTCTCTCTCTCTCTCTCTCTCTCTCTCTCTCTCTCTCTCTCCGGCTGCAGCCTGCAAGGAGAAATCGCGGAGCAAGGTTTCGAACTTCTCGAGTGTCATTCCTCTCACTTGCTCGCGACGGCGTGCAGTTTATCCCGATATAGAATTAGGCGCGCGCGCAACGGGGAATGCGCGTCGTTATCACCCCGGCGACGCGTTTTGCCGCAGCGACGAGCGCGATCGCGAGCTTTCACTCCGCGCGGTCGGCCGCACGTCCGATCGCGCCTCGCTCGCGGGCACGCAGAGGAGACGAGCCGAACAATGGCGAGCGCATAACAAGCAGCGGCGAATACGAGGAAATATAGAATAATGGGCCTGAGAAATTGAAAGAGCGACGGTTACGGGGCAGCAGACGTGCGCATGGGAATGGCGGCTTCGCGTCTCGCGCGGCTATATCACGACCTGGTTCACAGAATCCCTCGCTGGCGCGCGCATCCTTTGCTCGCCGCTCGCGCCTCCTACCTGGAGCAGCTTTTTCGGCTCTCGCCAAATATCGGGCCGCGAACGCGCGCCGGTGAAAGTCCCCGTATACCGTCACTCGATTGTTCTCCTCGGATACATATAATGCACGTTCGATGTTATAATCGCATGCGGATAGGCTGGCAATGATGAGCTCCCTCGACGGAGAGAGAGATAGAGAGAGAGAGAGAAAGAGAGAGAGAGAGAGAGAGAGAGACGGGACTTTCTAATGTTGCATCACGCGATCTCGCTGGGATTTCGCGAAAAAAAATGCTCGCGCGCGCTTCAAGCTCTAACGGCCAATTACACAGTGTGAGCGCGCTCCGCGCGCGCGCGCGCGGAACCGCGCTAACGGGGCTTACAAGCTCGCTAACAGCGCGACAAAAATCCGACGCACCGCTACCGGCCTCTTCGTTTTTTGTCGGTGGCTGCGCGGAGAAAGTGCGCGCGAGCAAGCGCACAGCAGCGTCCGCGCGCCGGGTGACGATAGCGCGATCGAGTGGCGCGCAACGACGAAATGGGCATCCTTGACCCTTGGCGAAATGGAAGGAAAAAGGGCAGCCGTGCGCGCGCGCGAGCGAAAGCTCCAGCGACGCGGATTGCGCTTGGGCAACGATCGAGCGCGTCTCGCGCGGCTCCGGCTGATTTGTGCAGTCCGCTCACTCGGAAAAGCTCTTCGCCAGCCTGAAAACGAGGAGAGCAGAGGAGAGAGAGAGAGAGAAAAAAAAAGAAGGAAAAGGAAAGAAAAAATTCTCGTCTGCTGGCGCGAGAGCCGTTGCAGCGCTGCTCGCAAAAGTGAAGGTACGTATCGAGAAACGGCAGCATCCGGGGGAGGGCTATATCTCTTTTCTCGGCCTTTCTAAAACGCGACGCCGTTCAAGGCGAGATGAGCGCGTAAGCTAGATCTTTGCTGGACGTCAGGTGCGTACGTGAGCCGTCTCTCTCTCTCTCTTTTTTCTTTTTTTTTTCTCTTTTTCGTCCCCAGTGAAAGTGCAGCTGCGAACGGCGCTTCTCTAAGTTCGACAATCCAATTTTGATTCGGCACGTGTATCACTTTCGCGGCCGCTGAGCCCGCTCGCACTTTTATCCGTTTCTTTATTTTTGGAATCGTTGCGCGCGCCAAACTTTCACGCTTTCTTTTCCGAGGAACGCAAAATGCCGCTCGACGCGAGCGTAAAGACCGGGAGCCAGGCTTACGTAAAGCGCTCGATATCGCAGCCGGTTCGACACCCCGCGGCGAGACTCGAACTTACTTTGGGCGACAGCTAGGGTGGCGAGGAGCAGGAATGACAGCAACTCGAGCCGGCGCATGTCAGCGGCGCGGGGTCACTCTTGTCCTGCGGGCCGCAGCATGTGCAAAACCCGCGCAGCCGCGTCTTCCTCGCAAGCCCGCGTCCGGTGCTTCCTCTTGCGCCTCCGCGACTCGCGCACGCTCTCCTCCTCCTCTTCTTCTTCCTGTTGCGTTTGTCTCTCGGTCGCGGAAGACGCGCACCACCGACCGCGCGGACGCACGCGACAGCGACGAGTTTCGGGCGCAAGGCAAGAAATATGCTTCTTCCGCGTGGCACTCGGGCGCGTTACGCTCGTGCTTCTCGGCTCTCGTTCCGCTCTGGCTGAAGACTGACTGACGACGCGATTCGGCTACACGCTAGAGCTGGCTCTGCTGCTGTTGGCGCTCGCGGAGAAAGGTGCGCGACGTTTGCGCGCGGCTCGCCGCCCGTCGTCCGCGCGCCGCTCTGTGTGCCGCGATCCCTCCCGCTCGCCTCCTCTCTCTCTCTCTCTCTCTCTCTCTCTCTCTCTCTCTCTCTCTCTCTCTCTCTCTCTCTCTCTCTGCCGTGTGCTCGGCTCACCTACATGGCAGCCACCTTGGCCGGTCCACCGCGCGCATGGCTTTCCAATCCGCGCGCGAACCCGAAAACCCGCGCCTCCGTCCGTAGGCCAAAGAAGCGGTTCGACGGGATGCCCGTGCTCTCTACCGCCCGGGGCAGAGATATTCGAGGCTTCTGACGAAACGTCGAGAAGGAGGGAGAGAGAGAGAGAGAGCAACAAGACTTCTCAGCCCCATAGGTCGGCGAGGCGCGAACCACACCACGTACGGTTAATGAACCGCGCGGAAAAAAGACATTCCACTCTCTCGCGCGCGCGCGCGAGCTAGCAGCCGGTGGAGATTTCTACGGGAAGTCGTTAAAGCAACAAGTGTCCTCGCCGAGTCTCCTTCGGTGCGCGCGATCGACCCGCTGAAAAGCTCGGCGCACCTGCGCTTCCGGTGATAAGAGCGCCGTGCGCGGCCCGACTCGAGTCGCCTTAGCGGTTAGACCGGCTGCAGGGGGATATAGATCGAGCAAAGTCGATCATCCGTTAGCTGGAGCGCGCGCGCGCGCGCGCGCCCATGTTTGCATCAACGCTGTACAGCTAGACGGGCGCGCGAGAGCGCGTCAACAGAACCAGACGCGAGGCTCGCAGCGGTCTACGGAAAAACTCGCCGCGGCGGTGCCCTCGAGCGATTGTTAGGCGAGGGGGGGGGGGGGGGGGGGGGGGGGGGGGGGCTTCGCCCCGGCCGATCGACAAAGTGTGCTAGGCACTCGCCCAGGCTCGCGGCCGAGCCTTCTTCATCGCCGGCGCGTTTCGCTCGTCGTCGCGCGCGCGCGATTTGTGCCATAACTCATCGTGACCTCTTCCTACGCAGGTGGCGTGGACCCGCGACCAAGACAGAGCTCCACTGTGGCTCGCCTCCCTCTCCCGCGTCGCCACAAGCAGCCGCGAAATATTCATTGTTTCCTCGTAATTCACTTCGAGGGGACATATTCCATTAAGACGCTTGCTCAACCGCTGCGGATTCTCTGGCCACGTCTCGCTGCGGGAAAAACAAGAGCCAGATGATAAATAGAGGAGCCGATTGTCGATTGTTCGCGGCCGATTTTCTCGCGAACGTTTGCTTATGCGAGAGTACGCGCGCGTCGAACTTCCGCGACAATGCCGCGTTCACGAGCGTGGCGCAACCCCACTGAATCCGCGATCGCGCTCCCCCCCCCCCCCACAGCCGCGCGAATCCCGACTAATTCGATCGATTAGAAAGCGCACCGTCGTAAAGTGAATTAGTAGCTGCAACTGCGCGGCCAGAGCAGCGCATTGCAGCGTGAAAAACACCATTATTTGTTTTAAGTGCTTTGCTGACGACTCGAGAAATAACGCTGGTTGCGATCACCTTGACGATCGCTATTGAGTTTCTTTTTTCCGACAAAAATAAAACATATATAATATATTCCCGACTTTCATCGGTGGTATTCTCCAATTTTCACATGACACGCGATCGACCAAAATTCCTCCATTCTTTAGGAAGACCGCCAATGTTATCGAACGATCTCGAAAGTTTTTGCAAACGAGAAAAAAACAGCGATAAAATGGTCAACTCACACACGGGGTCCGAAAGGTATGGCGCACGCGAAGAAAGAAGTAGAAGGAGGCGCGTGATACATGAAATTGCGCATCGCCCGAAGGAGATCATCGCCTAGAATGCGCACGGCAAAAAGGCAGCGTAGTGTCCGGCGCAGCTCGCGCGCTACTCTGTTGGGGTCACGTAAGGGCCGAGCGGCGGCGTCGGTGGATCAGTAGGTCGTCTCTCTCTCTCTCTACAAGCGCGTGTACGACCGAGGACCTACATGCCCACTTTTGCCGCGCGGCATAGTGCGCCTCGAAAAATTCTTTCAGGTTTGTGTAATCGATGCGCGCGCGCGCCGAGATAACGATGGCAGGCCGATTGATCATTAATCTACTATGTCCAGCCATCGCTTACAGCTTCTGTCGATTAACTCTTCGATCCTTTTCCGGTCTCGTAGCCACGTTCGTCGCCGCTGTGATTCACAGTTCTCACGCGCTCGAGCGCGAAGCTCAACCGTCACAACCGTTAATTTTTGCGTTGCGCTTTGATGCATATTACACGCGCGATCATTCAACCGATTTATTTCATGCCATACCTCTGTTCCCCTCTCTCGTCCTCGTGGGCGGATAACCGCGATCGCGCAATTGAATTGCACGCTGCCGCAATCGACTGCGCTTCGAGTACTAATATTTGCCTTCACGATGCGCCAATTTTGCAATTTGCTCACTTCGTTATCGATCAATGGTATATCATAATTCCAGCAAAAATCGCCCGCTGCTGCCAGTGAACGTGGCTCGATCTGACGGACATTTCGGAAATTAAACAGCGATAATAAACCCACGTGTGTTCTCTGTTGACAGTTATCTAAAAGTTGATTCAGCTGATGGATAATTTAGCCTTTACTATTGTAAATTAGACAGAAAAAATCAATCTTTCCTTGTTAGAATAATTTTTAAAGAGTAATTATATCGTTTAATTTCAAATCAAATTATTGATGAGCTTGATTTTTTTCAATAACACATTTTCGTTGAACTTATAGGTTATATTACGATGGATGATTTCGTACCAACTCGAGCCTCGCAAAATAGAAAAAATGCTGAGAAAGCACTCGAAATTACAACTTTTGAGACACGTAAGAAAATGTCTAATCCGGCTAAGAAGATCGTGAATAAAGACAAGAAACCTAAAGATGACGCTGAAAACGATTTCGATGAGGAAGATATGGAAGATGATGATCCACCTATGGATGATCGGAGAAAACAAGAATTGGAAATGAAAAGATTTAGATATGAAGTTATTAAATTGGGTATCTCTGCTTTGGATAAGAAGAAAGCCAGAGCAGCGAAAGTAGAATTAGCAATCAGTTTAGGAGCAAAGCCACCAAAGAATAAGAGAAGAAATTACAAAAAAATACTTGCAGAAAAGAAGCTGGAAACAATACGAAAAAATAGTAAAAATAAGCTAGCTTCTGGTTTTGATCCAAGCAAATTGTTGATGAATAAACCATCGAAGGTGAAAGTTAAGAAAAAGTTGATAAAAAAGAAATCACCTGTAGAAGATATAAAGAAAACTGGTAAGGATGGAATGAAGAAAGGTAAAGGTAAAGGAAAAGGTAAAAAGAATTCTGGTGGTATTCTTGGTATGTATGGTAGAGTTACGAAAGCCAAAGAGCATCAAAATAGTGGTGGAAAAAAACAGAAAAGGAATTAAATATAAAGTTTCATTTAACATATAAATGATAAGTTTAGTTAACTGTAAATATAAAATATGTACATATTTAATAAAATTAATATTTCTAATTTACGTAATCTTATTCAGTTTCCATTCCTTCATCATTTTTAGGAATATTGATATGAGAACTATTGGTTTCATCTTTTATTACTTCAGGTACATTTTTACTTTTGTTTTTCAACGTGCCATTTATATTTTCCACTGCAACATTAATATTTGATTTAACTTTTACTGCTTTAGCTCTCTTCTTACTAAAGTGTATAAATTTGAAGTTAGGTAAAAGTTTTATGTCACCATTCCATTTCATTAACATTTCACAGTGAACTTTATTCAGAATATCTGGAATTTCTGTAATAGCAATTAATATTAAATATTTCTTTCAATCAACAGAATCTTCCATAGATATACACTTCTTACCAAACCCACAGGTTTCATAATCACTTGTCTCTCGTTTCTTAGTCATACATATAGCATCTTCACGGCCAATATGTTGTTTATTCCTTTTATTACCGATTGATCTTTTGATTTTAATTTGCTCCAATTCTTCATTATTACGTGCAATGTATCTGTAAACCACATATTTTATTTATAAAATCATAGATTAAAATGATCAACTAAGTAAAATTATTTTCAGCTTACTGTTCAATTAGTTCAGCTGTCAGTTCAACTGTATACGGACAAATATCAGGATCTATATGTTTTTGAAACCATAACAGCTTATCTGCAATCAATGATTGTTTCAGTTTGTAATCTTTTTTATGCTGCTCCTTTTTTGATTCCCTAAAAAATCATTGTATAATTATTCAAATTTATTCTGTAAAATTCCCAAAAATTCTCGTATTTAAGACAAACTTACTTTCTCACTTTCTTCACCATTGCTACACATTTTCTACTTTTAGGGTGTAAGAATTTATTTGAGGCAGCAACCATTTCTTCTTTTTCCTTATCTATTTTTGTTGCCTGTAATTAAAAATATATATAAATAAAAATAAAAAATTTAAAATTCAATTTAAGTTACCATATTTTTTATCAATAACTGATTCTTTTTTGTAGTTGTAATATTAAAAAAGAAATATGTTAATTTATATTGTGCTGAATATTACAAGGTTAATAAATAATAAAATAAACTGAAAAATTTAAAAAATTTCTAGTTATCGTTAGTGTTTATGGTCGAAACGAATACATAACCTAAATTTGAATTAGAGGAAAACACGTGTGTGCTTGACAGCTAGCGCCACGTCCGGCGAAGCAACAATTTTCAATTTGGACAATGTGGAGTTTCGGAGCGTATTAAAAATAACGAAGAGGTAGAAATGTAAAAACTATAAAAGAAAACTAATTCACACGATATTATAAAATCCTGCTGTTAACTTTCGAGAATTTCCAGTGAGAAACAACGAATAATATATTTTCAATTGAAATTACAATTTTAATAAGGCAGTTTTAATATTCCGTGTTAATTTATTTACTTGCCTAGATAAGTGCGCAGAAAAATAATATTTCTAGAACTTTACCACGACGGACACTCCAGTAATTGAGGATTCTCAAAACCAATTACATAGATAAGCTCGACAAGGTTACCGATAGTCATATTGGTACTGCGAAAATTACATTGTAAGAAGAAGTGACGAAAAATATTGACGTGGAATCTCGCACGCAACGGCAAAAAAAAATACGATCCTTCGGTTATCAATTGAATCGTTCAGGTCCCATGAGCTAACCTTATTGACGATGTCAAGCCCGTTATTTTTGACCTTTACTGTTTTTATCTATATATAATTGTAATATGCGTCGAATCGTAATGGTCACGGTGGGGATCGCTTTGATAGGAATTTTAAGCAGGCAAGTGACCCACTGAGAGCCAAGTTCGAAAACGCAGAGTCGGCAAAGCAGCGGCGCGCATAACGCAAGCCGATTATCATTTCCAGCGAGAATGCCGTCGAGAAGAAACAACAATACCTGGGCTGTTCCGCGAATAAGAAGCCGTGCAGCGTGCTCGTCAACTTGAACTCGGCTTGTGTAAGATGCGAGACGTGCCTTGCGATCGCTAATCAGGTTACGTATGTAAACATATGCGCGGCGCTGCTCGTTAGCATTCGTCGATGAAATTGGCGCAATTCCGTTTGGGGCGACTCACCGCCACGCTATTTCCGCATTGTGTGCAAATATAGATAGGGCCGCGCGCGGAGTCGCGTGTTTTCGTATTTTCTTTTGGACGATTGGTCCTTTGTGTGCAGATTGGCCGGACTTTGTCGATGCTCCGCGAGCCAGCCTGCCCCGAGAGCCACTTCAACGAGAGCCACGCGAGGTCGGTGATAACCTTCATATGCGATCATTCGTTCGAGAAGTAACGCTATCTTCGAAAATCGCGCGGCGCTCGCCTCGCTGTAGCTCGCTGTCTCCAGCCGACTCCTGACGAATCTTCTTCCGTTCGCAGCTTCGGCCTGAAGGAGCTCAACGACAAACGCGCGATCGCCGATCATACTCCCGCGGCCAAGTCTATCTTGACTGACGTCGACGAGATATGGGCGACGCAGTAAGCACCGTCCCCGCGAGCCTTACGTGGATCGAAGCGCCGAGCGCGATTCTAATCTGGAACTTTGAATTGTCCAGCCTGAAGCAACGCTGCCGCGAGCTCACGGAAGTATTGACCGCGGCGACGTTGTACGAAACGTGGAAACTTTCGCGGGCCGATGCAGCTCGTCAAAGTAGCTGCGACTGGACGAAATTAGAAACGGATCTTTGCCGACAGGAAAATGCCTTTTTACGTGACTGCCGTGGCATTCCTAGCGCGGAAAGGTGTCGTTTAGTTTCCCACAAGCACGAACGCTTAGCGAGACAAATAGCCAACCTGATACAACGTGAGAAAATGTTTTCGTAAGATGCCTGAGAATCCGATCGTTCGGCCGACCGCATGCGTGTATATTATTATATGCATTGCGTTTCGAGTATTCTATTATGCCGATAGTGTACCCACGGTAACAATTAAAAAAAACAAAAAAGAACAATAACCAATGACTGTTGCAACTGCAATTAACGAATTACGACGGTGTTGCGTCGGCTAACCGCGAATTCATTGAAGAAAACATTACGAAAAAACCCATCGAACGAAACGTCGCTCGTCGAATATTTCGCACTGCTGAGACGTGCTTTTTAATGTTTTGCCTCTTACGCGTGCGGCACAGCGTATGCGTATGTTTTTCTTTTCATAGGAACCATTGTTTTGGCTTACGTTGGTATTAAACATTTCGCGTGCTACGTCCGCAGCGATGATTTCGGAAGGGAAACTGTCGCTTCTTTTCTCCAAGCGAACGACAAGCGTTAGCAAGCTCTGCGAAGAAGAAACGCGCATCGAAATTGCGCCTACAGCCAGACCTAATCAACAACTAACAATTATAGGATAATTTCGATTAATGTGCGCTAATAATTTCCTATAATGTTTCCTATAATAATATTTCCTATAATAATTTCCAATAATTTCCTCTAATGTTTTTTCCCTAATGGCGATGACGCTCAGTAGTGGCAACAATTAAGTTGAACGAGCCTTTTTCGAGGACAGCAATTTGCTGATAAGGCAAAGTCGCCAAGTGTACACATCCAAGTTAGCGAGCTTCGCGTTATAAGTTGACGCGATGTGCTCAGTTTAGTTGGGCCTAGTGTTAAGTGTGGCTGAAAAAAATGTAAAATACCGAATCCTCGTTTATAATCTTTTCTTTTTTTTGCGTTTATTTCTTTAATTATTATTATTATCTATAATTTCGCATCGATCTACTCAAGTAGTACCTGTAATAATCGTTTTATTCATTTACTTCTTCGTTTTGCATGATCAAGTGTCGACGTTTCACGGTCATTTTGTCCATTCTGACCACATGCGTCAGTCGTCGAGAGCCTTTTTTTCTTCATATTTATCCAATTTTTTTTTTTTCAGTACCAGTGATCGGTGAGAATAACAAAAAAATTATCTAGTTTTATTAGTCGGGAGAAAAAAAAGTGCTGAAGAAACATCAGCAACATAATCATGCCGCCCAACGCGTCAAGCGCAACGTCGAGCGTCCAGGAAGAATGCGACGGTTTAACGGCGCACTTGGACTGCCCGAAGGAGTTGCAAGCGAAAATTGTCGCCGAGACAAAGGCCATAAACAAACAGCTGGGCATCGAGGACAAAGTTGAGAGAAAAAGAGGATTTTTGGACTTTGGAACGAAAATAATATGGCAGAACGCCATCGCCATTACGATCTTTCACATTTTGGCTTTCTATTATTTTTTGACATTCCCATTCCGGAAACATTTGGGATTGTTCTTTTGGGGTAAGTGCATGTTCCGCTCGACAAGTCATTCGTGCCAGAGCAGGTAAAAAGAAAAGGTGAATTTAAAAAAATGTACGCTCTGAACTATCAGGTTACATAATGGGTCTGATCGGAGGGTTCGGAGTGACTGGCGGCGCTCACCGATATTGGACGCACAGAACTTACAAGGCGAATCTGCCAATGCGCGTGATTCTGATGCTCAGCTACTGCAGTGCCGGTCAAGTAGGAAAAAGTGCACCTTTCCGCTGAAAATCCAACGGAAGAAAAGACACGCTTGCCTCGCTTTACAGAACAGCATCTACGACTGGGTGAGGGATCACCGAGTGCATCACAAGTTCTCGGAGACCGACGCTGATCCGCACAACAGCAATCGCGGCTTCTTCTTCGCCCACGTCGGCTGGCTAATGCTGCGCAAGCATCCCGAGGTGATCAGAAAAGGACGCGAGGTTGACATGAGCGACGTGCTCGCCGATCCCGTGGTGGTGTTCGCCGAAAAGTACGTCCCGCTTGCTTTAGATCGCGCAGTGCCACCCGTCAACCAAGACAGCTCGAGCGCGGCGCGACGGAAGCTCGTCTCATTTTACGCCCGATCCGCATAAAATTCCTCGCCCGCAGCGAGTCGACTTCGCTTCTCATTGCGTCGATTGCGCAGGTACTTTGTGCAGCTGAAGCTGTTGACGTGCTTCGTCCTGCCCGTGCTGTTCGCGGTGTACGCGTTCGACGAGGATTGGTACCCGGCCATCATAACCCAATGGTTCCTCCGCTACTCCCTGCTGCTTAACATCACTTGGAGCGTCAACAGCGCTGCTCACCTGTGGGGAGTGAAGCCTTACGACAAGTAAAGTCTCGATTCTGTCGCTCCTTTTTTCAAGCACCGAGCCTACCCTCATGCGACGTCAAACGAACTTTCAGAAACATCTCGCCGGTGGAAAATCGATTCGTGTCCTTCTGGGCGATGGGCGAGGGATGGCACAACTACCACCACGTGTTCCCGTGGGACTACAAGACAGCCGAGTTCGGTCACTACCAGCTAAACACTACCACCCTGTTACTCGACTTCTTCGCTCTGTTCGGCTGGGTCTACGATCGCAAGCAGCCTTCCAAGGAGCTCGTGAAATCGGTAGCCCAGAATCGAGGGGATGGCAACCACGGTCACAGCTGGTGGAAAGAAGTTTCAGAACCCGCATCAAAAGATGATTAACGCGCGACTTTTCGCTGCTCCTATTGTAGATACTTTTTCTTTCCATAACTGTTATTTATCGTACGGACATTTATTTTTCAGACGGACTCTGGTACCGCGGCGGTAGAAAGAAAAATCGAAGCTTTATCTTTCACAGCGCGCTCGCTTCTTTCTCATCACGGAGAAGCGAGACGTCGTCGAGCTCGAAATTCCACACGAAAAACGATTTTATCTTTTGGTTCGTAGGTGAGCCTACGTTAAAGGCAGCTTTAATTGCAACAAGCGTCACGAAAGCGTCCACCTGTACGCCGTCCATGCAAAATCTAGATGTATACCTTTGCGAGTCCTTCATTGTCGTTGTGATTTTTCATGTACGAGAAGAGAAGCAAATAAAAGTCTGAAAATGACGAAGCAGTGGTGATCTCGATCGAAAGCAGGCGACGCCGAGAGACGTCGAGTCAACAGGTCGGTCGCGAGATGGACCCGCGGTGGCGCAACGCTGAATAAACAAGCGCTAAATCTTCCATGCGCGATTGACCGTGTTATCCTTCTCGAGCACGAAAGAACGAGAGAACGGAAAAAAAAAGTGACGTGTAGGACCCTCGACAGATATGCGGCGAGCGGGCGATCGATAAGACGCGCTGTGCGGCAGAGTGAAATGCTCGTGAAAGATCGCTGGTGGGGATGATAGGCGCGGGGCAAAAAACGCACTCGAGCGCGCGCGCAAGAGAGAGAAGGAACAACGATCACGCGATCGACTCGTGCAGGAGTCGGTTCGGCCACGAAGTCACCTGATTCTAATAGCGTGACTCGATGTACGCGCCTTCTCTCTTTTCGCCGATATATTTTCCTTTTCTTTGTGTCGTTGCGACGACGAGCGCGCGCGAGATATCTCGCGAAGCGCCGTTGGGAAAACTCGCTGCCGCGCGATCGTTCGACTTGGACCGATCGATGCTCGCTGCGCGAGTCGCGCATCGGTATTATGGCTTTTGCGCGGTCGCCGCGAACGTGATTGCCGATACGCTCGAGCTCGATGTATTTTCCCGCGGGTCGTTTGCAGCGGCACGAAAAGCGGGCTTAGGTCAAATTGCAACTATTACCAGGTTAATTAGCGTGAATCGATAAAAGTTACGAGTGTACGCCGTAATATGCAGCGTATATATAAAAGCGTATGTATAAAAGTAGCGCTTCTCTTACTTATTATGTGGGACGCCGGTCGCTTTATTCATTACCTTGTGAATTTTAAGAAGCGCCTCTTTCGAAAATAAGGACGCTCGTTAATTTTGTCTTCAGCGCTTTCGTTGATTGACACTTCCAAATGATTTGTCCTTTATTTTGAAGGCATACATCTTTGAATTACGTAATCCGACTATTCGATGAATCTCATCTTGGAAATATTTTAAAATGTGGTTTTGGCAGACGTAAAAAACGCCAGCACACTGTTGAAATAATTTTTGCATAAAACTGCACGCAGTTATTTGCAGTTTAAAATAGTTTATAAACGTCGGATTTTAGCAACGTATAACAGTTATTAATTAAGTTTACAGTTAATAATTAAGAATTATTTTAAACGCTTATATATTGTTATTATCATTTAATTTTTTTCTCCTACAAGTACTTTTTTCGTGTTCGATATTGTCAGATTAATAATTGCAATTAACCGCAAATAATAGTTACTAATTTTTTGTTTCAATAGGTAATTAGTGATAACTGTTATTTGTAGCTATTTATAGTTGTTTGCATCTATTATTTCTCAAAATAAATTTGTTTTGGTGAATAAAAATGCAAATAATCTTTAGTAACTGAAAGAGACTGTTATTATTTGACAACGACAGTTTTTTAACAGAAAATAACTCTTTATAATTGTTATACGTGTCTAAAATATGACGTTTATAAACGGTTATAAATTGTAAATAACTGTTAGCAAATGTTACTAACTGATGATTTCTATTTATTATAATTTTATGCATAAATTATTTCCGGCAGGGCAGCGAGCAAAATTGACTATAAACAGTCAAATTATTCTAAAGTTGAAGAAAGGAAAAGTCAGTTTTTCGGGTCTCCGTAAAAATACAAAAATAAGCGTGTACAAAGGTTTAACGAGCCTCTAAAAACGCCACAATTAATTTTCTTTGTAATTAATTGTGATGCGCAGTGCGAACATTTTATTTTTTAATAAAAAAGAGCCAGTCGATAACGAGTTATTAATACCGCATATATACAGAAAGCCAACCGAGGATACAGAAATATCTGATCACCTTGGCTGCGCACGTTGATCATGCATATCAATCGTGTCCTGTCTGCTACACTAGAAATTGGTGACTAATATTGTGCAATCGCGACGCGCGGTCGTGTGTAAAGCTGACCTTTGCTCCGTGTTCCCGCGCACGTGGCGGTTGCGAGCCAGTGCGCGCGTCCGATGATCAATTCCGAGCGCTCGCTTTCCCATTTGCATTGCCACGCGATGCGTGCACGCGCTTCTACGAGGTCGGTTCGCCGCGCGCGCGCGCCAGCGCCGCTGCAATTATCGGAAATTCACCGCGACCGGCGCCGCTGCAAATGAGTTGGCGCGCACTCGCAGCAGGGCGAGCATCGCCCGGTTGGACCGAAGTGCGAACGAGTTCGACTGCACTCGCCTACAGAGCCCACGGGTGCTCGTGCTCTCCAAGACTAATATTATCGATGTGGATGGATCTGTTCGATTTTTCCATCGCGTAATCTCGTTTTCGAGTGTATCGGTTCGAGAGGGGGGGAGGGGGGAGAAAAGACTAAACGTAGCTGAAAGAAAAAAAATAGTAAATACAGAGAGAGGAGTGCGCTCGCGCGAAGCGTGAGCGAGAGCTGGATGGTCGGCTGACGGTCAGGAAAAGGGAAGGATGGGTCGTGCGGCGAGAGCGAGTGCGCGCATAAGGCCGCGCAACTGATCCCCTACCCTAATCATATTTAACTCTCGGCCGCGTGCTACCGGCGTCTCAGTGTTCAGCGACGTCGCGTACCTGTCGCACGTATACGCTGCAGTATATACACGTACGTCGCTCGCGTACATACACATATATACACGTCGCGTCGACAGCTCAGTCGTCCTTTCACATATATACTTGTACTTCTGTGCCGTTGTGAAGCAGCTATAAATTTGTCGCTTCGAGGCGTACTCGCTCTTCTCGCCGCTCTCGGGAAAACAAGGTAAGCCAACGACGATCGTCGCAGTGTCGTCCCTCGTCGACGCGAGCGTATTCGTTTTTGTGCTGGCTGTTTACACGCTGACGTGGAAAAGCACGCGTATACGGCCGACAAGCGGCCGTCTGCAGTTGGTCTCGTTAGGCGCGCCGGGCACGCCAGCATCAAGTGTACGCTCGGCACAGCGGTAATAGGTGATGCTTTGCGCGCGCACGTGTAACCGCCAGCCGTTCGAAGCAGCGTCGCCTTTTCGATTTCACGCCACGAGACAGACGTTCATAGGTGAGCCGAAGAACGGAGGAAGAAAGAGCGCGCGACGGCGATGTGCACGCGAAGACCATCGCGCACACGCGCTCGCGAATACCCGCGACCTTGGAACTACAGTTCAAAGTCGCGCCGACTTTGTGTATATGTGTGCGACCTCATCGCCGTCCCCCTGCAAAACTTGTCTAATTAAATTGTCCGCTACGTCGCGCGTTGTTTATCGACTCATCGACTAGTCCCAGCGCCAATTCGTCGGACGACGCGTCGCGCGGCGCACGCGAGCGCGTCGTACGAGATCTTTTTGTCGCTCGCGTGATCACGTGTGGTTCGTCGACGGAGAGGCACGTAGATGACTGTCCTTAGTTGACCATTCGTCCGGCTGACTTGCATCACGTACCAGGCAGCTCGTAACACGTGTGCCACTCCGATTGATGCACCGAAGTTCCCGTCGAGCGAATGCCCGAAACGCCGGCTGCCCGCGTGTAACGGCATTTGAGGGGGAGGGGGGCTGTCGGTCCGCAGCCTATAACGCATTTAAAGAGCTGCTCGAAGAGCCACGCTCGACGATCGTTGGACGCCAGCGGTGAGCGAGCGCGCTCCGAAATAACGCTCGTCCGATCGCGACGATCTACGCGCCTACGTGACACCGCGGATGCAACAGCACGTGCGCCTCCGAGTATCGCGCGATCCACGTATTTTTCGTTTCCGAAGCTGCCGCATGGCCGAGAGACAGAGAGAGCGGAAAGCGTGCGCGCGCGAGCGTGGGAGGACGCGCGAGAGGAGGGAGCGTGCGCTCCGCTAGTTTTCCAGGTGGCGCGAGTCGGACGCTGCTCTGCAATTGGTCGGGCTTCGCTCGGCTGACACGATGCTACAGTTGACGCTCTCGCACACCACGCGTCGCTTGCGCGCGCGACCCGCCTTGCCGCACCGGGCCCTGTTTGGGCTACAATTTTTCTCGGCGCGCCACGCCACACTTTTTCGACAGGAAATTCGTTGCGGGCGCGAAAAGCAATGGCACGCCTAGACGCGCGGCGACTCCGCTGCCCGCGTAAAAACTGATCGAGCCAACGCTCGCAGCGTTATTTTTAAAAATGCGAGTCGGACTCGGCGACCACGTGGCGCAACGTTGATTTGCCCATACGTTACTTCGTCCTATCCGCCTCAAAGCGCGTCGTTTCGTAAAAAAAAAAGAAAAAAAAAGAAAAATAGACTCGCGGCAGGGAACAGACATTACTCCAAGTTCCGTTACGATTTACATTTCCGCACGTTTCTAGCGTGCACGCAACCAACCGTATAATTCAATGGCGTTGCCCGATAAACTGGATAAATTTAACTGACATAAGAGCTTTTTGTTTTTGGTATAGTCGAGCGATGCTCCGCACGTATATAATTATCCACTTGATGCGTGCAGCGCCAACCAGTTTATCGTGCATATACGGTGTTGATAATTTATAAATCGGGTATCCCTACTATCAATTGTTATGACATGAATTTTTCAAGAAGCTGATTGATTAATCGATCGATTGAGAGGGTAGAAGATCCTTCGATACGTCTAATTGCACAAGCGAGTCGAATTCATCCAGCTCGCACATTTCGTATCACTCTGATTTTAAAAAATCACGTATCTTCTACTAATTGACTTTTTTTTGCATTTTCACGGTTCAACGATAATAAGCGCTCGATGATAAATTGAACAGCAGTTAATTAGCGATAAAGCATTCAATGCGGATATAAGCTTATCTACAGTGAAAAGCATTTCTCTATAAAGGCATAATGACTAGGATTTCGCGTAATAACTCGCTGCAATACATTACTCAAGTTGTTTTCTTTAATCATAGTTTTTATCCCACGAAGGTATCAATCGAGTCGCGTGAATGTACGCAAAACGCATGGTTTCGCCGATGCATGCGAGAGTTTTTACATATTGGCGTTGATACCTCGGAGTGTAGATTCCAATGGACAGAGTCGGCTACGAGTCACGCTGGTGCGAACGCGCTTATAATGTAATGCAACTCGACCGATGTAGCTGGCAATGAGCAATGATGAGCCGACCAAAAGCAAATTAGCGAAGCCACTGGACAATGGACAATGGCCCCACAAATGACTCGGCTGTAGTCACGTGTCGACGATGCGTACTAAATATTCGCAGTCACGTGCGCGCAAACGGTGTCAATGCAAATGCGCGCATTAAAATGCCAAAGCTGCGGCTGCAAGAACGCGCGAGCAATCGCAGGGGTTTCCGCGGTGGAATATCCGAGCCAAGGATGTAATTAAGGCTACGGCGAACGCGCGGCGCGAATCAATTAACGCGCGCGCCGCGCGACACGCGAATAAAGCTCGCATCAGCCGAGCGAAGATGCGAGGGCACGGCCCTGACCCACCAGTTACCACCCACAAAACTCTCTCTCTCTCTCTCTCCGGCTCACTCTGGTTTCGCTCTCGCGCGGAGTCAGTCAGTCGATAGCCCGCGTGCGCGTGGCGCCAGCCGACGGAGGGGAAGCAGCCCTGACGCGTAATCAGCTGTTCCCTCTCGGCATGTAGTCGCGAATTATTCAACAGGTACACGTCCGCGGACGCGCGCCTTTGTCGCTTGCAGGCTCGCAATGGCGCCCAACATAACGAGCGCGCCGACGAGCGCGCTGTTCGAGGACGAGAGCTTGGAGGAGCTGCGCGGCAAGCTGGCCAGGAAGGGCGACGCCCGCGAGGCGGCCGAGCAGTACAAGCTGCAGATCGTCTGGAGGAACGTGATCGTGTTCTCCCTCCTGCACGTCGGCGCAGTCTACGGGCTGTACCTCGCCGTGACCTCGGCCAAGATCGCCACCACGCTCTTCGGTGAGTTCATTATTGCCCCACTTGGACGTTGCCCCGCCAGAGGTTCGCGATCTGACCTGGCCGCCGCCCTCTCCTCCCACAGCCATCCTGCTCTACCAAGCCAGCGGATTCGGAATAACGGCGGGGGCGCATCGACTCTGGGCGCACAGGTCCTACAAGGCTACCTGGCAGCTGCGCACGCTGCTCTGCCTGCTCAACACGCTCGCCTTCCAGGTGAGAGCGCCTTTGGCTTTCCTCGCCCGCTCCTCTCATTGATCGGTGGTTCGTCGAGCGTCGCCGCAACGTTTAGTTTACGAACGATGCCACGTTGCGGGACGCCCGAAAACGCCAGAGGCTTCGGCTCGTGAGAATGCAATGAGCTTTCAGAGTGCACTGACTCGACGCCTGGTCTCTTGCTTTTTCGTAACAACCATTACGCTTTCATTTGCGTTTCCATTGGGATGAAAGCGGAACGTCGATATACCAATGGACGATTGTAACTGTACGCAATTCGCATCGCACACAGGATTCAGCAATAGACTGGTCGCGGGACCACCGTATGCATCACAAATACAGCGAGACGGACGCCGATCCGCACAACGCGACGCGCGGCTTCTTCTTCGCCCACATTGGCTGGCTGCTCTGCCGTAAACATCCGCAAATCAAGGAAAAAGGCAAAGGCATCGACATGTCCGATCTCAAGAGCGATCCCATTCTCGCATTTCAAAAGAAGTGAGTGTTTCGATGTGCCCTTCCATCGCTGCGCGTCGCACGGCTCAACCGTCTCGTTATCTTGTTCCAGGTATTACTTGTATTTGATGCCGCTCACGTGCTTCGTTCTGCCGACCGTCATACCCGTTTACCTGTGGAACGAGACATGGCTAAACGCTTACTTCATCCCCACGATTTTGCGCTACACCTTTACCCTCAACATGACCTGGCTCGTCAACTCGGCTGCCCACTTGTTCGGCAACAAACCTTACGACAAGTGAGTGCAGTTTTAATACGTAAATTGCACTATAATGCATATATTGCACCGAGCTCATTTCGAGTACAACTATTGCAAGCAGTGCAGGGGTTGTCGAGAAGGTCGACGCAATTAAATGTGCAGCAACTCGAACGATCGATCGTTACAGATTCATCAATCCGGCGGAGAACCGGGCAGTGGCGATCGGTGCTCTCGGCGAGGGTTGGCACAACTACCACCACGTGTTTCCGTGGGACTACAAGACATCCGAGTTGGGCAACTACGCTTTCAACTTCACCACGGCGTTCATCGACTTCTTCTCGAGAATCGGTTGGGCCTACGACCTGAAAACTGTATCCATGGACATGGTCCGGAAGCGCGTCGAGCGAACGGGCGACGGCACTCACGAGCTGTGGGGCTGGGGCGATAAAGATCAGTCGCAGAAGGAACGCGAGCAGGCCATTATCATTAATCCTTCCAAAAGCCACTAGCCGTTTCATATATTACTGGATATGTAGAATATTGAAAGACGCGTTTACCGAGACTGAATGGTCGCCAGTCCCCACCACCACTTACCCGCCCCTCTTACATTCTTCAGACGTCGCGCGCTGCAAGCTTTTTCCTCTCCTTTCTCCCCTTTCCGCCGAACCATGAGTTTACCGACAGTTTCGTTTGGCCTCCAGCAGGCTTTTTCATACGTATAATGTAGAAGAACTGATCTTTTTTCCTCTGACTCTTCCGTTTCGTCGGCTCGAGTAACTCCTCGCAAAATAACATTCTCCTCTGTGCGCGCGACAACTGGAGAACAGTCACTGAGTTCAACGCGTTTCTTTGTTTTACTAGAGAACAATTAGTTTATTAGCATTTAATTAATTTTATTGGACCGGAGATTCTTTAGAACTGACCTTATAATGTATATGTCTTATTTCGACGACTGAGACGTTGCTTAATTTAGAAACACGTACTTTCGCAAAAAAAGAGCAATCGACAGTAGATTGATACGCTATTGTATCCAGATTATCGATTCCTCATTTTTTCTACGAAATCATCTTTTTTACAAGAATAATTGTTGTTGTTAATGCTAAGTTCCCTGGCTCGTTCAAGGGAAAGCGAGGATTTCCATTGGTTTTTTAAGGAGGTATAATGCGCGCAAGTTCCTACAGTATAGTTAATTGTAAACGTTTTTTGATCGTCGTAGTACGCTCAATACTGGTTTTTCAACTTGGAACATGAAAAACGAAAGTCCTTATGTAGTTAACGCAATAAAAACGTACAAGCTGTGAATACGACATCCTCGTTATCGCCTTATGTTCAATGAAAGAATCAAACCGTTAGTTTCAAATATGAATGTTACTTTTATTACAGTGTCGAAGGCAATTCTTGTGAAATTATTAATCACCCTAGTTGTGCGCGATAATCGATACATGCGACTTACTAAAACGAAAGTCCAAGTATTAGGTGGTAACAAACGAATATCTACGAAAAGTCTCGCGCTCCCGTTGGTAAAGTGCATAATTTTTTTTTTTACGACGTAATATATAATAACGTATCACGTCGTTATATTGCTCAATAAGATGTTTGTATGCGCACGCACGGCTACTGTGGCGCGGTGACCGTCGCCGAGTTTCTCGAGCGTTCATTGTGTTTTTTCGATTTCGAGAAAACTATGCATGGGCGATCGCGATTCGAAAAAAAAAGAACATGAAAACACAGCTCGTCGGTATACGTTATAAATAAGGGTGATGTTAAAAAAAATACGAGTCAACGTCTTATATGTAAATCTTGGTATATATTGTATACTTTACGTAGTTACGAATAATCTACGTGAACAATTTAAGTGTGAATGATTATATTAAGATTTAATATTTATTATAAATATATCTATATTTTTAATGAACTACTGGGTGCTTTATCTTATTCCGATACGCGCTTCTACCGTCGATCAGGCAGAAATCTACGTTCGGTAAAGGAGGGAAAAAGCGGCCGTCGGTGAACGTTTGAACGTTTAATTTAATCGCATCTTCCTTTTCTTTGTTCTCGGCGTAACCAGTAATCTTTACAGTACAAACGTTGATTTGAGAACTGAAATGGTGACTGCTTGACAGGCGAGTCGGCCGGCGTTATTTTGACTTTGGACCACGCGCCGCGGATCAATCGCCCATCTCGATTCCATCGAATTGTCAACCCATGGAAGTCACTTGCTGCAAGTTCAAGGCCGAAAGGCTGATCGAGGTTGTGCGCCTCTCGCGCGTGTCCTCCTTCTTCATGTATAGTCCAGTGCAGTCGAACACGTGTTCGCCAGATAGTCTCGTCGCTCCGCTTCCCTCTCCCTTGCGCTCATTCATGCCGCTGTCTGTCCGAACCGAAACGCTAAAGCCGTAGATGAAGTCATGTGGGCGTGGGAGTCGATGCGGCCTCGTTAAAATCGGGGAAAAAAGAAGAAGTCCGCCGTAGTTAAGAGGCACCGGTGCTCCGAGGACGATTACGCGGCGCGTGTGGCTGTGCGCGCGATTTATCTTGCCGAAGCCTCGCGAATCCCCGTGCGAAGCTCAGTATAGTCAAAACGCCAAAGGACAGTCGGTATCGCTGGTTCTCGGTCTAAACACAAACGGCCGATATGTCGCGATGTAGCAGTTGAAGCTCGGGCCTCGCTAGACAGGCACTGCTACAGTTACGGTCGCCTTGCGCAACGGAGATTAGTCGGAGACGTGCGGTTCGGCGCCAAAGCCTCGCAAGAACAAGCGACATCAGGTGAGGGAACGAAAAATCCGATGAGCCGTGGCTTAGTCACCGTAGCTTGCTCGGCGTGTGGAGAGAGAGAGAGAGAGAGAGAGAGAGAGAGACAGCCGGTCAACGCATCACGCACACAGGCGCTCGCTCGAGAGCGCCGCCCGGCTTTATTTAATTCCCATACTTTCACCTGTGCACGCGGCAGCGAACGATCGTTAACGGTAGGTTCAGCTGTCTGTCTGTCTGTTTCTCTCTCTCTCTCTCTCTCTCTCTCTCTCTTTCTGCCTCTGATTTGTCACCGTTCACACAATACATTAACCAGCTATCACGTTTTGTTTTCATGCCACGACCCCTCACGCCAGGTGATAAGCGCCTTTTGACACACACGCTCGCGGCTCTTAGACCAAAACTCGCACGCCGCTAACTATTTTAGTCGTGTGACATGGCTGCCGCCACTCTGCATTGATCCATCACGCCTTCGTAGCATTAATTTGAGTGTTATTCCGGAGAGCACTGGCCTCTCCTCCACATTTGTAAACACGCTGCCAACGGATGTTTCCTTACTCGAGGTAATATCTACCAAACCTTTCAGCTGGCGATCACCAACGTTAAGTTACTTTCGCGTTGATGCTTCGTGAAAATAATAAAGAAACGGAACGTATTTCACGTGAAAGCTCGCGGTCGTGTCGCGATGTTTCATCTTCAACTGCTAGCGCTGAAAAATCATGTCGAACGCGCCGAGAATCCCTCTAGCCTGCATATAATTAAGTAACACGTTGCCTTCGCTCAGTAAGATGCCGAAAGCTTTTTTCAAGCCAAAAACGTGAAAACAGGTGCTTGCGCTCTTCCGATAGACAATCGCTGTTACGTTCCGCATACGCAACTTTATGACGCGACCAAGCTTTACGAAATTTTATGACAGAGGCGCAATTTTGCGACAGTGAAACTCAAAGACTTGGGAATTTTGTCGAACTGTTATTATCTTTTAAAAATGAAGACAATCGGCTATTCCACTGATTGTTTTTGGAATAAAGAGCGCTTGTTTTGCATGATCTACATATTATGACTTTTACTTTTCACCTAGGAATATTTCGGAAATATCCTATCAATTGCATTTTAATGGTCGACAATTGTACTTAGAATGCCAGTAGTAGGGAAGACTAATGTACATGCCTCTTTAATAACTCGAAGGGGAACAAAGGCTAATATGGGCAACTTGTGTACCTCTGACAAAGTTCGAACGAACGTAGTGCGTGAAGTGAGAATACATTTCCCTCGTTAGAAGAAATTTTTTCGGGTCGATTTTTTGGCTAGAATAGTACAAATGAATCGTAAAGGCTGCAGGGAGTATCTCTTGTCGAAGCGAAAAACTTTCTTGAGAAACGCTTTTAGTCTGGCGACGGCATGCCACATAAATATCCCACGCTATGGGGAAACGACAACAAAGAAAGGAAAAGCACTCTCTCTCTCTTAAGAAAAACCAGCGGGTGGCGATTTTCTCTACTAGCAGTAGTCACACTAACCTGGAAACAAATTGTCTTATGCATCGGTTGCATTTGAATCTTCGCGTTACACGGCATAACGCAACGTTCTATCTGTTCAATAAACGCTTGATTGCAACTGCTTGTTTAACTTGTTTAAGAGCTTTGAACAATCTTCCGAAAAATGGACCAGACAAGCTGTGCTACCGGTGTACTTTACGAGAATGACGAAGTCGATGGCAAACTGGCGTGTCCGTCCAAGAAAGACAAAGCAACTATCAAAAATAATTGCAAAATCAGATTAGTGTGGAGAAATATTTTAGGTCTTATCGCTCTTCACCTTGGAGGTTTATTAGGTCTTTATCTGGCAATAGCATCGGCAAAAATTGCTACTAATCTATTTGGTGAGTAACGGATTTTATAACAGATAACAATTCTAATAATATTGGCACGACACACATTTTGTTTGTCTATAAATATCATAATTTATATTACTTGAATTACTATTTTCAACAATAATAATCTCTTCGTAAGAAATTGAACGATTCGCTCATTATTATTATTTCTGTACTTTTTAGCAATTTTTCTTTTCCTAGCTACTGCTATAGCAACTACAGCCGGGCCACACAGACTTTGGTCTCATCGATCTTACAAAGCTAAATGGCCACTTCGATTACTTTTAGTAATCTTGCAATCTGCGGCTTTTCAGGTAACTACACCTAATTAAAAAGCAATCGACTTGTGGATTATCATTTCCCTGTCGTTAAAAGGCACCGAAGAGAGTGACATGTTTATTTCCACTTCAGGGACACGTTATCCATTGGTCAAGAGACCACAGAGTCCACCACAAATACAGTGACACGAATGCCGATCCACATAACGCGAAGAGAGGGTACTTTTTCGCACACGTCGGCTGGCTGCTCGTCCGCAAGAATAACGAAGTCAAAGAGAAAGGCAAAGGCATCGATCTAAGCGATTTGTATGGCGATCCATTACTTCGCTTCCAAAAGAAGTATGCGCAGTTGTTGACAATATGCCCAATTCCGAAAACTCATCCATTAACAGCCGCCTGAAGAAAAACATATTTTTCCGTTTTGTTTAGATACTATGTGATATTGATGGTGTTGACGTGCTTCGTCATTCCGACCGTAATTCCAGTGTATTATTGGCACGAGAACTGGGCGAATGCTCTGTTTGTCACGGCTTTTTTACGTTATATATGCGTGCTTCACGTTAGCTTTCTCGTGAATTCCGCTGCACATTTTCATGGCTACAAACCTTACGACAGGTAACGTCACATCGAATGCTTCGCCAACGGCAATATCAAGTGCAATGATTTTGTCTCCGATTCGCAGGAATATCAAGCCCGTGCAAAATTTAAGCGTTGCAATCTTGGCAGTAGGAGAAGGCTGGCATAATTATCACCACACCTTTCCGTGGGACTACAAGACATCCGAGTTGGGCAATTACTGTTTCAATTTGACGAATGCTTTTATCGATTTCTTTGCATGGATAGGCTGGGCCTACGATTTGAAAACCGTCTCGACGGAAATCATCAAGAATCGAGTCCAAAGAACTGGCGACGGTACTCACGAACTCTGGGGTTGGGGCGATAAGGACATCACGAAGGAAGATAAAGATGCTACTATCGTTACTTAAAAGAGTAAATATACTCACGTATATTTACAATCGGAAATTTTAATCAAATATCTTTTCTTCGCGATAGTTTATGTTGGATAATGCTGTAATTCAACTATATTAAAAGGAATCTTTAGATTGTTTCGTTTCATCGATGTACCTACTGTTTTATTATTATTTTATTTAATCTTATGAAGGATTTTTGAGCTTTCATTTTTAATTAATAATTATTGCTCGATTTAACTATTTACACTTAAGGATAGACCGTTGAGTATATTTAGAAAAGAGAATAAAAGTCTTGCATCGATAATAGATTTATAAAAAATATTTTTACTTGGACAAACATGTATCAAACTTGTTGCCAAAATATAAATGTACCTGTACAAATATTTATTCGTTTCTATACCTTTACTAAATTAAAGATACAAGAAATATTGGAGGGAAACATTGAAATATCACTATTCCAAAGATAAAAAAAAAATATAATGTTGCCCTTATTTTTATTTGGTCGGGCATCGGAAATATAAATTTCCTTCGATCGATCCTCGCCCAGCACTTATTTTTTAAAAGTAAAAAGGAAACAAAATAGAATTTGGATTTCTCCAGCACTTTCCTTTATCTTCCTTTCTCGAACAGACTTCTTTACCGTTACAAATTAAAAAGATAACTACCATTGAGCGAATGTGGATTTTGGCTGTCTAGGTCATCAAACTGAACGAATGGCCACGTAATTTCGCTACATTCGTAATTTACTTTTACTATTTGAAAGTTGATCAGATCTCCTAATGTTATTTAAAAAGGACAGATTTTGCATTCGTGAGCTAGATAATTTCTGTGATATTGATGTAAAATTTGAATGATCACTCGGCCACTATGTCAAAGTGACTTTTATACCCAGAGGTTTTTTTGGTAGCATCGCACTTTGAACTACTTTCATTCGAATGGCAGGTTCCACACGGCAAACATCTCCGCTGTCTTCGTCTACGCGGCTTTATCGAAAACATCAGTGCTTTACTAAATTCGCCTGGTGACGGACGTGGCCAAACAAGGTTATTTTATTTGATTGTACAAAACGCTCGTCCTTGGCCCTGTAGGGCCATAGTCTTTGAAGCAGGCATTCGTCAATAGTAAGTACTAGAAACTAATATCTATCGGATTTTTATCACGTAAAATATATGCAAAATAAATCTGTCTTGGCGAAAACAAATTTTTTAATTCAAATTTATCTATCGCCAATGCAGTTATTTCATTACATTTGATAAGCAGTGATTATGCAAAATTAAATTTTAATAGCGAATTAATATCACAATCCAAGGCGAATTGGTAACGTAGTTTGAATGTGACAAAAAATGTATGCGCTTCACGTAATCTTCTTGAAACAACATGTCAATTTGCAAATCTAATTAACATGGAAGTCACATAATTTTTTGACGCAATTTCGCAAGTATAAATACAAGCTTAATATGTCTTTTGTACAAAAATTCAAATTTGAAATGACGAATGATAATTTCTTATTATTTTATTTCGTAGCCTAAAGAGAAGGAAATAAAATCTGACAAGTAGCTTGTTAAGTTCCAATGGCTAAAATTGCGTATTTTTTCTTTGTATAAAACTCGTACCCTGTTCAAATGAATAATACGTGGTTTTTATACGAGTAAAATGCGGCTTTAAAAGCAAATTTGTATTCGCCAAGGTTATTATATCCTTGGAAAGTAATTCAAATACTTTTTCAATCAAAAGCACTTAATCAATAATCCTTAAAAACATTTACTGAATTAACTTATTTATAGCAATAGACACTGGCACATTGGCTTCATCCATAAAAAATGACCTCATCAATGTTTCCATTCGGTGTGCTTTTTGAAGCTGATGAGTTTAATAGCAAATTGACAAAGCCAATAATTGAAAACAGGCAAGTCACCAAAAAGAAATATCAAGTCAAATTGGTGTGGAGAAATATCATAGGTCTAATCTTTATACACGCTTGCGCTTTGTACGGCCTTTATTTGGCCTTCACATCAGCGAAAATGGCAACTAATCTGTTTGGTACGTGAAACAACTTAATGATTTGCTGTACAACAAAATGATTTACGAATAAGAAAACAATGAACCTCGTACGCGTGATGCCTTTCAAAATTTCAAAAGGATATGATTCATGCGTAATGAATTTTTTCATTTTACAATTTTGTAGCAATCTTCCTCTTCGAAATCACCGCAATAGGAATCACCGCTGGAGTGCATAGGCTATGGTCTCACCGATCTTACAAAGCGAAATGGCCTCTGAAACTAATATTAGTGTTCCTTAACAATATGGCTTTTCAGGTAACGATGTTTTTTCGAAAATGAGCGAGAGGCATTTTTTGGCAAGGCATAAATTACAGATTTTCTTGTTCTATTTTTCAGGGTCACATTATACTTTGGGCAAGAGATCACAGAACACATCACAAGTACAGCGACACAGACGCCGACCCACATAACGCTAATAGAGGATTCTTTTTTGCACACATCGGCTGGCTGTGCGTCCGCAAACACCCTGACGTGATAGAAAAAGGAAAAGGCATCGATATGAGTGATTTGTATGCCGATCCCATCCTTAGATTCCAAAAAATGTAAGTCGTTTGAATAAATCTAAATGATAAGTCATTGTTGAAGTGGAATGAGCGTCAAAATGACCACCGTATAAAATATTGCAGGTGCTACTACGAAGTATTGATGCCTCTTTGCTGCTACGTTCTGCCAACTGTGGTAGCAGTTTACGGTTGGAACGAAGGTTGGCCAAATGCATTCTTCATTGCAGGCTTCTTACGCCATGTGTGCATGCTCCACAACACCTTCCTTGTAAACTCTGCTGCCCATCTTTATGGATACAAGCCCTACGACAAGTAATAAAAATAATTTATGAAATTTGCTTCTTCATCATTGATAACTGCATTGAAAGCCTGGCATTATTCCACAGGAATATCCTTCCGGTACAGAATTTTACTGTCGCAATAATGGCAGTTGGGGAAGGATGGCATAACTATCATCATACCTTTCCCTGGGACTACAAAGCATCCGAATTAAAAAATTATAGGGCCAATTTCACAAACGCCTTCATTGACTTTTTCGCTTGGATAGGCTGGGCATACGATTTGAAAACTGTCTCACCAGATATTATCAAGAATCGAGTCCAAAGAACTGGTGACGGAAGCCACGAGCTTTGGGGCTGGGGTGATAAAGATATAAGGAAAGAAGATGAAGATGCGACTATTACAACTTGAAGTGGTTCGTTTGTTGAAGATAACTCGAAATCGTCTACGAGAGATATATTGGATTAGACGATTGTAGTATCATCGTTCGTGATGATTGTAGTATTTATTTATTTATTTATTTATTTGTACGTGGTCAAATTCCTTTTTGCCAGAGATATGCTGTGCGATTATGTTACCAGGAATAACAGCAAAGATAAAAGTAGATATCATTATTATTCTCAGCTGCTCAAACGCATTGAACCAATTCCGTAATTTTGGTGGCAGCTAACTCTGTACATAATTCTTTGTAAGTCATTAAATAAAAATTGAATTTTGCAAAATAGCATTGACAAATGACGCGCGGAGTTTCGGCAACCATTAAAGGATTTTTCTTCGCGTAAGAATTCATCGCACGCAGTGCCTGAACATTTTAATTTTTCATAATGACAAAATTCAGCTTTGACCGACAGCCACAATAATTATGTTGACAGTTTTTGCAACGGAAGAAAAGATAAGCCCGAGTCGAACGCATCCAGATCAATCTTCGCTCGTTGATAAACGGAAAAAAGCACTATGGAGTCAATTAAACATTCCAATTTCAGTTACATAATTTATGCGTATCGAGTCGTCGTAAATTAGTTTTGCGCCGCGATTTCGTCATCGGGTTTCGATCCCGAACGGCACGAGTCACTTCCAGGCGCAGCGCGCTCAGGTATTTTGCGACGAAACAATTCCGTGAACAGCGCTGAAGAGACAGAATCCGTTGACATCGCGAAGACGCGTACGAGCCGGAACGGAAATTAAGGAGTGCGCCGCTACGGCTGCGAGCGCCGATAAGCTATCGTCGAACACGTGCGCGTCCGTTATCAGTCACGGAGCCGAGAGATCACTCGAACTCTGCTCACTGCGACCTTTGCCCTCCCTTGGTTCGCGCCGTCGCGCTGGAAAACCCGCGTATGCAGCTGGTGTCGCGCATCCGCGACCACGTGTGCGCTCTCTCCGCACACGTGGCCGCTTGCTGCCTCGGCCTTATACTATCCCACGCTGCTAACATCCTCCCCGCACCGTAGTAAATAACTGATATAGCCTAGGCGAACGTTTTCGAGTCAAAATGTCTTTCTGTCGTTTGGGGGCGACGCTGTTCTATGCGCGCCATATTCAGGAAAATTCGAAATCAATAATCAAACAACAAAATTAAAATGAAATTTTATGTCAAAAGTAACGTTATTTAATAAAGCAAACACCCAATAATTATCGGATTATAATTAAATTGAAATAATTTTCCTCTTCGACTAATTTGATATGTAATTTGTCATATAATTGACGACTTCAAAGAGCTGTAAATAATTTATAAGCACTTATTTTAATCAATTTTCCGAAATAGCTCACACGAAAATCAATCGTGCAAAAAATTGAAAGTAATAGTAATTTTGTTCCTGGCCTGATTACACGCGACATAATTCTCGAACGTCAAAATTTCGGTAACTTAGCGCTCATGGAACAGTGTCACTCCCTAACAATAGAAAGATCCTCCCGCCCTCCCGCCCCTTCATACGTACAGAAGGTACTTGATCGGCAAATGACATTGCAACGAACATCTGTATAGCATTCCGGCGCTAGGTTCGCTCAAGGCACATAAATAGCCAATCTAACGTGGCGCTCGAATGGGGCCCTCGCTGATTGGTGAACGGCACCTCGGCTGACGCGTCGTTTAGAGCCCATTGCGCTGCTCGCCGGCTTTCTGCCTCGGAGTCTATTCAACCACAGCACGTGTTTCTCTCCTCGCTGCTCGCACGCTCTCGCAGCTGCAGCTTGCTTTTGGCTATCGTCCTCGTGCAACAGTGCTATGCGCCTCTGCAACGCTCGCGACTCTTAGACGGTGAGTGTGGTGTCTGTGCGTTCGATCCGAATTTGCGTTTGCCTAGCGCGGCGATTTTTTTGTCCCCCGTTGCGACATCTTTTATAGCGCTATATCGGTAATGCCATTCGGATGGCGCAAACGATTAACGTTATTGACTAAAATTATAACTCGTGAGAGCCCTCGAGGCTCTAATTACCGTGGTAGGTGATCGCAAAGCGACTGGGTGATCGGGTACTCAAAGACGCGTTTAATTATCAAAACTCTAATTAACACTTGTAGATCTTTAGACTTGTATATTGAAACGACCTTGAAGCAGTGTCAAAAATCACGACGCAGTGTATGCGTGTATTCGACTCGAGTAAGTACTCTACGTATCAAACCCTATAGGCCAAAAACGTATATTATACTCCGACATTGTTGCAAAGCCTTTTGATGACGCGTATCGTTTAATTTATATACAAAGTCTGGGAATTGAACAAAACGTCTGATAATGACAAACTCTGTTATCGGTAGACTGTTAATATATAGCCAAATGATAGCGTGTCCCAAAATAATTATCGTTGGTAGACCATGATGTGATTTTATTATATATTTTATATTTAATTTAGTGTCAATAAATCCGTGACAGTTCGTTGATTATTTTTTTATTTGTTTTCATCATGTGCTAATGACAGTCTAATTTTGAAAATTGCTCAATTAAAGAGGACTGATTAAACATATTCAAATAGAGGAGTCGAGCTTAAGTTTGCGTCAGTACGCGTGAAGGACGGATATAAAAGTGCCTATGAACGTTACCTAAGGGGTGTAACTATTCCATAAAGCCAATTTTAGCGAACAGTCGAAGGAAATAGAACGAGAGAGGGAGAGAGAGAGAGAGAGAGACAGACGGTTAGAAAGAAAGGCACACGGGCGGAGGCCTCAAGCAAAAGTAAAGAGACGAGAAGGAGATACGCACACAAGCGCGCTCCGTATAGGTGGCAGCCCCTATATATAAGTTGAGTTCGAAGTGAGTTTGCGCGTGTACCGTTTCGCTCGAAGACTCTCATCGGGCATTTTCCCGAAGCGACTCATTGTTCCCAACCAATCGGAGAGTTTCCCTCGATGACATCCGGGGTTTGAATTTGCAGCTGCCGGATAGTTTTCTGAAGGGAAGAGCAAGCATGGCACCCAACACCACGAGCGATTTAGCAGCGACCGGTGTGCTTTATGAGGACGACCAGCTAGAAGACAGCCCGGCGGTCGCTAGGAAAGCCGACAAAGTCGAGGCCAAAGAGCCGTTCAAAGCCGAATGGATTTGGCTGCACGTGATTTTCATCGCTGCTCTGCACGTCGGCTCGCTATACGGGCTATACCTTATCTTTAGTTCGGCGAAAATTCAAACGACGTTACTTGGTGAGTTTCATTCTGCATTGTTGCGTCGTAAAAGCATATCGATGCATTTTTTTCGTTCGAGCTCGTGCAATCTCCGCCCGACACGGGAAAAAATAACGTTTAATTATCGAAAAACGTTCGCGTTTTGGGGCTAAGCGATATAAAGGAAAATAGCGAATTTTAAAGCGTCGGACAAGAATATAAAAATACGAGCTTACAAGTAAATGATGCAGCCTGTTGAACATGTGCCTCGTACGGAGAGTATTTGCTAGTAAGGGCATCTAGACTTACACATCGAGTATTCGGTTTTAATATCGAGATATTTTCTATTAAATTACACTTATTTATAATATTTCATTTCAATGAATTTTTATTAATACGATTGTTCAACCGACTTTTAGCGTTTATCCTGTATCCGGTCTGCATCTTGGGAATCACTGCCGGTGTACACAGACTTTGGTCTCATCGAGCATACAAAGCCAAATGGCAACTCAGAGTTATTCTTACATTCTTCAATACCATTGCTTTCCAGGTAATAATAACTCGATAGCATACTCATCTTTCAACGACGGCTTCGATCGTGCAATTTCTCGTTTTTTATTTCATTTTTTACAGCGATCCGTTTTGACTTGGTCAAAAGTACATCGACTTCATCATAAATACAGTGACACTGATGGTGATCCACATAACTCTAGGAGAGGCTTATTTTTCTCGCACATGGGCTGGGTAATGATGACCAAACATCCCGATATAATAGAGAAAGGAAAAGGAATAGATATGAGTGACTTGGAAGCAGATCCGATACTTAGATTCCAAGACAAGTGCGTTGTTTTTTTATTGGCAAATAATGTGGAGATTAAAAGTTGTTTTAAAGAAATTAATGACATTTTCCAGGTACTATTGGTACTTGATGCCATTGTGTTGCTTCATTCTTCCAACTGTCGTACCAGTTTATTTTTGGAATGAGTCTTGGGTCAATGGTTTCTTTATACCAGGTGTTCTACGTTATTTGTTTACCATCCATATTACCGCGCTTGTTAATTCCTTCGGCCACTTTTATGGAAACAAACCTTATGACAGGTAATCTAAAGTCTACTTTTGTATTTGTACCATTCAATACATTGCTTAATGTTTTGCAATTTATATTTTAGAAATCTTCAACCAACGCAGAATAAAAGTGTATCTCTCGTAACATTGGGAGAAGGTTGGCACAACTACCATCACACTTTCCCGTGGGATTATAAAACGTCCGAGTTGGGAGATTATGGAGTGAATTTCACTAATGCCTTCATCGACTTTTTCGCGTGGGTAGGCTGGGCTTACGATTTGAAAAGCGTTTCAATGGATATGATTAAGAAACGAGTCCAGAGAACTGGTGACGGAAGTCACGAACTTTGGGGCTGGGGTGATAAAGATATTACGAAAGAAGATAAAGAAGTAACAATTATTACTCGAAAATCAGAATAATTGAATAGACAATTAGACAACTGATGGATTACTAAGAATATTGCAAAAGCTAACAAGTGGCAAATGACTCAGTGAACGCTTACCTTTCAAATTGATTTTGAGAGAATTTGAAAAAACATTATGTTTTAAAGTAGGAAACACGATTTTTTACCTATGGAAGATGAAATTATGATTACTGTAAACGATTATTTCGTTTTAATGATAGAAGCGTCTATGAAATCGAATATTACATGTACTTTACAAACATTGTAATTACGTTTATTGATTTTTTATTAACAGTCACAAATTTTTCTGATTGACTCGTGCTAAGTATAAAATCTAGCAATTTTCAACTATGTAATGTACATGTGAATGGCAATAAAAAAAATAATTCATTTCAACCAAACGAAATGTTAATGTTTATAAAAAAAAATTTGCGTTGTGTCGTTCTTTTTTATGCCAATCGCTGACAGCAAAGCTACGTTATAATATAATTTTGAAAGCGATATGGTATAATATTGCCTAATGTACAACAATTTCTATTTAAAACTCTTAATTTTTTTTTGTATAAATGCTACTCCTTTAGTTAACTTTTTAAAATGTAGTCTTTTTTACAAGTGTAATTATTTTCTAACAATTGAGTATAAATTCTGAAGTGATGGACAAGTAATTGAAGTTAAGACAAATTAAAAATAAGCGATAAAATATTATCTCTATCTATTGATTATATTTATAATTGAATTGTTGCTATAATTAATATCTATTATACGATTATAGATGACTACAGAATACAGTTGCAGAGAAGGGAGTTAAAATAATAAATAAATGTAGGTAGGTAGATAACATTTTTTACTAGGATTTATCTAAAAATCTAGTTTTGTCGATCTGTTTTATTATCATCGTAACAGGTATGTTCAACAATGAAGCTCTATTATTTTTTTATTCAATTTATATTAGCAGGATTACTACAACGATTTAGTTAAATAATAGATTTATCTCGATTAAAAAAGATGCAAATAAAAACAATATTTTTCATCTTAAAAATTCTAATTAAAAAAATGTAAGTGACTGTATCTAAAAGTCAAATGAACTCGGTTTCCGATATTTAAATTTGGTTAACAAAATATACTTTGGCGGATATATGCTTGTTAACGCAAATTTTCAGCCGCACTGTTCAATTCAGAATTTCATTTAGAGCGCTTTTCATTTGATGTCTTTTTCGCGTAGTATGCGTTACACCGTTCAGCTGTGATTTTAGAAGTGCAAAAGAAAAAATGATTCAATAGTTCATTAATCGAAAAGTATGACATTAGTTATTACAAGATAGTTGAGAACAAACTTATTTATAAAGCAAATACACGGTATGTACATATAATTATATTTCAAAATAAATAAGGAAATTGTAAGCTTAGCCAAATGTATAGTTTAAAAATTAGTACTTTTATCAGGGCAACACAATATTTTGAAAAATAATTGGATTCGTAAGGAATTGCAAAGTATATGCATTTTTTGGAAGAAATTTTATAAATTTTGCTGTAGCCTAAAGATTTCTACCGCAATGTTTAAATTATTTATGAATATTTTTACAATACGAGACTAATATTTGAAATTTTTTTTTCACCAATCAATATATTTTTCATAATAATGCCGTTAATATAATTATTTATTTACAGAATAACGTACAACAAATGACTCTCGATATTGATAAAACTGTATATTCTGATAAGTTGAATGGAAAATCGCCGATTCAACCAAAAATAGATAAAACTGATCATGAAAAGCCTTATAAAGTGCAGTTAGTCTGGAGGAACATTATTATTTTTATTTATTTGCATCTTGGAGCATTATACGGTGTATACTTAATTTTCTCTTCAGCAAAAATCTCAACAACGATATTTGGTGAGGCAATAAATTTTACGTAATGTGAAAGAAGTGCAATACGGAAAGGCATTTGGCGTTACCGAACTTATCAATATGGAAATAATGCAGATTTTAAGTCTAATGAAAATGACGAAACGATATCACGGATATACATTAGTGTTCTCTTTTCCCTATGATTATCACTCATAACACGTGTGTAGGTCATAAAAACGCATTTCATGATGGAAAAGTTCTATAAAAATTAATGACAAATTGAAAGTTTTCCTCCTTACTGATGCAAATGTAACTGAATATCGTTTACTTTCATTCCTAATACAGATTGTAGTGTTGAAAAGAAAAATGAAATATTACTTTCAATATAACGTCGAAAATAAAGTCTTCCCGCAACCAACACTCATAATGATTTTTAAAATGATTTGTTTTTTAATTAAAAAGAAAATATAATTTTATTATTTTTAGCTATTATTCTGTATCATTTGAGTGGGTTCGGAATCACAGCTGGAGTTCATAGACTTTGGTCTCATCGAGCTTACAAAGCGAAATGGCCACTGCGATTGCTTTTGACATTATTCAATACTATAGCTTTTCAGGTAAATGTTAAATATACAAATCTACCAACGAAGTTTTCTTTAATTATTTATAAATCTATAGGATGCCGTTGTCGACTGGGCAAGAGACCATCGCATGCACCACAAATATAGCGAGACAAACGCTGATCCATATAATGCAAAAAGGGGATTCTTTTTTGCACATGTTGGCTGGCTGCTTTGTCGTAAACATCCAGAACTTCGAGAAAAAGGAAAAGAAATTGATTTAAGGGATTTGTACGCCGATCCTATACTTAGATTCCAAAAAAAGTAAGTTATTTCAAAACAATTGTAATATGTTTGAAACTACATATTTTATCGAATAATCATTCTAAAATAATAGATACTACATGATTTTAATGCCACTGTGTTGTTTCATTCTGCCAACTGTGATACCAGTTTATTGTTGGAATGAATCGTGGAGAAATGCTTACTTTGTACCAACTATTTTACGCTGGGTTTACACTGTAAATGCAACTTGGTTTGTAAACTCCGCTGCACACCTATTTGGAAATAAGCCGTATGAGAAGTAAATCGAAAAACATTGTTCACGAAAACTTCTGCTATTCTAAATTTTTATATATTTGATTTTTCGTTTGATTTTAGGAGTATTTATCCATCGCAAAATTTAGGCGTTTCTATAGTAGCTTTAGGAGAGGGTTGGCATAATTACCACCATACTTTCCCTTGGGACTATAAAACAGCAGAATTGGGAAATTACGCGTTTAATTTCACCACTGCTTTCATCGATTTATTCGCAAAGATAGGTTGGGCTTATGATTTAAAAACTGTTTCACCAGACATTATCAAAAGACGAGTCCAAAGAACTGGTGATGGAAGTCATGAACTTTGGGGTTGGGGTGATAAAAATATAACGAAAGAAGACTTACAAGCAACGACTATCACTCATAAACGTTCGTAATCGATAAAACAATTAAACATACATATGCAAATACTTCAATTATTTCTTTGGAATAGCCCTCTTGAGCAGCTATTATCGTACTTAGCTTTTAGAAATTAAAAATATACATCAATGTTTTTTTTCTAAATTTGATCACATAATTGGTTTAAATAAATAAAATGAGTTAAAAAATCAAAACAGTATATTTTAATCATTAACTTCCGTAAACCAGTAGTTATGGGTTACTGCCTGACAATACGGCACGTCAAAAGATCAATGCCCTTATTTATTCGTGAAAGTCAAAACTTCTCATAAAGTCTTATCATAATAAAATAATAACTATGATATCTTTTATACCTTTAAAAATTTAAATACGTCTTTACTAATTATATTCATATTCCTTGTTGGAACTTTTCAAAATGGCAGTGTTCAATAACGAAATACATTATAAATATAGTGAAACAAATGCCGATCCGTACAGCACATAAAAAGGATTATTTTATGACTACACCATTTGATTGCGCGTTCGCAAACATCCTGTTGTTAAAGAAAAAGGGAAGCGCATAGACATGAATGTATGTGCATTATTTAAATAATGAATTGCATTGAATAACGGAAAACCGAAAGAAACCTAACGATATAATTTTAGCCATTACATTAAACTTTTTTAACGAATCCAGAAAACATCTTTATTTTGCGTTTTAGAACATGGGACCGTGTCGATCACGTGATCGTTTAAAGAAGGCTAACGCAACAACTATACCATTACCATACCATAATTTTCTTTAGGATTACAAAATTTCAGAATTAGAAAAATACTACCTTTGTTGACTTTATTGCATGGACAGGCTGGACCTATAATTTGAAAACTGTCTCGCTTGATGTTACTAAAAAACGAATCCACAGAACAGGTGATAGTGGCCACGCACTTTAGGGATGGGATGATAAAAATCTAATATGAGAAGACAATTACGACTCATAAAAATATACGATAAATAACAGATAATATTTAAAAAGGCGTCAAAACAATCGTTCAAATTAAAAGATAACAAGAACAGTCAAAGTATCAATTACATTCCTCGACAAGAAATCTCCGCTACATGCATAAAAATAAAACAAAAGATAATTGGCGTATAAGCAGGATTAAGCAACGTATATGCTACAAATATTTTCGTATAAACTTTAATGTGTAACGTAGATACTGGGTTATTTGTACTCAGAGATACATTTTATTAATGCTATTCAATTATTTTTGAAAACGTCACTTTTAATTACATCAAATGCATTACGTTATACGTTAAATATTCAACCGTGTATTGTTAATAAACGTTGAAATAGAGATATAGGAATTCAATGGTGTTTTAACTTCTGACTTTGATACAACGCGTCAATGTTAAAAATAGACCAATTTAAAAAAACGACAGCTTATTATAAAGATTACCTTGTCTGTGATCTATGTTGCTTATAAAAATAAGATCAGCAGTAAAAAGATTAAACATTTTTCACACAATTCGAATTTTTATAGTTTTAACGATTAATTAAAACTTTATATAAATATTAGTTATTTAAAACTTGATATTTGACAACAAGCACAGATTTAGTAAAAGTACATGTTTTAAAATGAGAAAGCTAGTGTGCGCCTCAAGGCTTAATAAATAAAAATATCTCTCAATTCATTAAATTCAAATTCAAATACAAAAAGTTATGTACCTATTGGGATTTACAACGGCCACTTTCTCCAAATATACACACAATGCCAAAATCCACTATTCCAAATGATCATCTGTCGTATTATTTACAAGTGGATTCCACGTGTACAGTGAATGTCGCTGACAAGCACACTGTTCTTGTACATTTCCATTGAACAAGTGCCTACTTATAAATCAAGCTTTCATGTTATATTCATTCACCCTCAACATGATCTGTCTCGTTAACTCTACTGTATACATCTCTTCAGTAATAAGCTTCGTCATACGTTCGATAAATATTTCCATTTCTTTTTTATAACTTCGCAATTATTGTTACAATATTTGAGCTTTTATTGATAACTATTCTTTAGTACATAGTAGAATAAAACTAAAAATCTTAAGAAATATTTAAAGTATATAAAAATGATAGGAACGCGATCGATGCAACTTAATTGAATCAACAAAAACAAAACTAATATTTAGTTACGTTAACAATACCTAGAACTAAATTCACCAATACAATCTCATTATTGAATATCAATGTAATTTTTTGGAATGCCAATGAAATAAAAATATATTTAAGATAAAAAAATTAAAAAATAACAATCATAATCGATCGATTTAAATAACATTTTTATTTTCTATAACTAAGTGTATCGAGTTTGCGTATATAAAAATAAAATTTATTTTTTGAACCAAGTTTTGATTTTCTCAAACGGAATTACATAAAATAAGCCATATAAAATACAAAAGTTATTACTGCATTATGGTGGATGAACATCGTAAACAATTACTTCACTTGCATCATACCCCTAAAATCGTACGTGATCTGGTGGACAGGCACAAAAGAAAAGAAAATTTGTGTTCCCGGAACAGCAAATAGACCGGCGCTGCACGCACGTGGTGTGACTTGCGATATATAAAACGGCGAACGGTGGGGATACTAGCTCATTTATTGGCAGATAGCATCTCGGCTGACGGCAACTCATACTCACAGGCGTAAGCCAGAAGCCGCACTCCATCATTACCGGTCGGCATTGTTGCTCGTTATGCTTTTACTACTCTAGCGTTTCCTGTGGTGATGTTGTGCCTGGTTAACGGACTCTGAATTAATTTGTGAAAAAGAACGGTGAGTGACATTGCTCACGGCAGTGTATTTGTTAAAGACAATCTTTGCGTAGTGTCCTGGGCTTCAATAAATGTATGTTGCTATTTCTTTTGTTAATTTTCGGTAAGCAAAGTTTGTCTTTTCGGAATAGTTTGAGGACAGAGTAAACAATATTCACGCATTGTAAACAAGTCGCCATTTACGTAAAAGTTCTTTTTCTTGTATAATCGTTAAGTGGTTTATTTTCATCAGTGCGGCGTGTTAGAATTTCCCGGAAAATTATTGCGCGATTTTATGAAGTTTGATTTTATTTTATTCGCTTACAATAAACTGGAAAGTTTTGGGTCACTTAAGTAACTGAAAGTATATAGTCTAGTAAAATGTAATTTGTAAAAATTTTATGTAATTCTTTCCTAAATGACATACTAAAGTTTTCGTTTTTATGTAAGGAAGGAATAAAATCGTTAAATTTTTATATTTTCCATTTATTCGGATTCGGTCAATAAAAAATACAATAAATAATAAAAAATACGATAAATCACTAAGATATCAATCAAAAAAAATATAGGGAAAATCATCGATCAGACAATACATTCGTGATAATAACATAAATGCGCCTCAATAACGACAATATAATATAATATAATAATATAATAAATAATAACCAAAACCGAAGTTAACAATTATATCTGATATGGTTATTAAGTATTGTCTGATCGATGATTTTCCCTACATTTTTTTAAATTAATTTCTTAATCATTTATCGTAATTTAAATTCTTAATCTGTTCCCATTAAGTAAAATATTAACGTATAGATTTTGTCAAATTTTAGTTACAAAAGCAACTTTACTAAGATGGCTCCTTGCACCACGTCTACATCGACCGGCGTGCTTTTTGAGGAGGATAAACTTGATAACGAATTGACAAATCACGAGTCAACAACGGAAAAATACGAGGAAAAGGAAACATACAAGGTCCAATTCGTTTGGAGGAATGTTGTCCTTTTCGCCCTTTTACACGTTGCGGCTTTGTATGGTGTTTATTTAGTTTTCACATCGGCAAAACTTGCAACAATGATATTTGGTGAGTTATTAAGCTTTACATCACAGGTCGTAATATTTACGATTTCCATAATTAATCCTTCGGTAATTTTTGATTGGTCAATGTGATGAAAATTAGACGATAAATGAATACGGAACAATACCAATCTATCAATTCGATTACTCGCGGTTATCGCTGTTAATTTAGACAATAATGTATTTTTCAGTAGGCAATAGTATATCTCTAAAAGGTCGATGACAAATGTTTAATGTATACGATTATATAATTAATATTGAAAGCAGCTATATGTATTCCTCAGATTTGATAAAACTAATAATATAAAAATTATGTTCATTTGATATGATTTACATAAATATTTATAATTCAGCAGAAAAATATATAACAAAAATTTTTTTAGCAATCTTCCTCTATCAAGTATCTGCATTAGGAATCACAGCTGGAGTTCATAGACTTTGGGCTCATCGATCTTACAAAGCTAAATGGCCATTGCGATTACTTTTGACATTATTCAACACTATAGCTTTTCAGGTTAATGTCAAATATACAAATTTATTAATAACATTTTCTTTAACCATTATTTATGGTTTTTTCAGGATGCTGTTGTGGATTGGGCTAGAGATCATAGAATGCATCACAAATATAGTGAAACAAATGCTGACCCACACAATGCAAAAAGAGGATTCTTTTTTGCACACATTGGCTGGTTACTTGTTCGTAAGCACCCTGATATCAAGGAGAAAGGAAAGCAGATTGATATGAGTGATTTGTACAAGGATCCTATTCTCAAATTCCAGAAAAAGTAAGAAATTATTAGGAATAATAATAATTATCTGGTTTTACAAGCTACTGTAACATGTTTTTTACATTTCAGGTACTATATGATATTAATGCCATTGTTTTGTTTTGTTCTTCCAACAATAATACCAGTTTATTGTTGGAATGAATCTTGGCAGAATGCTTATTTTATTCCCACTCTTTTACGTTATGCATTTACCCTTAATGTAACATGGTTGGTAAATTCTGCTGCTCATCTTTTTGGAAACAAACCCTATGATAAGTATGAAAACGTTTTTCACAATACCTAAACCTCTAAATTATTTGTTATTAATTTCCTAAATGTTGTTTAACATGTTAGATACATTAATCCAGCCGAAAATATCAGTGTTGCTCTCATGGCACTGGGAGAAGGTTGGCACAATTATCATCATACATTCCCATGGGACTATAAAACTTCTGAGCTAGGAGATTATTGGGTCAATTTCACAACAGCTTTCATTGATTGCTTTGCACGAATAGGTTGGGCTTATGACTTGAAAACTGTGTCTAGGGAAGTTATAAAAAAACGAGTTCTTAGAACAGGAGATGGAAGTCATGATCTCTGGGGTTGGGGTGACAAAGATGTAAGCAAAGAAGATCAAGAAGCAACAATCATTGTTCAGAAAAAATTGTGATTAATTAGCTTAAATATATTAAATATATTTATTTAAAATAAGAATTTTATTTACAAAAAAATCAAATTTTTTTTGCAAGCAAAATTCTTATGTTATCTCTCCTTTATTGCAGTTTCTAAGAGAATGTAACTTAAAGAGAATTTTGAGCTAACTTTTGATAGTTGAAAGTAGTATTTATTTATCGAAAATAGTATATACAATACTATATTTCAATAATTTTTATTTCAGTACTTATACAAACTGTACAAAGAATAGTATTAATATATTATTGTAATAAACACTCTTTTTTCATATATTCTGTTCATTATCATTTTCTTATAATGCAAACTTCTGTACTTAATTCTAAACTAATACTTGTGAAAATTTTCAATGTATATTTTCAGTATAATAAACAGAATAATTTACTTAAATTTCATAACAAATATTATTGAACCTATAAATATAATCCCTTCACAATATCACATTATTATAGTGAAAATTAAATTACTCACTGAACAGTAGTCAAATCTTCAATTGTACTTTCATTTTTAAAATTAATTTTGACTTTCTTCATTATGACTAGTTGTAAATACTGGCTGCCGCATTGATACACCAAATATTTCTTCTAATCTTGCATTTCTTTTATGTTGAGCTTCTGCTCTCTGATGTGAATTTCCGATCCTTGAATCATCTAATTCTCCATTTTCATAATCTTCTAGTCTCATTTTCCTATAAGCATCAACTTCTGTATCAATCTGTTCTTGAGTACAACCATCAATCTCTAATTTATCTGACAATTCCATGCATTCAACTTCTATTTGTCTTTTTCTCTCATGTTCAAGAATTTCCTTATTTGGTTGTTTGATTATTGATTCTGAGAGACTTTTATTTTTTTGCTTTTCTCTTTTGGATACAGCTGCAAAATTACGTTGCACATGACCGGATGTGCCTGATCCTCTTGGGGTTGTAAGTCCTACACCATCGTACATTTTGATCTATACAAAAATGAAAATTGTTGACATCAGTTTATTTTGGAAAATTGAAAATCAAATCAGTTATACAACTATTTATATAATTTTTCAAGTGGTTAAAGTAAAAAAGCAGTTAATCAATCGCTATAATAACTATTATAATACAACTACTATATTTAAATAATAACCGTTAGAAAATATATACAAATTGTATACTTACAGTAAATGCTAAATAACTTAGAGGTTAAAAAATAAGCTCAACCAAGTACAAGGTCTTTTACAATGAAATACTGGTTAGTAACAGTATTCAATTATCAATCCTACAAAGTTAGTTTCGTTTGTCATACACAAATTATTTTTCTCGAAAAAAAATTGAACTACCACAGCAGCGCCATTAATTGGCAATTTAATTCTAACCTCAAACTAGCTCAAACACTAATTTACCCCAGGCGATCCGCTACGATCCAGATGCAGCCTCTTTAATTAAACATGTGCGTCCATTTCGAATGTCCATATCTTACGAGGGAACACTTATTCAATTGTACTCTGTCTGGGCATTAATTGACGACTCCTAAACTTCAAAATCCGAATTATTTTTGACGATTGAGTATCGATAACACCAAAGGAGATTAAGTCAAAGCCTTATTTTGCGGCCTGCGGAAAGCAACTTGCCAGAAATTATTAATTTGATGCCATCGATGCTCAATTGTCAAAAATTATTTGGATTTTGAACTTCGCGGATCGTAGCTAATGTCTTGGCAGTGTATTTATATATTATGAGACTATAGTAAGTGTATTGCCTTTATTATTATCGCTTACACATATTTTGTAAAAAAGATAGAAGTAATACACAAGATTGCAAAAACAAAAGAAAAGGTTTTTGTAATGTTTTTATATTATATGTACATACGTGTAACATTTGTAATATAGCGCGCTCACAGCGGCGGCGCCACTGTTCTGATATATATTATATGTATTATATATTATAGTGACAAAATTATTATTACACGAGATATTATATAGATATGAAAGCATATGTTATATTCGTAGATATAAATATACTTTATGTCTTAAAATAAAAGTTGTATGTATGTATCTATAGCCCTACAGGTGGGATACTTGCTTAAACAGACGTGTGAATCTGCCATTAATGTACGTAATATCGATACTTATTTAAAGTATAAGGTGTTTGTCGAAGTTATACATCAGACACGTGACTGTAGTAACCGGTGAGCCTAATTTTGCCAGTGTACCGTCATTTTGGATTTTACAAATTCGACGAAATGGATAACAAATTACCCGAGTCGATCAATTTCCCTCATGAGGAAGAAGTCATACTAGAGTATTGGAATAAATACGAAGTTTTTGAAAGTTGCCTAAAACAGTCCAAGGGTAAACCTCGTTACTCATTCTATGATGGTCCACCTTTCGCTACTGGCTTGCCTCATTACGGTCATATTTTGGCTGGCACTATCAAAGATATTGTTACCAGGTATTTATATGATCTATGAAACTTAACGAAAAAATCAACTATATATTTCATTTAATAAATCTGTTAATGTCTATTCATCTATTAGATGTTGCCTTTTCTCAAATAAAATTCATTGAATTTTACATATTTTTAAAGGTATGCACATCAAACAGGTTTTCATGTAGAACGGAGGTTTGGTTGGGATACTCATGGTTTACCGGTGGAGTTTGAAATTGATAAAGCACTCAATATTAAAGGACCAGACGATGTAATGAAAATGGGTATTGCTAATTATAATAAAGAGTGCAGAAATATTGTCATGAGATATGCTGATGAGTGGAAAAAGATTGTTGGTAGATTAGGCAGATGGATAGACTTTAAAAATGACTACAAAACATTGTACCCATGGTATATGGAAACAATCTGGTGGATTTTTAAACAAATGTATGAGAAAGGTTTGGTTTATCAAGGGGTCAAAGTGATGCCTTTCTCTACTGGTTGTAATACTCCATTATCAAATTTTGAATCTGGTCAGAATTACAAAGATACAGTTGATCCTTCAGTGGTTGTGTCTTTCCCTCTGGTTGATGAACCTGGAGTAAGCATGTTAGCATGGACAACCACACCATGGACCTTACCAAGCAATTTAGCTTTATGCGTCAACCCCAACTTTGAATATGTAGAAATTATTGAAGAAGAATCTGGAAAAGTGTACATTTTGTTAGAAGCTAATTTAGGACTTGTTTATAAATCAGATGATTTATACACTATTCATAAGATCCGAAAAGGATCAGACTTGTTAGGCAAGTCTTATGAACCATTGTTCCCTTATTTTCTACACATGAAAGAAAAAGGTATAATAATTTAATACATTTCAATGAAAATAATTTATAAAAGGTAAGATCTTATGCAATGCTTTTAATTACAGGTGCATTTAAAATTTTGAATGATGAATATGTTACTGCCGAATCAGGTACAGGTGTAGTCCATCAAGCACCTTACTTTGGAGAAGATGATTATCGTTGCTGTTTGAAAGCAGGTATAATTACTAGAGATCAGGAGAGCATCTGTCCTGTAGACAGTTGTGGTCGTTTCACAGAGCCAGTTAAAGAATTCCTTGGGAAATATGTGAAAGACGCCGACAAAGAAATCATCAAGCATTTGCAGTCTACAGGCCGTCTAATTATCAGCAGCACAACGAAACACAGTTATCCATTCTGTTGGCGATCCGATACTCCTCTACTTTACAAAGCCGTACCTTCGTGGTTTGTAAGGGTTGAGTCTATTAAAGAAAAACTTTTGAAAGCTAATGCTGAAACTTACTGGGTACCCGAATACGTTAAGGAAAAACGTTTTGGCAATTGGCTCAGAGAAGCACGAGACTGGGCTATCAGTAGAAATCGCTATTGGGGTAATCCAATTCCTCTGTGGATATCTGATGATAGAAAGGAAGTCGTGTGTGTAGGAAGTATTGCTGAATTAGAACAATTAACTGGGCAAAAGGTAAAATATAAACTGAACCTTTTGACGATTTCCTGTCTAATATTAACGCTTTTATTTGTAGATCACTGACATTCATCGTGAGAGCATCGACCATTTGAAAATTCCGTCTAAACGTCCTGGTTACCCACCACTTAGTAGAGTTCCAGAGGTCTTTGATTGCTGGTTTGAATCAGGTTCCATGCCTTACGCTCAGATGCATTATCCATTCGAACGCGTGAAAGACTTTGAAGAAAGCTTTCCAGCTGATTTTATTGCTGAGGGTATCGATCAGACTCGCGGTTGGTTCTACACTCTCTTGGTTATCTCGACTGCGCTGTTCGGCAAACCACCATTCAAGAACCTCATTGCTAATGGATTGATCCTCGCATCCGATGGTCAAAAGATGTCTAAGCGTAAGAAGAATTATCCGGATCCTCGAGAAATCATCGACAAATATGGCGCCGATGCTTTGAGACTCTATCTTATCAATTCGCCTGTCGTCAGAGCTGAAAATCTTCGATTCAAGGAAGAAGGTGTACGAGACGTCATCAAAGATGTGTTCTTACCCTGGTACAATGCATTCAGATTCCTTATCCAGAATGTCGAGCGCTTTGAGCATGACGAGAAAATCAAATTTGTCTACGTAGAAACTAAGGAGCCATCCACCAATATCATGGACAAATGGATTCTATCCTTCACCGAGACTCTACTGCAATTCCTCAAGACCGAGATGCAGGCGTATCGTCTTTACACCGTTGTTCCTCGCCTTGTCAAATACATCGACAATCTAACCAATTGGTACGTTCGCATGAACCGCAAGCGTATCAAGGGTGATAGCGGTAAGAAAGACTGTCAAGCAGCGCTCAATACTCTATTCCGAGTAGTCTACACGATGGCGAGAATTAACGCTCCATTCACACCTTTCCTTACCGAGTTCATGTTCCAAAGGCTTCGCAAGCTCCTACCACCTGGCAACAATATGGAAAGTATCCACTATCAAATGATCCCGGATGCTTGTGAAGAGTTAATTGATGAGAAAATTGAAGGCGCCATCTCTTGTATGCAGACCGTGATCGAGCTTGGTCGAGTTGTAAGAGATCGCAAGACTCTGCCTGCGAAATATCCTCTGCCGGAAATTGTGGTTATTCATCAGGATGTAAACATAATCAACGATATTCTTTCTTTGCGATCATACATCTTGGAAGAACTGAATGTTAAAGAATTAACGGTCACCACGGATAAGAAGAAGTATGGTGTTACACTTAGAGCTGAACCGGATCACAAAACTCTTGGTGCTAGGCTGAAAGGCGAGTTCAAGGTTGTAGCTGCGGCAATTAAAGAACTAACCGACGAAGAGCTGCAGTTATTCGTTTCAAAGAAGGAGATCGAAGTGCTAGGCTATAAGCTTGAGGAACAAGATCTCAGACTGATGTTCAGTTTTACTGGACCGGCTGCCGACGAGATTTCCAAACGATACGAAGCTCACAGTGAAGGTAATGTGTTGATTTTGTTGGACGTGACGCCTGATGAGACTATGCAGAATGAAGGCTTAGCAAGAGAGATTATCAATCGAGTGCAAAAGCTCAGAAAAAAAGCAAAGCTTGTACCTCTGGACGAAGCGACGGTTTACTATGACGTTAAGGACACCAATAGCGTTATAGCTAAAATAATCGTTAGTCACAAGGAGTTCATCGAGAGTACAACGAAAACGCCACAAAAAAGTATGTCTGAGAAACCTGCTAGCGCGAAATCCATCATCGAGGAGACTTCTAACGTTAAAGGTGTCGACGTTCATCTGGCGCTTGTTTTGGCTGGAAAACGACCTTTGCAACTTGAAATTATCAAAGCTAAAAATACGAATGAAAGCAATTATGTCGTTCCTTTCACCAAGTTCGTGAATGTCGAGTTGATTGGTTTTCGACCGAGGTTCGGTACCAACAGCATTTATGGTACTCTGCTGTTGGAAAATGCCGGTAAAACTATTAATTACAATCAGTTAAGAGAGGAAGTACAAAGAATGTATGGTATTTATGGATGTAATTTTGAGCTGTTTGCCAATGGAAATAAACTGAATAATGAAACGAACTTCCTGTCGCTGAATTTTGCATTAATTCAAGTAATAAAAGTTGGAATGTCGCCGACATGCGTAGTGGAATCATTAGTTAAACTTCCTGCTTGCCGCTTCGTTAACATGCAAGTAGGAAATAACAAAGATACGATATTGTTAGAAAATCCTCAAGGAAACTTCATGGTAGTATACGATTCTCTGAAGTCCAGAATCGAGTTACTCTATCCAGAGACGCAGTTCATAGTACCATCGGCCGAGATGAACGTTTTAAACGGAGCCACGCTGCAGGTTAAAAATTGAAACAAGGTCAATCACTCATGAATCATTTGTGTATACGCTCATTTCGACTTATTTATTCATGCGTGTTATTATCAATCAACAGTTACGATATATGTGTTTAGGCAGTATTCAATAAAAAAAGTAAATAAACACATTATTATTGAACGTGTGGTTTGATAATACTTCAACAAATGAGAATCAAGCTCTTGTGAGAAAGTAGCTAAATGAAGCTCTGAGAATGTTTCTAATTTTTGAAATACTTTTAATGAAATAAAGTTATTGAATTCAACATACATATTGCTTTTTTTCCTTACAAAATAATATTACAAAACTTAAAACGTATAATAAATCATTCACGTTAAGTAGTATATGTACGATAAAAAAAAATTAATGTTTTTTTATGTAATGTTGGAAATAAATAAAATTATGTACAAAAAACAATATACATATAAAAACATCGTCTAAAATGCTAATGTCACATAGTGGTCCATTAATCACTGGTTCGTACACATTTAAGTACGTACAAATATTCTTTGCTTCTGCTGGTAACTTACGTTACTATAAGGGTGAGATGGAAAAGAGCTAGTAGTATAAACTAGCTATCTACGCGATAAATGCATCGTATATTTCCTTCCAACCAGACTTCATTAGCTGATCGATGACTAGCACAGATATTATACGTATTACGTCAACTGGTATTACGATTGCTGCTGCTGTTGTTGTGAAATTGGGACTCTTTGTCGCGGCGCAATGTAGATCACTCGTTTCTGTTCGTCCGGATGTACTAGTTGATCGGTATTTTTCCAGCGATACTTTTTCTCGTTGTCTTTGATTTGGCGGTTGTCCGCGTAACTGACCACGCAACTTGCTGGGATCCAGACGAGAGCAGTGCCCAGGATCACAGCACCGACGATATTGTCGCGAAGGAAACGCATTACCTTGTTGATGTTGATGTCTTCGATAATATCCCAAAACCGCTCAACAACATCTTGAATTGTCTTCTCGCAGGTACCTTTGTTACAGAATCCTTGGATGCAAGGAGTACCATCGGGCAGAATGTCTTGTGGATCGATTGGAAAACAAGTATCGTTCAGACCCATACGACAGCATCTTTTGCATGCATCGGTAGCTGAAAATAAACATATATATTCTTTGTTTCATTAAATGTTATGCTATCAGACTACTCTTTCGCTATATTAACGTCAAAAAATGGACGCTGCTTGAATCGATAAGTTCACCAATTATCGTTTTATTTAAATCGTTTCACATTGATCAACAACTTCTAAAAAATCTTCAAAACTAGCTAACTAAAAATTAAATAAACTGTTGAATACTCACGCGTATCGCACATGCAGCTGGTCAATCCCTGAGTCTCGCAATAGGGCACACACTTGCCTTGATGGCACTGTCCTCTTTCCAAGCAGCCGGTACCATCCTTCATCGGTGGCGACCTGGGACATTCGCTCGACGCACCAGTACATCTTGACTCTTGTTCGCAAGTAGCATACTGTGCGTCACGGCATTTCACTCCGGGGCCCATGAAAGCGCAATTCTGACAGCAAGGCGAATTCTTGTCACTGCACACGGCGCCTTGATTGCGACGAAGCTTGCAATTTTTATCGCAGCACGCGTCGTTGTCCTCGGTTCCCAATAATCCAGCGTCGCATTCTTCGTCACCTTCGACACGCAGATTGCCGCAGAATGATTCCTCAGGTTCTGAGAAACAGCGTCCAGATTTGGCTTGTAAAACGTTACGGATTGCGCGGAGACTGCATGGACTGAAACGCTATGAATATATCGCAGTGTAATTGATTGTCTACCGAAGTGCGAATGATAAATGAATTGTATGTTTTATGTGTACCTTGTTATTTACGTCGTAACCACTAACACTGTAAGTGTACATCAAATACGAACCACCCTGGCTTGCACTTGGACTGCATTCCTGTTGAAAAGTCCTTTACGTTTTCAATGCTGTCATGGTAAATTAATTGAATTCTTAGAGAAACTTACAGTTATGTCGGGATCGTGTTCAGAACCCCAATTGTGGCCAAACTCATGCGCTGTAACTAGATCTGCCTCACGTGTGATTACTCTCTGTCCATAGTGATTTCTACTAGAACTCAAGCCTGAGTTTAGATACAAAGTGTAACCATTTTTAAAATACTCTGGAGTGCAAATTCCACCAACAGAATTTCGTCTAGGTGAACCTACATATGCAAGACCTAAAATACCTCCTTCAAATTTCAAATCCGTAAATAGATGTGCTAGGCAAAAGTCTTTATGGCTGTATTCTCTGCTAAAAACCTAAAAATATGGTTATTCAAATATGGGATATATTTGGAAAACATTTTTCATAAATAAAAATGAATAATTTAATATATTACCTCAAGAAGTGTTCTAACGTCCCATTTTTCTCTGACCATGTTATAATGAGTATCACCGCCTCTAACACGCGTTGGTTCACTGTGAACCACTATCTTCTTAATGACAAACCCCATTCCTTTAAAACCATCTTGCTCTTTATGGTCTTGCCACATTGTATCATTATAAATTTTGTGTACTCGATCAATCAAGCTGATCTGTAAATTGAAATTTCATATGAAAATCCTACATCGACATAGAGATAATTTTTTACTTACCAAGTAATTAATTGTAGTTTTAGTACTACTAGCACCCATTTCTTGATAAAATCTGTAATCAGCAACTAATAATAATGGGCACCTTGTTTTTGTTGGAGTATATTCATAAGTTTCTGTTTGCCTTTTTGTTCGATTACTGTGTCCACTCTTTTCTTGTTCATCAGTATCTTCATTTGTAAATTCTTCTCCTTCTTTCACAAATCCACACGTTTTCGGAGCACTATGTGTATGCCCCTCTCCATTTTGGTAATGCTCCCAGCTTAGTTTAACATCTGATGCTTTGTAGACAATCATTGTTTGATTGTTTACTTCTGGAAGATGTCTCCATGATGGCTAAAATGTTAACAAATTAAGATTTATTCCCCTGAATTTCAATAGTTAATTTGAAACACTCAAACAAGACAAATTCTATTTATTAAGCACTCTACCTCTATATGGTATGTTTCATCAGGAACAGCAATAGTTCCTGTCATAACACCATCATCAATATGCACTTGAACATGGGAATTAGTTTCTCCAAACACTCTGCCATGATAAAAACTTTCATGATCTGGAAACACATTAATTGAAAAACAAGATAAGAAAAAATAAATAAGTATAAATTATAATTTATGAAAGCTAAACTATAAATATATACCCATATGAACTGATTTTTCTTTTCCATCTCCATCAACTTCATAGGCTTTGAACTTTGAATGAATAACTTCTTTTCTAGGTGTTAAAATCAATCGAAATTGCCTAAAAATAAAAGTGATTTAATGAATTGTACAAATATAAAATTACCCACTCATTAGATGGTCAATATTGAAAAATTAATAGCAAGTATATCCTTGACTCACCTTCCATGAGTATAAAAATTAAGTTCACTTATTTTGTTGAAAGGATTACTACTATGCTTAGTGCCTCTTTTAACAATGCGGTGCTCAAAGTTTGAAGCATCTAATTTTTCATAATATCGCAGATTTTTGTGTAGGGCAACTGAAAAGTTAATATTATACTAAATTGGAATAATAAATTATTTTTAAATAATTGATTTTTATCAGACTAACCTGTGAAGTCAACAGTAACAATACTAATACTAATTAAAAAGACAAATAAAGCACAAATTCTCATTTCGTCTTTATATTGTAAGAATAATTAAAAAATTAAGTACTAAAATCTAAGTATAATACTATTGGCTGCATCACTACTTCATAGTTGTTGCGATATTAGCACTTATTTTTTAAGTAAAACAGAAATCTCACGTCATACTCCGTTTTTAGCACTTCAAACATCACTTAATAATTGGCCTTTGTTGACGAAATATTATGTATTGATGTCATCTGCTTCAGTCATAGATACGAAGAACGGCAATCACTGCTTTTTTCACTAATGTTGGAAGCAGAACTGAGTTTTAGATGTATCGTGTATCTATGAGCATTTCAAGTTTTGGTCAAGACTCAGATATATAGACAGCGAATAAATTATAACCTCGCTATGAACTTACCATAAGTGAAACGATTGTTATAGTTGTTATTTTTGATTTGTTATGGTTAATATGTCGAATTAAATAAAAATGGAAACCGAAGGTAAATATTTTCTAAAACAATTTATAAATCTATTAATTATGTTTATGTTGTCATAAGTTTAAATTAATGCAATTTTTAATAAATTTTAATGATTATTAAATTAAATTTTTGGCTGGCCTATTATTTAAGAAATTTGTCAGTACTTCAACCAGATTATTGAAAATGAAAAAGACGTTTCAGCTGGTATAGCTGCTATTCGTACACTCTTAAAAGTTTTAGAAAAGTCTAAATGTAAATACATATCTTTTTTACATTATTTCTATCGGTTTTTTTCCCATTTGCTTATATTTTTCTTACGTTTTAAACTTTAGCTGGGACAATGCAAGAATTTGCATCGGTAGAATATCGAAAGGCAGTTGAGGCAATGAAAATGACAGATCATCCTGTTACAGCTATTGCTTCTGGAAGTGAATTATTCTTTAGATTTATTACTTTAAAGAAAATAGATGCTGCTGTGAGTTTTAATACAATCTGTACTTTTTCTTGTTTTACATATAATCTACTTATTACAATATATTTTAGCGATCAGTTGATGAGTGTAAACAAATTATGATGACAAGAGGAAAAATTTTTTATGACACATTAATCAAAGCAAGGGATAAGATTGCCAAGCTTGCATCTACTTTTATTGCAGATGGATCAGTAAATAAAATTTTTTATAATTTTGTAATTAAAATTTTTTAATTATTCATGTGACTGAAGAAGTGTACTTTTATATTTTTAGAAAATTTTAACACATTCACGATCTAGAGTGGTTTTACAAACAATGAAGCAAGCTGTTGCTAACAAAAAAATATTTGAAGTTTATGTTACAGATTCTTCTCCAGATAATAGTGGGTAAGAATCATTAGATTACTTTATAAATTATCAGCAAATTTCTATTGTTTTTGTGTGCTCATCTGTAAATATCTTATGCAGCCAGGAAATGTGTCAAAATCTAAGGGATCTTGGCATTTCTTGCACACTGATATTAGATTCAACTGTGGGATACATAATGGAACAAGTTGATATGGTAATGATTGGAGCTGAAGGAGTTGCAGAAAGTGGTGGAATTATTAATAAAGTAATTTTATAACTATTACTTTGATAAAACTAAGAAAAATAGACATAATGCAAAGAAATAAATATCAATGATATTACAGGTTGGAACCTATACAATGGCTATTTGTGCAAAGGAAATGAAAAAACCAGTGTATGCATTAACAGAATCTTTCAAATTTTCGCGAATATATCCTCTCAACCAAGTTGATCTTCCTGATGAATTTAAAGTGAGTTTCAAAAAGATATTCTTCAAAGCTACCAAACTTATAAATGATTTCGTTGTTCTAGTACACATCTAGTACATTGAAGAAAGATCTCAAAAAGGAACATCCTTTAGTTGATTATACACCACCACATTACATTACACTTCTCTTCACTGATCTTGGAATATTAACACCATCAGCTGTCAGCGACGAACTTATAAATATCTATCTTTAATGTAAAAAGAAAGTGAGTGAATGTTTTATTTATAGTACAAAACTACAACTAAAAGTGTTTGGAAACGTCAAATTTATTGTAACATTTTTTACCTATACAGAAGTTATTAATTTTGTAAAAATCGTGCATAAAAATTTTCAATGCAGCAGAATTTTAATAAGTGTACAATACAATATTTGAATAATAATGTACATATACGTATATTTTTATAGACTTTCAAATGAATTATTGCAAACTTACGTATTTGTTATTTTGCATCATAAGGTCATGAATATTACAACTTTAACAATGATTTAAAACATTAGTTTAGAATTACTAAAAATGAAATGCTTAAAAGTTCTTTTCCCGATAAGGCAGTGCTGGTTTACAATTACACTAAATATATTTCCATAAAAAAACAGAATCGTATTGACGAATAAACAATAAAAGTTCAATATAAATACAGAATGTCATAAAAATATTTTAAACATTTTCATAGAATACTTTAAATTGTTAAAAACAGCAGTAATGATTCCTAAATTTATCGTAATACTTCACTTTAATAGCACGTTACTTACAAGCAACATATCATAATTTACATATCTTCAATAATGCATAGGCTTCAATTATTGCACGATTACGATTGGAAATACTGTCACAGTAAAAAAAAAATTACATAAAAACACTGTGACTCGTACAACTGCGTGTAGTTAAAAAAAACACTTCCTAAATGCACAGCAAATATGCTCATTAATTTAACTAGTTTTTCTTAAAAAATAATACACCTCAAAATTTTGTCGTAAAAATTCAATGTCGTAAAAATCAAATACTGTATATCGAGTGATTTCAAGTTTGTGATAGCTTGTAAGCTTGCTGCAAGGTATCGATAACAGAGTATATCTGATCAAAATGTGGTCTTTTATCTGGTTCGTATTCCCAACAACGTAGCATGAGGTGATAAATTTCGTCGGGTGTACCTTCTGGAGCAGGCAACCGATAACCTAAAAATATCGTCAATTAATATGTAAAGATGTTGTTAACTTTCAGTCATAGATGATTCATAGATGTTATGTTCATGTTTACCTCCATCTATTTTTTCGCGAGCTTGAGAGTTTGATAATCCACTATAAGGATATCCTCCTTTTGAAAAAATCTCCCACATTAAAACACCGTAACTCCAAACATCACACAAAGAAGTATATTTTCCTAAAATAATTCAAATAAAGATAACATTGATTGATGAAAATATCTCGTGATATAGGAAATTGAAGATTGATGTTAGTTACCAAAATTAAGAGCTTCTGGAGCGGTCCACTTGATAGGAATTTGTTTCATGCCATCTGACACAATATATTCTTCTTCTTCTCTAGACATACCAAAATCTGAGATCTTTACTATTGACTCGTATCCTGTAACAATAAATTTTATTTAAATAAAAATATAAATGATATAGATTTACAATTACTTACCAACTAAACAATTACGAGCAGCGAGATCTCTATGAATGCAGGATTTGGATTCTAAATAGCACATGCCCGCCGCTGCATCTTTGCACATTTGGAGCTGCTGAATTTGATTAATAGTTGTTAAATTTTGTCGCAAATACATCAACAAAGATCCTCCTGAAAAAGAATTTAGTAAATACCTCCAAGCATAAGAAGACTGAACTTTGAATGATCTCTTACCAGGCACTAATTCCATAACAATCATGATTGGTTGCTTTTGTACACAAATTCCTATAAGTTTGACGATATTCGGATGGTCGTACTGTTTCAGTATCCTACCCTCTTGAAGAAACTTTTTCTTTTGTTCGTCAGGTAATGTTACTTTACAAGTTTTAACAGCTACTTCAGTCTTACTAGATTTCAACAATGCTCTATAAACATCTCCGAAGTTACCCTGAAATAAATTAGTGATTATAAATTACGTCGTAAAAGTGTTTTATGTTACGTAAAGTAAACTACATATTCAATTACGTACTCGACCAATTTTTTCTATCAATATAACATCATCATTGCTAAGCTCCCACCGTTCTCTCAAAATCGGAGTTTTTAATATAGCTCCTGATCGACTAGTTACCGGGAGAGCTGACTTTAATTGATGCATTATAAGCTCTTGAATCGAAGGAAACGTCGGTCCCTCAAATCGATAATGTCCCTGAAATTTATAAATAATCATACATTTTTTTTTATTAAATCCAACGACTAATATAATTTTAATATAACACAAATGTACCTCTGGAGTTGTTTGAACGATAAAATGCTTATGGCCATCCCAACATACAGATAAAACAATTTGGCACTCGTCATTTCGTGTGGTTTCGCGCACCAAAAAATCGCCTTTATTAACTAATAGTCTCACGACTTCTTCTCGAGGTAAAACGCCATGAAACCATTCTTCCTCCATAAGACCACCATTTCCATTTCCTTTTTGATTACTAATACTAGAAATGCCACGTTGGGGTACCTGTACAATAAATTAATTAATCGCTGAAAAACTTTTAAAAAGACAAACCAAAGCACATTTAGAAAAAATAAAATTAAAGCACACATGAATATTTATTGATTAAAGCGAATTCAGATCTTGTTAACCGTGAAGCCACTCAAACATGCGATTTCATTGAAAAGTTACAATTTAAAAATGCGAAAGTATAATTTTTATGCAGAATATATTTTTTATATGAATTTAACATTGAGAATAAATCACACAAAACATTTATCTATCATCAGAATTTTTGCTAAAAAACGTACTATTGGCGGGGAATCGATAGTTCTAGAACCTTCACTACCAGCTCTAACGCGATTGTTTTTTTCATTATTCACTGTTGGCAAAGATTTAAAGGGAGATTTCACAATTGACATTAATTTCTTTTGATTTCTTCTTAGAGTATATAAACCAGTATCTGTTATAGTATTTTTCTGTAAAATCGATTCACAGCATTGAGAATTACTTTTTTTTATAACAAAATTATTCACTCATTTCTTTTAAGCATTAAAAAAGTCACTGATAAAATATTAATCACTAAAAACAATACTGTAGCATAATATTTAAGATAAATTATTAATAATGAATGGAAAATTATATTTTAAGCTTGAAAATAGATGTTTTTACTGTTTTTTACCTTGTTTATTGGCTCAGTAAAAGAACCTTCCATAGACAGGTCACACCCAGAAGGTAACTCTTCACAGCCGAGTTCATTTAAAGCACCTCTAATTACATCTACTTGTCTCTGCAGTTTTCTATCTTGACAACGTAATCTAAGTTCCTCGCGCTCTTGCGAATAGTCTGACGTTAATTTACTGTAAATAATAAAAGTCGGTTACTGATAAGTGTCTATAATTGATCAAACTGTAATTAAAAAATATATATCACTTTGTATCATAATTGTTTTCCGTATTTAATTGTGGAGTTTGCCGATTTAGTTGTGTAGCTTTTAACGATGACTCCAATTCTGTTAATCGATTTCTCAGCCAATCTATGGTTAAATTATCCACAGTTAACTTATTAGGAAGTAATTTTCCAGACGTATCATCTACAAGACTTTCATCAAAAACAAATTTGATAGGAGATGCAGATCTTGTCCTGCAAATAAGTACTAATTATAATTTAAATTTCTTGGCCAAAAAAATAAAAAACTTTTATATACATACTTATGTTTTCCTATGAAATCCTTGTATTCCTCTGCAGGTCTTACAGTGTCAACAGCCTTTTGCATTCTAGCATGAATTTCTAAAAATTTCTCGTTTGTAAAGTCAGCATACTTTACTATATCCTGCAATAAACCTTTCCTGAAATTGCAATAGTATTTGTTAGAATGTTTTATTACTCTTTCAATCTAAATCTACTGTAATTTATGTTACCTCATTTGCCAAAGGCAAGCTTGAAAGTATCAAATGTTAACTTAATTTATTATGTTAGTAATTACATAAGCTAAATAAATAATTTTTGAACTTACCATGCAATGATAAATTCTTGATGGATGGTTTGTTGTCTTTGAAGAAGACTTGGTAGGTAATTAATTCTCAAGTCATTTTCACATTCAGTGACTGCACCCAGTAATAAAACATATTCGTTATGTGTCAGATGCAGTTTGCGACATGCTTTTTGATATTTCTCTCTCACTTCATCCAATTTTCTTCCACCTCTACCAGCTTGCATTAAAAAATAGAAATCCAATAAATTTATAATGAAAATATTTTAATAATATCCTATTTTGAGAAATAGGATATCTCGTACTTACACTTTACATAATGTTCTTCGAATCGAGATCTCATTTGTTTATACATTTCTAAGTTCTTTTGATATTCTGCTTTTTTTCTAGTTACTTCATCTGTAAGCTGTACCATTGTAATTGTTATTGACTTATTATTCAAATGTTGAAATATAATTTTTATCTAACATAACAAAAATATACCTGTTGAAATTGATTATTCAACCAGACATGTTCTTCTTGATACAATTTTCTAGCTCTTCTTCTCTCACTATGAAGAGAAGTAATGTGTTCTATAACAATGTTCTCCATGGAATCAGCTTGTTGCTTGACTAATTTGGCAGTTTGATCTATTGACTCCATTATATCTCTCCAACTCTGTAAAGGAATACAGTAATAATATAACAGAAGTTTTCTTTAGCGCAATGTATATACTACGAAGTAAAAGTGTACTTGAGCTATGAGGCTTCCAATCAAGTCTTCAGTACGCTCAAACTTTTTGCCTTGAGCACTCAAAGATGAAATACTAGAAGCATACTCTCGATCGGACTTGACTTTAGTGGTGAGACATCTTTTCATGGTTTCCAAAAGTTTAATTTCAGCATCTTGCCGACCTAGCAATGCCTCATGCGAAGCCTGGCCTTGCAAGCTGTTGGAAAAACCCATGGTCTCTTGTGTTAGACAAAAGATTCACTTGTATTTACAACTTTGTCTACTTGTTATGGCATATCAATGATTTTGGCAATCTCAAAAAAATACACAACCACAATTTCTGAGTTCATAGCAGCAGTACTTCAATTTCTGCCAAGGAATCAGCAAATGGTAGCACCTATAAATGATGTTTTCTCTCACTTGTGATGCACTGGATTCCTCTTGGTTGATTAAACATCGAAATTTTAGCGAGCGACGATATTACACTGCTGCTACGACAGCTTGTGTGTTGCTTGAGGTGATTTTCGTCACGACGATCAATAAATTTTTTTTGCTAGATCGTTTTGTAATGAGCTATTACAGTCGATCTTCTGGCACTGCGTAATTCGAAAAACTCGCGTCAAATATGAAAAAACCAAATGAATATTTGGCACACTCTCAACACACAGTACAACACACGTCACGCTCGTTTTTAGCGTGCGTGCATAGTACACGACCGGTTGTTATCAGCAGCACTACAGCTCTGAATTGAGATCACCACTTATATTTGCAATTTGTGTAAAAAAGAAAAAAATAAGAAAAGATCGAGCGCGAGAACGAAAGAGAAACGAAGAGAAGAGCTAGTGTGTGCGAGTGATATGCGTAAGGTAATATGTTACCTTTCTCACGGCTGTGCAGGCATGCGCTTGTGCTCAGGTAGAAGACAGAGAAAGAAATTGAAATCACTTTTCCTCGTTCTCACGGATGCACAGTAAAAACTCTCTATCTTGCTCGCTCTCACTTAACCAAAATATCGCCACGGTGCGACAATGTATTATTGAGTGGCAATTTACGTGCTTTCGCGCTTTTTGGACAAATCGCAGGTTGCGTTCTCCGTCGGTAATGAAGCACATCGTGGAACGCAATAGCCAAGTGACGTCACTGGTTCACAATACAATGAGCAATTATATTATTGCAGTTTGCATACACGAGGACTGTTGAATGTCTTAAAATCTTTTTTATTTTCATAGTTATATCAGTTATATGTATATATATATATATATATATGCCCAGTATTTTTAATATTTAATAAACATTTACGTAGTATCATGAAAAGTAAATAATTAGTTAATTTAAATTTGCAGTGGATAAGTTAATTTTTTCACGGTTGACTATTACACTTTGATATCAATATATATATCATAGTTGACATAGATGTGCTAGGTCAATCTAACCTGAAACGCTGACTTGTCAATGCTGTCGCCGTATGGAAGTATAACAAGTTCTTCACCTCATTAATTTATTTGACGATTGTGTTTATTAAGTAAGGTATTTATAACGTAAGAAATGGCTCCTCGCTTGAAAATTTTGTCGAACGTCGTAAAGGTAAATGTGAATTTTTCATAAATGATTTTAAGAATAATTTTTCAACTATTTTGTGTTTAAATGTGATATCTATTAGCAATTAATCTAATTATTTATGATTTATAGCGGTTGAAAAAATTAAATGCTGCAGTCACTGGTCATTTATATGGAGTTATAAATGAGGAAACATTAACAGTTTTGACTTTTAGTATCAATCCTGTAGATGATGATGACCATAAAATTCAACCGATAGATTTGCAATTATGTATGTCTGCTGAAATTGATCTTTTTGGAATCTTATATGTTGATCAATACAAACAAGACATTCCTGATGCTTTTAAGGTTGGTTCATGTTAAAAATGGTTATTTTTTACTAAAAATGGATTGTAATGTTATATTTTGTTGATTTTACAAATGTTTCTCAGGATATAGATGTTACAGATAATCCTTTGCTAATAAAATATTCCCTTGATGCAGCAGATATCAATGCTTTTTATTACATTCATCAAAAATTAGAGCCTATAAAGTTCGATATAATAAATGAGGAAGATCTAAGGAAAAATTTTTGCTATGTTAGATTACAAGCTACTTTGCCTTTTATTTCAGAGAAAACAAATGTCTTGGATACTCTTCAAGAAACAAGAAAAAAGGCAAATATATATTTGTTTTATTTTTAAATATCTTATTTTGATATTTATTTTTTCTATATAATATGTGTTATTCCAGTTAGCAGCTGGAAAAGTAAGTTTCTATTTTGATGAAAGCAATGTTTTTCTTTTCGGAAATAACTCTGATGGAGATGCAGAAAGCAAATCAGCAAAAGAATTATTACGTACTGCTAATAATAAACCAACTCCTGGTGTTATTGTAAATAATCTTTTCGAGGAATATTAATATTATAATTGTAAAATAATTAATATAAATAGTTATAATTTTACAGGAAGTTGTAGAAGCTGGTATGTTATTAAAAATGTATAATGATAAAATTACAGAAGAAAAAATTAAACATGCACCTATCATTCAGCACGTAAAACGTAAGCTGCTAAGGGTTAGAGATAAAAAAATTTATTTAAGTTCTTCATATACATTATTATTTTTCAGAACCTGTTGAATTTTACAAGTTTTCTATGAAAATTGATGCTTTATCTTTGGTGGGCCACAATGTAACAATGGCACAATTGTATGAAATTCTTGTTGAATCATTATGTCGCAATTTAAGACTGATAGGTGCATCATTTGAAAGCCAATTAGAATTAGAAAATACAGAGTTGCGACTTCCAGCACCAATACATTTCAAGCCAGTGAACTTTGGTCATTTACTGACTTTGGTATACCCTGTTGGTATTTCCGCATCAGAAACGTGTAAGTCTTAAAGATATATTACTTTTTATAGATTTTAGTCAATTTTCCTAATCATTCCTGGGTTTCAGATGAATATCGAAAGAGCTTACATAGACGATTGGCTTTGGACATGACAAGGCCTTATTTCAGACATGGAAATGCAGTCAAGTTTCAAAATGATTCAAAACGAAATAAGCTTTTATTGAATCCTCATGAATTAGTTGCCAATCCTGATGGTAAAATTTATTGTACATGTATTGATTACATAACGAAAAAAAAATTAATTCTAATGATTTCTAAATATTCAGGAAGTCAAATAAGTGTTGTAAATGGTTTATATGCCTATTACCATTACATGCAAGATGGTTTTGATGATAATGGCTGGGGATGTGCATACAGATCGCTCCAAACGATTATTTCTTGGTATAGGTAAGCTAAATGATATAGTGAATATTTTCTTGACATCAAAACTATAAAAAAATAAATAATATTTATTCAGACTGCAAGGATACACGGATAAACCAATTCCTTCACATAAGGAAATTCAAAAATGTTTGGTAGATATTGGCGACAAAGATTCCACTTTTATTGGCAGCAAACAATGGATTGGATCTACTGAAGTTGGTTTCGTTTTGGAAAAGATGTTGAGCGTTTCAATCAAAGTTATAACAACCAACAGTGGAGATGAGATGCCTTCAATAGTTCCTGATTTGGAATACCATTTTCAAACTCAAGGAACTCCAGTTATGATTGGTAAATTTGGTATCTACAATGTGTTTACAAGCTTTTTTAACCCATATCAAATTTTTTGTTTATTACAGGTGGAGGTGTTTTGGCACATACAATTCTTGGTATATCAAATGACAAAGAAACTAGGGAAGTCAGATTTTTAATTTTGGATCCACACTATACTGGTCCTGAAGAAATAAATATTATTCTTAATAGAGGCTGGTGTAGTTGGAAGAAGAAAGACTTTTGGAGAAAAGATGCCTTTTATAATATGTGTCTACCACAAAGACCTAAATGCATCTAAAAATTTTCATTTTGATAAGAAAGCATATCGATATTGTATATATAGTATATATTGACAGAATGAAAAATTGGTGTATATGAAAGTAAATTTTTTACCATTCTATATATGGTTATGTGTGATCAGAATGCAATTGTATAGCGCATTGTAACAAAATATTTAATACCAAATCACATATTCAATGGGTCGTGTACGTAGATCTTATTCGATACACTTGAGTACTTATTTTATTTAAATGAAATTACAAGTCCTTCTAAGTTTCTAATAATTGAAAGCACAGTTTTTTTACTTGTAAAAGTCTTTAAAGTCAGCTACCACGGCAAAAAATACTGTAGGGAGTTTTTTCGTCTTAATATCCTAAATCATAGGTATTAATCAATTAGATAAAAAGGGTTTCATGTGCTAACATCAGCGCAAAAACTGAAACAGTCACAGTAAAGATAACCACGAAACAAAACAAGCTATAAAGCCTAAGGGAAAATCGAGAAGGAATAGCAGCTTCAGTAACTGTCAGACTTATTCATTTATAATATTGAAAATAGGTCTACGAGAACTCATATTTCACTCATATGAAACAACTAGGAAAAAGTTGCACATAATCTTCCTAATTTACCAGAAACCAACCTAAATGATTGTCTTAGCGAGTATTGTAAAGAAGATCGATGTTAGAGAAAAAAATATATTTGAAATTTTAATAGTCTAGAATTATAATCGTGAAAAGCTTGCTACAATTGGTGCATTGATTAAGTATACTGGAGATACAGAAGAGTATGGTAATTATTCATAACTCAGAGTAATTATTTATTGAAAAAATTATTCAAACCCTATGAGGTTTTTATTTATAAAAATTTTACTTCAATATATAATATGATAACTATCAGCTCAATAAACTATAAAGATGCATACTGAAGACGAAATTTAGGGTATAATTATATTTATAATTATATTTATAATTATATTTATAATTTCCGAAAGTTTTTTACTAAAAACAATATATTTGATTTTTATACTGTTTAAATTAATTGTTTCATTATAACGTATTAGAAAATATAAGCTAAAATAAAAACATTTTTTTAGGCTTTACGATTATCACAAAAATACAACTCAAAAATGCTACGTAAATTCGCTATTTCGATGATACCAAACGAGTTAGGTCAAGAGCTTACTTTGGCAAGCTACGCTCCTGCAACTTGCAGAAAAAACAATTATAATAATACCTCAACGAGCAATGATGCTCAATCGTTAAAAATAATTTGAATTTTGAACTTGGCCGATTGCGCGAATTAATGTTTGGGCAGATATATGACGATAAAAACTACATCGGATAAAGTTTGTAATAATTCGTACAAATTCAAAGCTTTCTATAATTACTCAATAAATGTTACATTAATGATAAAAATATATAAAAAATTTTTATAAAAAATAATAATTATATAATAACTATGTATACGCATTTTTGAATATCTATCTAGTAATATATTTTATTTTTTAATTAAATAATGTGAGATCTGTAAAAAATTTAGAACTGTCAATTTTACACACATTTGCTTACCGTCGTGAAAACGTAATAATGATCATGTAAATTGCGCGTGGGGTAAATCTATAGACATATCTTGAGTCATATGGTCGCGGCATTCTGACGGCAAAGTGCCAACATTTGGCTATTTGGAGGCTTATTCTGAAAAAAAATGTTGCAGTACATCAGTTTATCACTTCAGTTTACCACATAATTAATCACTTTAGTAAAACTTTATCGATCGAAGTACTCATGCGAGCCACAAGCGAGACGAGCTGTTTGAAATCGCAACTCTAGTAACATCACTAAAAATATCTAGTTCGATTATTTAGTACCAACACTACCGGTAGTGAGCAAAAGTAACTGTTGTTTAAAACTGTAGCGCCGAACATACCACATTTAATGAACGCTTATCTAACCTTTACATTATTGCAGTCTATAAGATGGGAAATGATAGAGAATTGATAGACTTTCAACTACAATTAGTGGAATTAGGCCTTAATTTTATGGAAGTACTTGAATATACAAGAAGAAGGAGAAAATATATATAAATGATATGTATTAATCATCCCAAAAGCTTTTTTTACATTAGCATACTCATCAATAAGCAATATTCATGAGAATTTGAAAAGTAAATTGTAGTAGACCTGACATTTGAACATTAAATGTGGTACGTTCGGCGCTACAGTTTTAAACAACAGTTACTTTTGCTTACTACCGGTAGTGTTGGTACTAAATAATCGAACTAGATATTTATAGTGATGTTACTAGAGTTGCGATTCGCGTCCGTATCCGTCCGTATTCATACGTTAGCTATAGGACCGGGGTCTTATTAGTACAGACTGTGGCAAAATACCACGCGGTTTTCTGATATAGAGAGAGCCTTACCTGGAGAAAGTCTTAGGTGCGTGCATTGTTTCAATGAGAAATATTGTTTTTGTTTGAATAATTGTTATAATGTTATTTTTATGTAATAAAATATTTGTGCGCGATTTTTACTAACGATTCAACATATTTCTATAAAGGCTTAATTCAAATATTACGCAGATTTAATTTCTATTGATCTGCAAGCGTTCAAATGTTTGAATTATTTATTAACAAAAACTCAATTGCGCGAAGTTATTAATGAGTTGTACCATCCTTGCTAACCATGCGCAATTTTCTATAATTTTTCCAAGTCTATTTTTGTCAATATTCGACTGAGTTCTTTCATCCGATGAAAACCCACTTTGTGCCGGTAAATGTGACCTACACTAATAATATTAGTGTAATACATTATTTGGCGATGTTTACAGTCGCTATCACGCAAGCCGGAGAAATTTTTTTACATACTGCCCTCGCGACCTTGTATATTAGAAAATTTTATATCAGTTACTAGTATGTATGTTCATACAACTATTATAGCTGATAAAGGTACATCTATACTTTTAATTTGCAATAACATAAAAGTTATTTTTTCTAGAAAATCATACAAACATGGTTTCTGAAGAGCAGAACTCTGATGTTGAATTAGCATCAGAAGTCATACCAGTACCCCAAGTGCAACCAGAAGCTGTTGCCTTAGAAGTTGTGAATGACAATAATCAAGAAGCAAATAATATTTCTCACAGAAAACCTCGTCAAAGAAAAAAAGTACTTTACAATGCCATATTGAAACAAATGGAGTTCTACTTTAGTGATTCAAATTTAACAAAAGACAGATTCCTTGCAGAGCTCATAAAACAAGATCCAGGTAGTTTATGTTATCTGATTAATGAGTAGTATATATAATGATTATTCTTTTTTAATAAAGTATAAATATTATAGATGTGGATCTCGAGATTTTTTTAAGGTTTAATAAAATTAGGGCATTGACTACTGATATTAGCAAAATTGCTAAAGCACTTAGAGATTCACAAATGCTGAAGGTTTCTGATGATGGTACCAAAGTTAGTCGTATAACTCCCATTGTTCGAAAAGAAAATATAGATGAATGTACTATGTACATTCAGGGTCTACCATGTGATGCAGATCATGAATGGCTGATAACTCTTTTCTCTGAATATGGTCCAGTTGCTTATGTTTCTATTCCAAAGTTCAAATCTAGTAAGAAAATAAAAGGTTTCGCTTTTGTGGAATTTGAAACTGTTGAAGGTGCTGAGAAATGTTTAAAGGTAAAAACTTCAATATTATCTTTTTATTTGAAATAATAATATAATTATTTTATATTATATTTCAGGCATTCAGAAAGAAAGGGTGTGAATTACCATCTCAGACAATACCAAGTCAAATCTTAAGCATTTCAACTTTTACTGAAGATAATAAACAAGAAGAAAATCATGGGATCAATAAAAATGACATTGATAGTAATGCCAATGAACAAGATAAACATAAAAGTGAGAAATCAAAATATAAGAAAAGAAAACAATCTTCAAAATCTGATGATCCTCAAGATCAATCAGATTGTTCAAAGTCAAAAAAGAAAAAATATGAAGATACTAAGAAAGATTTAAATATAAGTCAGCTTGTCTCAAACACTGAAGAAAATAAACGTAATAAAAAGAAAAAACGTAAAGCTTTGTATGAAGCACAAAGTTCAGATAGTGAAACTCAAAGTAAAGAAAAGATTAAAAAACTCAAAACATTAAAATTTGAAGAAATTATATCTACAAAAGATCATGATAACTCTGAAAGTGAAAATAACAGTACAGTAAATAATGAAGAAGTCATTGAAAATATGAATGAAGAAAGTACAACAGAAAAAAAAAAGAAGAAAAAAAGAAAACGAAAACATCGTGGGACTTATGAAGCTTTGGAAGCAACAGATATGGGACTTCAAGTTATGAGCAAGAAGGATTGGAAAAGATTAAGAAATAAATATTTAGATTTACAAAGATCAAAAATGAAGCAGTTGAAACTACATCTACGAAAGGCAAAGTGGAATCGATGGGCAACTAGAACAGATGTAGATTTTATTGAATTAATAGAAAATAGAAAAATTTTGAAGTATACGCCAAATGTAATTGTAAAGGTAGAATTTAAAGAAGCTTGTGTAGATCCAAAAGGTTTCAAGGTAAATATGCATAAATCTTATGTTAAAAATTAAAATAACAGCTTTTGTTACGTTTAGTTTTAAACGTTTTCAGGAGGAATTTCGAAATAATAATCACGTAAAATACATAGATGTCAAGGAAGGTTCAAATAAAGCTTTTATAAGATGCGATTCATCACAATCAGCAAGAGAAATATCTGAAAAAACGACTAACGAACGGCAGTTCATAGTTTTAACTGGTTCGTAATTCTTACATTATTTCAATAATTTTATTTATATATAATTAGAAAATTGCCATAATTTTTTAGGTGAAGAAGATAAGTCTTATTGGGATAAAATTACCAGAGATCGTGAAGAGAAAATTGGTAAGAAAGTCAGAGTAAAACAAAGAGGACGCGACAAGTTACTGAAGAAAGCCGAAAAGGAATTAGGAAAGCATATTAAATTTGATGAGGTCTAGAAATATAATTATAAAATAAGTCTATGGAAAATGTATTATATTTCATTTAACTTCTTTAGCACTCCATGTTATGACGATAATTTTTATTAACAAAATAGTAGTTTCATTCATTCAAAATATTTCTTTCACACAAAATTATATCTAATTTTGGGGCTACCATTTGCCTCGCCCCCTGAATCCACCTCCTCTTCCACCTCGGAATCCGCGACTTCCACCTCCTCGACCTCCAAAACCGCTACTACTTCCTCGGCCTCCAAATCCGCCACCACCTCCTCGGCCGCCAAAGCCGCCACCTCTACCACCAAAACCACCACCATGGCCACTTCTTCCACGGCCACCACCTCGTCCTCCACCACGGCCACCTCCGCGTTTTTGAACAGAACCTGGAGGCTTCGGTAAAAACCTCTGGAGAGGCAGTAGTTTTGCAGGATCTATGAATAACTGGAATATAAAAAAAATAGAAAAAAATTACAATTTTAGCCTTATTACCAAATGGGCATATGTTTAATCAAATAATGTAATGATACATTATTATCGTACCTTTGTGTTTTTTTCAAAACTATTAGCTTTAATATTTTCAGCCAACTTAATAGAAACATAATAATCTCTAATGTTTCCAAATATTTCATCTATTTTGCCTACTTGTTGTTTGTTTTCTAGATAAATAGGTGCATTAAAGTAAGGAACTTGCTCAATGTCAACTTTGGCTACTAAATCATCTTGTACCGACCATTCATAATGACACAAAGGAGTTACTTCTTCTGGTGGGCCTTGGTCGTAACTGCAAATCAATTATGTTAAGTGGTGGCATGGAATTAATATAATTAGACAATTGATAACTCACTTGCTTCTGCGATCTCCACCACCTCCTCTTCCTCTGAAACCACCACGTCCACCCCTGAATCCTCCTCCTCCTCTATCGGAGAAACCACCACCACTACCTCTACCACGGAATGACATTGCTTATCTATTAATGTTGTTTTAAGTGTTTCTCCTGTGAAAAAACGTTAATGATAAATGAAATGTTGACAAACTTCTTTATTCAAGTTCGCATTCAATGATAAAAAGAACAATCATATGCAATATTATTATTTTTTATAAAAAAATTCCGATTTTCAGACAAAATTCTATCATGTATTTATGTTTATTTTTTTTTTTTAATAAATGAAAAAGCCTTTTCAATTTTAAGATGCGAACCACGTGCCTAACCTCTAGTCAAAATATAGAACTGTTATTAAGAGTTTAAAATGATTAGGCGGTTAAAAATGTCAATTTTTATTATTTTCTTTCTCATTTTTTCACTCAATCCAACTATTTTTATAAGTATTTTTGTACATCAAAATATAAAATTAGAAAAATAAATACTCTTAAACACCTACTGTTTAGGGTTGCACGATATGTCAGTACTGCTAAACATAACCTCAACTAAACAAACCATACTATACAGTTAATGCCGGGAGACTATATATATAGCAAAAAGTATATGTATGTATATATATATATACACATAGCGCCATACTATAAGCCATGGACGCTCTATACCATGGAGACTGTATACTTCTCCATGCTCTATACACTCCATTTATAAAGACTAGAAAGCGAGTTAAACTCGAATCATCTTGAATTGAACACCCCCCTTACCCCAGCCAGCAAAGTGTAATGGATAGTGAAAATAAAAAATACCATTCGAAATATCTCTAATTGAACCCAACCCTCCAAAAATGCTCATTTTAATTGAACCTCTTCAGTTGTCCCAAAAAAAAATTAAAAACTATGATAATTTTTTCGTTTTTTGCAACTGCGATATCTTTAGTAATACTTAATATATTTGCAATGAAACAAGGCAAAAAAATTGAACCCTTGCTCGTTTTAATTGCACCCATCTTACTTTTTCAAAATTATCAATATATATGTCAAAATCAACAATCTAATTTTATTGTATGTTCTTTCCAAATAACCCAATAATACAATAATCTATTTCATTCTAATTGATTAAAGAGATCCGGACGATTTTAGATTTTTATTTTATTTATATTAAAAATTAAATAATAAAATAATAATAGAATACTGTAAGTAATATATACACGATGACATTAACTTGTGTTTGTTGTAAAAAACAACCTATCCCATTTGATAAAACACGCAGTTTTTATAAGTAAAAATATATTTGCTTATAACATTGTTTTTAGTTTAGAAGTATTAAAATTTTAAAGGTGCAGTATTTATACATCCTATTAATTGTATCAACAATTTTATTCTTTAAGTCCATTTTTAATATTTTCGAGAAAAACGTCTTTTGATACTAAAGTAACATTGATCTATGCAGGAAAACATTTTTTTCATTTAAATCCACTCAATTAAATTTTTATGAAAAGGAAACTTAAATCGATTCGCTTTTTCCCTGTCGATATTATTCTTCATAGTGAACATTTTCGTTATACAAACATTTGATTAGTCTAAATCTGTGGTGCATAACAGAAATTATTATATTCATACATTTTTTCATTAATATTACATAGTTAACCATAACTGGAACAAGAATAAGTAAATATATTATTAATTAATATTAATTAAATATGACAAAAAGAGAAAAGAAAGCAGAAATTAAACAAAAAATTACTACTATTTCTGGTACAAAGATAAATCCTTTTCATTACGCAAAACACCGCCTGAGTACATCATAATATACAGTATTTTAATTCTTTGAATTTATTTAAATACTTATGATTAGGAAATTTATTTATTCTTTCTTAAAGTTTCAAAATTATTACTACTCTTTTTTTTACATTTCACGTTTCAGTTATATGAAGATCGCATTGAAAGAGCGAATGCGCGAGTTATGAGTCAATGACAACAGCTTAGTGCTTTACGCATACGTGATTCAACAGAGACATAAAGAGGTGATGTATATTCTCTCTCTTTCTATTCACACTACGCTTCCACCTCCGTGCGCCCTTATATCTCACCTACTCTATCTATATCTCTATGATATTGATACCATAGTGAAATATATCAATAATTAAAAAATTTCGCGCTAATAAACTGGCTATAGTATTACTATAAAGTATAAACCCACATAGCAAAATTTTGAAAAATAAAAAGTAAAAATAGTTTTCAATTAAGATGATTTTGCTCAAATAGCCTACATTTTCCTAATAATTTGCCTCATTGCAGCCAGTTGATCTAAATGTTCTAGTCTTTGCAAGATTTTATAACAGACCCATGAAAAAAAGAACTAAGGAAAATTTTGCAACGATTTTTTTAATAATTTTAAATTGATAAACTATCGTTAGTGTAAAAGATGTTATTAATTACATTTTTTTTACCTCTCAATTTGCGTAATTAAATAAAAGAAATAATAATAAAAAAGGAAGCATATATATTTGCTTTAAATATATACATGTAACATCTTTGAACAAGCTAGGCAAAATATAATTGGTGATCAAACGAACTTATCAGTAAAGTTTTATCGTAATTATATAAGTAGGCAGGCTATTATTAGAAGAAATTTTAATCCCACCCGTTTTAAATCTATTCTCATATATTTGTTCTTTTCTCTTTGTTATGCATACATAATTATTTACCTCACCCTAGAATATTCTCGCTTTCCACTAAACTTAAGGAAATGAGAGATTAACAGGAGGAAGCAGGCAGTATTTATAAAGACTAATATAAGGAAGTAAGACGGGGTGAATAAAAGATTGATCGGTCAAAGTAGAAAGTTTCCTTTTCTTCCAGATTCATCTGTAAACTGGCGTCACCTGATAACGAGTTGCAGTACTACATGTAAAATATCTTCGAACAAGCCTACTTATAATTATGATCGAACTTCATACAAAGTTCGTTTGATCATCAATAATGTTTATTTATTTGTATAACGTAAGGTTAAAATATTTTGATTGAATAGAAAATTGCACGTGGTTTTTACTAACGATTCAACACATTCATATTTCTCTATAAACCGAATTGAAACCCTACACAGATTCAATTTCTATTGATCTAGTAGTGTTCAACTTTTGGAATTTTTTTATTAACGAAATCTTCATTGCGCGTAATTATGAATTAGTTTTGCTATCCTTGCCAATTACGCGCAGTTTTTCTTTAATTTTTTCAGGTCAATTTTCAACGATTTGGCGCTGAATTCTTTCATGTGTATAACGTATCCATTTCATAAAGCAATAACTCACTTGTATACTTATACTTACATTTACGCATGTGCTTTTTGCTTTACAAAGGTGATGGAGATTAAATAAATACATTAGTGAAATACTTTCTGACCTCTTGTGGAAAAAACGTCTCTTCTTGATTCATTGAAAAATATCAACGATAACGTCAAATTGAAGGGAAAACAACCTGGAAGATTCCATTTGTAACAGCAAAGACGTCGCAAATTGCGTTGTTTGGAATCGATGATTTCCTCGGTGGATTACTAATCATTATTATTATTATTATATAGTGCAGTTGCCTGAATTAAAGAATCTTTAGAATAGGATGATAATATTATAATTGTTCAACTGAATCACCACCAAGGTTGACACTATTACATTTTGTAAATTAAAACGATTTATTACGCCTATATTTGGATCCTATAGTTTACAAAGCGGTTTTGTGTAATTGTCAACAAGTAATCTTAATATTAACAATGTCGGCGAAAAATACAAGTGGTGCTTGTCTTAATTCTAACAAATCACTTCCTATTGACACGGCATGCTTAAGTATCAGAAACTACAATGATCATATTGTGACATTCTTCAGCAGGTTTGTGGACTGTCACTATGTAAGTTATTTAATAATTCTATTTATATTGAATTTGTTTAGATATTTGTTCAACTATAGTTTATATGATTATAGTGTTCTGAACAGCCAGTTGTAAACTTACCTGCAAACAGTAATACGACTATTCAGGTATCCACAAAGTATCCATTGCAATTTGCATACAATGACACTGTAGGAGGTGAACAATATTTTTGGTGTAAGTAAGTATTAGAGTGTTTATATAACACTAGGCAATGATGTCATTCTTTGTAAATTATAGTTACATGTATGTATGTATATATATCTTTCAGTAAAAATTATTCTTTTAAAGAGCATGGAAAATATGGTTGGAATTTGTATCCAGTAACAGGCAACTGCTCTGATATTTATCCTTTATATGAACCATGGAATCCATACTTGCGTAAGACTTTGCACGTTTTAATATATTTTTCAATAGTAATTTTATTATCAATTCTTATTTTTCTTACTTTGAAATTATATTTAACAGCTCTTCTTGCTGCGGCTATGGCATATATTCTTGCACTTATCATATTGTTTACATCCAGGTTGATTATAAATACAGTAAAAATATATTTAAGAAAGCCAGATGAAAGCCAAAGTGTAAATATCTATATTATAATTTAAAGATAATATCCTACATTATTAACTTTATTCTAAAAATTCACAGGATTTTGATAGACTGCAAGAATCAGAAAGTAGTCCTCCAATGCTTTCAGTTTCAAAAACAAGTATGAGAATACAATCTTTAGATGCACTAAGAGGGTAATAATTATTAATTTCAGATTAAAATTGTTCATAATTACTTCATCTAGCTAAAATAAATTTTTATTTACAGAATAGCAGTTTTATTGATGATATTTGTAAATAATGGAGGTGGGGAGTACGTCTTCTTAAAACATGCAGCATGGAATGGTTTAACAGTTGCAGATTTAATTTTGCCTTTGTAAGATATTTTTATATTAAAATGAATACTAAATTAATTATTATTTACATGCATTCATTTACACCTTCTATAGTTTTGCTTGGACCATGGGCTTTACAGTTGTAAACTCGGTAAGAGTGCAATTGAGAGTATCAATTTCACGTACAAGACTAGTTATAAAGCAGCTTCGTAGAACTGCTTTTCTGATACTCTTTGGTTTGTTAATCAACTCTCAACAGAAATCTTCACTAGCAGAATTGAGATTTCCTGGAATATTACAGTTATTGGCTATCTCATATTTTGTTTGCTCAATGATTGAAACATGCTTTGCAAATGCTCAGAGGAACTTCCAATTTGGAAGATTTGTATTCTTACAGGATATTTTAGAAAGATGGGCTCAATGGTTAGTTGTGCTTGCTATAATACTCATTCATACTTGCATAACATTTCTTCTACCAGTTCCTGGATGTCCACGTGGATATTTAGGTCCAGGAGGATATGATCATTTTAGTAAATATGTAAATTGCACTGGTGGAGCAGCTGGTTACATTGATAGAACTATTTTTGGAAAACACATATACATGAAACTAAAAAATCCAATTTATGGTTCTACTCTTCCTCATGATCCAGAAGGTAAATTGATACATTCGATATTGAATAATTTTAACAAATCATAGATTTAATTTATACAACTATACTTTTATAATCACTCAGAATAATTTTAATTATATTGATATTAATTTTTAAATTGAATCTTTGTAGGCCTTATGAATACTATTTCGGCGATCATCATTGTTTTCTTAGGAGTTCAAGCAGGACGTATTTATGTAACTTACTATCAAGCAAATTCTAGAATTATCCGATGGGTTGCTTGGTTTGTGGGAACTGTAAGAACACTTCCAATTTTTTTGTTCAATTAATTTTTATAAGTCACTTATTAAATCCACTCGTTTTAGGGTCTTATTGCGGGAATATTGTGCGATTTTAGTAAAGATAATGGAGTTATTCCAGTAAATAAGAACATGATGTCATTGTCTTACGTTCTATGTACATCAAGCTTCGCCTTTCTGCTTTTTGCTATACTTTATTATTTGATTGACCATAAGAAATATTGGACTGGCGCACCATTCATTTATGCAGGTAACAATAAAAATGAATTTTACATGAATACAAAAATGAAAAACTATTAAATAGATTAGCTAACATTTAATACTTTTTCATAATAGGCGCTAACTCAATATTATTGTACATTGGTCACTACGTGACAATGGGATTGTTTCCATTTGCCTGGGATATTCCTGGCACATTGACTCACAAAAGTGTATTAGCTATGAATTTGTGGACAACCGTTTTGTGGGCATTTATAGCTTACGTTTTATACAAAAAAGAGATTTTGATATCTATATAAAAATATCGTCTATATAAAAATACCAACTGTTAATTTTCGAAAGATTAAATCCTAAGAAGAGAAACATACAAAGAAGAGAGGATTGATAATATTTTAAGTATTGTGATATTCGCTAATCTATTATGAAGAGAATTTACTGCTGTGTCTATCGTTTTCGAAATTTAATCTAAATGCGCGAAATTAGTATCTTGTCAACTAATACAGTATTTTATAACTTAATCGATACATTTATTATTTCACAAAAAGTAGAAAATTATATTTTTTATAATACATTTAATATTTGCATTACAAATTATAAATTATGTAAAAAAATTTTAATACGCCGAAAAATTTCTAGAAATAATAGTAAATAAATAATTAATTTTGCATAATAACTAAATGGTTGCCTTTCATTTTATTAGACGTTCCTCTGCTCTGGTTTTTTGTACGGAAGATCAAGTATTTTGAAAATATCTTCTTCGCTAATAATTTTTTCAGCATCACCTGGCGTACCTATAACACATTCAATATTCAATATTGCTTCATTTTTTTATAAGAAAGAAAAATTAAGAATTGATACCTTCTGGTGTTAACTTTTTGAGCGTATACTCGTTCAAAGTATATCTTTTTTCTAGTGCACGAGTTCGTATCTCCTTGTTAAACATATCGCTCCCAGTAAAATATAAAACTGCACAATAATATTGATCGTATGGTGCTAAGCGAATATCTATTCTTCTGTATGGTTTTTCATTATTCAATTGACATACACCCTAAAACAATAATAATTCACATCTAACCTTAAAAAAAATATTTAAATCGAATGTTAAAAAAGATTCATTTCGAGTATATTCACCATAAATTTAAACTCTCCATGAGAAATCGTATCAGTAATGAAATTTTCCTCTTCCAACTGTTTGATAACCGCTTTCAAAAGCGAAGTGTGCTTTTTTTTATTTTTCACCTCGGAAGTGTATGTTGGATGCGCCAATAGAATGTCAATGTCACCGCTTTCTTTTTTGCCTCGTCTGTAACTTCCGCAAATAGTAACGAGAAAATCATTATCCATTTCGGTAATACATTCCTTTAGTATACTTTCGATTTCCTCAATTTCTTCTCTAGGTATCTTTTTTTCAAAGTCATCGAAATACCTGGAAAATAAAAATCATAACTTGAAAATTCCTTTCAGAAAATAATATTTTGGAAACAGAAAAGAAGTTACTTTAATCCTATTTTTTGATGATGGTTGAGCATATTATCGTGCTTTTTTAAATCTTCAAGCGTTTTAATTCCTGCATTAACAAGTTCTTTAGCTTTCGCTGGGCCAATGCCAGTGACTCTCGTTAATAAATTAATGGCAACATTAGTTTCATCTTTCATGATCTATATATATTATTTAAGTTTAAGATTGAAATTATACAAAGTTGGATCAATTATACAAAAGAATTACTTTCTTACTTCTTCTAATTTTCTTAATTTTCCCGTTTTGAGAAACTCAGCAATCTTTTTTTCAATTTTATCACCAATTCCAGGTAATTTCCTCGCCTCTTCGCTAGACTTTACTCTTTCCGGTAAGCTTGCCAAAGTAGTGGCTGCTTTACGGTATGCATTTGCTTTATAAATATTTTTGCTGACATTGCGCTCATAATTAGACAGTTCTGAAAAATTCAAATCGAAATCGATAAAATTATCACTTCGACAATGCTTCCTTGGCGTGTTCCAATAATTGATATAGATTTTCAAATTCGGCGCTCTTCTTACCCATGTGACTATGTTAATATACTTATGTGCTATGCGACTATACTATAGCTGACCTTGTCCTATCAGAGTAAACAAAACGAATATGGGATCAAAACTGAAAGTCTTATAGGTATATCTTATATGTCCGTTAATAACGCTACTGTCGTATGGTAAAGTGATTTATTGTATTAATAATTATTTATGTATAAAATCGTCAAATCTAGCAAAACGTAATTTCAAATTTGCCGACTCAAGTCATTGAATTCAAATAAAAATAATGGAGGTAGATGATCAGAACACTGATGGAAGGGCGGAGGTTAAAAATAATGAGGATTCTGTTAATTCCGGAGAAAAATTCACTCAAGAATCCTTAGATATGGATATTTCTCCAACTGATGTTGCCGAACTCGAAGAAGACTGTCAACAGGAAAAAGAAGAGTTCGTACCTGATATTGCTGAAGAGGAGGAATTGAGACAATTTGATGTGCTCGACGATTTGGAAGCATCTGATTCAGAAGGTTGTTCCAATGACAGTATTGATTCTGATGTCCCAGATGATGAAATTGAAGCTATGCTAGAAGAAAGTCTGCCCGAAGAGTTCAAAAGAAAGTTGGCGGACAGAAAAAATCAGGTGCATTATGAAGAGAAGGAAAAGCTTATCATGGATGAGATTGGACATAATCATTTTGAATTTTTACCTGAAGGGTGGGTCAAAGTAAGTTTTACAATTAGATATACATATAAAAAAAGCATATCTTGTTAATAATTAATTCGTTAATTAAAAAATGTTCTTTCTCAGGTAACACATAATAGTGGTATGCCTTTATATTTGCATAGACAGAGTAGAGTATGTACGCTGTCAAGGCCTTATTTTCTTGGACCAGGAAGTGTAAGAAAACATGAAGTACCAGTAAGTGCCATTCCTTGTTTACAATATAGAAGAGCAATGAAAACAGATGAGGAAGAAAAAAAAAGAATGCAAGATGTTCAAACTAGTAACTTGCCAAGTGCAAAAGTTGAAACTATTCAAGAGCATAGAGCAACACAATCTATTGATGGAGAAAACCTTAGAAACTATTGTCAAGCCCTATTCCGTTTCAAAACCATTAAAGTCTTGAGGTTCAAATCTTGGTCTCAGAGAAGGAAATTTGCTAAGAATAGAAAAAATCGTAAAGTAGAACGACCAACTTTACCAGATAATACTAAACTTATCACTCTTCCTATTGGTCTAATTCCAAGAACTAGTAGTTCAACTATAGATGAAGACAGCAATAAACCACCAAAGCCTTGGACAATGAATCCTTCTAATAAGAGTTATGTTTGTATTTTACATGAATATGTACAGCGTGTTTGGAAGACACAGCCTACATATAACTTCAAGGAATTAGAAAATCCATCAACTCCTTACTCTGCAAATGTAAGTATCAACAACATAGAGTATGGTTCTGGTTTTGGTAGTAGTAAAAAACAAGCTAAAGCTAATGCTGCAAAAACAGCTTTGGAAATTTTAATACCACAAATGCGCGATAAAATTTTCGACAATGCAGAAAATAATTCTTTGAACAGTAATCTATATGTACAAACTTCCAAAGTTAATACAGATACAGATTTATCGTTTTTTGATGAAATTTCAATTACTGATCCAAGAGTTGCTGAATTCTGTGCTAAAACTACTGAGCCCTTACCTTATACAATACTGACAACGTACTTGCAAAGAAATCGCGACCTCAAAGACGTACATATAAAATATTCTGTGAATACATTGAAGCATCAACGTAATGAATGTACTATGAGAGTGGGTAAATATGAGAATACAGTTATCTGTAGAAACAAAAAAGATGGCAAACAGAGGGCTGCTCAAGCAATATTGCAACTTATTCATCCTCACATCAACTCCTGGGGTTCATTATTAAGGCTTTATGGCTCTGGTAGTGTAAAAACATTTAGAGAAAAGAAACAATTGGAACAAGAAATCACATCACTTCAAGGTAAAGCTACAATTAATCAACCAAATCATGCAATATTAGAAAAGCTCAGGCAAGAAATGAAGAAACTATCTGAGGAAAGGCAAGCTGTGAAACCTATTGGAAAATTTGTTTCTCCAGACTTACCTACTGGATCAACATCAAATTTAGAAAGTATTGATTTATAATAAAATTCAAATCAATACCTATGAACTATCATTCATTTGAAAAACATCCAAGAAACTAGCTAGTTAAAAAAATGTATATATTTTTCAATATATTTTTACACAAACCAAAGCGCATTTGATCTATAGTAGATTTATTTATAGTAATACTTATTGTTACTAATCAGTAAGATTAACTTTGTTCAATAATTAAAGAATGTTATTTGTAAATAAGTATTCTTAAAAAACTATTAATTAATTACTATTGTGCAGCCTTGTACAACTAAGTAAACTGTTATATTAAGAATGATGATAATACAAGAAATTTCTTAGAAACTATTATCAGGGTTTATTCCGTTTCAAAACCATTATGAATGTTCAACCATCCGGAACCGCATCGTATATATTGTACACACTATTTCAAATTGACCGCTATGCAATATCAACTCTAACCTAACTTTAGAGTTGTGTGTTAGAGCTTGTAAAGAGCTTTCGTAACATAATTGTTTCTAGCAGTTGTTGATAGTAGTCCAGTATTTTAAAATTTTCTTAAACTATGTACAATGTGAATAAAATACGCAAATGGAAGCAAAAATAATGGAAATAGAGATAGATGATCGATACATTGACGAAATTACCGAACTTGAAGACGACGATGATTCTATTTCAAGAGAAAAAGCCATTCAAGAATCGGGTGTCATTTCATCAATATCTGAAGATGTTCCAGCTGATGAAAAACAAGGAAAAACAAATAATACACACGTACCTGAAAATGTTTGCAATGAAGAACTGAGGCATTTTGATGTGCTTGATGATTTAGAGCAACACAACAATCAAGATGAATCAGATTCTGAAGGTGGTTCAAATGATAGCATGGAATTTGATATTCCAGATGATGAGATTGAAGCTATGCTGGAAGAAGGTTTACCTGAGGAATTCAAAAAAAAGCGCAGAAAGAATGATTTACTTTACGAAGAAAAAGAAAAGCTTGTCCTGGATGAAATTGGTCATAACCATTTTGATGTTTTACCAGAGGGTTGGGTGCAGGTAAATAAAATCACATTAAGCGTTGCACAAATCTGCAACTTGAAAACTTTTCATATATATTTTATATATTACAGGTAACACACAACAGTGGTATGCCTTTATATTTGCACAGACAAAGTAGAGTGTGCACGCTATCAAAGCCATATTTTCTTGGACCAGGAAGTGTCAGAAAACATGAAGTACCAGTAAGCTCCATACCTTGCTTGCAATATAAAAGAGCATTGAAAGAAGAAGAGCAAGAGAAAGAAAGAGAAAAAGAACGTATACAAGAAGCAATAAATAATAGTTTGCCTAATGCTAAAATTGAAACTATCCAGGAAAATAGAGCAACCCAATCTCTTGATGGACTAAATCTTAGAAACTATTGCCAGTCTGTATTTCGTTTCAAATCTATTAAAGTTATGAGATTCAAGTCTTGGTCTCAGAGAAGAAAATTTACAAAAAATAAAAAACAACGTAAACAACTTGAACGCCCTACACTGCCAGATGGTACTAAATTGATTACTTTTCCAGTTGGAAATAACACAGCAGGTAATAGTTCAACATTAGATGATGACACAACTTTCCGACCACCGAAACATTGGATTATGAATCCTTCTGGCAAAAGTTATGTTTGTATTCTACATGAATATGTGCAGCATGCATTGAAAAAGCAACCTACTTATTTATTTAAAGAATTAGAAAATCCTGCTACACCATACTCAGCAGTGGTGTGTATAAATGATGTTCAGTATGGCTCGGGATTTGGTAGCAGCAAGAAACAAGCTAAAGCTGATGCTGCCAAAAAAACTTTAGAAACTTTGATACCACAAATGAGAGATAAAATTTCTGAAGAAACTGATACAGAAAGTAATTCAGTTAATTCTAGTCAATGTGTGAAAGCTTCTAAAGTTAATTCAGATGCAGATTTGTCTTTTTTTGATGAGATTTCTATTAATGATCCAAGAGTAGCTGACTTTTGTGCTAAAACTACAGAACCTTTACCCCACGCAGTACTAATTACATGCTTGCAGAGAAACTTTGGCCTTGGAGATATGCATATTAAATATTCTGTCAATACATTAAAGCATCAACGTAATGAATTTACGATGAGGGTAGGAAAACATGAGGCTACAGTTATCTGTAGAAATAAGAAAGATGGTAAACAAAGAGCTGCTCAAGCAATACTGCAACTTATTCATCCTCACATTCATTCCTGGGGCTCTTTATTAAGACTTTATGGGTCTGGCAGTGTGAAATCTTTCAAGGAGAAAAAACAATTGGAGCAGGAAATCACATTACTGCAAGGTAGAGCTGCAATTAATCAACCGAATCATGCAATATTGGAAAAATTGAGACAAGAAATGAGAAAACTATCAGAACAAAGGCAGGCTGTGAAACCTATTGGGAAATTTGTACCACCAGATTTACCAACTGGATCTTCATCTAATTTAGATAATGTAGATTTATGATAACTGGTTAAACAAAGAGATTCTATAAAAGCTCCAAAAACAGTATGATCATGCTAACAGGATATTAAATATAAATATTTACTAACATGCGCAGTAAAAGTAATTTTAGATATATTAAAATTTTTCATTTAATGTAATTGTATTTACTGTAATCATAAAATCAAAATATGATCAAATTTGAGCAACTTTCATAATTATATTTAAGTTCGATGGCTATGTGTTATTACTTTTACATGTTTCTTATTAATAATTATTGTAAACTGTATCCTAAATTGTAAGCAGCTATGATTATGTTATTGTAAATTAATCAAATTTTAATCAAGTTCATATATACGTAACAATGATTTTAAGTACTTATTAAAATGATTTTTTCTTTTACTGAAAATGTTATTGTAAATTTATACTCATTTACCTTATCTATTAATATAGTAAAAATTTTTTAAACAACCATTTAATTATGTCATTTTATCTGTTTCTTAAAAAATGAGATTAATCTGTATAGTGAATTTCATGCCATGTCAAGTAAATACAAAAGCGACCATAAATGTGGAAGTAAATTATTATATTGTAAAGAACAAAACAAAAACTATGCATATTTTAATTTTTCAAAAATTTTGTAGAGTAAAATATGTTAATATTTGAACATTTCAGAGGTTATACTACTAGTTTCTAAATTTTTTAGAAGTAAAACCAAGCCGTACCTATTAAAAAATCACACAAATCGTGATTTGCATTATCCGAGTGATCCGGAGCTTTTCGTTTACTCATGACGTTCTTTTTAATCGATGCAAAGTGCTGGCTACAAAATATGTTTTTGGATGTCAACAAAAGATTTGAACACCGGGAAAGTAGCATGGCTTCTGGCGAATGTGCTCAATTCAAATTGTTAAAAAATGCGTACTTTACTTACTACTTGGTGCATGAGTTAAAAAAATGTTAATACAATGATTTTTCCTATGTATTTATTCATATTTTATTCATAAATTCATTAAAATATATTAACAACGTTACAAAATTACTATTGGATACGCTCAAATTAACTTGTTAGGTAAATATTTACCCTATAACATCGATAAACTATGTAGACCGTAGTACATTTTTTTCTTTGCAAAGCTTAGAAATATGATTTGTATGTAAAGCTTTCACGTTTCTAATAATTTGATTTTATTAAATGTATTTACAGATCTTTCAAAATTATTCAAATGTTTTATATGTAAAGAAAGCTAATTTCCATTATTTTTACACTAATGAATTAAATTTTCTTCATAACACTTGGAGCAAGATTTGTTGAAAAAAGAGCTTTGCATTTTTTAGGTATCCAGTATTTAACAAGTTGCTGGAAAATTGTAAAAAAACATTTTCTTAATTAAAAATTTTTTGATTTTTGGCTTATCTGAAAGCATACTAAAAAGTGTTTGCATATAATGTAAATGGATATGTATATAAATATGTAAATGAATTGTAAGATAACTAAAATACTAAATGTAGAATATTAAGTAAACTTCAATAGCTAAAAGAGTTTTTAAAGTACAAAGAATGCTGTGAGATGGAGGTCTAAGTAAGTCGATTTTCTTAAATAAGGAAGTTGCCCTAATTTTAAGAGATAACTTCTGTAGCTGCTCATTAGAAATATGCCAGAACCTATTTAGTTTTTCTGACATTTGGCAAGTTCTCATTTATGTATGACACTGGAAGTAAAGTCTAAACTCTCATAAGTAAGTCTTCAGAAAATTACTATGCAGGCATACGACCATAAGCTACATAATGGGTGTTTGTACAAATTCCACAAAGAATGAAAAAGACTATGATGAAGAGTGAAGCTCCTAGTCCCCACACATAAATCCAGAGTTGATTAAATCTGTCTGGTAACCATAGTACTGTGAAATCTAGCGTTTTTTCTTGAGTATCTATAAAAAGAAATAAAATTTAACATACAAATAAAATGATAACATTTTGAAAAGAAGTAACTTTTACCGATATAAGCCAATCCAAAACCCATGTGATGCGTTCCCATTCTATAAGAGCACGTCGGTATTTGCAATTCATGTATATCACCCATATCTAGTCTCAATTGGTAAAGTTGAGTTTGGTGTGGTGGAAGAATCCAAATTTCACTGAGCTGATCAGTAGCAGTATCTAAACTCATGTGCATGGCTTTGTGCTCATGTGCTGTAAAAATGATTTGAGGAGACAACTCTTTCAAAACCTAAAACATCTTAATAATAAATATATTTGAACAGATGCAATTATTTAAAATATAATGCATACATTTTGTACAAAAGTTCCAGGCATAAATAGAAGCGGCATATGACTAAGCACCACATTTGTGGTGTTTCTCTCTGCATAATCATTGAGAAATGCTTCTTTTGGAGCAGCTGGGATTGATTTTGTTAATCTGTTTACCTACATTTACATATTATAAATAAGTAAAATCTTCTTGTACTGGAAAAATATAAACAAGCAAAATGTTGTCATACCTTGAAAAATGTTGCACTGTTGTAAACTAAAGTATCTGGTTGAGTATATGCATAATTAAACCTTTCATGGATATGAGATGAGACCATATCTTCCTCTCCACCAATGTCATTATCACCAGGTAAATAAATTTTCTTAAAAAAAGCAATAAGTTATTGTCAAAATTTATCATAAGTTTACATGTAAACACAATGAAATAGATTTTGTACCATAATATCATCAGGAGTATCAAAAATATCAGCTAATCTTCTTTTATATATCAAAAAATGTTCTGTAGGAGCAATGTGTCCTTCGTCCATCAGATCCCCAAGAAAAACAATAACATTTGGCTGAGCATACCTCACAGCTCTTGAAAATGTTTTCTGTAAATATCTGAAACAAAATATGAAATTAAAAGCCTCATAAATTTTTAATATCTAACAATTACAATGGCATTTGTATGTAACATACCTGTCACTGTCCCATACAGCCCATGCTGAGCCTTTATAGTTTTCATTTTTATATCCAAGTATTTGTGGGTCAGCTACAAGTAATACAGCAACACAATCTGTACATTTTCGTACAGACCATCTGAAGGCTTGAATTTCATAAACGAGAAATTCATTGTACAGCACCAGGAGTCCAAAAATCAGGCCAATGAAATAAATTTTATGTCGTAATCTATAAATATTAATTTATCAATTAAGAATATTGCTAATTTAATCAATATTTATATTTAGTTATTTATATGACATACAATTTTATTGATATATGATGTGGAACTTCTAAATATAGACAATTATGTCAAAGAGGCATTTTTAAAATGAGCCAAGAAAAATGTAATGTTAAAAATATAAACTTTTATAAATCTTGAAAGATCAATCATTTTCATCAGTTTGCTCATATTAAATAATAAATTTATAATAAATAAATTAAAAAAAAACATACGTGGAAAAGAAAGACAAATAAAAGTAGTTATAGCGTCAAGATCATAACGTTTATGCTCATGTAAAAAGTCAAAAAATAAACTGTAAACCATAACTAGACAAAATTCAATTATTCTTAATTAAGGTTAATTGCATAAGCATTAAAAAGAAGGAAAAACTTAACAATCACATACCTGTGTCGTCGAATCATTGTTTCGTCTTTTCATCGAACTCATTGATTGGAGGCGCAGATCAATCGCGCTTTATCGTCTCACATAATCTCTATTGTTTACATTACTATTCGAACTCATTTTCAGTTAGCGAAATTTATCGCTGCTGCTATGATCAGTGCGCATCGCAACATTTGCAGTCGCGCGCGCACCTCTTGCGAACAGCTGATCAGTGGTTCTCTTCTGCTTGTTTCCATACGCAATTTTTGCTTTATTATTGTTTAGTCTGTGAAATGTAAGAAAGCATATCACATTAGTTTATCTTATTTTTGAAATGAAGAACTCAAGTTTAAATTTATTTTCATTTCAATAGTGCACATTTGAAATATGAGAAGGTTTAAATAAAGACATCGGCTATTTTTAAAGGGCCTGATTGCTTTGAAAATCGATAGTATATTTATGTCTGATCGTGTTTGTATATAAAAAGTACTTAAATGATTAAACTTGCTTTTGTATATAATACCTACAACTTTTTTCTGTTTTAGAACTTATAAACGCATAAACTCCATTTCATTGTTTTAGATACAATTAATTTAAGTTTTATAATATGTTAATATATTCTATAGACAAAATTTATTTTATTTTCATAAAAAAATATTTAAACGACTGGACGCATACAATATTAGGCACGTACGTTTATTTTTATAATTAATAAAGTAATTATCTTCGACAAAGTAAATAACGTCTTATAAAATAGCTGTTTATTACTCTTTAACTGGTCCGTACACACGCCTTGGCAGATTAAGGCCCTCGCCACATATGTGCATATGCGCGCGTACGAGGCCGTATAAACGCGTACAAATCGTTAAAAATTTTGATAGTGCCAACAACAGAAAGTTACTACTCTTCCTTGCATGCCCCAAACGAACACACTTACTCCCGGAACAAACGTATCGTAACGCTATATTATTGAAGGTTATACATAATACGTTTGTTCTGGGAGTAAGTGTGTTCGTTTGGGGCATGCAAGGAAGAGTAGTAACTTTCTGTTGTTGGCACTATCAAAATTTTTAGCGATTTGTACGCGTTTTACGCCCTCGTACGTGCGCGTATGCGCATATGCGGCGAGGGCCTAAAAAATGCTGAGTGGTATCTGGTATCGCGGCTCGCGGCGCGAGTAGCGACCGTATGGCGGAGCAGCTGTCGCGTTGCTGTTAAAAAATAATTTTTCTCTCCCTCATCCTCCTTGATTGCTAAGCCTGCACTGGCTCTGTGGATAGAGAAAAAGAGAGAGAGAGAAAGCGAGAGAGAGGCAGTGTCGCTGATGACAAGTTATTTTTTGCGCACAAGGCGCGACATCCACATACGCACATAATGCCGGGGAAATCAAGAATATCGCGGTTAAATTGATGATAAGTCGCAGTACGTAATGGGTATGTTGCCACGATCCTCTTCGAGCAAGTAAAAGATATAATCACCTGGATCTTCGTGTATGCCTAGATTATTACGTTATTACCAATTCGGAGGATGGTGTGATCTGGTAGCAATTTGGGTTTGTTTTTCATGTTGAGAGGCTTCTCTTCCCAAGTAAGTGTAACTTACGACGTCAATTGTCGTAAGCTAAATCTTCGTATACTTTACAGAGATTAGTTATGGCTGATACAGCTATAACTGTCGAATCGGAGTCCGATGCCGAGCCTAGTAGATCCAGTGTTGCACAAACTAATCATCAAAATGGAATACTTATGACACATTCACACACACCTCAGAGCTCTAGTGGCCCAATCAGATTGGGATTCAATTTCAATCCTATGGAGGATTCAAGAAGAATTATTGCTCATAACCTTTCTACAATAGGAGAGATTAGCCCTTTAATAAACTTATCTAGATCTGTGAGTAATAAAAGTAAATGTGCAATTTTCAATAACATATGCTTCATCAGCAACTTTGTAAATTATGTATAAATTTTGTTATTTGAGTAATCATTTAATCACTAAGGTAACATTTGTTTCAGCGACCAGCCTTATCTTTACAAGAGTGGATCAATCCAAATCATCAAAGACAAGTTCAGTCTACATCTCCTATTAGTCCTGAAAATCCCAGTAGCACTGTTATAAATATAGAAAATCATGAACAAAATTTTGTCATGGAAAATCATCAACCTATGAATAATGATCATCAGCACCATTCTTTCACAGACAACCTAGCTAATAACATAAGAGAAACGGCTAATGGGCCAAGTCAAAATAACAACAATAATAATAATAATTCAGATGGGAATTCCTCTGTGGCTATCAGTGTTGAAGCTAGAGCAACACATAAGAATTTAGAGAATTACATTACATTTTTAGGAATATTATTGACCAAGTGTAAGTTGTGTTACTTTAAAATAAAAATTTTGCTAGATATATATAGACTGGATTAATAAGTTGTATAATTTTTTTCTATAGTTATATATGAAAACGGTGCGGAAATACTAAATTTTGTTTTACTAGTTGTTACCTTTATACAAGCTAATAATGATTTAAAAAGAGAAATATTAAAACAGCAGAATCGTAGTCATATGGTGCTACTTGGCATTCTCTGTTACATTATAGGCTGTTTTGTTTTTATCAATTTTGTCTTCAAAGAACCTATATTCTTCTCCTACTCACCACCCAAGACTATTTCACAACTACTATGGACAGTAGCTGTAACTGATTATGTTCTGAAACTAATTACTGTTGCTTTCAAAGTTCTTATGACTTTATTACCTATTAAAATACTACCTTGTCACAAAAGGGTAATCATATCTATATTATTGAATTTTCATTTCATTTTATTGTAATTAATTATACATGATATTAATTTTTTTACACAGGGAAAGTATTATTTAATGATAGAAGCTGCTTCTCAACTATATCGTTGTGTTGCGCCTCTAAATCCGTGGTTCTATTATTTGTATTTAGTTTATAATGGTCCTGATAAGGTGCTAGGAATTGTCCTTTTTTTAATGTATGGAGTTCACAAGAGTGGAGACTTTTTCTCGCACATCAAGTTCTTTTTTGAATGTGCATGGAAAATGTTACAGAATGTGGTATGTAAATTATTTTTAATATTTCAAACTGTCATAGATCAGAGTTTAGAAAATTACAATAATTTACAATTATAATTTAATAATTTACAATTATAATTTAATAATTTACAATTATAATAATTACAATAACCTTGATTTTTATAGAGTTTGGGTACATCTCCTACAAAAGAGCAAATAATTGCAGCTGGTGGTATATGTGCTATATGCCATGAAGAATATTCCACACCCGTGAGGCTTTATTGTAACCATATCTTCTGTGAAGGATGCGTAACTACATGGTTGGATAGAGAGAGGTCCTGTCCCTTGTGTCGTGCATCTATAACCGACGATCCTATTTATAGAGATGGTCATACAACGCATTTTGTTCAACTGTATTAATTACTTTTAATGACAAGTGTTTCTAATTTTGGAATTAAGAAATTTATTTTCAAGGTTTGTTTTTTTTACGAGTTATATTATCTGCATTTCGACAGATATTGCTTAGAAACTTTTATTTTTCAATTCTATCTAAACGACTGACCATAACTATTTACTTTTGTAAACAATATTGGCGTACATGAAATAATGTTCAGTTCGTTTAATTTTGTATATTCTGAAATTAGAATCCTATACTGAAAATAATTTTTGTAAATGATAAACAATAAGGAAATTTAGCGTGTAAAGTCCAAGATTTGATTGCATTTTTTTATTACTGGAAATTCTTTAGATTATTAATTTTTTTCGTTCGTACCGTTGTGATTATGTAAAATGGACATAATGTATAAAAGAATTACTATCAAATTACAAATCTAATGCATTCTAAGATTAACGTTTTATTCACAAAGATTATTCAATCTAATTTACAAAGACTAATTGAAATAATCTTGAATAATTTGAAAGAAATTGCGTGAACAATTTATTTTTTAATTTGTTGGGCGAAGATACGAAAAAAAGTTAATATTTTTTAGTAATAATTCAATATGATATTTATAGAAAGGTGTACTTACTTGTTTGGCCAGTAAATTGTAAATTTCTTTTAACTACATTTAAAATAAAATAATTCTTTATAAAAGTCATGTATCATATTTGTAAATAGATTACATAAAACAAGTTTGTAAAGAGTTTGTATGAATACTTGAAAAAATTGTGGTTCTGTTTATTGATTACATTTTACTGAATAATTATTAATTTAAAATAATATAACTTCTAGCATTTTTTTTATTAACAATATCAAGAAATAAGTGTTTCGATGAAACCTAAATATGTAAAAACTGATTTTTAGAGGATAAAAAATAAACGTTTATTAAATTTTTCATAATCAGTTTTTAAATCCAATTTATACCTACAAAGTGGTATTAGGTATTACAATCAATTGAATATCATAAATTTAAATCTATAAAAATTTGACATCATCTGCAATACACATGCAATTCATGAAGAGTCCCATTAGAAGGCAAGCATTAGCTTTGCAAGATCATTATTTTACTTCTTTCTTAATTGTGACTGAAAGTATTCTCCATCAGCTCTAGTTGCTTGAAGATTTATTTGCTTATGCCGCTCACGGCTTACAATTTCTTCTATAACTTCACCATCACCTCTAATTAACCTGTAACATAAATTACATTTGTAACGTTTGTTTAAATTGTTAGAAAAAGGTCACAATGAAATATCAATCAAAAGTTTTGATTTCATGAATGAAAACATCTTAAGAATTTATTATTTTTTTACCTATGCCTTCCACTTTCCTCGTCATAAACTCTGCGAACTACATTTTGTTTTTTCTCCCAATCTTTTTTAGACATTGGAGCCAATGCTTTTGCTCTTTTAGACTGCTCTAAAGCTATATCACTAAGTAATCTATCATGATCTATTTCTATTTTATTGATGGGCCTTGTATCTTCTACTACTGCCGCTTTTGCTTTTTTACTCATTTTTTTCTTTAGTTTTTTCTTTTTCTTTAATTTCTTTTTTTTCTCTTTCTTTTTAAGTTTCTTGGCAAGTTTCTTTTTCTTTTTCTTCTTTTTTTCATCTTCAGAACTACTGCTGCTACTACTACTACTTGAATCATTGCTAGAATCGCTAGAATCACTTGAATCGCTCTCTGAACTTGAAGATGATGCTGAAGATGAAGACGGCGATGCTATCCGATTTTTTTTCTTTTTCTTTTTTTTATCGGAAACTGGCTTTTCTGGCTCTAATTTTGTCATTTGCATTCTTTCTTCTGCAACTTGTTTTGGTTCTGGAGATGAATCTAGATGAGGCTTTTCATCTATATTTTCATGGTCATAATCATAATTCTTAGAGCTCTTTTTTTTTTTTGTTTCCTTTATTTTTCTCACCTCAACATCTCTTTGTGGACTACGATTCTGAGCAAACCTATCGTTTGATGTGTTTTGCTTAAAGAATCTATCACCAGAATTGAATCTATTTCCAGAATTCATAGATCTATCAGACTGCCTTCTATCAAAATTTTGTTGATTATTTCTGTTCCAGTTATTTCCTTGATTTCTCTGGTTCTGAAATCTTCTCTCATTATTGTTTTGATTCCAATTTCTGTTGTTTCTGTTTCTATCCTGAAATCCACGTTGATTGAATTGATTATCTCTACGTTGAAAATTTCTGCCATTTCTGTTATCAAATCTATTATTGAATCTTTGGTTGTCAAAGTTTCGATTTTGTTGAAATCGTCCGTAATTACGTTGTTGAAAAAATCTATTATCAATTCTGTTTCTGCGGTTGTCATCATTTTGAAAATTTCTTCTTCTATCAAATCCAGAATCAGGACTTGCTCTATCTCCTCTGTTAGATCTTTTAGGAGGTGATACCAAACTCCTACTGGATTTTGAGCTTGCACTAGAAAGACTACGCTTTCTTATTGTTTTCTTCCTTTTGTCCTTGTCTGCAATATTTCTACGCTTAAAAGATATATCAGTCTCTGAATTTGATTCCTGTGATTGCTTTCTTTTGCGTGGCTTGTCATCTGGAGATTGGCTTAATCTGGATACATGTCCTCCTTTCAAACTCATGTTGAATTAAGAACTTTTATTTCATAAAATCTGACTGTAAAAATATATTGAAAAATCGTTACTGCTCCAAAATACACTTAGTTGAATCCAAAAATAGAATTCTCAATTCATAATATTCTCTAAAACTTAAAGTGATTGTCTTAAATTTCTGTGTAAAACATGTTGGATATAACAATAAAAATTGTATGTTAAAATGATCTTCAATTGTACGCTTTACCAATCTTTCTACGGAATGTAACTCGGCCTTCATAAAAATTTCATTAACAACGAAGGCCGACGACTATTTATCTTTAAAAGTGCCAACTTTTCTCATCGCCAATTCCTTTGGTTTTCAGTAATGATTTAGTTTCTAAGACACCGGATTAAATAACAACGCATAGTGTCTATGATTCATTAAAGTTGAATGTTATTGTTATCAATTACCTCGAAAATAACAACATAACCCCAAAGCTGGCAGCCGATCGATCCACAGCCCAAACTCATTACGATCTTCGATGGCGCAAACGTTCGTATAAATTAACTTTTGCACTGACTTTTCTATAAAAATTCGTTCGGCGGAAATGCCTGCACAGACATATATTGAGATTTGCCGTCTCGCCTAAAATGCGTTCATCGACTTGGCCGCCACGCCATAGAAACAGCAAACGAGATTCTAGGTATATAGACAAGCAGTCCGCTGCAAAAAAAGTGCTTATCTCTTTCTCTCTCTCTTATACCTGGTGTCATATATTTGTGGCTTCTCAAATGCACTGCTGGGCTAGCACTGCTGCTACCCATACCGCACCGCGATCATACTCGTACACAACATATTTTTTATAGAAGCTATTTATTTTTTCATTGGGTAGTTTTGATTTCATTCATTTCAACATTTTCGACATTTTTTATGTACAGATGCAATGTTTACAATCAACAGCGGAACATTATTAGGCTAAAAAGTGTTTGAGCAGTCTAACTGATTTCATTAACTTTTCAAAATACACCACATAAGGAAACTACCACAAAATAATTTATTGTATTTACGTAATTCTACTTGTTGACACAAGGTGACGCAAGCTTAACAATGTGCTAGGCAATCAAAGATGAAACAGACGTTTAGGATGAAACGATAAGAATTAAGAGTGAACCATAATTAAGATAAAATTTCAACGAATTGTTTAATAAATACTGCATTTAAAATAATTTGTGTAAGATATGGAATTTATTTGTTTGTCAAATACATATTGCGTATTCTTTGTGCATTTTAATGCACTATTTTCTTTAAAACGTTAAAACTGCTTTACCCGATGTCTGTTGCGATATCCTCTTTCCATTTCAAATAAACAGTCATGTTTGTTCAAATATTTCAAGCTGTCAATCGTACGCAACAAGTTTAATCCTGATAATCGCCGGCGATGATTTCGTAATTTTTCTCGATCTCGCGAGCGTAGGATTCACTTTTAATGAGTGCGCTTTTCTTTCCGATAAGACGATTTCGGCGCTTTATCTTATTTACCAAAAATACATGACTGATAGTGTCGGCCTCTGATTGGTTGAGCATGAAGGCGCGGTCCTCATATTTATTCATCTAAAACTTATTCCGTCACTTTTTTCGCTATCACAACTTGGGCTAATATTTTTATTATACGTAAAGACACTTATAGTTTGATTTATGGATAAATAATATATCTTTTTGAATTTCATTATTTTTACAAAACAAATTTCCAATCGGTTAGAACGTCGAACGTTAAACAAATTAAAACATAAAGTTCGATTTGTTTATATTAACGTAATGAAAGTTCAAAACAACGGGCGAGCAAACAATATATAATAATTCATTGCGGGAGATGCCAATATGTAATTACATTAATGTGACGTGAGGTGAGCAGCCAACTCAATAATGTGTCGAGATAGCCTCACGTTTGAATTAAATCTTGCAAACAGTGATTATTTGAACAGAAGGGGTCAATGATTCGGACATTCCTATTTCTCGATGTCCATGTATCTATCGTTCTAAATACAATTTCTTAACAAAATTCACCTCGATCAAAAAATACAGAAGCACACCAACATCACTCGAATGGCGCATATCACCCAACAAAAAAAAGCATCAATCTTCGTCGAAAGAACGATCGAATGCAATACACTTAATGAGCCAAAAAAAGTCAGCCGATAGCCACGATCAATCGGCCAGCTAATAAAAGCTCCTCGGCATTGACCCTGCGCCAATTGCGCACACGCCTCTATATCGTCCGACCGTTCCCGTTATCCCGAAACACGACCAAAGAAATCGTTCCTTCCGAATGGTCCATGGCCCACGCCCTCCACGAAATAAAGTTTCTCTGGCAAGACGCGTGTCCTTGAGTGACCTTCAATCAAACTCCAAAGCACGCCACCACGGTCGAACCTCGTCGTTATGTGGAATGCAGAAAATGCCACGTGAAAATCGAAAAGCGAACAATTTTTCATTCTATTCAGTGTTAAAGTGGTAGCATAAGAAGCTCTTTCCTATTAATATTTGGACTTGAAAGGCGCAGTATCGGGACGGTGTAAGAACGAGTGCGTCTCTCAGGCGCGCACAGTTGAGAACCCTCGTACGGTCGGCCGGTAGAAGGGTGGGGAGACGGAATACGTGCGCTACCACTGCAATCCTGGCTTAGTCGCTGGTTCGCTCTTCGCCACTGACGACGTACGCAGTTCTTTCTCTTTCTCCGAATCAATCTCACCCTTATTCTTCTCGATCACCGGGGCTTTGACCACACCTTCACGTAAGTGTTCTTTATTCTCTCGCTCTCGTTGTTCGTGTCCAACTCTTGGCCGTTTGCTGACGACAACGGTACGATAATCGAGCTGACGAAAATATCGACCGGTGCGCTTGGCGCGTGACCTTGACTGACATTCGCGCAAGTACACGATGCTCCTAATCGATCGCAGCCTTGACCTTCGCCATCGCTTCCTTCTTGATTCTCTAAGCCGAATGCTATGTCGATCACCGCAATTTTTTGTTATAGAGTCGCAATGTTACGTAATCGCATCCACGCGCCGAAACACTTCATAAGCTTGTGCTTGAGTAGTACTCGCAATATGTAATTCATCGCTCACGTAGTTTGTGTAGCTTGAAGGAATTTTCAAAGCTCCCGCTACTGATTTCAGAGTAATCGTTGATTTCGAGCTAACGAGTCTCCAAACGACCCCGTCGAATATGCCGTGTCTGAGCGTGGCCATATCGTACCATGCTCGTGAACGGGTTTCTACACCGAGCCAAAGTCGTTACGTGCCAGTGCAGCTCTGTCTGCATTCTCTTCGAAAGTTCAAAATGACATTGTCGAGCATGGGAGAAAGCTATTCTCGCTGTTCGCACGTCAATCCGACAGGATAATTTATTCTCGCGCGAGTCCGCACTACGTGGACTTTGAACTGACAGAGCCTACAGATAGAACTCGTCTCGAAAAAATATTTCCTCTTGGCTGCAGCCGAGATTAAGCAACGGGCGAGGGGTCACGTGCGCGATGATCGCTCCAAAAAAAAGAAAAAACATGTTTGCCTGCTCTGCCGACTGACAATACCCGTCACGTTATCGCAGTCGCGAGCTCGAAGCAATTGCGTCATGTATTTATGGGCGCGGGTTACGGTTGCCCGCGAGTGCATCTTCACCGCGGCGTGTTGCGTCACTTGAGCTCTGCGATAGGCAGATCAGCGATCGATAAAAATCAATCGATCCGAAAGCGAGCCCCGTAAGTGGTAATTGAGAGACAGATAAAATTTTCTTTGGAAATTGATCAGTGATATGCAGCCTTACACAGCCAGCCTCCATTACCATGCAAAAGTCCACGCTCGCGAGTCACCTCGGCTTATGCAATTATCTCGTTTGACAACCGGCCAAATGAAAGTGCTCGCGTTGTTTTTGGAGAAAGACGCGCGTCGCGACTGTCGTAGGTTTCGTCAGCCGAAAGCTCGTCGACGAGCGCCAAAGCGTCCGGCCCCCCTTTTTTCCTCTCTTTCGCTGTCGTCAGAGGCGCAGGTGTGCGCTGCTTTTAGCAATCGTCACTGCCTCAATGTCACGGACCATTATTTTTAAAGTCGCTGCGCACACCATTCGAGAATCCAATCGCGTTGCGCAACGACGACTTCGCCCGTTAAAGAGGAAAGCGAGAGTAAAGGAGATCGCGGTGTGTCGGACACTAGCACGTGTCTGCGAGGCTTCATCGATCCTCGGGTAAAGTATGCGACGACCTTGATGCGACAGCCTGACTCGAGAAAATGCCTTTCGAAGGGGTACGCTTCCATTCGGTTTAAAAATATCTCCGAGAATCCGTAGAGGCCGAAAATAGCTTACGCGTCGAAAGATCGAGCGTCGACCTCTCCAGTAGATCGTTAACCTCGGCTCGCTTATTTCACCTTCTTCCTCGACGCAATTTTGCAGCAAATCGGCTGATTTGTAAAACTAGGACGACACACCTTTCAAGAAAGGTAAACTCTACCAGGCGAGTAGGCATGGAAATTTCATATATACATTTTCAAAGTATATCATAGCATCTTAATATTTTCTTGATATTTTTTTAATATTACTACATATCTCTAAACTAATTTTAGGAAATGAAAAACTCATTTATTAAAGTATTTGCAAAGCTTTTCGTAAGTCAATTAATTAATACGTAAAGAGTTAACAGCACAGCCTACCGCTACCATGTATACACATGTATCTTGAAAAAAAATGTGTATATGTATTAATTGTATGTATATATAAATATGTAGTATCGTCATTCGTCGTTACTGTTCGGCATTACATATTTGTTTGGACGGCACATACTCTTATAAAACGTAAGATACTTCTTTTAGAGGAAAATATGTTATAAGTCTGACGAAAAAAAGAAAAATAACATCTCAACAACCTTAGACTCAAATAACTTCCTCAAAAATACATCAATCGATTTGATTTTTTTTGAAAATCTTTCAAAATCACGAATAAGATCATCAATAATTGATGCAGGAAGTGTAAATAAATATAAAAGAATTTTCACGAGACGACTAGATAGCCACTTTACTGTATATAGCGACACTTGATCTCGACGAAAAAAAAAAAAAAAATTATTTGCAGAAAATGCCAGCTGACAGCTATCTAAAAGCCGATCCCGAGCTTAAGAAGGAGTTGGCCGAAATTGCCGCTAAGATTGTCGCACCGGGCAAAGGTATCCTTGCCGCTGACGAGTCGACCACCACCATCGGCAAGCGTCTCAAGGATATTAACGTCGAGAACAACGAGGAGAACCGCAAGGCTTACAGGCAGCTCCTCTTCACCGCTAACAAGGTTTGGATTGCATATACGTACACGTTGCTTACTAGAAACCAAAAAACTCACGAGAATTATCATAAACAGCGTTACCTTTTTGTCCCACAGACGCTTGAGTATTGCACATTTGGTAACTGAAACCAACTAAAAGAAAGAAAGTACCGAAATAAACTTTTGTTATATATGAATTATAATAGCAACAAGATAGCACTGACATTTTTTGAATGACGTACTTCTACATCTTTCGTTAAAAATTCTTATCAATTTCGTCGTCGTCGCTAAGAAAAAAATGTCTAACACAATCAAATCTCGTGATAAGTGCAACTCACCCTCCTTGAAATTACTTTGTAAATAAATTGAAAAAGCAAATAAATGTAAACCACAAATTTAATAACCACAATTTTGCAACAGGAGCTGATCAGCAACCATATCTCCGGTGTGATCCTCTTCCACGAAACCCTCTACCAGAAAGCCGATGATGGAACTGCGTTCGTCGACCTGATGAAGGAACGCGATATAATTCCCGGAATCAAGGTCGACAAGGGCGTCGTGCCGTTGTTCGGCACCGACGACGAGTGCACCACTCAGGGGCTCGATGATCTCCAGGCACGTTGCATCCAATACAAGAAGGATGGTTGCCACTTCGCCAAGTGGCGTTGCGTTCTCAAGATCAAGCCTGGATGCCCATCCAAACTGGCCATCCTCGAGAACGCCAATGTACTCGCTCGTTACGCTTCAATTTGCCAGAGCGCCAGGATAGTACCCATCGTTGAGCCTGAAATTCTTCCTGATGGTGATCATGATCTCAAGAGGTGTCAGGAAGTCACCGAAGAAGTTCTCGCTGCCGTTTACAAGGTTCGTTGTGATTAGAAAATATCGTTGATATTGAACATTTAAGTTCAACGAATAAGCTTAACAATTAACCCTTGTTGAAATATTAATTGTTTAGTTGATGGAAATGAACGTTCTATCGATATCGTCATTATTAAGTCGTTGGTTATCGTTATGTAAGGCTAATGATCATTTCAAAGGATTTAAACAATGATTGAAAAATATTCAAAGCATCGAAAAATTTGAATAAGAACTGTGGAAATAATTGTACTTGTAGGCATTGGCCGATCACCACGTCTACCTCGAGGGAACTCTGTTGAAGCCTAACATGGTCACACCCGGTCAGAGTTGCCCGAAAAAGGCAACGCCCCAGGAGATCGCCGCTGCTACCGTGACCGCTCTTCAACGCACAGTGCCACCAGCAGTGACTGGTGTCACATTCCTTAGCGGTGGTCAGTCCGAGGAGGAAGCATCGGTCAATCTCGATGCCATCAATAAGTTCCCAGGAAAAAAGCCATGGGCACTCACTTTCAGCTACGGACGTGCTCTTCAAGCTTCCGTTCTCCGCGCCTGGGGTGGCAAGAAAGACCAAGTCGCTGCTGCTCAAGAGGAACTCATTAAACGAGCGAAGGTTAGTGTTGATTTTTAATTTGCCGTATGCTTGATATTTAGATATATCCATTGTCCGATCGAATACTAAGTATCACATACAAAAGTTTGCTGTGCTGTTATTTTGTATCAAGTGCTCGCCAGTAGTATATTTGAGCGTGTACTTTTTTCTTGACATTTATTTGACATTCTATTTGACATTCTATATAAGTGTTACGTAAAAAATAACTTTCAACTTTATATGTATCGTTTCTCTTGTAACTAATAACTATTCAAGCGAAACATTTTTTTCTGTTCGTCAAGTAGTAAATAGCAATTATTTTCAGGCAATGTTCAAGCTGCTGCCGAAACAAACTATTATATACAGATGCAGTAGTCTTATGCATGAATTAGTTTTTGTTCTTGTTTTGCTTGTCTCTTTTTTCTCTAATAGGCCAATGGCGCAGCCTGTCAAGGCAAGTACGTTGCTGGCAGCATCAAGAGTTTGGCTGGCACCACTTCGCTTCACGTGGCAGCCCACAAATACTAAAAACAATATCTTTCTATATCTGTCGCATTGTCTCGCACTCTGCTAACCTTTTATTTTTAATGCAGTAAGTACTTTGCACTCTGCCAATTTTTTTGTTTTCTTTTCTTTCAATTCTCTATAATTATTTATGTAATTCATTGATCGTTTGAATCGTATGGTGTTAATAAAGGTGTTGTGAATATTATTTGTTAACTAATACTGTGTCTTCTACACTTTACTGTTACTTATTCATTATTAGTACTAAATATAATAAATTGTAAGTTGACAAGATCCATTTTCTTTAGATTATTTTGCATTTTTAGATTATATAAAAAATTTAATTATCAGCGAATAAAAAATTTATAAATAAGTAATATACTTGAATCATCACGTAGAATGTTAATTTTTGGTTTGGATTTTCATCACATAATAATGCAATTCTATGTGTTTAAGATAAAATTTATACCCTTTTTTAATAACCATAATTTAGACCTGAACACGTCAATAAGCAAAATGAAAATATCTTGTCAAATTTCAATTTACTTATAAATGAATTGTCTATTTTTTAACAATGAAATTCCCGTTCACAGGCAAACAGCGAGTCGGCCCTTGGAAAATACGCTGGTGGTGTGAAAGGTGCAGCTGGCGATGCCGCGCTTTTCGTCGCCAACCACGCTTATTAAATTCGCAGTCTACAAAACAGTATGTCCAAAGAATAAAAAAAAACACAAGATTTAAAATCGCACGTTAACAACTAATAAAAAACAAGATAGTACCGAAGTTCAGTTTATAACCACGTGATATGAGAGTGAGTGGCAACGAATTGAGTGTTGATATATAAAGACAAAAAATTACGCAGTTGCACAAAAAGCAAAGGGGCAGAAAACAAGAGTGTGAATGAAAAAATTATTATTAATCTTATGTTGTATTTTATCACTATACACGCTAAGCGAATGAAAAAAAAAATGGTTTTTATTGGTAGTCTCGAGTGACATGCTTGCTTATCCAATTTCTTTTAACTTCCCTTCGTTTGATATTAAAAAATGCTACGAGGAATGTCCGTTATTTGATTGTTTTCGAAGGCTCTCTGCTTTCAATTTTACGTTTAAGAATCTTGACCCTGCTTTTTTTTTTCTTTTTTTTTTTATTATTTGCAGATGAGTGTTGGTGCTTATATATACACTATTATATTCATATCCCTCGCTCTTGTATTCAGTGAGATAACTATAAATATTCATATCGAAATCGTTTTGTTTTTTATTTCGGAGATACGAGAACGCGACGGGAAAATCGTTTTCTGCAATATGCGAATCATCTTGGTTTCGAATTCGCCGATACAATTCGTATTTCGGTCAATTCATTCCGTGACTGATTGTTTTCCAACATAATTTGTTGTCCCAAATGTGAGAATTTGAAAAATTGCTGTCTTTAGGTGTATCCTAATTATATATGATAATGCGCTTATGTTTACGATTATAATGAACCGTATTAAAATGGAAGTCTAAATAAATGTTGTTGGTTATAAAATAGTTGAAAAAATAAAACAGTTACATCATGTTAGATGATAAAGTATATATGTAGTAGCTTCAAAAGAAAAATTTATTCCGTGATCAATTTTATGGATGTGTACAATTCTGAAAGGAAATTGTATCATTCATTTCATTTATGTAATATTTTGATTATTAAATACACCGTGGATGATACAAATTAATGATAACCGTTGTTTTTATTTGTCAATCCTTGTCTATACTCTATTATCATTTAAATATTTTTAATTATAAGAAAAGTACTGATTGATTTAATGAATTTACCACGTCAACGGTAATAAGTGACCAGTTGTTTTAATCTTGCTTTTGAACAACTCAATTACGACTACTCATAAATCTTGTATATGATTATTCATGATTGTAATGATTTTCTAAAGTGTACGGAAATAAATTAAGTAAACGTCGAACGGATATAAATATTGTTTGCAATTATTTATCCAAAAACATCAAAACAATTTTTAAGGCGATGTAAATAAAACGGAAAATGGCCACTTTGCGAAAGTAATATTAAACTGGAAAGTTCGAACTTTAGTACGCGACTTACACGGGGTTTTTATTTTCGCTATCTACTCACTTATCTATCTATTTTTCAGATTTTATATCATTTGTTTATCTATTTTATGCAGATCTAGTCCCTGTCCTCCGAATTTTTTTGCTTTCGTATTTTATTATTTGCTTCTGTACGATGAAACCCTGGCCTAATTGCATTCGCCACCTTGAATTACCTTGTACATTTTGCGTAGTAAATGTTTAGAGAACAAAAATGTTAAAAATGTCCTTTTTCCGAAACATTTCTTCATTTTACTGGTAAATTATCATCCTAACGATCAATATGGACATATATAAAGTTATAGAGCGTTTGAAATATAATACTGAGTTTCAAAATTCCAAATTTGAATTTGTCACGACCGCAGTTGTAGAATAAAAAACAATTTTTTTTAACATCATTTTTGCACTATACATTACGGATATACTATTCCTATCTTAAGAAAATGATGAGTCGTTGATATGCAACCTGCTTTTGTTCATCAGGCTTTACGATCGAAAAATCTCTCCCAGGGTTCTTAAAAATTATTTCACTATTTTCTGCGATTCAGTCTGAGTTCCTAGTTTCATAGATATTGTTATCAAAGCGTACCATCTCCTCGATCAGTGTTGTACTAACGACTACGCCGTAGGATCTGTTTAAAAATACTTGTACAATCAGTATACGACACTGATCGAACCTTGATCGAACAGACGCTTTGATAAAAATATCTATGGAACTAGGAACTCGGACTGAATCACAGAAAATAGTGAAATAATTTTTAGACATTGGACGAGATTTTTCGATCAGAAACCCTGTTGTTCATCCAAATTCGACAGTTGGCTGCACTACATTTTCTAGTAACTTTTCCGCACGCAACGTATTCCCTCACATAGGCTTATATACCTACGGCTATAGCCGACGTTACGCGCATGCGGATTGTAGATTCGGTACGGACTGTAAGAGATATTGCTGCTATCAAAGCCAGGTCAAAGCTAATCCTCGATTATTTCATCGAAACCCATCCCACTTACAGCAACAGGTTACCGAATGCATTAAAACTTGTTTTGCTACATAAAAATATAAGATCTATTTATATGACAATATTATAAAAGAGACCGTGTATAGGCACATTAAACTTTTTCATGAGATCAATTAGCGGCTATGAAATAAACGCAAATATAGGAGCTTTTGTTTTTCCAATCAGTTATAAAACCTTTCTAAATTTATTGCAGTATTCCTCATAGCTTAAATAGCCGATAATTATTGTGTATTATTGGCATCTTAAGCTGTTGGTAATAGGTGCTTATCCCTTAATACACCATAAAAATTACTTACCTTTATTGTGTTATACAATTTTAATCCATTTACGTAACATACATTGAATAATAGTAAATTACCGAATATAAGTTATGTCAAATATAGATTTTTTACTTATTTCTTCAAAATTCAACTTTTGTAAAGTTTTGAATTTTATTTTAAATTAAGTTCGCCAAATGACTGTGTGACGGTCAGTCGCGTTCAGTCAAAATTCAAAACAATAACCCTGCACTATGGCAATGGAAGCGGAAGTGATAGAACATTTTTTCGGAGTTTATTTATTGTACTGTAAGAATCCAAAATATAAAGGTCGCACTTATATCGGATATACTGTAGATCCAAAACGGCGAATAAAACAGCACAATGCTGGTCAGAAGTTTGGAGGTGCATGGAGAACGAGTAATCGCGGTCCGTGGTAAGTATAACCAATAACCCAATAACCTACTGCTGTTGTTTGTTTACCATTTTAGGAATGAATGGCATCGTTGTGCAAGTATAAATAATGGACTGTACGCCGAGACAAACTCCGACTTATATTCTACGATGTTTATTAATGGATATTCACAAATTTAAAAAATGATTGCTGTCTGAATATTTAATAATATAGTAGGATTCTACTTTATCATTACTGTTCAAATACTGTTCAAATTTAAACACTTAAATCACAGATACAAAAAAAACTGTTATAGATGTAAATGAAATTTCTTAAAATTTGTTATCTGTACAGCTTCAGAACTTTAACATTCAAAAAAGTACAATACAAAGTGTGTTAAACCATTTATATTTTCAGGGAAATGGTATTAATCGTGCATGGCTTTCCAAACTCAACAGCTGCTTTACGGGTAATTTTCAAAACTCACTTCTATACACGACGCTAAACTCCTTTTAACATTTTTATTGTATGCTCCAGTTTGAATGGGCCTGGCAGCATCCCGAACTAAGCCGACGTCTAAAACACGTTCCCAAGAAAAAGTCTCGGCAAAGTGCCTTCGAATATCGTCTTACCGTTCTTTCAGAGATGCTTCAAGTTGGACCATGGTCACGATTGCCCTTAACAATGCGTTGGTTGGAGGACACATTCGGCGCGGAGTATTCAAAAAACGTTAGTCCTCCTTTACACATGCCCATCACTTTTGGGAAAGTCACGTCGAAAAAACCGAAAGAGTCGACGAAGGAGAGAAGAAAGAAAACCACCGGCGTCGACGAAGAAGAGGAGAATGAACAAAAATTATCACCTTGTACGCTCTGCAAGTTAATCGTTGACAACGAGGATCGGATCACTTGTTTAAAGCCTAGCTGCAGTTTGGTTTCGCATCTCGTTTGTCTCGCGGAATCATTCGTCAAAGACGGTATGATTTTACCCGTCGAGGGCTGCTGCCCAATCTGCTCGACGAATTTACTGTGGGGTGATTTGATTAGGAAAAAAATTGGCTGCAATATGCACTTAAACGATGAGGAAGAGTTGGAAATTGATTTAGAATGCAATGACGATTAGATTTTTTTACGCTTACTTTTATAGACTAAGTTTAGATTATTTATATTTTTGTTTTTATTCAAGCAATCAAATTGAGTTTCTTTGATTTATTATTTTTTACATCGCTTATTATACACGGCAAATATCTGTTGTAAAGGTCAGTCCGTCTGCAGCCTAGTAACCGAGAAACGTGTGCTTATTTAGTGACAACAAATTCGGCGTTGGATGCGCTGCACGTATGAGAAATCGCCGCCGACTAACAGCTAATTTCGTGGTACGACACTTTATGAATGCAATAATTTTTTGTTATTGTTATTTATTATAATAGATTACGTCGAATAAACGAATTTACACAACAAAAAGTAGGTAAAATTCTTTTACGACGCCAATGAAAATGAAGACATTGAAGTATAGGCCGCGCACCTGTTGCAGCACGGTAAAGTAGTATAATGATCGCGGGGAAAATTATTCATCACGCGCGCGTGAATCGGCTTTTCGTTGTTTCCTCTCTCGAAGCTCCTATCAAAAGAAATTTATTTATGTAATTAGCACGCGTGTCGCGTGGACGTTACTGTAAACCGTTATATACGCGCTACGGTCTCTTGTGACGAAGACACATCAAATCTGGACGCGCACAACGCAATCGACAGAAAAAAAAGAAACGTAACGGCATTTATGTTCAAATCATAATCAAATCATGTTCAAAGCCCCTCGTTATCATTATCGTTTTGATCAAAAATTCAACATTTAATGGTGTCCTATTGAATGACAGGTGTTTCAAGTAATGCAACGATGTTTCCTTTTCTTTGAATACTTTCTTTTTTATTAAAGTATATTTACATATGCTTTCTTTTGGAGTTTTATTTATTGATGATTTCGAGGGTAATTGAAAAAACTTTCGACAATAAATCGTAATAATGAAGAATCGTTATACACATTAACGGAAACAAGATTACTAAAGTTATTTCTGGCCACAGAAAGTTGTTTTTTGTACATAATAAATAAATAAATAAATAAATGAATAAATATGCAATCTAATAATGCAAAATAAATAAAGATAAAACAAATAGGTATGTAAATTACAGGAGAAACATCAACAACGCGTTCGTCGCGATGAGTAGAGAAAGGTGTAATAAATAACGAATCTCTATCTAGATAATACTGCCTTTGATAGACATCTTTGTTCGCGGGATAAAAAATGTGTGCCTCTGTTTTAGAATAGGTCGAGATCGGGCACGAAATCGTTGTAATCGTCTCCGTAATCATCGGCCCCGGGTGGCACGAATATGCCGCCCAGGAAGTTGGACAGACCCTCGCCGTAGCCCATCGCCGAGGCCAAGCCGAATATTAGCCTCATTACGAACAATCGAACGAAATCGACTGTTGTTGTCTCCTTCGATTGGGGCGATAATTGCCTAGAGTCAGGAATTCTGCTTGCAGCTAACGTCGAACTCTGCAAATTATAAATAAAACTGAATAATATTCGAATAGTTTATTTAATGGTTGTTGAACTGTTGAACTTGTATTTAATGTATATTTCCATTTAGCTCGCGCGCTTATAATGAACGAGCGACTTATTGCAAAATTGATGCATTGTAAAACAAATTATTGACAGTGCGAAGAGTTGGAAGTAGATTTTTCACAATTCATACTCATACTTGCTACATTTTTTAAAAATAAACCTTATGATTTGCAAATAAATTTTTGTATTTTTAATCTTTAGGTTTTATTGAAAATATTTGCGTAAAATAGTAACGTTTTAACGTCACCTTTTCAACAATTGTTTCAAAATTCAATTGATTAATTTTGATCAAAAAAAAAAAACTAAAACTTAATGTTCATGAACACAGCAATTAAAAGAAACATCAATACTCACAATTAATCCCGCCGCAGCGACAACAAAGACAATAATCCTCGGCTCCATTGTATTACTGTCGATTGAACGCAACAGGTGTACACTCCAAAAAAAAAAATTCGATTAAACTCTGGCCGTTGCGCATCCGGTTCTTGATCGCTCGATGTTCGCGCGTCGACTGATCGTGAAACTCAACGCTAAACTCCTCTCTCTCTCTCTCTCTCCTACTTTTTTTCCACCAAACGCCTTTATCTTATCTAGCGCGAGAGCACGAACAGCGCAATATAGAAAAGATGCTCAGGCAGCTTAACGGTACATCATCGGTGGTCGGCGCGAGTACGCGTTGTGAAAAAAAAAAAAAAAGAAAAGTAAGCGACCGCAGTAACGCGATCCACGTGCAATTTAGCGGGGGGAGATAGCTACCTCTTTTTTACAATTATGAGAAAACGCGCGTCTGCGTTGTTCACTATACGATTGGATCGGATATATACATTCAATTTGCAATTCCTGCACAATGTATATACATATATATTCTATCGTATTGTGCAAGGATTGTGAATTAAATTTCGTCCGGTGTGCGTACGAAGATTGAAACCGCTATCGTGCTTTCATGCCTGAAAGCCTGAAAGCGCTGGTTATCCGTTTTTTTTCTTTTTGGAAGCTTTCGCAAGGGTCCTGTGACGTGTGCAAGCAAATAAGTACATTCGTTGCTAAAAGGCCTTACTCGGTGAAATTCTGAATTTTATTAGCGAATGCTGTTTTCGCAGCTTCTCTGCTTGTACTTCTTGCTCAGCCGTGTCGCAACGATTAATTTCGAACCGCAATAAAATCTTCGGGAAAAGAGGAATGACGCGAGTAAAATTGCACAGCACAATCAAAATAAATGTGCTGCAATGCTATTGATTGTAAAGTGTATTGATTGAGATTGTTTTTAATTTGTTAATGTAGCCTGAAGAGAGTCGAGGACATTTTCAACTGTTCCAAAACGACCGAAACGTCGCTCTAATAATTAAGTAAATAAAACACATAAGTTGTTAGGAAGTCATTAAAATTGTGTTCTTTTCAAGCAAAATAAATATTTTGGAAAGAGATCGCACGAAATTCGCATTGCTCGCAATAGGTTGAGTATGCTCTCGAGCGCGAACACCTGTCAAGAGAAGCCAAGTCAGCGCCGCGCGCGAGTTTCCTCGTCGCGCAATCAGCTCTCGGCTATTATAAATGCCAGCCATTAATCCATCGCCATTGTCTCATCGGGGATGAAAAAGCGCCCAAGACTACGAGTCATTGCGTCTCCGTGGCACGATCAGTGCATGCGATTCTCTTATGAATCAAGCCGCGTCATCTCTCGACTCGGCTCGCTGTCGCTTCGGCCGCGGGACCCGAGAGACGCCCGATCGATGGCCGTTGTCGCTTCTGATGCCTCCGACGTAACCGCGAAGATTAGCTCGAGCAAGAATCGCCGAGCCTTCGCCGGGGAGAAGAAAAAGTGAGAAAAACGAAGGCGAATGCACGTGTCTCGAGTGTCTACGAGCGATGGATCGACGAGGAATCGAAAAGAAAACAGCAAAACCAGCGACACTCCGCGAAAGTAGGAGATCGATTTGAATATGGTGACACGTCTCTTTGTCACCGGTACTTACGCGTCGATCGAGTTTGGATGAAAGCGCGCGCACGCCGCGAACGGACCGCGAACTCGGAGCTTCTTCCCGGGCGCTCGTTCGCATAAATCTCTCTCGCGAGCAGCGACCTACAAAAGCGCGTCCGACTGCGCGGCATCGCCGAGCTTGAGCGTGCCCGATCATCGGCCGAGAGCGCGTCGAGCCATTATATTCTAATCGAACAATGTGCGCGTGTTAACCGACGTGGGATATTCGGTAACCTAGTCGAACCGTCGTCTTGTTAATTTTTCAAAATAGAAAGTTACGAGCTGGTAGCAGTGTTTTCGCTCGTTCCGGCGATCCTAATGACCGACAAGTGCAAAAGGCATTCGGAATGGAAGCGGTGGTATCGTTGAACGGCCCGTAGAAGTGGTGCCGCTGGAATGCGCCCGCAGGCAACGAGAGCACGAGATGCGACGTCGAGGCAGTACGTGCGCGTGTAGTTTTCGCGATAGCGGACAAAACAAATGTATTTGAGCTTTTCAGAGAGGAACGCTCGCAAGCTGGTGGTGCACGAAGCGATCGCGCGACAATTTTAAATTATTTTATTGCTAAACATGACGTAGGCACTTATGCCATATTACACACGGACCAAATATGCGAGACTAGTAATAAGTCGCTCGATCGTCATTCTTATACCAAGTGGACCTGCTATCGACTCCCTGAAATTGTATTTCACAGCTGCGTATAAGCTTCCGCGCGACTGCAATTGCCGCGGCTTGTAGCGAAATTAATTACCAGCGCACGCAAACTTGGCCGACTTGGCCGAATATTTTCCCGCGTGAAATCGTCTATATATACGTATATAAGCGATCGCGAGGCGAGCATTGTCTTGGGATCGGATCGTCCGCGCGCCGTCCTTGATTTTAATAGCGGCGCGCGGCATGCACTTCACGGCGCGGCCCGATGGCGAGAGCGAGCGTCATCGCGCGCGCCTCGAGCGTCACGCGGGGCAATACCGAAAAGGCAGAGCCGCTGAATCGATCGTTGTCGGAAGGAAGGTATGCTGGTCGCGCGTTTGCCCCGCTGGGACGCGCCGCGACAGGATGCCGGACACGACGTCCCGAGCATCGACAAGCAGCTCTACAAACCGAGGAAACCATAGATTTTTTTTCTCTTCGAGAGCCGCGTCTTTTCCGGTCGGCTTCCTGCGTCTTTCCCCAAGGATCTTCGCTTGCTTTTTTTTTGTTTCTTTTTGTTTTCGTCTTTGGTTTTTTTTGAAAATTGTCTTTCAGTCTCCAACCCCCAAGGCGCACCGATTGTATCTCGAACGTGTCACGCTGGTTTATCGGCCGACGGCCACGATCGCCTTGCTTGCGAGATTCAAGCAAGCTTCGTTGAACAGACACTCGGCTGGGCGATGCTCGCTATATCTTTGATCGATATGTCCCGGCGCGTTCAGTCGTGCGATACACCCGTTGACTTTCGTTTGCGAGCGCACGGATTCGAATTGATCGCGCGGCAAACGAGACAAACGCGCGTGGCGACGAATTTTTCGAGCGATCGCGGGTCCTCGGGAGGCGAAATCGGAGATGGTGTACGCGCGCCCGGCAGGCGCATCGAAACGACGATCGCGAAGGTCGTCCACAAGGCAACTCCAAGTTCGTCGATCGAGGGAAGCATCCGAGCGAGAAGAAACCCGATCTCGTCGATCCCCCCTCCCAACCCAACCCCGGTGGGTGCCCAACGCGCCGATCGCGAAAGCGCGTTCGGGACGAAAATCGATCTAGCAGCCCGCGGCGAGGTCGCGGCGGGACCATTCATAACTTCGCAGGCGCGCGCGAGCTGCATCCGAAATCGGGAGTGGCGACGCGACGAGGAGAGGCGGCCGTGGCAATGGGGCGCGCGTGCAGGTGGAAGAAGGTATGACGTTACGTGGAAGGCGCGTTACGTGCGCGCACACGCGCGCCTCGCTCTCCACTGTCTCGTCGGTTCTCTCAGTGCTCAGCTCACTGTCGCCGGCGACGAACGTGTCGGCCGAGAGGGAGAGCACACGGCTGGACCAGCTGCACGCCTATCCGCGCAAAAGCCTCCAAAGATGAACGTGGACGACGTCCGTGTCGGCGGCTACCAGCTGCTCATGCTCCTGCTGCTGTCCGTCAATTTCGTCATCGTGGGCATGAGCCACGCGCTTAGCATCTTCTACAAGCACAAGCCCGACTTCCACTGCGAGGTACGTGCTCGAATATTTCGTTGTCTTCGAATTCGGCGATGACCATTCTTCAAATGACATTACGGCCGCGCTCAATCGAATGATCGTTCGACACGAGCGGCACAAATCGACGGTAGTCCAGCGCGTGGGAGAGACTATATACATCAATTACCAGTAAAATTCAATGAAACGCGAATCGGTTTTTCTCGCACGGCCTGACCCGTGGACGCCTGCCAACATCATCGATCGAAAGCGCAAAGGCATTGCAACAGCTCTCATTGATGGCTCGCTCAATGCGCATTTGTGCTCACGCGTGTTTGCCATTTTTACATAACGCTCATTAGTTGTCCTACGTGAGAAAACTCGCAGCTTTTCCGCCGCTCCGCGATCCGCAATCAGTGACCTTATTGAGCGCAAAGAAAAGTAAAAAAAAAATATTTTCTAACGAGCCCATTCGCGTGTAATTGTCGCGCGACCATGGTAATTCGTCGATATACGATATACACAGTTCACGCGTAAGTTGTTGCTTATGCTTATGGAGTAGGCGCCGGGCGAGCGCGCCAACTAAATTCCACGACGAAGTGTGAGTACAGACCGGCTAATTTGGAAGTCTAGCATGGGTCGGAATTCCTTTTTCTTGTTCTTTTGTTCTTTCTTTTTCTTGAACGCGCAACTCCGGAATTCCTGCTGTAAGCGTGGCCAGGCTTGTAATTTCGTGGCCTCCTCGAAAATTGCGCGCTCTCGACGCGTTTCTAGGCAGGGATATCTCGCATTGTCCGCGGTGGTTCGAGCGACCGCGATAAACCGGGGGAGGGGGGGGCACCGCCGATCTCGCGTATAATCGCGAGTGCGCCTGCATTCTCGCCACTCGCAATTAGTATAGAAATGCTCGCGTATAAAAATTCCAATCAGCGCCGCAGCGCCGTTCTAAATACTATGGCAGAGACGTGCCCGCGAACGATGCGCGAATTCCAAGGCGCGAGCGCTTGGTTGCGAAATGGCGCGAGCGTAAAATCGCTAGCGACAGATCTCACGATGAAAAAAAATCATTCGACGCGCTAGCAGCGTCACCGATTACATTTCACTTCGCCGGCCACACATGCGCGCGCGCACCACGCGATATTAATAATACATTGTCATCAGGACGACGACGTGCTGAACGGCACGTCCATCTGTACGAGATCATCGTGTACCTTCGATGATGCAAACAGGACGAGCGTGGCGAGCGACTGGCTATTGATATGCGACCGCGAGCCTCTGCTCCGCGCCTCCGGTGACGTTTATTTCGGCGGCATGCTGCTCGGCGCCATCGTCGCCGGATTACTCATGGATCGCATCGGCAGACTGCCCGTTTTGGCGATCTGTCTCTACGCCCAAGGAGCCATGGCCGTCGCGCTGAACATCGCCAAGGTAGGTCGACAGCGCGAGCGCGGCTCTCGGCGGTCGCGTGCCTAATCCGCGACACGTCGCTTCTTGCCCCCCCTCCCCCAGTACTACGAACTGTTCCTGGCGTTCCGCGGCCTGCAAGGCTTCTTCGCTCAGGGCCTCGAGAGCAGCAGCTACGTCCTCGGCATCGAGCTGTTCCCGAGCAAGCACCGCGCTCTGGTCTCGCTGCTCGTCCTGTCGATGAGGTCCGTCGGCTTCGCCGCCCTGGCCGGCCTCAACTACGCCGTTCTCGACTGGAGAGTGCTGCAGCTGGTCGTCTCGCTGCCCACCACGCTCACCGTCCTCTACATCTGGTAAGCCGCGCGCGCGCGTCGCCCTCGGGCTCGCCGCACACTCACGCCGAGCGCGCTCTCGCAGGCTCATTCCCGAGTCGGCGCGCTGGCTGCTGGCGCGCGGCAGGACGAGCCACGCCGAGACGGCCATCCGCAGGATCGACGGCTACAACAGCCTGCTCGGATCGGGCGGGGCAGCGCCGCAGCAGCCGGCGGGGAGGGCGCGCGCCGCCACCGACGACCGCGGCGCCGAGGAGGCGTCGCCCGGGGAGGCCGACAACCTACTCGAGCGCACGGGTGAGCGGCCGCGTCTCGACTTGGCAGCGAACGCCGCGGAGAGGGCCGGTAGCGAGGCCGCCAGCGGGCCGCCCGGCGACGCCGCCGGAGTGCGGACCGCCGACGAGATCGCAAGCTTGGACGCCCCGAACGACTTGCTGGCGTCGGCGGAGACGCTGTCGACCGAAGTGGCCGGCAGCAAGCACGGCGACGGACGGGGCTCGGGGAGCTGGATCGCCAGGTTCCTGGAGGCGAGATTCCTCGGACGCAGCTGCGCGGTGCTCGTGTGCTCGTGGTGAGTGGGCGTCGGGGAGGCGTCGCAAGACGGCGCCGGCGACGGCTTCATTCAAAACTCGAACGCCGCGCAGGTTCGCTTGCTCGCTGGCCTTCCACGGACTGATATCGCTGCCGCCCCGGATGAAGCTCGACCGGCATGCCTCTCTGGCCATCGCCGCTGCAATGGAGATCGTCACCTTCTCGCTCGGCTACGCATTGATATCCTCGCGGCTAGGGCGTCGCGCGCCTTTGTGCGTCAGCCAGATCATCGCTGCCGTGGTCTGCCTTGTCATGGCCATCTTGGCGGCCACACTGTCGGAACCAACTGCCGAGTCGATTGGTAAGTTCAGTCTTACGCGCCGGTCGGCTCATCTCGGCTCGCGGTGACAATTTTTTCTACCCCCCCACCCCTCCGACTTTTCAGCTCACGGCAAGGTGGCGCTTTTGAAGATTGGAGCGATCGCGAATATAATCTGCTTTTTCGTTCTGCGAATGTTAACGATCGAACTGTTCCCTACGATTTCGAGAGGTACCGTACTTGGATTGTGCATCGCTGCGGAGATGTTTGGTGGTCTTGTTACTCCGTTGATTTTGATGCTGAATAACTGTTTGACTGTGAGCTTTTTTAATGTTTACTCCTATTTTTTATTGCTGTTGCGAACGCGATATTTCTTTTATTCTAGGAAATGAAGCTGGACATTTCGAGAATTGCAATCGGTATTTTCTGCATCTGCGTTGCATTTTTCACACTAACGTTGCAAGAAACTGCAAATCTTTGTACTTTACCGGACACCGTGGAAGATGCGAAAATATCTAGTCAAAAAGGCAATATGAATTGTAATATCGAGGAAACAGAAGATGAGCAATCGGAAGATCCTGAGAAATTACGAAAAAAATTGTTTTCCGAAGATTGGGTCGATGCTGGCAACGGTATAATCGTCAATTTTACAGAAAATAAGACTATGGATTGATTGTATTGAAGAATTGATGAAGATCGGGACGATTGAATATTGTAAATAGCACAATTTGTGCTTCCATTATGAAAAAGTCTTACAGCAACACTATACGAGACAGTTTTTTACTTTTGTAAATATACATTTAAGCGTAATTAAAACCAAAGTGTGCATATAGTTTAAATACAAATGTAATATAAGGTTCTACTAAATGTTTGTGTAGCAACTGATATTTAACAAGCAGTTATTTAGTACATTACTTATAAGAATGATGTAATAAAAAGATTGACAATATATTTACTCAAATTAAGACTTATTTTCAACTTAGCGATGAAACTCACAATTGTTTGAAATGAATAAACCATCCACCATTCAAATGATATGTTTCTGTATGGATGATTTCTAATAAAAAACTTATATATCTTGTTAAATATAAAAATTGTTTTATTCATAAATTATCACAGAAGAATCTAGTGATCATAATTAACCACTGATCCTTAGGAACGAAGTAATTTAGTAATAGAATAATAATTACTCTTTTGTTTACTCTTAAATTATCTACTATACTAAATGAAAATCACATTAACAAATGTCATTGTTTCAAATCTTAAAGAACTTTTGGCTGTGCGATACCATTGTTCTGTTGAGGTGTATGTTGTGGTTGCTGTTGCACTTGTTCAGCAGCAGTCTGTAAGAGTCTTGTTCGCCTTCTTGTATAATGTTGCCACAGAAGAATTTGTTGATCGTCAATGAATTTAGTGCATTGTGAATTTACCACTTCTCTGCGGAAGTGTTCATATTGTAACAAATCCAGAAAATACAAGCACATAGGATATTTGAGGTATTTGGCATATTCTGGTTCCTTCCAGTACAGCAAGTATTTAAGGTAATTGATAAAGCTTGAGTCCTTAAAGTAACCACGTTGAGCTAAGACTAAAAAGCACAATTTAATTAGACTCCACATTATATTGATTAATTTTATGTAAAAAAATTATAAATAAACTTACAATTGAGATAGTTAGGATTTGCTAAACATTGCACAAATTCCAGTTCAATTTGAAAGCGCATGCGTTGCTGGTCTTCAGTCTCTGGTACTCCTGTGAATCAAAAGAAGGAATGTAACAAAAAATTGTATGTATTTTTGCATTTAGTTGCCATTTTTTTATATATGTAACAATATTTCTTCTGTCTCGGTAAATATTACAATAGTAGAAAATTGTTACAGGAAAACTTTACAACATTGATCTTACTTGTTACTAAAAAAGAATACAGTAAATTAATAAAATAAAACTAGAACAATAAGTTATAATACTAAAATAAATTATGTTATTTACCATTCATTCTTGCTCTCAGAAAAGTAGAATCATCAAACCGATTCATAATATTAAATTTATTAATACTTTAAATACGTTTTCTATCGATAGAAGCGCGTTCTATCTAATGACCCCTACGTCCAAAAGGTCACGGTTAAATTTGGACAATTGTTTGGCAAAAAAACTGCATACTTCTTTAACAACTTGTCAACAATTTACACTGTACACGACTGCACGTAAACTACCATATGATGATCTTAGCCGCCATATTAGTTTATTCGAAGATGGCGCTCTAATCACTGAATACTAACCTTCTTTACAAAATTTTTGGCGCCGGTCACTCGCGCGCGCTAAAAGTAGATGTATAATTCATATGAGTACGTGAAATTGATTCTACATTTTATGTTACGTAATCACTGTAAACATACAATAATTGGTCCGACCAAGTAACTTATTCAGTAGTTTCTACTACTTCAAGAATTATTTAATACCGATTTATTAACCATTCGTTATGATAGCTTAAAAACTTTTTATATTATCTCAACGTAATACGATTTTTTATAGAGTATTTTCTTACAGTCTATTACCAACAAAGTAATCTTCTTAAATTCAACCATTTGTACAATTATATCCAGCATAGAACGGAGCAAAAGAATAAAAATACTGCGTTGTAACCACGTAAACTCATCGCTTTTTTATGATCGTGCACATCGCTAAAGAACTCGCTCACATCACAGGCAGTAGGAAAAAAGCTAAGACTGCGTGGAAGTACAGGAGGCAGTACGTGAAAAATGTCGGAGCGATGAAACTGAAACAATTTAAACCAGAAATTTAAATCAAGAAAAAAGTCCTATTTATGAATGAGGGTGTGTATGATAACAACTTTTTCCTTCATTTCGTCGATTATAAATGTAATTAAAAAATAAATATTGACCGGCATGAACAAAAATCTACCCGAAAATCGGAATAAAGGCCTTTCACGTGGGAGTATACGGCTTATTTGTATACGTCACATTTATTTATATATTTTTCCACGAATTCATTCACTCGAAATAATCGTTTATTGATACCAAAACGATTCTTAACAATTATGAAACTTTTGTAATAACATTTATGTTATAGAATCAGAAATGTCTGGGCAAAATGACACCAGAACATCTACTCCAGAGCGAAGGATACTTGGTGAATTGGGAAATAATCCTGATTCACCAACAGCTAACTTGCGATTACTTACCACTCTTGCATCTATGCAAATGAAAACTGACACTAAAAGTCCATGTCCAGGATGTTCAAGTTCTACTTTAGTAGCACCAGTACAATCCACACAAGAATCTAGCAATAAGCTTCTTCCACGAAAGGAGAAATCACTTAGTCTTCTGTGCAATAAGTAAGTAGTTTTCAAATTTACTTTTAACTAGTTTAATAAATTTATCAATGGCTGGATGACATTCTTTTTATTTTACTGATCTTATAATTTATTTCTAATTAATGTAGCTGCAAAAAATGTAATGAACTCCAAACTTTTAAATGAATACTTTAAATGAATACTATCATGATTTCCAGATTCTTGAATTTATATCCATTGGATATTCAAGACAATGAACCTAGAGAAATTTCTCTCAATGCAACTGCTGAGGATCTAGGTACTGAAAAAAGAAGAATATATGACATTATTAATGTCTTAGAAAGTTTAGAAATGGCTTCAAAAGCTGGAAAGAATCAATATTTATGGCATGGACATTCACGCTTGCCATTAACTCTTGCTAAGTTGAAAATGATAGCAATTGAGCTTGGATTGGAAAAGCAAATTCATGAGATACAGAATGTTAACAGAGCTTATGTTGAAGATCATTGTCAAATGTGTAGCAAAATCTCAGCATCACTAATGGTTCCTCAGAGTCCTGTTGTCAATTATAAATTCCCTGACAATTCAACAAAGGATGATAAAAGCTTAGGAGTTATGTGCAAGAAATTTGTAATGCTTTTCCTTGTATCTAAAAAAGTATGACAATATTTAATGTCTACATTATGATATACTTCATAATGAAAAATATTTTTTATTATTGCTTTTATTTTTTTTCTTAGAATGGAGTCATAAATTTAGACATAGCTGCTAAGGTTCTGATAAATGAACATGATGATTCTACAGATTCAAAGAATAGTGCAGCACAGTCAAGATTTAAAACAAAAGTTAGAAGGCTCTATGACATTGCCAATGTGTTGTCAGCTATCGGTTTAATTGAAAAAGTTGACATATACAACTGTGTCATTAGGAAACCTATTTTTAGATATACTGGACCTAGTGTGAACTGTCTTAATTTAGACATGGGTAAAATATAATTTGTGTAAGTTGCTCAAAGCTAGCTCTAATTTTGATAATAATATTTGCAGAAACTCCAACTATAGAGAATAATGGCCAGTCATTAGTAGGAATGGCCACTCCTAATAAAAAAGCTTCTGACACCTTCCGTTTTCGGGCTTTAAATAGAATTTCTAAATTGTATTCAAGTACTCCACTGGGAAACAAACGCGAAGCAAGGAAGAGAAAGCTATTTGACTCGAGTAAGTAATATCATTGTTCACCTTTATATTGTATAATTTTTTTAATGTATTCATGTAACAATTTAAACGTGAAATTACAGACAACACAAAATTTGAACGAACACAAAGCTCGCCATGCCTGAATTCTCCGAAATGTCGTTCAGTAGATCGCATGGAACCGATTTTACAAGCAGTCAATATGGAATTAAAGCGGATAAAATGTAGCGAGAACAAACCGAAGGTTTGTACAAAACTTTTTCCAAGACATAATTCAGACTCCTGCATTTCACCTCTGCAAATAGACATAAGTTCATCGAGTACGGAAACTTCAGATGTAGCATCGAATTCAACTGACCATTCATATTCTTCGACAAATTTGTCAATGACCCCTCCAATAGTTAGTAAGGAAAATCTAGTCAACAATACGAGTAATACTGTTACGCCGGTTCGTACTTTACGAATAAATGTGCCGGTAGAGTTGAAAATTGCGCCTATCACTTTGCAACCGAGTACTACTCCTAAATTTGTGAAACTTACAAATTTTGACATGAGAAAATTAGTGCCGATTTCCAAGGAAGACATTAAGCTTAAATTACCTCCAGGAGTTCAAACTCCAAGTACTTCTAAACCAAATGTTGCGATTTTCACGCAAATCCCGACGAAGAAAATTTCCGCGGGAGATATATTCAAAGCTATCAAAGTAGGCAATACTTTTCAATTGATTCCAATCAAAAAGAAAAACGATGTTATTCAAAAGCAAAATCAGCAGTAATAGTAACGATAAACAAGTATAAACAGCAAGCTTAATAAGGTTGTGCCTTCATTTCTGTAAAATTTTTTTTGTCTGATTAACGAATTTTGTACATATACAGATATATTTTATAAATCTATTTATTCGTTAATGAATGCCTACTTGGAAAAATTTACTTTCATTATGCAATGACTAAAATGAAATTTTGTGGCTACAATAGTCATATTCTATAAAACATGTTACAATTGCGAAATAAATTATATATATATATGTATATGAATGTTATATGGCAGCAAATTAGAATTAAGTTTAAAATATGTAAGTCGCTTTTGTATTACCAAAGCATTTTTTTTTTGTTAAATTTCTTGGCTTAGACTGATGGAATCAAGTGAATTATTTCATACATATGGTAAATATAAGAAAATTATATATGATGTTATGTAATAATCAGAATTGTCTATATTTTATGCACTGAAATATTACGTACATATGGACTTGGTAGACACTACTGATGCTAATTAGATTAGCTTATAGAAATCATGTTGAAAATCGAATATTTTAAAGAAAATGTATGAATATTATCTTTCAACTATGCAAAAACAATTTTATTTTAAGTTTTATAATCAATAAACGAAATCAATTTTTTCTAATAATGTAATTAACAAGCTTACACAAAGAAGTTCTTTTATTTACACATTGTTGCTTAATAAATGTTATTCACATAAAACGATCTGGTATTTTTATTCTTTCTGTATCCAATGTAACTTATCATTTAATGGTATAAAATTAATTTTTTTATAAAATTAATCCTATCAAATTTTCTTAATAAACTCTATCTAATCCCTCAACTTCTAATTTCTTGTCAACATGTCCATTGATTTTGATTGAGTTTATTCTAACCATTGTTTGTTGATGCCTAAAGACTATTAATAACAAGATTAAATTTAATATAATTTACAGTAATTTTAAAGGATTTAACAAAATTAAACTACTTACATTTTATTCTACGATATTGCTTCCTTTTTCTAAAACGAAATTCTGTTACTGTGTGTGACATTGTTTTTTCAATTACTACTGCATCAATGGAAACTAATTCTCTGTTGAGTATTGGCCTTCCAACTAGTGTAAAATCTGTACCTCCAACTAATAGTACTTTTTCCAACTTAATCTGATCACCAGGATTTGGAGCCCAATATCCTTTAATAACTAGAATATCACTTTCAGTAATTTTAAATTGCTTGCCAGCAAGGTGTACAATGGCAAAAAGTCTGCCAGTCTTATCTTCTGCAACTTGCTCATTAATTGCTTTGGATACATCTGCAATAAAAATCGAGCACTCATTATAATTAAAATTACAAATAACAAACCTAATTTTATTCATGAACAAACCTTCAACTAGTTTTTCTTCCTCTATTGTTGATTTTTGCACTTCTTTTTGACTCTCTGGTTCTTTTTGATACCAGGGAACACTTCTCGGAACATTTTTCAATTTTCTATACGGATCTTTGCTATAATTGCATATTTGAGAATCATAGAGATTTGTAACTGGAGCTAGACAATTAAATAAATTTAAATTCATATAGTAATATTGCCGGGAGATAGGTTATGTTTACATGTGATTAATTTTCATTTTTTAAATTAATTGACACTTTAAAATGTTGATCGAATCTAACTCACTTAAATGTGATGGTTTTGTCAATATGTAGGTTCCAAACGTTTGTGTGCACGTCCGTGCTCCGAATTTTAAAAGACGTGAAATGTTTATAAAAGATGCCATGTTTTTTGGAGTTGCACGGCTTGCAGCAGCTTGCAGAGCACAGCCCACTAACTGTGTGGTACTGGCGTCGACGAACATTCGTCTGCTATGCTGTGCTCACACACCTAAATTTTTTGGTAGTATGTGTACTGTATGTATATTTGTGGAGAAAAGCATGATAGATAATTGTTAAAAATTCTGTGAAATTAGATTTTTATATTAAAATCGAAGATAATTAATGTCATTGAAACCTTGTGTTATTATTTTTTTGTAAAATTCCGTAAAATAAAGTTGATAAAAAATTCAAGTTTTTTATCTTGTATAGTAAATGCAAAATATCTGACAGTTTTATTTGTTATAAGGTTATAAAATAATATCAATCAATTACGAAGAATCACCTAGACAATAAAGCAATGCTATCGTTAGATTGAATTCATTTGCCATAAATTTAATTTATTAAAGTAGGTATTTGTTATTACAACATAACGTTAGTATGTAACGTTAGTATTGCAATTATTTGTTATTGTGAAAACTGATTATCATTGAGTAACTATAATTTACAGATTTTTGCTAAACAAAATGATTCCAAATCTTGTGAACAAAATACGACAACTTTCACTATGTAAAACATCCATTATGGGTGTATTAACTAAGTTACAATGTCCACAACCTATACAGCATTCAAATTTACATATTTCATCTATAAACTACCGACATCCATCAAAAGGTGAAAAAAATCCAAAACACTTTCTCAGTTATAACGATGTATTTTACCCTATCCAAGAAATTGGAGAAGAAAGAAGACCTGCTGTAAGTTATATTCATGATAATACGATGAATTTAGAAACTAATAAATTCTTTTATCTATAACTTTTAAATTTTTGAATTACTACAAATCTTATTTTACAAGCCTTACTAAAAAAACATAGAAAAGAATAAAGAAGAACATGAGAATACTTCAGTCTATTTTTTTTCTCTTCTAGTATGTGTGCCATCAAAAATGTAATATTAGATACACTCCAAAAAAGATGCAGTACGTAGCTTGGTTAGTAAGAGGAATGACAGTCGATGAAGCTATAAAACAGCTTAGTTTTGTTTTGAAAAAAGGTGGTGCAATTGTAAAAGAAACTATTTTGGAAGCTCAAAAATTGGCGGTTGATCAGCATAATGTTGAATTCAAAAGCAATTTATGGGTTGGTAAGTAGAACATATTTTTATTATTTAATTCTTCTATAATATTGTTAAAATATATCTCATAAAACTATCAAAGATTATTTTAGAATATATTGGAATTATTTCTTATGAATTTTCATGTACATACATTGATATCATTTAATTTTATTTTGTACTTGAATGTCTTGAAGATGTTATTAATAAGATTTCATTTTTTAGCGGAATCCTTCTGTACAAAAGCTTATGTAATTAAGGGATTACGACGACATGCTAAAGGTCGACCAGGAGAAATTAGATATACATACTGTCACTACTTTGTACGCCTTGAAGAAGGTACTCCTCCTAAAGATTATTATAAACTCAATCCAAAAACACCAGAAGAACAATTAGAGGATTGGAAGAACAAGATGAGAATGCGTAAAGTTATGAGAACTTTGTAATTATTGATATTTTGTACAATAAAAGTAAAGGAAATTCATTGATTCATTTATCTTTCATTTCACTCTTCAGTATAATTAAAAAGCATATCTTATTAATTCTTCTTGGTTCAAATATAGATTTTCATTGTTATTGATACGATTTTAAGTTAACATTCAAATCAATTTATACTATTTCAATTGAAATTAAATGTTATTATTCAAGAAAACAAATTCTGATTAATGATCGTTTAGCTCTAAATTAAATTTGATAACCATGGCATATAGAAATTAGAGATATAATGTTTTTATTCAAAATTTATTCCACCCACTATGACATGTACAATAGCAATGACACAGTTTACAACTTTAGTTTAGTTCTTCTCCAGTGACGCCTTTTAGCGTTGTACCTGAAAAAATACAATAAGTTATTATACAACCAACGGTATATTTTGAAATTTAATTGAATTAAATCTTATCTGAAGTGAATAAGTTAATCAAATAAATATTATATAAAACATTAAAAAAGAGAAATATATTGGTGATTACTATTTTGAACCAATCTAACAATAAATTTCATCACTTTGAATACATTTTCATATTTCACAAGAAAACAATTTTGTAGTAATAAATTTAGTTTTCCACTGATAAATTTGTTATATGAAACCATATTATTCAACTTTAAAACAGTATAATCATGTAGATTCAATATTTATCTAAGCAATAATATAACCCTTAAATTGCAGAACATGTTCATTGTGCAAAATTTTATTAAATTAGACAATACGGCTAACTTGTTAAAATTAATTATGAAGAAATTTAAATAAATACTATATTTACCTAATTGTGTTGCCGGTACGCATTCTCACCCATTGTGGGATAGGTCTATTTTGTTTTAGTTTTTTGGCAAGCTTTCGCTTGATAATAAACGTTTTGTGGGCCGACTGAAATGAATATATAAGTGAATAATTGTTAACATCAGATAATAGCATTTGTTAGAATATTAAAAAATAGAAGATGCCGAAGATTATAAACGATGTTTTGTAAGAATAAAAATCTCACCATTGTGCCTTCCAACAATATCGAGGCGAAAGAGTCAGGATATGACTAATCTTTTTTGAGTGAGGTTAGTTTAACTACTACGTTAATCAATACAAGTTGGAATGTCATACGACTGGCGGGAATACTCTTGTACTTTTAAATTTTGGGGTAGCATGGAGAGTTCAAATAAACAAGCGTTTAATCACAGAGAAAAATTAATAGTCTTTATTATTTAAAAAAAAATCCTGCTAAAAGATTTTCATTAAAAAACATTGAAAATAAGTGAATATCCTAACAGTGTACACACATCTTAATTCTACGATTTTAACATCGATCAACTGTAATCATCGAATACGATTACAGTAATAGAAGCTAAATACTTGGGTCGATTAGAAGAACTTCAAATTCGAATTTTACGGATGAAAATACATTTGACATCATATCTTCGTTTATTTTCTGTCTGAAATGTTGACCTCTGTAGAATTTTGAAAATATAGAAATCTCATACCTCATACCCAACATGTAAGCTTTCTATTTTTTTATGAATTCCATAACATGCAAACTAATAATATAAATGATGTTTTCTGAAAAAAATAGAAATAACGATTAAACGATGCAGGATGTTTTGAAATGTTTTATTTTTCTATATCTCTCAATTTTTTGTAGTATAACGACTAATAATTATACACACTAGAATTTGTTGGTCTCTCATTCGGGGGATATGAATTCATTGCATAATTAATAATCAAACGATCAACGCATGTAGATAGTTCGGAATGTGAATGTATGCACCTTACGAAAAATATACATATTTACAAACACTCCAAGTTATTTAGGATAATCTTTCAGTTTCTATTTTGCAGCTTTTTTTACAAATTGTAGATACATTGCACGCCACATTGAACTTGACATTCGAATTAATTATTTAAATATCTATTAATAATTGAAAATAAGTTTTTAAAATATATATGGATAAATAGCGGTTAAACATTTCTTATAGTTGAAATGAATTTCACAATGTAGATCTCATAAAAGCCAATATTTAATAAAATTCTCACTTATAATAATTGATAAATATTTAAATTGCAAATCAAAAATTTAAATAAAATAATTCGAAACATTTAGTTTACTACCCAAAACATTGTAGGGTAAGTATGATTACGAATTTTGAAACTATCGTATATTCAAACTGTATTGCTTTAGTTTCTTTTTTTTAAAGACGTGATTTCTTTTGTTCATTTCAAGCCATGCTCTTTTTATCATATACATACATGATTCATCGTCATTATTTACAATTCTTGTTCTTTTACGACACAACGTATCAAGATTTATAAATTAATCAAGTAGAAAATGTTTCTTTTAAAATAAATAACATGTTCATTTATATCTTACAAACGATCAAAGTTTCCCATATTGTTACATTTCCATTTCACTTTTAAAAATACATTAGCTGAAAGAATATGGAAAATAAAAAGTAAAATAAATCTTTTTGTCATTGTAACTTGACGTTCGTAATGGATTTGGTAACTGTTCAATCTTCTGGCCGACGTATTTCAATTCAAACCTTGTTCTTTTTTAAAAGTGCGCATGAATGAAAAAAAATTATTTTCCTTTTATTTTCTAGCAATTCATCGAATCCCCTTGAAGCAGCACATAAATTGATTTGTTTATTTACTTTTCAAAGGATTCGCAAACAAGTTCTGCTTTTGTCACAGAAAACATTCGATTTTATCAAAGTTGTATTGTCTTTTGATTACTTTCACTATTTGATGATTGCCTGAACTGAAGAATCAAGCTTTGTATGTGTGTTTTAAGATGCGCTCGTGATTTGTTCTCTTTTTTTCATCGTTTTGATACCTTATTTGTTTTGTTTTGTTTTGTTTTTTTTTTAATTCACTCAACCGCGACTGCTAGTTAGTATTATATAACATTTACACGGCCTAAAATTGTACGTTTATAAAGCTTTGAGAATCAGCGAAGCAAAATAATTTTTGCCCATCAAACACTAATTCGACATCTTACAAGCTCTCGATTCACTGATTCTCTTTCTCTACTTTTGAATATATAATTCAACTTTAAAAATAGCATTGCTCATAGGTATGTTTATCTCATCTTTATATAATGTGCATCGGTGTCGCGCGATTATACAAATAAAAACAAATAGTAAATCTCGTAAAATGAACGTGAATAAATATTCATGTCAAAACGAATACAGTATACTAATTGAATAATTGTCTTTTTCATTACCCAAAACACTTGTTACAATTCATCATGCTAAAACGTAACAAAGGAACGAATTAAGTGAGAAAACAAAAACAAGAAAGGAGACTAGGACAAAATGAACTATAACAACATTACGCGTACACCTTTTTCGAAACAAGTGCATAAATGAAAAGCAGTGGTTTACAGATGAGATAAATGATGGGTGGAGTGGGGAACGGGGGCACAATTGTATATTCACACCCAGGGTAAGCAAGCGTAAGGTGCGCAACTCTCGTAATTGTGCACGAAGGGTAAGGAATGCCTGCTGCCTTTGTGTCAGTGATGGCTTGGCGGATGAGACTCCCCTTGGGAGTTTCGTCTTGGTGGCTGCTGCTGCTGACTGATGCTGGTTGATGGTCGTGGGCTCATCGACGGAAGTTGTTGCTGGCACTTCTTTGATTGGTATGTGCCTGTTGCCACGTACGAGAATAAACACAGCACCGAGTAGCAGATTTGATCCGCCTAAAAGAAATTCATCTGTTAAGAGAGTCGATGAGATGGTTTTCAAGGGCAATGTGAATCTTGAACCCCGAGGGTGACGGAAAAGTAACTGATTCATGGTATGCTTTCTAGCAATTCGGATGTGAATTGCAAAATCGAGTACTATGTATGAATATTCAAACTATAGATCGACGTTCCTTAAGAAAATGGATAAAATTAATTGAAGCGAAATTAAATCAACGCCATGAATCTTGTACTATTTTAATGAAAATTACTTCTATTACCTTCGTTTATATTCTACAATATTTCATAAATTCAAGGCTGTCATTGCAAACAATAATTGCACGTGCTATTTATAATGAGCTCTCTGGTAAAAGAAAAATACAATTAATCTACTTTCAACATCAAGTAATTGTGAAAAAGGCGAAGTAATGGCGTGGAGAAGGAAGATTTTACTCAATGAAAGAAAAAAACTTACACGGCGCAATGGCGCAAAAGTAAAGGGAAACAAAGAAGAGACACTGACATCATGCAGTATTTTTGTTATCGGTTTGTTCTACAAGCCGAGCCTCCGCTGACAGTTGCATGGTTAGCGCAACCGAGAAAATTCTGTGCATGCAACGAACTGCCTCGCTGGCCTGTTTTGTGCAAAAAGACAAAGAAAGAAAAAGAAAATGCCCAATTGTTTTTTGTCCATTCTTCATTGGATAGTAATATTGATATCCGTACTTTTAAAGAGCGAGAATAAGAGTGTTGTCAAAATTAATTTTGTTTTGTATCAAAAGAAACAAACAATTCTACTTTACACCAATTACTTTTTTTTTCAAAAAATGATAACAGTTAACATCAATATTTTAATGTGGCAAAATTGACTTGGTTCACTTACCATTTGAGACTTATATTTACGTTGAATTATTTGTCTAGTCTTAGGATCTGAAACAAAAGACGAATCAGTAAATGATCGAAAAGAAATAACGTCGTTTTCACATGGAATTGCGATAAGGTTTTCCTGAGACACTTACTGAACTCTTCCAAAATGAAGATCCCACCCTTCTGAGTAAAGCACTTGCGGATATGCTCGAGTCTTAGAAAAAACTGAAAACAACATCGGTTATTAACTAGTCGTCCGACGAAATCAGGTGGATTTCCAAAATTCCTAAAGCAAAACGTGCAAGCATTGCGAATATTAAACTACACTCTACCTTGATCTACAATTTCGTTCGACATACACGTCGACTACTGATGCATGCTTACGTTCATTAAGATAAGAATCTCAGTTATGCATGACAATTATTTCTAATATCTTCATCTTTTCAGAAATTCTAAGCATGCAATCAAGAATATTTGTAAAATTGAAGTATTGTACCTCGTCTAAATAAGACAACACGTAGGGAGCAAACCCTTGAATAATGCTTATTCAGACTTGGTATTTATGCATGAGCTCACACCGACATGATGCTCAACAACGCAAACATGTGTAAATTGCATAAAAAAAAACACCAACACATGATGACCAAAAAGTATGATGTAGAAATCATGCGTAACAAATGTGAAGCGGAAGAAAATAGTGAAAGTAAGATGAGAACAGGACGAGCATTTGCAGCAAGATATAAATATAGGATCCGAGCGAGAAAAGCAGGCAGGCAAGGCAACTCTGGAGATGGCCTAAAAGTCTTTTTAATTGAACGGTGGTGAACGAAGGGGACATTGTCATCGCGTGTGTCCAAAAGCTAATTATTATTGTGCAGTCGAGTTTACAAGTGGATTTTTTCATGAATAATATGTGTGTGTATATATATATATATATATATATATATATATATATATATATATATATGCATATGTATATGCTTCGGATTCGGTGCTCAAGTTCTGATGGTGCGCGTTATGTGAAGACAAACGGGGTATGATTTTCATTTTTAAAGGGACACTACACATGCTTGCATTTTTGTGACTCGCTTGTTTACTTGATGGATAGCAATGAAACTGTAATATTGAAGATACTTTCTCGTGCGATAAAAACAATTCATTTCTTGTATTTTTTCAAACGTTTTTGAAGGTATTAAGATTTTATCGTTTCCATTTGCATAGTTGTGGGACGAATTTTCAAGGATCTAAGTGAAGCCAATGAGCGAAAGAAACAGCTTTTATTTTTCAGCAACAAGTTCGCAAAAGCTCGTTTCACAAGAAAAAGAATTGACGTGAAAGGCCCTTTAGCAATATTCATTTATTATTTGAGCTTATTTGCTACTTTCCTTAGTAAATTTTGCCAGTGCTCGTATATACATACAGTATTTGTAATAGAAAAGAAAGGAAATAGAGATATATAGGCAGTTAAAGTGAATAGTGATAGAGGAGGTTTTTCTCTAATGGACAGATCATAAAGTATATGCAACAGGTCGCTATTTTCGTGTGTGCGATAAACTACCAGAAAAAATTATAATATTTGGTGTCAGATAAGTCGTGAATTGATTACAGAGTAAGTCAGAGTTGTCTATATAAAATTAAGTGACGAGAGAAATATTGAACCGCACAAAAAGAAAAGCACAATTGATTTTCTCGTTTTGCATTTTTGTATTTTTGTTTATTTGTTCAAAGAAACAGATTTGAAGCGTAAGAACGACCAAGAAGACACGTCATCTATATTTTGTTCACGCACGTAAGTACAGTCTTTCTAACAAAGTTAACGTACCTTTTCCAATACCAGCAAACGGAAAAATATCAATATACTCAATCGTTCTAACAACTTTTGTCAAAAACTTTTCTTTTCAAATGCGTGCACTACGTGTTTGAAGCTCGTTATCATTTGTAATAACAAAAAAGAAAACGAAAAAAATAAACATTTGATAACAAACAATATGTAAGCAACGTAAAAACTGCTGGTACAGGAATTGGCCGAACGACATATCGAATATAACATAGATATCACAGCTAACACCAATCATTATATGGTAGGATAAATACAGTCATGTAGACAGAGCAGATCAACTAATTTTGATGCAACTTTCATCGCTGTGGATAGTAATACAAAAGTACTAAAGGCATATATTTAATAGTTTGATCAACATGTGTAATGTGTTTCTTTTATCCTTTTAAGAAAAGGCCAAATGGTTTCATTGTAAAATGTGTATTCTTGTGTCGTCGTTGAAAGATTTCTCTCCTTTCGTTTGCTACGTCAATTGCGTAGCTAGTTTAGTGAAAAAATGTCAAATAAAATGTGTAATATGCGCGTGTTGAATATTTTTAATACATATTCAGATACAGATGTATAGGCAAAAAAGCTTTTTTCTGAATTCTATTTTCAATTTTCAATTGAACAATAACAAAAGCGTTTATTCGTCAAATTTTTAACAATTTCAATTTTGACTGTTGTAAGCGTTTATCAAGCTTCGTATAGAAAGCATTTTTAGGTCTGTAAATACTTCTTTCTCTGTTTGTGAAATCCCCTGCAGCAATATTCATTTTTCATTCGTGCACAATGTCTTAATTATAACTGACTATCTCGTTTTATTCGTCGAATAAGCGCTCAAAAACTTTCATGCAGTTATTACATTGGATTGTCTGCAGTGAGATTGTTCCCAACAGTTTCTTTTTCTTTTTTAATTGTCAAAGTGACATAGAGAAAACTCTGTGTGAATGTTGGAAGTAAGTGACAGAAAATAAATTGATTATAATCAACAAAAGCATATCCGATATACGGCCAACATTAACAAATCATATCATATATATGTGTGTGTATATATATGTACATATATCTACGCACACACTATAATAGTTAATGATAGGCGATCAATATAAGAAATTGTAAAAATAAAATGGTTGAAAAAAATTCTTAACAAAACAAAAGAAACTATTCATGTCGGTGTGATCATAAGAGTCAAGATAATAACTAACAAACAGTGATCATTTGCTGTACTTATAGAAAAGTAATACAACGGTAATGCGTGTCAATCAAATAAGTAGATTTTAATAGTACCTCGAAATCCTGTTTTTGTGCCCACACACAGCCAAGGGCAATCGATCCGACGCACGAATGGGTCGAGCGAGCGAGAGAGACAATGAGATAGAGAAAGAGAGAGAGAGAGAGTGAGAGAGAAAGAACAGGAAAACAAAAATTTTCTAAATTAAAATCCATCAATCAGTCAATAATTACGATAAAAAATGTATGGGCTTTTTACAACCGCACTTTTTTGAAAAATACTATTATATTGAAATAGGGAAAAGTGACGTTATTTCGGACGGGATATGTTTGATAGGATTGGAGCGGAAATACGATAGAGATAGACGTAAGAAGATAAGATACGGGGGACAAATTAGCTGTAAAAAATTATCTTTCTTTAGCATAGTTAATGCTTCACATGTCGAAGCTCTTATCGTTATTGTATCAATGACAATTTTGAGAAATGAAATACTTTGCTACGACGTTTGTTCGAACATGTCCTTTCAATGAGAATAGCCACGAATCGCGGACTCTGGCGCGTAATTTATGGACATAATTGTTCAAGGACCATCTCAAAAGTTCCCCAAGCCAAGAGAAAAGTCTATTAACCATCGATTTATCTGAAGTCTCTTGAAAGGCGATGTGCACAAAATTCAATTTACTGAGTTTCATACGAGCTGCAAACTGTCAGTGATTTGATAATTAATATAGAAGTTTTAGACCAATATGCACAACAAAATTCGATTGAGGCGGTGAATAAACTTTCCTCGTAACATGACCACGACAAAAAGATTTCTTAGTTCATCGCATACAGCATTCAGTATAAAGTTGAGAAAAACATTGTACTGGCGTGTAATAGTATATTTTAAGAATGAAAAATCGTATACAAGATGAAATAGATGTGGATAATGAGAGAAAAAAATTATGACAAATGGCAATAGTGAAAATAGGAGAGAAAAGATACTTAAAAAAATAGAAATAAAAAACAAAATAAAGGGATCGTCAATTTATTATTATTCGATATCATAACGTAGAAGTTCAATATTTCGTACGAAGTAAATGCAATTTTGAAACTTATATCAACGGCAGTATGATATATATAAAAAAATTATCGAGAATAGAAAACACTGGGACGTGTCTTATATATATATATATGTTTTTATAAAGACGTCTTATATATATATATATGGACACGTCGTACTTTGAAACTTATGATACATTGCTTATTATATATTCGATATAATGTATACATTAAATCAATAATATCATCATATTATATAAAATGTATAAGACAGATAAAAGTAACTGTAGCTGCACATCGAGCTCCATGCAAATAGACATTGAATATAATGCTCAAAAAACGGAATGTACCAAAAACATAAAAATATCCGTAAGTCTTAGCTGATAAATACCCAGACCGATATAAGGAATTCTGAAATAAAATAAATCAAAAAGAGTTTCGATGCAGTTTGAGACAATTCGAAGTACTGTTCTTGTTGAGTATGTCACGTTTGAACTCGTTGGCTGGCTTTATTTTGTTTTCGTACATAATTACGGGGTAATAATAACGATGGCATTTATTACCAATACTCCACGTACGAAATCTCTTTTATGATTGATTTCGTATTTTGAGTAATACTGGAATCGAAAGAATTTGCAAAGCTTGTATAAACAGCTCAAAGTCATCGAGGTTTCAATGACGTTCAACTAGTTAGATTACGTTAGAATTTGGAAAGAAAAATAGGGCTGGTTATGATAGAATAAATATGAATCGTGTCATGTGTAAAAGTAATTTATTATATTTTGTTAGTACCTTAAAATGGTGTATCAAAAATGCACTAATTCATGTGCTTTTATAAGCGTACATAACTAAATTGTTTGCTTTTTATTTGAATTCGAAAGCGTGCGCGTGTCTCAATTGTAAGACAACAAGCGATGATGATTTTGTTGATTAGTTCAGTAAAGACACTTCGAAGAGTCATTACATAAAACTAACAGAAGATACGTACATATACATAGTTAAACAGTTTCGTGGTGGTTTAGCGATGGGAGATAATATTGAGTGGTCCTTGCATCAATGCAATTAACGAAAAAGAAACATAGAAATCGATAATTAAAGTAGTTTACGAGAGCAAAGAGGGTCATTTCAAAAAGGCACGATAAAAACTTGGATTACCAAAATTTTCATGGTTCTATACGAATCTATCATCTATACGATGGAATGATTACCAAAGCATTAGACAGTATCTGAGTATCTCACGTGTACCTTGAAATGTGTTTTATTACAAAGTGGCTACAATCAATAGGTGCAACATTATTCAATAAGTAACGATTACTGAGACCGTTCAACAGAAAATTTTCAAAAAATTTAACAATTTATTTCTCTCATTACGTCGTAATTTTTTAAAGCATTATAGAGATATGAAAGAACACCTTGAGGATTAGTGATCGTAGGGTTTTTTGAACGATAAAGAAAACAAAAGGTTTAAAGTCACGGTTTATATGGATGTATAAATTACGCAGCTGAACTAGCGTATTTAAAAGTTAACAAAAAAGTATAGTAACTAAAGTGAAAAGAAAAAAAATGATGAAAAGTAAAGAGGATCACACTATTACAACGGTAAGACGTATATAAGATACAAGAATAGGCAAAGGTTCATATCGGAAGAAAGAGATACAAAAAAAGTTTCTTTTACTGCTAGCAATATATTTTCGTATTCAAGGGTACATATAGACAGCTTTCAACGCGTGAAAAGCTACACTTCACTAAGCTCCTCGTAATAACTACAGTCGTGAATTATCGTTAAAAGCTGCCTACACTTATGGTTGTAGAATTTCAGTATAAGACAGAGAAAGAGAAAGAGAGAGAGAGAGAGAGAGAGAGAGAGAGACGGGCGAGGATCAACGGAAGTCTGGAACGACGGGACCAGGTATATTGCCAAATAGTATAGTAAATATTTAGAGAAATATAGATATATCGTGTGAGATAAACAAAAAGTAGTGTTAAAAAAAAGGGGTAAAGAGAGAGAGAAAGAGTAGAGCTGGCGTAACGTTACCTTGCTGTTGGCAAAGAGGAGGCCGATGCCCTCCATGCAGACCTGCAAGAGGCCACCCTGATTGGTGACTAAGTCTTGGACGGGGAACTCGCCGCCGAGTTCGGCGTCCATGTTGGCGCCGCGACCGCGCGACGCGGCTTTCTCCATCGCGTCTTTTATACAGTAATACAGATCTCTGCACTGCAATGAACATTACGGGCACGAGTTTCGGTTAACTACGGTTTGGCGTGAAAATAGGCGCGCTGCACTTGCCTTCTTAGTGTAGTACTTGTGCAGGTGGGTTTGGCCGCTGTTGCGCCTCCACAGGCAGAGGATCTTGGTCTGCGGACTGTAGGTCATGTTGACGAGTCGCTCGTACCACCAGCGCTCGACGATGACCCCGTTGACGGAGCGCAGCACCAAGCCGTCGTGGCGCACCTCGAGGAAGCGGAGGTCGCCGTCGGCGGCCCCGTCGGCGTGCACGGTGAACGACTGGCGGTGCATCTGGCGCGAGGTGAGCGGCTTGAGGTCGATGTCGTTGCCGTTCTGCAAGCGAGCGCGCGTTGTAGGCCGCGGTCGGGCGCGGAGGGGGCCGGGCGCACTCACCAGGTCCTTGATCTGATCGAGCAGCGTATTGAGCTCCTGGCTGTAGATCAGGCCGATGTGGCTCTTGCCGAGGAGCCGGCGTATCTTCTGCCTGATGTCGCGCTTGTCGACGTTCAGCATCACCAGGATCGCCGTGAGGTTGTGCAGCAGGGTGCAGAGCAGCCGGTCCTCCTCGTGCTCCAGCCGGCGCCTCTCGCTGTCGCTGAGCGTCTTGTAGCGCTCCATCATCTCGCCGGGGCCCTGGTCCATGCCGATCATGTCGCGCTCCTGCGACACGGCGTCCAGGAAGGCGTCCTCCCAGAACTGCATCTGGTCCCAGAGCGCGGAGCGCTCCTTGCCCAGAAGACCCTCGAACAGGTAGGTCCGCGCGGCCTCCGGGCTGGGGCTGCCGGTGGACGGCACGAGCGCTCCGCCGGCCGCGCCGAGCTTGCTCAGCGACGACCTGCTGCTCGACCACACGCTGGCCGTGCGCTGCTTCACCTGCCGCGGGAACTGGGGCGAGCGCGAGGGCGCCGAGTTAGGCGGGTCGGACGGACGAGCCGTACGTTCGTCGGCGTACTCACGTTGCCCTGCTCCACCTCGCTGTCGGACACCGTGCTGCGGAACGACGCCTGGTGGCCCATGCGGAAGGCCGGGTTGGTGGTGATGCTGCCGCAGTCCGTCGACAGAGCGTCGTTGCTGCCCGCCGGCCCGCTTCCGGCGCCGCCGCCGCCGCCGCCACCGCCGCCCTTGGCCTGCAAAAGCCAGCGCTCGTGCGACTTTGCTCGTTCGGACTCGCCGCCTCGGCTTACCTCGCTGTCGAAGGACGTCAGCCTGTTCAGCAGGAACTTCTTGTTCTTCATGCTGAACATGTCGAGGAACATGTCGGCGGTCGACTGGTTGTCGTCGCCGCTGCTCTGCGAGTGGGGCCGCTCCAGGCGTAGCTGCGGCGGCTGCGGCCCGGGCGCCGGCTCCTGCGAGTGCGCCCTCTGCGACGGCGGCTCGTGGGCCGACTGGTGGTTGGGCGACTGCGGCGACGCCAGGTTCTCGCGGCTGCCGAACGGACTCGAGGCCTGCGACATGAGCGAGCTGTCGAAGCCGCTCTCCGACAGATCCTTGCTCCAGTAGTGGGTGTGCGCTATCTCCATCATTTGGAACACCGACGCCGTGCCGCCGAGGCCGAAGTTGGAGTAGGTCACGGCCAGCCCGTGCGCCACCGCTTGAAGGCACTTGAGCATCCCCTTGTAGACGGCTTTGCTGAGGCACTGCGCAGAGGAAGCGAGGTTGTCGGTGATCGCGTCAGGCCGTCGCCGCCGCCGCCGCCGCCGCCACCGCCACCAACTCACCACGTCGTCGATGCGGTCGTCGGGGCTGATCTTCCGGTTGAGGCCTCGGTTCAGCTTGGTCACCATCAAGTCTCGGTAGCTCTCGTCCTCCATCAGCTTCTTCAGTCTGTTGAGCTTCAGCCAGCCGACCCCTTCGCCGGCCATCACCTGATTGATGATCTGTAAACAAGCGCGGGGGCGAGCAGTGAGCCGAGGCTGCGCCTTCGCGACGAGATCGGCGTCGAGCTAATTACGTCGATCAGGAACGCCTGATTGTCCGAATTGGTATTCGTCCTCTCGGCGTTCTGCTGCCTCCGCAGCTCCTCCTGGTTCCGCGCCGACGTGTGCTTGATCAGCGACGACCGTTCCACGAGGTTCGATCCCTTAGCTGCAACAGCGACGGTTAGCGCAAGTTCCCTTAGCGCAAGCGGGCCGCGGTCTCCGCGATCTTCGCGATCTCACCTTTGGGGAACGGATTGAAGATCGACTTCTCCTTGGCTCTCTGCTGCGGCGACGCGTTCGCGCCCCTGGCGCTGCCCTTGCCGCCGCCGAACAAGCCGCTGAACATGCTGCTCGTTTGCTCGGCGATGCCGTTGAAGTCGCTGCCGAGATTACTGAAAAAGTCACGGCCGATCTCGCGCCGTCCCGATCGACTGTCCGGCGTGGCGAGCTGCGAGCCCGAGTCCCTCCGCTGCGGCACTAGTCCGCCGGGCGGCGAGGGCGGCGGTGACGACTGCGAGTCGCCCAAGCCCTGCGCGCAAACGCCAGCCGTACGATCAGCGATCGGGGCGGGCGGGGGGGGGGGGGGGGGAGCGATCGTCGATCAGCGACGAGGGGCTCACCTTGAGCAGGCCCTTCTTGGCGGCGGCCTCCTTGGCGCTCTTCGTCAGGTCGCCGAAGGTGCTCTTGCCCACGTAGGTCAGGTCGTCCAGCGTGTTCTTGCTCACCCCGGCCGCGGTCTTGCTGGCCTCCAGCGCGCTCTTGCTCGCCTCCTGCACCGACTTGGTCGCCTCGCCCATCGCCTTCTTCGTCTGCTGCGTGAGCTGCGAGCATTCCCACGGCTCCGTGAGCGCGACCGCGAAGACCAGCGAAACCCCGGGCGCGGACTTACCTGCTCGAGGGGCGCGAACAGACTGTCCTCTCCGGCTTCCACGATCTTTTCCTTCGCTTGGTGCTTGAGCTGTTGCCGCCGCCGCCGCCGCCGCCGTTGCATCGAGGAGAAGCATGAAAGCATCGCGAGCGTTGGTGAGCGATTGGACGCGCGGGGAAGAGCGGAAAACCTCACCTTGTCCATGTGAGCGAGCAGGCCGTCCTGACTGCTCTGCCTCGTGGTCTCCCTGACCAAGTCCTTGGCTTGGCTGGCGAGCTGCTCGAGCAGCGATCCTTGGGAGCCCTGGCGCAAGACCCCGTTGCTGCTGCCGGGGCTGCCCTGGCTGCCGGAGCTGCTCTGCCGCGCCACCGTCGGCGACTGCTGCTGGCGGGACGCCTGGCGCGGCAGACTGTGCGAGCCGCTCTCGACGCTCGTCGCGGTCGACTGGCGCGCCAGCAGCGGGTTCATCGTCGGCGAGCTGAAACTGGCCGTGCGGGCGAGCACGTTGCCCACGCTCGGCTGGCGCTGCAGCGTGCTCGGATCTATCGGCGGCGCCTGCGGGAACAGATTGCCAAACGGTTGGTCCGCTGCTCGGCCGTCGCATCTTCGCTCGCGGCGCGCTGGCTGTCGCGCGCTTCGCCGTCTCGCGGACAGCCATCGCGCCCGCCTGCTCGCCAACGTACCCCTGACGACGCCTCGTCGCTCGAGACGTCGCGCGACAGTCCGTGCGCGTGCCTGTCCGCGTGCGTGCCTGCGTGCTTGCGTGCGTGCGTGTGCGTGTGTCGATCGATGCCGCGAGTCGTGTTCGTCGACGATGCACCGCGCGCGAGCCGCCGATTCGTCCGGCCGAGAGTTGTGTGCGCGTCCGACTGTACGTCGTGTGTTTGCGAGCAACGGGAGCTGCGCGTTCTGGATAATGCGGAAAGGGGGGCAAAATGTTGTCGGTGCACGAACACCCTGAACTGCGGCGAGAATAATGGGCATTCCTCCGATGGTTTCGCAGCCGCTGTTCGAGTGATCACGGCAGCGGAGCTGCCGACGCCAGTTGTGGTACTCTCGCGATGCGTCTGCCCGACGAGCTGCGAAGGTTCGATTGCGCGACGCAAGGCTGACTCTTGTGAGGGTGTTGAAAAGTGAACTGTGATAAATGCGAGACACGTGCCGCAAAATGTGATGCAGGCAAGCGTAGGCGGGGGGAGGGCAGGGGCGCGTTCGACAGGCGAGTGTTGTCATGAGGGATATATGTGTGTACAGTGAGCGGCAAGATCCGGCCGCGTCGATTCGTGACGTCGAGAGCACGGAAATAAAGCCTCGTTATTCGTCGTCCTCTGAAGCCGAAGTCGGCGAGCTACCTTTTGGGTCGCTATTTCTCGACCGACAGAATTCGTCATCGAGTCTGCATTTCGGCTTGGAAACTGCCGCGAGTTCTCTTCCATCGAGGCTCTCTGTGCTTTCGGCGTCATTAGTCGAGAGGTGGGGGGGGAGGGGATTGATAAAGCCAGCGTGACGGTGCGAATATCAGTTGCGGACAGAGACGAAGGGAGGCGCGAATCGTGCTCGACCCGATTGATCTAAATTGTTGTTGTTGTTGTTGTTGTTGTTGTTATTGTTGTTGTTGTTCTGGTCGTTGTTGTGGTTATTCGCAGACTCACGGGCGTGATAGATCTACGCGACATCCTGCGTACTGGCGTGGTCGGGCGGTCCGCCATCTCGCCCCTGCTAGCCGGCCGCCTGCTGCTGGCTCCTCGCTGATGCGCGTCGGCGATCGTGGGCGCTGCGCTGGTCGTGGCCGTCGTCGACGTGGTCGCCGAATCGGACTCGGCGCTACCACCCTGCGCTCTATCCTAGTCACACCACACACACACACACGTACAGAGAACGCTTGCTTACTCGCTCAAGTTTGGCTGCTGTGCTCTCGGCTCTGCCGGCCGTTCACCTGTCCGTTCACCGACCGCGGATTTCCGATTTCGCGCTCTCGCGAATACGCGCAACGCTCTTCCACGAGGAGGAGTAAACAATCAAGCGAGTTGGTGCATTTTACAAGTGGGATGCAACAGATAAGCGCATGATTACTGCGGGCAAATTTCAGAGAGAAAGAGGATTCGCCTTGCGAACGTGGCACTCGTCGCTCATCGAGAATTGCTCGTTTCCTCTCCGTGCCATTTCCCTTTATCAAGCGATGCGCCGTGTATACACGTAAAGCGGTATTATATGCCAGAGAGGAGATGAAAGAGAAGCTATAGAAATCTCTGTGCGTAGAATGTCGTCAAGGAATGCATTCTATATGTATACAAAACGTCAATAAAAAGAGAGAAATTTCGCCATGAAAAGGTGCAAATGTATATAAAATGTATATAAAATGTATATAAAATGATTCTATCGAGCGGAATGCAGTAGGTCGCCGAGGAAAAGAAACGTTTGCGTATGTATATAAAGTCGCGACATGAGTCGATTTATGCATCCAAACTAATATGAACGGAATGAAGGGGAGTGCACAGTAGTACGAGTCACTTGAGTATACGATATATATATATAATGGCCGTGTTCGTATGTGAATATCAAGATATATAGATAGATAGATAGATAGAAAGATAGATATGTCTCGGCAAGTTGGTCCGAATATCAAAAGAAACTTACATCGTCGGCCTTGTCGTCGTGCTCGGTCTCGGAATCGCGATTGCCAGTCGGGCTGCTCCTGTCGCTTCGGCTGGAGGACGAGCTCGCCGGGGTCTCCGGGCGCTCGCGCGTCTCCTCCTCCTCGGCGCCCGGGTATTGCAGCGAGCTGGGCGGCGTGTAGATGTTCTTCGGGTCGATCGACAAGGCCATCGGCGCCGGATGCGTCACTGGAGGCGTCACAGAGGAGTGATTAGTAGCGCGCCGCCGCGAGCCAGATCCGCGGGACGGGGCGGGGCGGGACGCTTACTCGGTGACAGGTCCGAGCTGGCCATCTCCGAGACGAAGTCGCTCAGCGACGAGTAGGACGAGCTCGTGCTGCCCGCGCCCTCCGAGTCCGAGCCGCTCTCGTCCGTCGGCTGGCCCTCCATCTCCCTCATGGCCTTCAGCGCGTTCACCAGCGAGCTGCTGCTCGCCTCCCACACGGCGAAGTTGATGGGCTCCAGCGAGGGCGCGAACCACTTGGCCTTGTCGCCGATCTGCGCCGGGTCGCAGACTCCGGTCTGCACCCTCAGGAAGGCCACGTTGCTGGGCGTCAGCGACCACTCGGCGAGGAACTCCACGGCCTGGGTGCGCGCGAACCGGTCGAGGAACTGGCTGGTGCGCGGCCGCGACCTCAGGAACGAGTTGATCTGGAAGGCGACCACCGGCCGCGGGTAGAGGCGCAGCGTGCGCGTGTGCTCGGTGAAGTTGGCCAGCAGGTTCTGCGAGTTGAAGAAGCGGACCATCGCCACGCGCGTCGCCACGTCCACCGAGTCGACGTCGTTGCCGTAGATGAACGGATTGAAGGCGGCCTGGGGCGAGACCTTCTGCGACGGCGGATTGGAGGGGCCGCCGATCGCCAGCGACGGGCGGCGCGGCGACGAGCTGCCCGGCGAGCTCAGCGGCGAATGGTGCTGGCCCTGGTCGAGGCTCGGCCGGTGCTTCGCCGACGACACGCTGTCGGAAAGCCAAGCGATAAGCCCGACGCACGGCCGATCGGCCGAGGCTGTACCTTAGAGTCGAGTGGTGCGAGGCCGTGCTCTCCCGACGGCTCTGGGGCGTCGCCGCCTGGGCAACGTTCGCCGGCGTGGCTAGGTGGGCTTGAGGCATCGACATGCTGTTCATTGCCTGCGCAATTCGATCCACGTTAGACGTCCGTCGCGAAACGACGGCGCTCCAATCGAACTACCGGCTACGTACTTACGCGGAACAGCACACGCACACAACTCAATCTCGCTATTCTAATATCCGGAAACTCAACTCTATACTACTGACTCGATCTAATCTGGCGCGAGCCAAGTGGCTTTCGTGTATGTACACGTGACAAAGTGCCTGCGGTGTCGTGGGCTACGGCATAACCACCCGATCGACTTCTACTGACGCGGAGCTTCGTATCGGCGTGAAAATATATACTATGTACACTCGAGGACAGCTACCTGCGGTGCATGCCTTCAAACGAGCAACGGGAAAGGAGAAGCAACGGGAAACCACAGACACTCAAAAACAAAGTAATCACAGAGACAATAAGTACAAATAGAGATAATTACATTAGTGCCCGCTTGATCCATCAGTTGCATTGCCTGTGGAAGCGAGTGTATAGCGAGAAGAGAGACGATAAGAGAGAAAACAAACAACAAGAGATTAGTGATTCGTTTCATTCGTTGTGAGCCTGTCGAATTGATTTTTTTTTTCGTTCATTGAAACATCGATCTCGGAAAACATTGTTAAACAAAAGCAGAGTAAGAACAACGGACGATGAAAACTTGCTTCTTTTCTAAAAGCGAGTCTCCATGCGATTCGCCTCTGACATGTAAAAGTACCGCGGCCTCGGCCAGTTGACAACGGCTGTGCCAAACGGATCCGAGAAAGTGACGATTGCGGCCGCGCGCGCCTACCTGCAGCAGGTGATTCTTCAAGATGGAGGCCTCGGGCTCGGGCAGCGGTGGCAGGTTGTCGCCGAGGCCCGTGGGCGGATCGATCTTGTTGCTGTCGAGATCGACGAGCCAGACGTCGTCGGGCAGCCGGAAGTTCTTCTTGTACATGAGGAAGGAGGCCGGGATGCCGATGACGAAGGGCGTGGGCGCGAGCAGCAGCTGCTCCGCGCAGCTCATGCAGGTGGGCAGCAGCGGGATCGCCGGGAACATGTACTCCAGCGGATAGATCATCGTCACGAAGGCCATCACCGACATGGACAGCGCGTTGTAGTCGCGCGACTGCAGCAGCACCTGGGCGCACGAGGCGAAGTGAGCGGGGGCGGTGACGGTGGCGGGGGCGGGGGCGGGGGCGGGGGCGGGGGCGGTGACGGTGGCGGGGGCGGGGGCGGCTCTCGTCCACGCACCTTGTGCTCGAGCAGTATCAGCGCGAGGACCTTCAGGCAGATGTCGACGCCGAGCAGCTCGATGGGCAGGTGCAGCGGGAAGTCGACGAGCGTGAACCTGGTGTGGTCGGGCAGGGCGAAGCAGAGCGCCGGTTGCAGGCTCGGCGACAGGATCTCCACCTCGACGCGGGTCTTGGCCGGGACCGGCACGGGCGCGCTCAGCAGCCGCAGTATCCAGGTCTCGATCTCGCGCACGTCGTGCAGCACGATCGACGAGGCGCCCTCGAGGCTCAGGCCCGTGAGCACCGACCAGACGTTCATGTCCCTGCGGGCCGGGCGCGGAGGGGAGATGAGAGTGCCGGGGCCGCGCGGCGTCCGAGGAGCGCTCACCTGTGCTGCCGCGAGCCGCCGAGCCTCTGCGGCTGCGAGGTCTCGTTGCACGCGTCGATCAGCCGCTTGAGCACGTGCAGGCACTCGCGGAAGGTGGAGAAGAACGGGTGGTGCGAGACGAGGCAGAGCGACGTCAGCGAGTGGCTCCTCGTCCTCTGCTGGCGAGAGCGGCGCGTCAGTGGGGCCGTCGGGTCCTCGCGCGAGCGCTTGCGTACCTTGTGTCGGCGCGAGGCGCGCGGCGACGGCGAGTGGCTGCCGCCGCTCTCGCTGTCGGCGCTCGGCGCCGTCACGCCTAGCCGCGGCGCGTGGCCGGCCGGCGCGCCGCTCGCCTGCTGCTCGGGCTCGCGCCTGCCGCTCGGCCACTCCCGCTCCGAGTCGCTCGGGCCCATCGCGCTGCTCCTGTAGTCGCTAGCAGGCCCGCCGTCGGCCGAGTCAGTTCGCGAGCGCGCGGCCGGTCGCCCCGGTGATCGCGCGCGCCAACGTTACCTCGAGAACGCCGAGTCGGAGCTCCGCTCCATGCTCTTGCGCCAGTTCTCCCGCCGGAAGTTGCCGCTCTGCCTGTCCCTGCGGAAGCCGATCTGCTGCGCCCCGTTGGCGCTCGTCCTCTCCACCGGCCGGTAGAAGTTCACGCAGACGCCGTAGCGCGTCTTGCCTGTTCGCCAGCGGGACAGAGGTGATCACGAGGGGTCGGCAGTGGCGCGCCCGAGGGCGGCGCGGTCTTTCGGGCTTACCGGAGTCCTTGTCGGTCAGGGTGAAGGTGAACGAGTTGGCCTCGCGCAGCGCCGTGCGCCTCGGCCCGACCACGTTGCAGCCCTCCGGCTGGCAAAAGTACACCATGTCCAGCGGCAGGGGAAAGTCCTTGTGGTCCTCTACGGGGTATCTTCGCAGCAGTTCCGGCACCTGCAACCGTAGCGGCCATCTCGTGCCAGCCCGTTTCCCCACCGCAGCTGTCGCGTGGCCGCAACTAAATTTTCCCTCTTTCGTCGAAGGAGAGCGACCGCGTGGCAGCGCCATGCCGCCCTCGTTTCGTTCGAAATCCGATTTCTTTCGCGCGGCCGTAAAGAAAGCCCAGGGAACAAGAGCAAGCTCGAGGCGACGCGGACGCGGTCGTCGGAAGCTTGCTCGGGGAAAGTTCGATCCTCCCTCGCGGCGCGACGACGGACGGAATGCATTTGTCGCTGGAAGCATCTTTTGACCCGTCGGAATTCGATCTCGGCGTCGATAGCGCGACAGATTTAAAATTCTTCCCGGCGCAATAGTCACTTGGAAGTGGATCGTGCGCGGCCGGGGGTTGGGCGAGAGCCCTCGATCGTGACTCACCTGTATGGACTGTTTGGCGGATTGCGCCGCTGGCCTCGCCCCCACGATGGCCAGATAGTCGACCAGCCGGGGGCACAGAAATTTCTTTTGCACGTCCATCGCGCGACGAGGCGATCAGTTGCTGCCAGCAGTCACCGCGATCGACCGACCGTCTGCGCCGCCAGCGCCGACTCGACTCTGCCGTCGACGTCGTCTCTTCTCATTGTGCGGCTGCTGGGGCACCTGCCGAAGCCCGAGATTTGATTACGTCGTGGCCGCGAAAACTTTCGGCGAAGTTTACCAGGGATTTCCCTTTCGTCTAGTTGGCTGTAGCCGCGCTACGAGGAATCGAACGCGAGAGCGTCGCGGACTACGTCGTCGTTTCGTTGACGCTTTCATTCGTCGCGGCCCCCGTCGCGTCACCCGGCGTCAAGAGCTACGTTGCAGAATCGAGCGCGATTTATACTTTTATTTTGCCGTCGCTTGTGGCTCACCTTCCGCCCAGTTCGTATGGAAGCGCAACGTCGGTGCGGAAAATGCGACGACAGCTGCACCGAAGGTCAAAGCCGCTGCGGGCGCCAATGAGCGAAAATAAGGAAGACAACGCAGCTGTCTCGCGTACTTTACGCGCGCGCGACCGAGCGAATTCGTTCGCTAAGCGTTCTTACGCGCGTACTATTTCATCGACGCGGTGACCCACTTTTTCCCCTCCTCTCCGTCCCTCTAATACGATTATGCAACGTGCCCGGCGAGGAAGGAAAAGATATCCAGCCAAGGTCGCGTGCACTTTTTTCCTCGCTTCCTCGCTCGTCGTGGCAAATGCTCGTTTCCAAATGTACGGAGGCGGCTTTAAATAGCGACGGAACGCGGGCGCGCGCTATTGTCGAATCGCGAACGGCTCATTTCCAAGCTGATTTCGGTCGCGCGTCAATCGCGTGTTCGCTCGTTATCGAGACTTGGTACGCGCGGACGCGACAACTCGAGCTGGGACGCTTGGATTCGGCCTTTTTTTCTCGTCGCCCGCCGAAAGTCCCAACGAGAATTGACAGTCGAGTCACGCGGGCACCGACTGGATCGCGCGCGAGCTTGCGGGCAGCGGGTCTCGTCGAAGATGAGCTCGCGAGAGCCGAGGCGCAAGCGCGATTGCCCGCACGCGCGGACGCTAGCGAATTAATCGGAGAGCCAAGCGGCCGCCTCCGCGGGCGATCGAAAAGAAAAGGACAAAATAAAACGAAGAGAGGGCAAGGACAACTGGCCGTCATCCGCGCGGGCGATCGATCGCGCGTCCCGAATTCGGCAGCCCGCGGACTCAAAGGTCAAGGTACCCTCTTTTCCCTCGATGCTCCCACGTGCACGCGCCAGTGCGAGTACGGCTCGTCCGGGCGAAGCCACCGCCGAGCATTATCGTCTCGCCAAGTGATCGCAGCAGCAGGTTCAGCCGTTTCAAGCCGTTCGGAGCATTGCATTTTCCGCGTCGTTGCGTAGCTACGTTTCCGAGGCAAAAGAAAGAAAACAAAAAGGAAAAGGCGGAAATTGATTTTTCTCTTGAACGCGGCGACCTTCGCGTTACGACGTTACACATACGCGGCGTGGAAAATCGATAGCGAGCGAAAACGTAGACGCCGATAGAAGAAGCTTTTTCGTTCAACCGCGCGCTCAAGTTTCCAGACTCACGAGAGGGGGAGAGACAGAGAGAGAGAGAGAGCGAGCGAGAAAGAGACAGGGAGAGAGGGCGCACCTGCACGCGAGACGAGCAAAACGGCGAAGAGAACGCGACAAAAGCGATCGATGCAGCAGCCGCCCCTCCCGATATTATACTTGGACGCGTCGCTCTCTCTCTTTCTCTCTCTCACTCTCTCGCTCGCTCTCGTTCGCCTTGTTTCGTATGTGTTCGTTACTCGCAAAAGTGGGAATTATGTTTTCCTTCGTTGAAAAATACAATCTTTTTATGTCGGTCGCCTGACGCGGAAAGATAAGCGCGCACGTACGCTCGCGATAAAAAAAAAAAATAAAAATAAAACAAAAAGAATATCAACGGCAACGACGACGCTTCGCCACGCTGGGCAATCGTGGCGCGCTACGTACGGTATTTAAAGCAGTCGGCGAGACAACAGCCAGGAGAGTGCACACCGCGCTATAAAGTGTCGCCGTGGCCGTCGCCGCCGACGTCGCTGCGAGCGCGACGAGAGGAATCCATCCTTGACGCTGGGGCTGCCTGGCCGACACTGAGAGATCTTGGTGTGCAACGCGCCACAGCAAGGATGACGACGACGACGACGACGACGACGATAGACGGTCGATGCCGGACGCCTGCGCACTAAAGCTCCGGAAGAGAGAGAGAGAGAGAGAGAGAGAGAGAGAGAGCGCGCGAGCGAAAGTCACGTTTGCACGCGCGAGCTCGAGAGGAGGGATGATATTAAGGATGTTTCTCTTTCCTTCTCGAGGGTGGATGCGTCGATGCTTGGTTATTCCTTCTTTTTTTCCGAGGAGAGAGGGTGGCCCTGCTCGGGATTGATCGTTTCCATTGATCGCGAGTAGCGGGTGAGTTTCGTAGCACGCGCGCGACATTACTTCGACGGGCTCGACGCGCTATAGTTTGCGAGGGATTTCGACCGACGGTTCGATCGCGCGGTCCAACTGAATGTCTCCGTCGATTCGGAGCGACAACGGCCTGCGATCGCGCGTATTTCCGCCTTGTCGAGACGCACGCCGTTGGACGGCCGCTCGGAGGTATAGCCTCGCGTGTTTACTCGCAGCTGGCTACGTAGAGGCCGACGATCGCGCGAGCTTTGTGAAACACATTGAGCGGGCCTTGACAGCCGCAGAGCGCCCCTTACGGCGTCGTCCTCGTCGCGAGCAGATTACACGTCCCCGTATCAGAGTTTCAACAGTCGCCCGCGACTCTCCGATCATTGTCAATAGAGCGCGGATTATTCCCCTGCGGAAAGCGTCGCGCGCGCTTTTCGTTCTCTTTGTGCCGCGGTGAGAGCGAGAATTCGATTCGCGCGAGAGGGCGGATCGGAAGCCGCTCGATCACCTGGTGCACGAGCATATCTCCGCGTCGTCGTTTTCCCCACGCGCTGTTGACTAGTAAACGATGCTCGCGGGCATACAAACGTCGCAACTACCAATTTCGAGCGCTTGTCGCTCCGCCACTTTCGGGCTTCCCCTTTTCCACTTGCACATGCGATCGACGTAGCGGATCGCGTAATGTCTCGGAAACGAGCGGAAGAGATGCTTCATTTTTTATCTCAGAGCATTTCACTATAGGAACATGGGGAAGAGGCGGCAGCGGAGGGGGGGGGGGGCATATTGAAATTCCAGGCGTTCCTCCCGAGGCACAAACCACGCGCAGTCCATCCGAAGTAGCACGACGAGAAATTGTTAAACGCAACCCGAGCTGATGCATGTTTAATTCAGAGTAATGTAATTCAACATAGACCAGCATAAGAATGCGAGTTTCCGCTGAATGCCGCAATTGTATGTCACGCAAGCTCCGGGATGCTCTGTCTCGCGATTTTCATCGCTTCTTTTTATTTTATTACATTTTTTCTTCTTTTTCGAAGATACACGTCTTTTATTTCATCTGATGCCATTTAAAAAATAACACTGCGTAACGTCGCAAAAAGTCGAGAAAAATAAATAGAAGCCCGAAGAAAAGAAAAACAATGTCGCACGGAAAACCACGGATACGCAGAACCCCATTGAGCTCGCTCCCGCGTAGCTATTACTTCTATACGCACGGAGAAAAAAAGTTGCTAAGCGATGCTGCGTATTTCGTCGTATGCGTCGGCGTTTGTGCAACAAACGTGCGCAAGGTCAATTTCCGCGGATATCGATGCGCACACGTTAGCTTTTCGCTCGCGTAAAATATCGTCGGACTCGCGCTGTCGCTGGCGAAACACGAGAAATCATCTCCTCGACGCGCGCTCGTACCAAAAGGTCCTCGGCGTAAAATTATTAAAAGCAAAAATAAAGTAGGCGCGACGCGTTCGACCGTGATCTCGACTGCCGTCGTCGTTCGGTAAACGAAGGACCACTCCTTTTGTCTTCTTTTATACGCGGGGACAGGAAAGCTGAGGCGCGCCAGAGACCACACTCACGTGCAGCTGTACAGCGATAACGTGCGTAATACCAGCACATGTGCGCGTGTAGCGGATCGATAGTCCGTAGTCGTCGAAAAAAGGGAGAAAAGAGGAAGAAGCCGTGTCATGAGGGTAACAACACGCGATACTGACTCACATTTTTGTTCCTTTCTGTAAATGCGTTGCTTTTATTATCTTTTTTTTTTCACTTGGTGACTTTTTCTTCTCAAAATGTCATTCACGTGTTGAACGATATTTTATGAATGAGAAGATGGCGACGGTAAAATGTGACTGATCCAGTGGTTATTAATTAGGATTTGATGTTAATCTCTTTTAATTTGATAGAACTAAATTTGATATTGTTGAGAAATTCACGACGACAGCTGCACTTTCTCTATTTGCAGCTTGGCGTCGAAATTTAGATTGGTGTTATCAGTAGAAAAGGGGCTTATCTGGTCAGTCGTTGCGTGATCTATCCGCAAAAAGATCATGGCAAAAAGCAAAGCTCATTTCGTAAAACCTTTTGGAATATTTTACAATAAAATATACAAATTAGCTATTTCCTTGCGAAGTACTTCGTTATAAATACATTATACTTTAACTTAAGACGAATAATCGCCACCCATATCAAATAATCAAACATATTCCCGTGAAATTCGCTGGACTAACTTACTTAAGCTGAAGTAAATCAAAGATTTATTAACCTTATATATTCCTAGCTAATCCTTATAACCTTCTATGAAAGTACAATTTAATTAGCAGAAGGGCGAAGTGGTTGTCCTGCAGGAAATAAAATTTACGCAGTACTCACTTTCCCGTATGATATTAATCTACGTAACGAGCTCGTTAACGCTAAGAAAAATACAATTACACTTGATTTATTTATCAAATGATAAAACTAATTAAATGAATTTCCATAATCCATGATTTAATATAATAGCTTCTCGCGAAGAACTTGAACATGTAAATAAATTGATATATTAGGAAGAGAAGTAAAATTATCAGGCAAATGTTAGTAATAAATATAAAAATTGACGCTCTATAAATATACGTAAAAATTAAGTTACTTTCAACTATAATTAGTTCTTTAGGATATCTAATATCAAATCTTGATAGCATAGTTACGTAGATGATCACGCAAGTTAATTTTTTATAATGATGAGTACTGTGATACCATATAGCACAAATTATACGTACTAAACAGATTTTACCAATCGTAGAAATAGTTTTTTTTGTTAAACGTAAGAAAGGTACAATAAGTAATTTAATATATACGAATTATTTTAAGATAACATTTATTTTATTTCACTAATATAAATATCATTCAATTAAAAATAAGACACAGACAGCACAGTATAATTCTCTTCGAAAGACACAGGTCGAGATTTACCGAGTACACTACTCCTGTTTTTTTCCGATGCACGTATATCTCGCGCAACATTCATAATTTTTTATTAATTAAGATCTATTTCAACCCGTTCCTATCTTCCAAATAACAATCAACTTTTTGTACATAATTTCAAAAACAACGAACGACCTTTTAATAATTTATATTCGAAATTCAACAGCATTCATTTGAAGAAAAGGGCTAATTATCAACATAGATTAAATAGGTAACAATGTTAAATTGCTAATGATATCTTCTATATATAAGTTGATGTAAGGCAATAAACATTAATATTTGCAATTATAGTATTATCCAATAAACGAAATAAATAATTTGTTCATAATGTCCTTGATACTCTGTTTACTGTTACTATCAACAAGTTTTCTATTTATTGACAAAAAATTGCAGATCACTATCACTATAGTTATATTAAAAGTAATTTTCATGATTTATTACAAAGCACCATTTATCGTCCTGATTTCGATTGGACACTCCTATTTTATACGGAAAAGGCACTTTTTCTCATTATGATTTATCGTGCTTTAGTAAAATTTAAATTATTTCTTATAAATTACAAAATTACAAATATTCGTTTTTGTGACGATTTTCAATGAGTACAAGAAAAATATCAGATGATTTTTAATCAATAAAAATTTAATCAATAATATGCATTGACATTAATATGTAGAATACAAAATAATTAAAGCAAATCTCCAAGAACATGAAAAGAGAAGCATAAGTTTATGATAAGTGCGGCACATCTGCTAATGATAATCTACTTTATTAACTCTCATATAAATACACGATGAGTGCGCGAACACGTAACAAAATTGTTATGTCAATTCTCCGAATACGAATGAGGTGATTATTAACTGCTTTTGGTTTAAAATCTCCCTGAAAAATGTTACAAAATACTGCATTCATTGAATTCCAAGATTGTTCGATGCTCGATGTTAAGGCAAGTTTATCTTGCGGTAATGGATGGACTATAATATTATATATACATATACATATATATATAATCCTCGTGCTCGATAAAAATACACCTGTATAAAAATACTTATCAAAGGTATAAACATTTACACCTGTATTTACAATTCATAAAAATCTTAATTTAATTAAATGCTATCAGTGTAAAAGCTCTTTTGTTTCGATCATGAATGGAACTGTGTCTATTAGTATATCACCGTATTAAATGACGTTTTCGTTAAAGCTTTCAACAATAAACATTTCAACTAATAAAAATTTTAAGTTCGTTTGATAACAAGTTTCATTCTTTAAATATGCGTAGACACAGCTCTTACATATCAGAAATGCAAAAACTCTCGAGCAAAAAATTAACTACGCAACGCCGAAAGATCCTTTAAGTCTTGGCAACGTGAACAGCCACCGAGACAAAGTCACTGTCTGGTCAGAGATCGAGTGACGTGTCAGAGCCATGGAAGTGATGATGATGCATGGTATGACGTGGTGTGTAATCCTGCTGATCGTAGAGTAACGGCTCCTGGTCGAGCGACATTTTCACTGCGAACAAAACGTCTCCGTCATGCAGACGCTGGGCTATCTCGCTAATGTTCCCCTACGAGTCAAAGACCAAGCACGATGTTTTTCTAAAATTTTCTAACTCTGGTGGTTTGTTTGGTTTTTCTTTTGCATGCGTGAATGTGACTGTATACGTGAATGCGAGGGATGAGTTTCGTGTCGGACATACAAGAATATATATGACAAGAAATAATCTAGAATCAGACTAACGCTTCCATAACTTTTTTTTGACAGCTTATTCGAGATTATTCTTTCACAACCATACATAGTTTTCTAAATTAGAAACATTATCAAACTGCCGTTTCATTACAGACTTTGAAATATTTTCTGCGACATGAAGAAGTAATGGAAAAATTTCACGAGTAGAAATGACACGATATTTTTGAACCCTACAAATTGAACAAAGCATGCTAAGAAGCTTTTATGAAATAACTTGATAGAGAGAAGGTCATGTAGGTAGAAGCAAAACTTTATGATTTAAAGGCATATTAGTAACTGAAGTACAGCGTTAATCAAAGCAAAACAGAAGAGAAATCTTGACAGAGATTGTTGTACAACATGCATTTCTACGAGCTCCAAAAGAAAATTGTTAATGGTAACGAATTCATGCGAAAATAACATAATTTACATACCTAATCGTCTCTTGGATTACGCGTGGTGTATTACTCAGACAAACTAATTGAATTGAAATGAATATACGAGGAAAAGGTTTCAAGATATTTGTTTAAAGAAAAACAATACGTTTTCAAATTGTTTTATCGTATAACATGCTTTATTGGAGCTCGTTATCCACATCCGATTCGCTCGATGTTTATTGTTAGTACTAACTATACAGCTTGTATACTTTAGATTATCTTATAAAAGTTTGAAGATGCTTTTTTCTAGATATAAACTTAGCGCGTTATATTGCGATTTTGTCTTTGTTCAATTGATTTTGTTTCTGCTTAGACTTTTGTATTCTACGATTCGCTCTTATACAAGTTCATCAAATTTTGTCGAACGTTCATTTAGCAAAATAATAATAATTTAATAATAATAATAATAATAATAATAATAATAAATAAAGAAGGTTAGTTGTTTCAGTGTGGATATTTTCTAAATGGAAAATTAGTATGTACAAGCTGTGAGACATAAAAATAGTGTAAAAGATAGAACGAGCACAAAGACAAAATAAAAAGTGTGCACTGGATGTTAGTGGTAGTTTTTATTACTTTTTAGGAAATAAATATTAATAACTAATAACTGTTTATTGAGATTAGCGACACTTTTAGACCGTGTATATTCGCAAGACTTATGCGCCAATAGACATAATTTACTCATTTTCAAGTTCTATCGTAATATCCTACACGCTTCCTATTGAAAGAATTTGACTTCTCCAAGCGTTGGTTCAATTATATTATTTACACATTTTATGTATTTTCACTATTTTTAAAAAAATATGAAGATGACTTTTACAAAAATCACCTTGCCTTCGTGATAACAAAACAAATAGCAATATTTACAAATTTTTTCTTTACGTAAAAAATAATTCGACTCATTTACATAAACTACTTCATATGCAAATTCCTTTCTTGAGATAGTTAAGATGCATGATTTTTTTATAAAGAAGTTATCATCGTACATTTGGCCAGTATTCTAATTAAGAACAAGTAACTGTTGCAAGTAGCACAAGAGATAAGCGAGTTAATTAGATCATAAATTACTGAGTGCAGATCAGTACCTGAAGGTTCAATTTTACAATTCATAAGAAGAGCAAAATAAATCCAAATTTGATCCTCTAGTTTTTCTCAAATCAGCATATATTCATTTATCAAGAATTCCATTCAACGAACTCGAGGTATTATCCGGCGAATAATCATTTATAACCTATACTCTACAATACGCGTAAACTACACAATTACTTAACTGAAACCTTCAAAGAAAGTTAATTAATTAAACTAACTATAATTTTGTTAAAAGTTCGCGCATCATGCCAACGATGCTCACTTATCCACGGCAAATAACCGTCTACAATATTAACTTATTAAAAGGGACAAGAAAATATAGTAACAACAATAATTCACTGGTCTTCAGGTCGTACGATTCGAACGATGGGCGGGAAGAGAGATAGATTTAAGAAAGCGAGAAAAATTTTTGTGCTATTTGGATTGGCAAGTGAGCATGATCGATTACAACAATGAATGTACCGTATGTAAGATTTATGTACATATCATATCACGAAAAAAAGAAATATATATATTCCTCTGAAAGAAAGACAAAGAGAGAGAGAGAGAGAGAGAGAAAGAGAGGAAGTGCATTCATTATTATAATCGCTTCTTAGTGTTTCTTTGATAACCTTCTAGCCTGAGATCTGGTAGTAATTGTAGTACCATTTTTCTCGATAACATTGCTACGCTGATTTTGATTCAAATGCTGGTCCATCACTGGTATCCTGAACAATTCGATGTTCATATGGTCGCAGATCTCCAGACAAACTTGTGCGCTGTATCGTAGTAAGTCGAAGGTTACCCAAATCTACAAAAATAGGTAAAATGTTGATACAGTCGAGATACAAAAATATCTACTTGGATATATTAATAAACATTTTCGTATATTGCATTCATTTAATTTTTTTTTGAAGTAATGAATTCTCGAATGTTCGTTAAATTTCCAAAAAGGCCACTTTTCGATGACAACTTACAAAGCACAGCCAAAGGACATAATATTCTTTGATAAAAAAGTTAAAGTACTGGTTAAGAAACAGCATGGCTGGTCCAATTAATGAGCTATCTAGATATTGCATCTCGCTTTTTGTCATGTGCGCGACCTGCGAACAAAGGAAAAATTCAGTAGGCAAAAATCTAGTACGTAGATTCATCGTACACTCGTAATAATACGTACTACCAGACGATTTGTGACTTTGGCAGCGACCATTCCAAACGCGAGAATGTAAAGTGCCGGATGATTCTCGTAGACGTGTTCAGCGCTTTTCCTGTAGATTATGAAGGCCGGGACGACGACGAAGCTGAACGGTATGATGGGCGACAGAACCGAGGTCCCCTGGGTAACGGTGCAAACTTGAAGTACATCCGTATACACTTCAGATTATCTTATATAGATTTAATCATCACGGATTCCAGTTGAATCGTTGACGATTAATGTTGATAAAAGACAAACACCAAAGTAAATGCAAACTAGCGAGATTAAAGTTTGGTTTCAGCGTAGAAAAGTTGGATAGATCACATTGACAATTATATAGCATACAGAGCAGAAATCATAGTAAGTACACATCAGCTGGAAATTTTAACGAGAACATTTTGTAACAGATAGACGGAATATCGGCAAAATAAAAAAAATAAGCATGCAAAGCCGGAAACGTCACATGCACGTATAATATGTGTCACGCAGTGCAAGACACTTTGTGCCTGTACTACATTCTTTAACTAAGCAGTGTGAATCATATATAATTGAATGACAAGATGTGTATCGCCGATGCGGATTTAGGTCCATACGCAAAAAATCCTAGCCGACTTGCGAGGAAAGCAAAAAGAAGAAGACGGTGCGTGATGAAACAAGAGAAAGCTGTGCATGAGAATTCGTGGACCCAAATCAAGCAGTTGCGTTTGGAAAAAAAGTGATGCAGCGCAAAGGGGTGTTTCTGGTAGTGTGTTCTTTTTCTTTTCATTGCTGGTGATCGATTAATGGATGAACTTACGGCGACGGTGGAGCCGTTCTTTCCGACACCCCCGGCCAGTATGACGGACATGCTGCTGAGCGCGAGCAAAGCGGCTACGCCAACTGCGCCCCACAACGGAAAGATCTTCACATTGGTGCCAGTGTATGGCAACTACACGTGAGAGACAGAGGCGCAACAATATAACGATATAATTCTTTTCTTTGTTTGGCTTTTTCGTATTGTTAGTCGGGCGATGAGATTGTTATTTAATGATAATGATGATGATGATGATGATAATGATAATGATGATAATGGATTCAGTGAGAAACGATTTAAAGGATGGATTTATTTTATTTGTTAAATACCGCTTAGATGATGGTAAATTTCAAAGATTAATCATGGCAAATACCTCATGAGTCAGGCGAGTTTTTTAAATTAAATTAAATATTTTATGTATATATTTGCAGTACCAGTTGTACATTTGATGAGGTCAAAATACAAATCTTGATCTATTTTGATTCACTGTTTAGAGAAATTATTTTGATCCACAGTAGCAAGAAGAAATTAAACTCAAATGTGAAACCTTATAAAAACGTGTGAGATTAATAAAAATAAAAAAAATCCCTTTTTCTTATTATTAGATTAATGATGAACGTTATTCATAAATTTATAAATCTATTCTACAATGAATAATTAGTAAAAAATTAATCACTTAAAAAATTTGAAATTTTAAACAACATGGAGCTTTTCATACTAGCAACAAACCTTTCAAAACAAAAATATTCAAATTCACATATTCGATTTTGCTATGAATCTTTTTTTTGTTTGATAATTTATTATTACTCCTTCTGACGGTATTTAACAAAAAGCATTTCAAGTCATAGATATTTAAAATGAACGTTTGTTGTTGATATATTTATAACTATGTCTGTGTTTGTTAATTGTGCTAATTTGTGAAATAGTGAATCCAACTGTGGCATTTATTATTTTACTAAATTATCGTCCAATGTCATTTATCAGTAACAATTATTTGTGGACATCATAACTTCGTAAATGTATATGTATTTGTTGCGTTATTAACTTAATGTGTGCAAAATACATGCATCTATAGATCAATGTACTCATGTAACTACTGATAAAGCGGAAAATGTCATTAGAAAATTATTAATAAAAAAAAAAGAAAAACAACCAAATAAACGACTCAACAAACGTTTCAGTATAAATAATAAATAATGTTTTGTGATGGTATGTTTTATATAATTCATCGTTATTATTGCCTTAAAGAATTTATTGAACATTAAATGACGATTGAGTACCTATACCAAGTAGTGTACAATGTACATTTGTAATATTTGAAAATTGGTAAAACAATTGGTTGAAGTTCTAATGAGTTGTATGAGTAAATTCAACAGTGGATATTACATTTAGTTGCCAACGGCTCTTCTAAAAATTTCAGTTCTATACCTTATTCAACAGCTGCGCATAATCATGTACGATCTTACGTACTTCAACACTCTTACAAGCAGCACACACATTTCGAAAAAAAAGTGAAACAAATTTATGAAAAAAAATCAACCTCTCACCGACTTATTTTTTGAGATAAAAGAAGAAGCCAACACTCGAAATGTAGACACCCCGCATAAGCTACCTTAAACCCTAGAGATTCATTCGTTTCAAAAATCAAAAATAAAATTTTTTTTTTCTCTTATTTCAGAGTATCAGTAATTACTGTAATTCAAAAAGATGTATAACAGTTGTGGTTTATGTGAGAAGCCGAAGCAATTATTGATTTTTGCTATAACTATATAGTTACCAAAGTATGAGTTTATTTGCAGAGTTAGTCATACTTCTTTAATTAGTTTCTTTATTACCGTCATTCATTCTTTTGTACACAACATAATTTTGCAGCAATAAGCATCATAAAGTTCTTTTCAGAACAAAATATTAATAAAGTAGTTCATTCATAGCAGTTCGTGTTAAATAAGATAGAAAATTTGTAGTAGCCAAAACCACCAGTCAATCTCATAAAGATGATTTAATCATTTATATATTTTTCAATAAATTGTTGACAAAAAATATACAAAGCAAAAAAAAAGTTAATAAAAACATGATAAAATCATCTTATAATGTATTCATCTAAAATCCTTGGTATTTTACCTATAGTGTTGATAGGAACTTACTGCAATGGTCGAACCGTTTTTTCCGATTCCACCAGATTCAAAGACTTTACAGAACTGAACGAACACGTTTACGTAGCCTGCATAAAATGCTATCGCTACCAAATGAGAGAATGTACCCATGTTAGGTAACGGGATCTAAACAGATTAATACAATCTCTCACATTAGAAAAAAAAAATTAATTAAATTATGTTTTATGTACAAGGTTTTATCAGAATCCTTCTGTGTTTCTAAGAATAGCAAATCCTTTAAACGAATCAGTAACTGCACTCATATACTTGCATTACATGTAACATATGTACACGTCAACCACTTTTACGGCTGGGCTAGTTCTGTCTGTGACCATACCAAAATTCGAGGCCTGCATGAGGGGCTGCTGAATACACATAAATGTACACTTATTTGTCTCTTCTTTCAATTAAAAACAAAGCTACACGGCTATTTTTCAAAGATAATTTTCAAAATTCAAACAGAAAATGTTCAAACTGGAGTGTTCAAAAAGCATTCGATCAAAACCTATTGAATGACATGTTTTCTTAATTTTGAAAGAAAAGACAATTGTTACCCTCAGAATCAAGCATAGAAATAAAGAAGAATTTTTTTGTAGCAAACCATCCACAAATTATCTTGCGAATCACAAAAAATTAACAAAAAAAGAGTTAGAAAGAAATATGTTTGAATTGCTAGCGAATGAGAAGTTCCCTCATTAGTAAAAAAATGAAAGCATTCATCTACTGCGCATTCATTACAAAACTCTTGAAACCTAAACTAAGCAAACTTTTTTTAAGAAAATCAGCTTATGATGATGATTCTTATTATATTACATCAATTTCAATTACCCGTAAAATAATAATTGTACATATGGCGATAAATGATTTGGTTATTAAATGAAAACAATAAAAATGAAGTTAAAAATAAATGATTTCAGTAGAAAAATGAAAAGATGAAATCAGGTAAAAACCCAAGGTTTGCATACTAAGATTACAAGCTGATAAAAGAATTTTCAATCTTATATAAAGTAAAGAGTAAAGCCAAATTCCAGATTAGTATAAAAGATGCAACATGTCATTAATTAATTTCAGCATCGCTCCTCATGCCATGCCAAATCCCGATAACGTAACTTTATTATTGTTTTTTTAACGTAATTTCTTCAACCAAGAATCTAACCAACTTACAGCCACAGTCGAACCATTCTTGCCCACACCTCCTGTGAATACCACCGAAAAGATGGAATACAAATTTGTCAATGCACAGACCATTGTTGCAACTCCTATTAAATATTTAAACTGAAAACCATCTAATAATGGTATCTGCAAGAAAGTGTCTTGTTAGCCTATTATAGACATGATTATATCTTGCCTCTTAACTTTTTAGAGTATGTACTATATGAGTAATAAGTTTTAGTAAAGTAATAATTAGTATATTTACAAATTGTTACGAAATGATCATAATTTCGTATTATCTGACAATAAGTTTTTCATTTGTTAATGCAGTAATTGATGTTTTAGTGTGTTAAAATAATGAAAAAAAAGCTTTAAAATCAAACAGATTTGTGAGTAGAATAGAAACTGTGTTTCTCAGTCTTCAGATATCTTTAAAACCATGGGCCATGATTCCACTTCAAGACTAATCTAAACTCCTATTTGTTTGAATATTTTATTTTTGAGAGTAAAAATAAATGTTTGAAAAATATTTATCAATTATGTGTAGTTGAAAATGAGTGCTCAAACCGCAGAATTTTTCAAATAATAAAAAAAACGAAAAACTAGAAAATATACAACCTCCTTCGTCCATATAGCTGGGCCAAAGATTGCTGAAATGAGGTGGATTCCGATTATTACAAATTGAGCCTCAGTCACGTCGATTTTTCCAAACCTCAAGGAGCCTAATATTTTTTTAAATAAATTAATTAAATTTCACTAAAAACTTTTAGATTGATATTAAATAAAAATTGAATGGTACTTTCTCACCTGACACATACGTTTGCCAATGTGCACAATAGAACAGAGTCATAGCACAGAAGCATTGGAAAAACATCCATGTTGGGTAATACCCTAGTTGAACTGCAATACATGCTGACAAAGCAACAAACACTGAAAACCATAAAGCTTTTTAAGTAAAAAATGAATGAGCATAAAATGTTTCTTTTTATAGTATATTGATATATGGTAATGCATAAATTTAAAGTTTCATAATACATTGCTGAAGCCATTGTATTGCTCAGATATTGACTGAATATTGAGAAGAGAGAGTGAGATAGAGATACTTGATTTCAATTCCACTGTATAGTCATTGTTGATAGCATTATATTTCAATGTTGACATTGGTTTTTTAATATCATTTCTTTGACTTTTATAAAACTAACTTTATTCAGGATAACCATAAATGAATAACATGTTTTATCAAACTACAGAAAATTAAAAGGATTTTCCCACACTTTAGTATTTATAAATACTATTGAGTTAAATATCATTAGCATGGAATGAATTCTACACAAATCTTAGTTTATGTTTGTTAGATATATGCTGAATGAATTTAGCATAATTCTACATTCCACTGATAATTAACTATTAGAAAGCTATATAATCAACGTGATAAAAAGAAGTCAAAAATGAATATATTCAAATGAACATTTATGCTTGAAAATTATGTATCATCATGCTTTTCACTCAAAACCATAGAAGTTTAAAATATCAATACCTGTCGAAATAGAATCGCAGCCATGGTCAAACAGTTCACCCAATGGTGTTGATGTTCCAGTTCTTCTTGCTTGTTTCCCATCAATGGCGTCTAAACTTTGGTAAACAAAAAGACCAACAGCACACAGAAAGCATGCCCATCTTGGTGGCTATAAAAAAGAATTGCTCAAATTATTCATTCAACTCACAGCAGGCTTTGATAAACTGAAAACCAATGTCTCAACACATAGAGGAGCAGTGTTTGCAAAATTAAAAACAGAAGATTTATATAACAATAATTAGAATCTTTAATAAAATCAAATAAACCAAATGTAAATTGCAATTAAAACATTGCTCCAAATAGTGCAAAACAAAGAGACAAGTTTAAAGCTAATTAGTTGTGCCTCAAGGTGAATGCATGATAGAGCTGAGAAATCATGACTCAAGAACTTTTAGATAAAAACTGAAAACACGCGTTTGTACCTCGTGCAAACACGTATTAGCAGTCGCAATGCTTACAATACATCACGGAAGCTCGACTCAGCTCTGCGTCGAAGTGTGAATTATTTATTTCTACGGCGCAAACGGCCATTGACAATAGCTGCGTTATTGTTGATAGCAGAAGCGCGAAATAGATAAAGAGCGAGAGCTTAATACCCTTGAATCGAACGAGCGTCAGCAACCAACGAAATTTAGTTGACAAACTTACGCAATAAGATAAGATTGTTAAACACGTGTTCGAAAAAGAATAAAGTGAAATTGTACTTACCTCGGTCTTCACATCAGGGCAGTACCAAACGAGTACAAGGGTGGTAACGATATTGATAATAAGCCCAAGAGTAGTGATAAGGTTAGGAGCAAGCCAAATCGGCACTCTACTCGTCAGCCATTCCCACCAGGGTTGGAGAAACTTGTCGCACAGACTTGCCGAAGAACAGCTGTACTTGTGTTCTGTAAGTCGTTTCAATTGACCCGGCGACAATATCTTGTCCTTGTGAAAGAGCTGCATATTGTGTTTGTCCGAGTGTCTATGATTATTATTTTTTCTTTCTCCCACACTGCACTCTCTCTGGAACACTTTTGCTACGCTACGACATCGCTACGTGTACGATACGCGCGACGACGATCTGCGTTGCTTGCTTGGTTGCAGCAACAGTATCGTCGAAAAACACGCGATCGACGACGATGGGACAAACCAAGAAGGAGGGGGAGGAAAAGACGCGTTCGCGCTGCTTGCCTGGCGCGCTTCGGACTCTCTTTATCGGGGGAGGAGGATACCTCTTTCAAGCTCGGGCTCTCCTACTACTCGCGCTCTCCTCTCCTTCGCGCCAATTCGCCTACGTTGCATGAACTGAACTCTCTCACTCTCTGTCTCTCCTGCCTTGCAGCATTGTAGACCGCCCGTTTACTCTCTCTCGCGATAAAGAGAGAGAGACTTGCGCGCTCTCACAGATGGTGGCGCCCCGATGATTACGTGGCTCCAAATTTGAATAAATGTTACCTTGATTGATGATTCACATGAGATTAGTTGCATACCGATTAAATGACCATTTCTTACATTGTCATTGTTCACGGAGTTTTTAATATTCATTAAGAAATTTAAGAATCATAGATTTTTCGATAATTTTCTACTGTCGTGAAAAACAATAAACTAAACATTTGATAATCGAAAATTGACGGTTACGTTTGGTTATCTATTTATTTATTTATATACTTTTTGTGACTATTCGTTATCACAAATCAATCAACAATAAATAGAAAATAAAATAGTCAATTCACTCTAGTTTTTAAGCTACGAGTGATCAATTTTTTCTTTTTAGTACACATAAAATTTAATTTCGGAGCAGACCTTTTATATTTTATAAAAAAATAATTTAAATAACAACACGTAAATAACCACAATGTAGTTAGTGCCAAACAGCTGAGTCGACAGTTTTGTAAATAAAACCAAAGTAACATTTGCAGTAGTTAAGGGCTTTATTCGAAATGACGATATTACTTCTTCTTCCGACTAGTGACTATAAATAAAAGAAACTGTAGCACTATACAGCCACTTGGCGAAAAAAAGAACTAAATGCAAACGATTGCGGCAGACCACGAGTTTGTGTATATAGTTGAAAATATTGTTATTCGTCTGCTAAAAAATGTTATTAATTAGAACTTAAGCTTCTACAAACAAGTATGATTACTTAATCATACTATAATACAGTTGACGTAGAATATTGGTTCGGCATTTCAATGAATACGTAAGAAAACGAGATTATTTTTTATAACCTCTTTTTCAGGCCAATAACCGGCGTATAAATAGTAATAAAAATTGTTACAATAACTCTGAATTTTGATTAAAAAATTATGAATTCCATAAGATTATTGAAAAGGCTAAAGTGTAACGAAAAGTTACTACTACAGTTATGGAGTGCTCCAAAATTAAAAAGAACATTTCTGTCAGAAGCTTACTCATGTTCAGAAGCTTGGAACAAAAGACTGGAAAGTCCATTATTGCAAAAAATCAATCCTCTTGACTTTTACCTTGAAATGGATCAGAAAATTCAAAACCAAAATAAAATAGCCGCAGTAGACGCTGATATTTTTGCCAATTGCGTTCAAGATGACAGTCAAAGTGATGAACTAGCAGATATTTTACATAAATTAAGAATGACAAGAGAATCTTCTTTCACTTTGGAATCTACACATCATGCAGTTATAAGATATTACTTGAGTGTAAGTATTAAATGCTAATTATTTGCAAACTTTTAATATTCATAAATTCGATAAAAATTCTGTTGCTTTCAATTTCAGATTGGACAAACAGATGTACTTCTGAATATTTTGGATGACAGATTAAATTATGGCATTTTCTGTAATTACTTTGATTATAATTTGTTAATGGATTATTTTATAAAACAGAAAGATTTTGCATCTGCAGCAAAAGTGGCATCATTTATGATGCTTCAGGAGGAATTTGATCACCCCATAAGCAATGCTCTTGCAGTCTATTCTTGTCACAAGTACTTGGAAAATCCAGACACATGGCAAGGAGTTGATCCAGAAGTTGAAAGATTGAAATCAGAGCCAAAAGAAGAAGTGAAAATTCGTGTTCGTTACATCAGAAATCCTTATTTTGATGATCATTTTGACTTATGGAAACCATCTGATTTAGTTGGTAAAACATTATTCTGGGTCGGCTCATTTGGTTTGGATGGCCCTCTTGGTAGGACTTGTCAATTAAGGGGTGCAGTATTGTACAGAAAATATACTGAAGCTATTCAAATACTGAAAAAATGGAAGGAAGAATGTACCAAAGAAGTTGTTTACAAAGAAGTGTTGCCTTTGATAAAAAAGGACGTTCCAGAACTTTTTGAAAGTACAGAACCTACTGAGGAAATGAAAGAACTACAGAAATTAGTATTAGATTTAGAAAGTGCAGATTTGTATCAAGAAAATTTAGAGCAAGACATGGAAAATTTAATAAAAAAAGCAGTCAAAGCCCACAGTGAAAAAGACATGGCAGAGCAAGTAAAGGTAAATAAGCTTTTTACAATTTACACATTTCGGTTTTTTTGTTATATATTAAAAAATGTTGATAAATATTTCAGCTTTATGAAGAATGGCTGGAAAAAAGAGTACAAGTTCTCAAGATACACTTGGCTGAATTGGATAAAATATCTAGATTAGCTAAAATAGAAGACATGAAAAAAGACTTGGCTGATCGAGAACGCGTCCTTACGTTCTTTGAAAAAGAAGAACAAATTGAATTAGCAATTGAAGAAAAACTCGCGAAGGAGAAAGAACTATACGGCGATGAAAGTGAAGAAGTTACAGATGATGAAGAAAATTATATACCACCAGAAATTGTTACAAAACAAGGAGAAAAACGATAATTAATTTTATATAAATATATTGATAAAAATGTAGTTGTTTAGCAAGCATTTTATAGCTTGCACGTTATTTATCACGTAGATTTAATCGACTTTTTACTGTTAAATCATCGAAATTCATAATACATTTGTAGCATTGCTTTCAAATAAACTGGAGAGTAGTATACGACATTTTTAATGGATTATAAAATTTTTATTTTTTGCGTATTTTATATTTTACAGTATCAAATATATATTAAAATGATATTATTTACACAAGGAAAATCTTTTAAAAAAGCTAAATATAAATGCACTGTCAAAGATAAGAAACTAGTAGTATTACTATTACAAGATTGTGCAATATCTGTGCTTTGTTTGATATATCTTATACATACATATAACAATAGTATAACAATTTCATTGATTCGGTTACTATTTCTTTTTATTTCGATTTTATCATACCACTCATACAGTCACGATGAATTTTTACTTTGAAGCTGTGCTTTCAAAGCTGCCGTTTCCTTCCTCATTTGTGCCAAATCAGCCGTTATTCTTTCTAAATTAGCTCCAATGTTCTTTGCGTTTTCTGAATCAACCTACAATTCATCAATTTATTAAGATAAGAATAGGTGTATACAATAAGAGAAAACATTTACAAATTTTCCTAATTCACCTGTTCTTCTAAATCTCGAATTTCTCGAACAATGGCACCAGTTTCTTCTACTAAGCTGATAATTTCACTGCCATCGGAATGTAGAGTCGCAAGAAGTTTATACGCTTTTCTAGATGTTTCATTTGTCAAAGCATCACGGAATATCAACTCATCAACCACTGCAAATGACCTTTCGACCCTGCCGGTGAGTGTATTAATTTCCTTTTGTATTTCTCGCGTGTCACCAAGTATTTTGTTTATTTCATCCTTTTGTTTTCTCACATTATTTATGATTTCTAAGATTCTTTGCGTATAGGCTGCCCTATTTACTTCTTTAGGTAGTTTTTGAACTTCTGCAACAAGTTGAGCATATTGTTGATCTTTACTACGACATTCTTCTAACAATTCCTTTTCCTTCTTTTTCAATAATCGTAGTTCATCAAGTTTCTTTTGACTGGCACTCTGTTAAATGAAATTTAATGTTATTTTAGATTCACAGTTTTTGCATGGTTCAATATAGAAATACTTACAGCCTTTGAAGAATATTTTTCTCTTTCATCTCGATATCGTTCAATGAGAGGTAATCTATGCTCTTCCCACTGATTAGCCAAGCTGATGAGTTTGTTACTTTGTGCTTCTATACTTTCTTGTAACTTCTGAATATTTTCTTCACCTCCCTCAAGCAATTCTAATGCTTTTAACTTGATTCTACTTTGCTCTTCAAACTCCTCAAATTTTTCTATCTCCTTTTGTTCTTCTAATTTAGCAACAGCTAACTCAGAGAACAATTTCTTTACTTCTGCTTGAAGTTCTTTACGAGTAACTTTCAATCTTTCATATTCAGCTTTCAATTCTTCGATACTCTTTTCTTGTTTGACTGGTTCTTCTGTTTCTTCTTCTTTGACTTCTTCCTTCTGTACTTCTGCTTTTTCTATAGATTCTCCATTATCTTTAGTTTCTTTCAAATTAATGTTTGACATAAGCCTACTAAGTGAATATGAGTCACTTTTAGGTAAATCAATTTTTTTATCATATTCTCCTGAGTTAAGCCATTCAATTTTTTCCTCTGTGGTTAATGAAGATTTATTTTGTATTCTATTATTCAAATCAATTACTGATGGAACTAAATATTTAACATGAGGTATTTGTTCTAGAAAAGACTTTTTGTATTTTACAGCATAATGTTGATATTCTAAAAATAAAAGAGAATGTGATTTAATAACAACTTATAGAAAAGTGTACATAAAAAAGTTCAAATATTTTTACCATCACTGCAATCTGAAGGAGGATCATTAAGGCGAATTGCAGTAAAGGGTATTTTAATTCTAATGTCACATTTAGATCGCTTTTTGTGACAGTAATATGGTAACCATGGCACTGAAATTTGTGCTGCTATGGCAGCTGAAACTAACTTTTCTAGCTGAGCACTTTTTGTAGCTGGTTCACTTATAATCTTATCACTTTCTTTAGGTAGTTTTTCAATAAGAAACATGAATACCCTACGCAAATCAGCTTCTGCATTATATAAAAAAGTCTGATAACCAATGTCACCTTTGTATCCAAGTTCCTAGAATTAATTTAGACTACAATGAGTATCTGGAAATTATTAGAAATAGAGACTTTAATAAAACTTACTTGGCAACATTGTGCCAAGGCAGCTCCCATACGAAATCTTGCAGCCATATTAGTTGGCAAAATAGGATTCAACCCTTGACCTGGTTTTATAATTTCTAAACATTTTACAGTTGCTTCAATGACAAGTTCTGTATTGAATCCAGCTAAATTTGTTATACTGTCATTCACATCACTGCATAAACAAACCAAGGGTTAAAAATTAAAAATTTTAATTGAAATCCAAATCAACATGAAAATGTTTACCAGCCTATTTGACGCAAGGAATGTATAATAATATTATCGACTTCTTCCATTATAACAAACAATCACTGTTAAAAAAAAATTGAAAAAAAATCACAACATCATAACCTCAGCACATTCGCAATTTTTCTAATAAAAAACTTCCATCAACTTTTCATTACGTAATTTATCGACATATTATTTATCTACAATTACTTCACTCGTTTTGAACTCTTGATGAAAAAATAATCTCCAAAATAACCGAAATAACCAGGATTTTATTAAAAACTGGTCCGTGTTGTGTAGTCTGCAGTCTGCACACCCGGTTTTCCATGTAATATAATGTATTTAATCTTCTTCGTTATTTTGGCGTCCGCTAGATGTCAGTTTCGCATTTTGCTTTGAATTTACAAAAAAATAAAATCATTCAGTATTGCAAAGAGCGACTTTTGAGTGAATCACAAGCACTGAGAACGTTTTAATTGGTGTAAACAATTCATTATTGCCTCACGTAGCTCAGAGCACATCACATCTATCTTAATGAAAAACAAAGTACTCAAACTGCAACAATGACATTGAATGAATCATAATTACACTTTACTGTTAGAAGAATCGAATTTGACAGTTCATTCAAAATCTCCAAATAATCGCGCATTCAGCACTTCTCTCGCTGCACACATCCCCACCAAAAATACTGTTTTCCTTTCAAGTGTCGGCTAAAAAAAGAGTCGGCTTTTGCGCAAGCGCAAGAGCCAGCAGCGGGGATCAATTAATCGCTCCCTCTCTCTAGTAGCCGTGGACGGAACTGCGCGCTCTCTCACTCACGGAGCTTAGTGCATACAGCTCTGCAAAGCTAGACGGTGGTATACGAGATAGTGTTGCTGGTGGTGGTGACGGTGGCGAGTATGATGAGGCTGTGCGAGGAAGTAACGACGACGTGAGAGAGATAAACAAGAGATGAACGGCACGCAGCAGCAACAACATCCAGCAAGATTCGCCGACTACTTTGTCATCTGTGGCCTCGACAAAGATTCTGGACTCGAGCCTGACAAGTACTTTGGTGAGTGGCTGCGTGCGGCAGTGGCCTACAACGCCACCCCCGTCAAATACTTATATTTTAACAGACGCGTACGATATACACGCACACGCAAGGGAGGGATAACTCTCTCTCTTTCTCTCTTTATCTCTTTCTCTCTCTCCTGCGCTACATATCGACGTTTTCTTGATTTTTTTGTTCTGCTCCTAGTACAACAAAACGCAAGCAAGGTTGCGAGGAACGCAAAACACTTCTTTTTTCTTTTTGTCGACGACGACGGAAGCTGTTCTATTTCCCCAGACGCACGTTTTTTTCGGCTGGCACAGATAAGCACACACGGAGAGAGGCTTTTGATCTTGAAAATCCAAACGAGATCATTAGCCCAGCACTCTCAACACTTGTCTTTCTTTTGTTTTCGCTGCAGCGGAAGCTTATGTTGTTGCAGCGAGTCGAGTTTTATAACGTATACGAGCATTTCACGCTCGGGAACAATCTTCTGCTTTACAGCGCGCTCTCGGGGATTTCACGCGCGCGAGAGGGCATTTGCAGCGCGCGAGTTTTCACGTCACGCTACGTAGCTGTCGCAATGTCTGTCGATCGATCGTGCTGATTAATAAATAAAGTCGAGCGGCGCGCGGAGTGTGCACCAACTCGTGGACCTGCTTTACGGAGTGAAAGAGAAAGTGCACAAAACTCGTTTAAATAACACTTGCTGTATATCCGGATGCGGGGAGCTCTTCCGGCTTCATAATACCCGCGACGATTGACAATGGACCGACGGACAGACTTTTTCAGCAGGCTGGGCCGTGCGGACATGGACGTTTTCCCGATTGACAGTGGTATGCAGTGAACGTCTGGGCCAAATTTCAAGTCGACATAATAATTCTTTTCGACAGTCGTTAATAATGAAAAAAAGAATCTCCTTTTTTCCTCGAATACGCACATTTTGGTAATTATCAGTGGTAGCTTTATGAAAATTATTCCGAATTATTGCCTAATGATACGTATCTTGATATCGTCAGTGTAAATCAAAATATTCATTAAATTAATTTGCTGAACTTTTATTTAACAATTGCCTATCATTCAAAAAGTTTGTTTTTACGTGTTGCTTGAACTGTTTTACTTCGGAATCAAATAGTAACGGCCGTGTGATTTAATTAGTGCAGGAGACGCGGCGTAAGCAATAAAAAGAAGCTGTCACTCTCCCGGCTGAACTTTGCTTCGATCTACGGGAGTCGATATCCCAAGTACTCCAATCGCGCTTTGCCTAGCTGTGTTTATTGTGGTCCTTCAGCGAATCTGCCGGATTTTTGAGGGGGCACTCCAACGACAAATGCATCGAAATGTCGGCCAAGCAATCGCTAGTTAATCGTACAGCAATGGCATTAACTCGCGAATGAGCGCAGCCGTTCGACAAGATCCTCGCGCGACATCGAGGCGGCTGCTCGAAAGATCGTTATTCGCCCGAGAGGTCGGTCGGTTGCTCGCAGCCGAGAACTGCCTGGCGGAGCTCCCCAGCTAAGCCCCGGCTGCTCTCTTATCGCGCCGCGCTGTTTCGTCGCGCAGCACGCACACGCGCGCGCCTCTGTCTGCGAGAGATAACGCCGACTCGGGCGCTCGCCGGCGATCGCTGCTTTCTTTGCCGAGGAGGAGCTCAGCCTCGCGGCGGACGCGCGTCCGCTGAATTTCCACGCGACTCTTCTCTCGTTCTCTCGTCGTTTCTCCAGTTTGAGCCTTGAGGTGCGACACCGATCCAGCGAGATTCGCCTTGCCTTCCGCGCGCCAAAGAAAGGTTCCGGCGAGACAAAGAGCCAACGAATAAAGGGAACGCTCGCGGAGAACAGCAGCCGAACGCCCCGCGCGCGACAATGCTTCATCGAAATATCCATCTCCTCTCGTCCTCGCGGCCAAGAAAAAGCGAGAGTAAAGAAGAGGAGAAGACGAAAAAGGGGAGGGGAGGCGCCGCGACAATGCCCATCCTGTTCTGCGTGTCGAAGAAAAGCCCCGCCGCGTGCACCTTAGGTGGGCGCGCGCGCTCTCGACAAAGCGGACGCCGCTGCCGTGCCGCAGCTGCTTCCCTTCCGCGTGCGAGCTTCGACGAACGCGCTCGATGCCGGGCTAGCGCAGGAGGACCCGCGCGTGGCAACGCGAGGACACGCGGGAGGGCACGCTCGAGATTTTCCTTCGCGTTTCCCTTGGCAACGTGCCACTCGCGACAGTCGCTCGCTTCGCGCGGCTCTCCAAGGACAATCGAACCTCGGGACGTTAGCGCTCTCGCTTACCGGACGCGGCCATTCGTTGCCCCGAGTCGTGCCATTTCAGCCGAGAACCGGAGTCCGAGGAACCGCTACGAAGCGGCGAGCGCGGAGTCGTAAAGAAGCCGCCGAGGGACAAGACCCGCGGAACGCTCGTCGACTCGCAGGAGGAAGGCGCGTGTTTTTCGCTTTCGGCCTCGCGCGACGCGTCCGAACGAGGCGCTGCCACCCAAAAATGTATAATCGAGCGTCGCGCTTCGCGCGTATTTGTTTGAAAGTCAAATTCGACGCGCCTAATCGTGAAATCACGAACGACGAAGAGCGCGCACGTCCGCGCGGGTTTAACGCACCTCGCCACTCGACGTGCCCACGGATTTACTTCACGGGATGATGAATGCGCGCCGAACGGAAAATATACCCCGAAACTCCGCGTAGTGCGTATAACGCGCAAGAGGGGGGAACAATATCGTTTTGTAAGAGAGAAGAACTCGCTGCGCGTGTAAAATATGGTGCAGGAAGCCGAGTGAAAATCGAACGTTTCGCGAAGAGGGAAAGCAAGACGACCAGCCGCGACGTAAAAATAGGAAGTTGGCGTAAATAGTCGAGGTCGATATCGGTGACGGGTGGATGGAAATTATCATCCGCTCCGTGAAAATTCGCGCGACGAGCCGCTGCGGAGCGAGCCGTGGGAAGTGTCGCGTTGCCGGCCGAGCGTTTCTATTTTAGAATCGCATAGCGCTCGCCGTCCCAGCGAAAGCGACACCGGCGAGGCGCGCGAGACAGTTTTCGTCGGGCAGCCGGACAATCGAGTCCGAGGACTGGCATCGAAAAGCTTTGCCGGCGATACCATGGCTCGCGGTCGGGAGAGGCGCGCGAATTACGAAATCAAGCGTCGAGATGTTGGGTCAGCCGTTGCAGCCCGCTTGGCGCTCGGCGAAGCGTCGTCGGCCAGCGTTGCATTTCGCGGCGTGCCGACGAGTGTACAAACCGAGCCTACACCTCGCCGCGAGACGAGCGAGAAGTCGCGCGAATTGTGCAAGTTCAGCCTCGAAAACGCGCGCGTAGCTCGGCCGCCAGCGGGCCGAGCGCGCGGTGAAACAAGTCCGCGATAGCGGAAGCGCGGCCCTCGAAAGCGATCGGCGCGCGATGTTAGCGACGATCCGAAGCGCTTCCTACGAGACTTCCTCGACGCATCGAGTGGAGGAGCTCGTCGCCGTTCCAGATTCAATCGACTGTTACCGAGAGCTTTCGATGAGTCACCGCGATGACGCGCGGCCGTAACACGCGACTCGCGAGCCCCGTTGGCCGACGCGCAGCGCGCCAACGTCCTGGTGAACCGCAGGCGAGCGAGCGCGGCCCGCGGCGACGGCGCCCGAAAATAGCCGCGACGACGAGTCGGCACCGACGACTCGTACTCGTGTCCGCGCGGCGGCACTCGACCGAGCGTGGCGTGCTCTCGTTTCGAGGGCGCGTCCCGCGCACACGTACGCGCGGCTGCCTCGTTTCTCCTTACTTCTTTTTCTTTATGTTGCCGCTTGGGAGAATTCTAGTTACCGAGTAACGCTTATCGTTTTCAGCGTAGCGCGAGTGCTAAAATTATTAGAGCGTCGAGGTGAAAATTGATTGCCGAGAACGCGCGCGCGAGATCATTTTTTTTCCTTACGCGCGCAGATTACGCGGATTGCGGTGTAACCGTACTCTTTGGGTCAGTATCGCGAAGCGTTGCTGGATATGGTATACGAGTATTCCTTCTCGGGCGTGATGAATGTTGATCGATATACCTTAGTGGCTTTCAATCGTCTTGCGATTCTTTTTGTTTTTCCGAGATACGATGCGACGCCTGGGATTTCCATATCGAGATTTTACCCGTTTTTTTTTTGTTTTCGTCGTGGATTACAACTTTTGGTTTTTGCTCTTTTAAGGAGGGGAGATAGAGAGAGGGTGGGAGAGCTTTGCTAACAACGCATATCGATCTAGTTATTTTCAACGTCACTGCGTCGCGATTCTTTCTCGAGCAATAACATTTACGATTACCCACTGGCGTCCATCTATTTCTAGAAAAACATCGCGGCGCCAACAGATTTACGTACAGTGCGAAGAGTAGCAGCCCTCGTAAACAAAACCTACCGGCGTGTGCATCGGATTGTTTGAACACGCAAGATACAGTGTCTGTTTTCCCGATAAACACAGCGAGAGAGAGAGAGGGAGGGGGGCACAATCGCTCTTTATAGGGTTACATCCGTACAGCGTTAATTGGCTCGTCGCAATGACTCGCGCAGAAGGCGAAATAAAGACGAAGCAACCGAATCAATATAGGACTTGGCAGGCTGCTCTTGAAAAAAACAAAAAAAAAAATAAAGAGCACCGTGCTTGATTAAGCTGAACTCGCCGAGAGAATCTCTTTTGTGTTACTGTAGCATACACATGCCGCTTTATTGATTTGTCCTCTCGGCGAGTCGGCGTTTCTTCGTCGGCCCTCCCGAGCCAGGCCTCGCCGTACTCGTTAAAATGTATTCACTCTCTTCGACGTGGCTCGCACTGGCAACGCGCTTTTGCGCGCCGAGATATCGGAATATCAGGTGGCTATTTGAGCTTTAGCTCGGACATCGCTGCCGAGCCTCGGAATTATATTGGATTTTATGGAATTATAACGCTCAACCGGCGCGTGCGAGCGCTCCACGCAGCGAGGCGTGCCGGGGTGGGCGGAGGGGGCAAAGCGGTTTCATGATTTATGGAGTTTGCAAGTCGTGCTATCAACGCGGAATGCGTCGGATTGGGCTATCGCAGAGTTTCGTTCTTTCGTCGAACATTTCAATACTTTTGCCGACAAGCCGCCGTTGCCAGTTCTTTTTCTCTTGGAAATTTTTGATCGAGCAATTATTTAAACACCGCTTCGATTTTTCTACCATGCTGTCTTTTCGATAGCCTTACCGTCGCCACGATCGCTAAGTCTGTTTCTTTATATCTCTCAAGTTCAATTGAGATTGAATTTCAATTTTGCAAATAGAAATTTCCAGATCAATTAATTTTATAATGGGACGTTCGGAGAATCACGGCCGAGTACACGGTGGCTGTTCTATGTCGCAGTCATTCGTGGATCACAGTGAATAAATGCAAACAGTTTTCATTCGAGTGAAAGGGCGATTTCTATTATTATAGTCAGCGTGGTTTTCTACGACGAGCCGCTTAATCGCCAACTTTTGACCGTGTCGGTCAACGCACGATCGCGCGACTTTCTCGGCATCCAGAAATTGTTTTTCAACTCGTCACATCTGCGAAGCGTCTTCGAATCGTTCCGCGAACGCGCAACGAATCACCGATCAGTCGCGAGCTCGGCGATGAAAACAGCCCTCGAGCAGACGAGCTCGCGCGCCCGAAGCGTCATCCAGTAAATTAATCATCGTGGGCCGCTCTCGTCGTCGTCGTCGAGGGAATTGTTACAGACACGCGGCGCAGCCCGCATCTCTCGTGCGAGGCGCGCGTGTCGAAGCCGCGATGTGCCCAATAAAAGCCGTATCGCGCTGACGCTTGCCCGAAAAAGGGAAAAACAAAAAAAAAAAAAAAAAGACGAGAGTCTTCTCGACAGGCCTGACCCGGGTGTCCCCCGCTCGTCGTTGTGCCGGCGAAAGAGGTCATTTCCGCGCGGAGATCGAACCGCCCTCCTCGAGGCTCCGCGCGGGACGGCCGGCAATTGAGATTCGAGATTAAAACACGCGGGGCTGGCGACGAAAAGTCGAGCGAGGCGATAACGAAATTTTCGGGACCTCCCGCGAGCCGCAACGACGACGCAGCGCGCGCGGCCCCAGATCGAGATCGAGGATCCGCTGGCCGGTCGCGGTGTGGCGCGCGCCTCGCGTACACGTGCACCACGTCACCGAGCAAATCCGATAGCTCGCCTGGAAACCGATCTGTTTTCCGGCGTTGCGGTCGGAGAGTTGGCGCTGGATTTTCGACCCACCGAGTTCTTCCGTGGCTGTGCACGGCGCGCGCGCGAGAGAGAGAGAGAGAGAGAGAGAGAGAGCAAGAGCGCGCACTGTTTCCATATTAATAGACTCGGCTGTTCGCGCGGCTCTCGATAAAAGGGCCTGGAAACGAGCGCCTTGCGAAGCTTCGCGCTTTGCCCGGGCAACGACCGCGTTCGCCTCGTCGCGTGCGTCGAGAGCGCCGACAGAGAGCCGTTTCGGGCGACGAGTCGCGAGTCGAAGGATCGATGTCCTCGACCGACTCGGAACTCGGAGACGCGAGCAGCGCCCAACCCCGTCCAATCGCAAACGTTCCGCGCCGTAAACGAGCGCACGTCTGTTCGCAGGTGACTCGCTGCAATGCACGCCGCTGGATCGAGCTTACAAGAGCAAGGTCCTCGGGCACTACCCGGACTCGGTGCCGTGGAATCCCTTCGACGAGCACGCGGTCTGCATGGTGAGTCTGCTGTTCCACCCATCCAACCCCCGTAAGCCCCCCCGCCCTCGCCCTTGCCGTATCGATCAGCTGTGTCCGCGCGCCTTGAACGTGACTCATGCCCAACACCCCGCCGGCGCGACCAGCGCCGTCCCTTTTTCCTGCCTACTTCCATTTGCTTCGGCGCGCATAGTCGGCGGACGCTCTCTTTGAGGGCTCGATGAATTTCGTCGAAAACAAGAACGCGGCGCTGCCGAATCGGTCAGAGGCAAAGCGCACGACGAGGCTTGTCCCAAGCTATAACGATGACGTTCCGCCGTCTCGCAGCTGTGCCTGCCAAGCGGCTTGCGCTTTCGCACGCAAAAGCACTCGGTGGAGCCGTGCTTCCACTCGTTCGTCCTGACCAAGGAGGACGGCCACCGCACCTACGGCTTCAGCCTGCTCTTCTACGAGGAGTGCCGCAACCGCAAGATCTGCGCGGCCATGCAGACGCTGCAGGCGATGTTCATTACGGAGCTGAGCAGCGGCCAGAACGGCACACCTCCGCAGTGAGTGCGGCGCGAATCGATCTCGCCCGCGTGGCACTGTACCGTCCGTTGTGCTTCGCAGGCCGCGCAAAGGACACGAGGGCCACGGCAACACGAGATCGCTGCCGAGGCACTTCAAGCTGGCGGCGCACTCGGCCGCGTCGGCGCTGGCCTACTACGACTCGGCCAAGGACAAGCTGCTGGTGACCAAGTCGATATCGCTGATCTGCCAGCAGCCGTATCTTCACGCGGCCAAAATGTTCCTGACCAATTTGTACAAGTGAGTGGCTGCGAGCGACCAAGAGTCCAAGCGCCCAAGCGAGACCACGGCGACGCTCACCGACCGATCGCTCGCTCGCTCGCTCGTTCACAGGTGCGTGCCTAGGCACCCGGGCCCGGGCTTCAGCCTCGAGTCCTACGTGTACAACCTGCTCTACAACGTGCCCACCCCGATGCCCGGCAAGTCGCTCAAGTTCTACGTGCCCAACGACGAGCCGGCCAAGTCGCCGCTCGAGCTGGTCCTCCACCAGCCCCTCCTCGGCCAGGAGCTGCCGCCGCTCGACTACTCGCTCAAAGACGTGTTCGCTTGGCTGGGCATCGACTGCGTCATACAGCTCTTCACTTGCGTGCTGCTCGAGAACCAGGTCCTCATACGCAGCGCCGACTTTCACAAGCTGATGGTCGTGTCCGAGTGCGTCGCCGCTCTGCTCTTTCCCTTCTCCTGGCAGCACGTCTACGTGCCCATTCTGCCCGCCAGCCTCGACCACTTTCTCGACGCGCCCGTGCCGTTCATCATGGGCATACACGCGCACAACGACGTCGGACTGCAGAAGATCGCTAGCGAGGTGAGTGCACCGCCCTCGTACCTGACCCGCGCTCGTCTGGCCCACCACTCACCGATCGACCACCTCTCGTTTGGCTTGTTGCAGGCTAATCTGTGTTATGTAGATATCGATAAGCAAACCGGTCAATTTCCCGAGGAGTTGCCCGTGTTTCCCCACAAGCTGGCGTTCATCGACGAAATTAGAGGCTATTTGAATAAGTACAAAGTTCCATACTTGGACAAGTGAGCTTACCTCCAACCAAAGATCTCGTGGTGAGGACGATCGTTAATAAATTTGCTCGCTTTTCAGGACTGACAATATATTCGCGAATTACCTGAATGGTGATATCATGACAAGTAGCTTAACGCTGCCCGGCTCCGGCTTCTATTATCCAAAGAGAAAGCACTCGCTGCACGACATGCTCGACTGGGACAGGTCCGAGTCAGCTCCACAGACGGATCCGATACAAAGGATATTTGACGCCGTTCGACGGACAGGTACGCACGGATACGCATCGTTGTACGATGACGCCTTTGATTTTCATGGCTCGAGTACCTCATCGCCTCGTTTCCCTTTTGCAGATGTCGACGTGGACGATGTCGATACGATCAACAGCACGCCAAAGAGTCAAACACTCAGTCATCAGGAGGAGTACCAAGAGACGTTGATCTTCAATAATGCTATGAGGGAAATTTTTCTCAATCGTTTCGTGCAAATATTTTCCAGTTATGAGCACTTCGTTATATTGCCTAGTCAAGTAAGCACGATCAATTTTCAACATTTCGCGTCTCTTCTGGTCAATAGAGCGTTACGGCATTTTCAATATTTCCATTATTGTAGGACAGAGACGAATGGATCAACAATCGCGACAACATGCATCTATTCGACAAAGCCACATTCTTGTCCGAGCAGCCAGCTCATCATTTACCTTTCTTATCCAGATTCATCGAGACGCAAATGTTTGCATCTTTAATCGACAGTAAAGTCATGTCCATGTGGAACGAGCTTGATTCAAACATCAAATTATTCGATAAGAGAGTGGCGCAACTGAAGTAAGTTTTCGCCCACCTATTTTCACTTTGTAAATCAGTACTCTAACGTGCATATCTTGCTGAATAAATCAGAAAGAGAGTTGGCGAAGGAATCGTGCGCACGACACGCTACGAAATCTGCACAACCATACCGGAAACTCAGGCAGTTATAGAGCAAAGGTTAAACAACGTTGACTTCGAAGTGAATCCACCAACGGAAGTCATACCTCATCGAGCTGCTTACTTTCGTAGCTTCCCCCTGCTCGATAAAGTCGCATTGAATAAAGAGCCTACAAAAAGGTAAATCATCGCACGAACATTTATTCAAATTTTATATTACTAACGTTCGAGTAATCTCTAACATCACTAATCATAATAAAACTACTTTATCACTTTGCTTATCTATCGCCGCTGCTCGTTTTTGTACAGTATGCTGCGGTAAGAATATTTCCACGATGTTATTGATGTTGTGGAAAATAACATTTTACATAATTGATGATTCTAATTGCACTCTTCTGCTTTGCTATGTAGCAGTAGGAAAGGGCAGACACAGTGGAAGTACAAAATGAAATCACTAGAGGCGAATGGTAAGCCAACAACAACGCAAGAAACTCAGTCGCCACGACCGCAAACGAAACTGTCGACTGACATGAGCCCTGCTCTGATTGCTCAAGCCAATTGGACTTTCGTCGAAACCTTACTAAAAGTAATTCTAGTCAAACAATCAAATCACAGAGAAGATACGAATAGTTCGTCACATTTTTTTCTAGGATATCAAAGCAAAAACAAAGCGAATGCTGGTAGAAAAAATGGGATCGGAAGCCGTTGCGTTAGGTCACGGGGGTGAATCCGTGTGCGACGTCGAAGAAAACACTTTGGTCGCGAGTCTGTGTGATTTATTGGAGAGGGTGTGGAGTCATGGAATACAGAATAAACAAGGAAAAAGTGGCCTTTGGACGCATTTGCTCATGTATCAGCAACTAGAAGAATGTAGCGAAAGTGATAAGACTATCGATGCTAATTATTTGTCGCCAGGTATGTTTTACTGCTTTGTTTATTCTTTGCATTACTGATAATAATGAAATAATACACCTCTGTATATAATAATCACATACAATTTCAATTAAAACAATCTAATATAGTAATACTTTCAAAATATTAAATTAATCGAAATGCTGTAACATTTGGATCGCAGCTCTAGCTTGGTGCGTGCTTCGGAAGCGGCTTGATTGTACGTGCTACTGATCATATATAACAATAATAATTTATTTATTTGTTATTGTCTCGTCTGTGATATATGTTCATAGATACATACTTTTTTCAAGCAGTCTTGTTTCTTTAATCATTATTATAGAAATGAATGTATTTTATATTGCAAGCCTGTTTTTTGTAAAAGTTCTTTCGCCTCTTTTTTACATAAATGTTGTAGCACAATGTTTCTTTTTGCACGGTCACAAATATCTAGTTTATTCTTTTATATTTGTAATTTTCACAGTTTATGTTGTTTTTTATGTTATTAATTAGCTAAGAAACCGTCCAATAAGTTAGCTCGATTCTCGGATCGTTTGGTTTCCTCGTTAAAAAGCAAACACATTTACGAAATAGCTTCTTATTTCAAGGAAAATATAAGCGGTAAGAATTCGCCATACGTGGTTGAAGAAAATTATGCTTGCCAATTTTATTTTAGTGAACACTAAAATGCCTGATTTGTTTGGAAAGTTATAAAATATAAATCAATATTGCCTGCTGATGCAAAGTGTGAACAGTAAAATCTTATCAATAGTGGTTAAATTACAAGCGTTTACTCGCGATAAAAAAAGAATTATTATTTGTATCTCCCAAGTGGAATGACTTATAAATTAATTTAATGGTTTGCATGGTGCATGTTTTCGCATGAAAATATTAATGCATGTATTAGTATTCTTATTTTTATTTTTAATAAAGGACAACGCATGCTAAAATATCAGATTTTCGCATTCTAACATTGCATGCGAATCGCTCTAGTGTGTCAAAGAAATTAAAAAAGAGAAATTTGTTCTTTTTCCGCTCAAATTTACAATTCAAAATTTGTTGTATAGATCTATCGAATCTCGCGTTGGAAACGGATGTGTCACCCACTCGAAATTCAGATCACCAGCGTCATCACAAATCGCCAGCTGGCACATTAGAACGTCGCTCGGTTGGCCCTGAACAATTGAGACCTTTGCCCGACTCGTTGCTATTCGATATTAGAAATGTCCAAGCCATGACAGATATCAAGACTCACATTGGCTATGCAAGAGCTTTCGTAAGATTGGCGTTAGAAAAGAAATTACTATCGAGGCATTTGAAAACTCTTCTTTCGAATCAAACTCTGTTAAGGTAATTCTTATTCATTTTAAAAATAATGACAGTTCAATTTTGAATGATTAATTTTTTTTTTTATATAGGAGCCAATACAAACGCTCAGCATTTGTGCGTTGCGAGGAAGAGAAGGAGCAATTTTTGTACCATCTACTCACACTGAATGCCGTGGACTACTTTTGCTTTACGAATAACTATCCTACGACCAAACTGCCATATCGAGTAATTATATTTCCAAGTAGAAAAGCAAGCGCCGCGCAGACGTCAGCAAACAGTTGGATTGCTATTTCGGGCTCGCTTTGCGAGACCAATCCGGTAAACGTACCGAGGGGCGCTTTAGAGTTTGTTTTCCACGTAAGTATCATTCAGGCGTTCGTTTATAGTCATTTACCGAAGTATTTAACAAACATTATTTTCATTCGCAGCACAAAAATCTGGGCGTACTATCGACACTGCGAATCGGCCACGACAACACAGGTACATCACCGAAATGGATGGTCGAGCACGTGGTGGTGCGTAACGAAGTCACCGGACACACCTTTAAGTTTCCGTGTGGAAGGTGGCTTGGTCGTGGTATCGACGATGGATCAACAGAACGGCTACTCGTTGGTGCACTGGTACCCAAGAATGTAGATAACGAAGAGCTTGTTGAAACGTGTTCGACACCGCCGAGATGTCGATCGCCTAGTATACCAAGGAGACCAAGTATGTCACATGATGAATTAAAACAGATGCTAGGTAAAGATTGTCTTTTTATTAATTTGAGAATTTCGTACTGTGAATGAGTTGTTTAATGGTTGACTTTTGTAGGTGAAGCTGTGAATGCAATAGTGAAATTCCACTATCGAAAGGACATTCAAGAAAGTTCGCTGACGACATTGCTAGTTGGTGAAGGCGGCCTTGTACCTACTTTGGAGCAAGTCTTTTTGTATGGTTTCAAAAACCAAAGAATATTTGGAAGGAATTTTTATGTTTGGGATTATTTTAGTGAGTTATTATATTTTCTATTTTATTTTGATACCAATGTAATTTATATTATACGGTAAGCATTTTATTTTTAGTTCGAGTTAAAGAAAATTTCCAGATGTCATTGTTAGAGGAAATGGATGATTATTCTAGCCGGTTGAATCGTGACAAAAGATTACAAGCCGAGAGAAAACAGAAATATGCTATTCTCAGGTGTTACTGTCACCTACTCGATCAAATAAACACTTTCAGTCAGACTCTCGGCAAAGATGGCAAATTTCAACTTTTCATATGCTTAGCTACTAGGTAAATTCATTAGCAATTAGAAAACGAAAATGGTAAAGATGTTGAATGACATTTTTGGGATATTTTTTAGGGAGCAGCTACTGCATTTAATGTTACGTCCAATGAGCGAAGCTCGCTCGACCATAGATATGTACGAAGAGACGTCATTTCTCCGAAGTCCAACGTTACTTACTTTCCTTGTACAAATTCTCGAGCCGCTCAGCGGCTTTCATATAGTACTTGAAAAAAGTTTGACCCACGGAATCTCAAGTTTATAATGTTTGACGTATCGCAAAGTTTAAAAAAGAGACAGTAGCTGGAAATCTTATTAAAAGCGAGCGGATATATTTTCACGATTGTGAGAGTTGGATAATATATAAACTCAGAGAAGTTATATGGAAAAATACACAATTATGTTGATCTGCGAATGCGATATGAAATGAAAAAACTACTTTTTCTTTGTCAGAATTTATCTTGCCAATGACAGTGATGAAAATACCACTAGTTTAAGAAATCGACGAAAAAAACTCGTGTTAATCTACCAAAGATATTCTTTTTTCTGTTTACATATAAAATTTTACTATTAGCATTCGTTTAGATGACCCTAGATTTAGAATGTTGTTAAAAAATTTTCATCGTCCAGTGTATGAGGTAAAAATTTTAGTCGATATCTCTATTGTCCAGAAAAAAACGCAACAACCGACGCGACATCGATTATCGAGCCGCACAAGCTACATCAGAATTACGAAACAAAATTTGTGACTAATATTTTTATCGCATAATAAAATATTGTTGTTGAAAACATGATATGAACATTTGTATCTGACATGTGTATATAAAACATTAGATAAATCAGTCCATTATCGCCGCATAATGTCGCGTCCTCATTAATATTTGTTAATTTAGTATTTAGTATTACTCAAAACGTTTAGTTTTGTTTTTGTTCCTTGGCGTTATTATATATCGTTGGCTAAGATTCAAATTAAAAAAAATTATAATACAATTAGATATTTTATGCTTCTCTTTGAAATGCTGTGAAAACTAGGAAAACTGTATCGTAATTAGTAGTAATTGCTATCTCACCGATTTATATTCAGACATCTATGTTACCGATAAACTTGAACAAAGAGTAGGTTACTATAAGGTTAGATAAGTTTATTTAAAATCGTAACTGCATTTATAGAGAAACTCAAAATTCATACGTACATACTACATCAATTAATGTCGAAAAATACGTATCTCGTAAATTTTGTGTAAAATTCAAATGCGTGTGCGAGTGTTTTCTACCCTGATGATTTGTTTTTAATATGGACCAAATGTTAACCACAACTCATGTTATACTGATATTTACTGAAATATTTCATAATTTTAGTGTAAAGTTTTTTCTGATTAATACTTTTTATAAAAAAAATAAAATTAAATCTTTTAGCAATGCTCTATTTTTACGTGAAATATCTACTTGAAAATATACATAGATTTCTAAAGAAAAAGAATTCCCTTTTGCTTGAGTGCCAAATCGTATCTGAAGTTTTTAATTATATTTTTAATCGTTTTAAATAACGAAAAGAAACTTGTAAACATTTAAAAGCAATTTTATGAATCGTGCAAAGAAAATTCCGTTCAAATAGATCTGTTGTATTTGTTTTACGAAATCTGTATCTTATATTACTCCTGTGATGAAATATTTATTCCAAAAAAAGAACAATGTTGGTTTACTTATTTTTAAACCAAAGCAGACCGTTACATACAATTAGATATGAAATTTTACGCAAAGCAAATGTATATACCAAAATGTTGCGTTTTAATCTTTAGTGGTGATGTCACTTTTACAGAAATTAAAAAAATTTATATAATAATTTATAGGTGTATATACGATACAAGCTGAGATGGCTGTAAATTAGTTCAGAAAAGCCGTAATAAAGAAATATAAAAATGAAAATGAATTTTATTTGTTTCTAATTTTATTTTTGATAAATAATGCCTTAATAACAATGAATTAAAAAAAACATGGTTAAAGAATGTTTATATTAAAAATACATTTTATTCATTACATGTGACAAAAAATGTGATAAACTATGATTATTTCAACGATATCGGATCAAGTCAAGAAAAAAATGTTATTTAAAGTTGATTGGATTTCGAATTATGATTGAAAAAGTCAAATGGATATTTTTCTATAAAAAGGCAATATTTTATTTTTTTCGACTATACATTTTGCACAAGGAAATAGCGATTTCTTCAGTTATTCGCTGTATTTCGGATTTTTCAATTAATAATTCTATAATTTCGGGTTTCCTACCATTGTGCGCTTGCATCTTTTTAAGTACTACAAGTTCTCTAAAAGTGCGGTTGCTTTACGGTTACTTTTTTTGCTTAATTCGACATCCTTACAAACAAATATACAGAGTCGAAGTTTAATCGCTTTTGACAACTTTACTATCTACACGTTACAAATTCCTCAAGCTTAGCCTATTTAGAACTTACGCATGCTACAGTTTATGTATGTACAGCGCTTAATATAAAAACCACTCAATCTCACATTTTTTCTTTTAACTTTTTTCACTCGATCTCGCTAATATATTATAAAAAAAAGTAAACACGTCTTTTAGATTAAATAATATATTAAAGATTGAACAATTCGTATTTAGTTCAAAACGACAAAAAAAAATCTCAAATTGTTTTTTGTTGTAAATAAAAAAATGGTGACATGTGTATAAAACACTACCAATAATGCGTAAAAAAATTTACAATTGGATATTTTTTTCTTGAACTGCGAGTGTTAAAGTACAGAAGAAATGACGAATGGTAAATATTTTAATAATTTCGCTAAGGACTACGTTAATTAAAACTGGAGAATGTTTACGAGTGTGCTAAAAAGCGCATTATTTTCGTCTTAAACACGTTCACAAATTTTTTCACTTACATTTCTACGACTGATTTTTCAAACTTTTTTTTTCAAATTAAATTACTGTTTTTTCATAACATTGCTAATCTATGTTTTGTTTTCTTTCTACTCAACATGCACACGATCTTTACATTTTATGCAATGTTCTTTTTCATGCTCGCTCTTATTCAACGTAGGAACCGAGTAAAATGAGCAAAAATGCTCCACTTCATCCGTAAATCTTTTTTTGTCTACATTTTAGTCTTTTTTTTATTTGGAAACAAACATACGTGCGCGTTGTTTTAACATTAAAAAATCGTGCGCTCTTACAAAAGAATCTTTCACGCTTGTTTAGTCGCGCGCCATAATATGCTCTAACATCCGCTTGATATTCGCAATAACGTATAATAATATTAATAATAGCATTAATAATTAATAAAAATAATATTACTTAAGAGTTAAGATAATAGCAATAACGTACTATGTACAAACGTTTTAGTGACTCGATCTGACTATTTGCATTTTTTCGTATCTTCAATTTGTATCTTCTTAATCCTGAATTGTAGCGGTTATACATCGACGTCGTTAACAGTTACATTATTAACGTTCCATGGGTGTGTGTAAATTATTCTTTTTTTTATTTATTTTTTTTTTGTATACGACAGTGACAAAATTTTAAGTGTACCTTAAAAATTATAATGTGTAAAGCGTATTGCATTGCCTTCCCCCAGCACGCCTCCAAAAAAAATTATCTTTTTCGCTTGCACATTTACTGCCGCATCATTTTTTTAATTTTCTTCATTTCCTCACTTTTTTCATTCTTTAGAAAGAATGTGTCGAAGCAAAGGTTTATTCTTTCTTACCAAAATCTACTGTTGCTTCATAATACTTTTTGCACATGCTTGATTACATTAAATAGTAAAAAAAAAAGAAATTATCCTCGCGCGAAGTAGCAAGCTGTGAACAATTGTGACAATTGTAAAAAAAATCGACTTATTTCTTAATCGCTGTTATATAAAAAAATTGCCAAAATAAATGCGAGTTTCTCACTTTTGTATTTGTGTATGTGTATGTCTGTTAAAAAAAAACGAATATCCTACATGCATTGAACAAATCTTATGTTCAAAAACTTACAAAACTTATGCAAAAGTACTTTGGTAGTTTCTGTCGACTCAATACAGAAAAGCATACAAGGGCAGTAAGTGCTTACAGAACAAAACTATTAAACAACCACAATCTCGCGTATAATAAATGCGTCGAAAACGAATTCTTTATCATTCTCTATTTCTTTATCTCTCAGTTTCGACAAAAACCACCAAAAAAATCCACACGAAAAAAAGTGGTATGTATATGTATGTGTGTATATATATATATATATATAAAGTGTGGGTTGCTGCAGTATCGGAGGAACAAAAAGAAAATTCGCTTCGCGCTAAAGTGCATTTCCTTCTTAATCAAGCGGGAGGCGTTTGATGATCATCATCGTCCTGATGACTCCTGATGGTATTGATATTGGTATTGGTATTGGTGGTGGTGGTGGTAGTGGTGATGATGGTGGTAGTAGTAGTAGCAGTGATGGCGGTACATTGATTTAAAAATGCACATCCCTCACGTCGGTCGGAGTTCCCGCTTTCTCGTGCTCCATAATCTTCGTCTGGGAAGTCATTTCTTGGTCCCCCACTGGTCTTTGATGCCCCCCCGATGGCGCCGTCACCGCTTGGTAATTCCCCGTGCTTATGTTCGCGTTTAAACATCCAGTCTGTACCATGTCTTCGATTTGCTCCAGGCAGTTGATGAGGTAGTCCTGCAACAGGATAATTAAACAATTCGTTAAAAAGATTATTTATGTATCTAATCTGTATTTCCCGTTTCCTAAACTATACTGTAATTTTCGATAAACGTCTAATAACTTTGCAAACGAGTCGCCTTCAAATTCATATTAGCCTCATTAGCCTTTGCACTTGGCAATCAAATGAGAATTCAAGTGGTAATAAATTTCCCAACAACGTCAATTAAGTCTACAGCACTCGGGGAAATTGCACGCGCGCGCGAAAAAAGAACTGCCTGATACGTGCCACACGTCCTCTCTAATTAAAATATCGATGACTTAAAAGTGAGTGTGCCGCGCGTGACAGGCAGTTAATTTACTTGTTTAAAGTTCTCGCGCCGTGTGCAAAGAGTCGCGACTAGCCGTCGTCATTCTCTTTTTTAGCCTCGGCGAGAAGCACATGCTTGGCACCTGCTACGCGCTACATGTCTTTTCTGTACGAACCTGCTCGATGGCGGTGATACGGGTGAGCTCGGCAAGCAGCCACGGCAGAGTATATCCACTTTTGTTTGTCCAGTCGAGGCCATGCAGTGCCGCTGCTACCGATGCTGCTGCGATCATGCTCGGCGTGTACATCGCGAATTTGTACTCTGAAAACAATCGAAAGCGAGCTATGAAACATCCGATTATGCAACCTTGTGCACGTGGATGCGACGCGAGAGAAAGATAAGCTTTGGGCTCTTTTTTCTTTCTAACCAAATGCCTGCGTTATCACATTCCACCTATATATCGAGTGCAATGACTTCTGTCGCCACTGCGCTTCTTAAGCTCGCTTCTTTCTCTTTCTTCTCTCTTTGGACTGAAATTTTACTCTTTTTTTTTTGTTTCGCGGAGATTCAGGCCAAGGATGTTTACAGAACAGTTTCTCGCGAGGGGGAGAGTGCGAGCAAACGATGCCGCCGAAAATACGAAATTAGAGCCCGGTATAGTTGTGCAACAAGAATAATCATGACGTAAGACCGAGCGGAAAGCTGTAATATCGTCGAGCAAGCTTTTGATGAATTTTCAAAACAAGTTCTCCGACGATAGCGATTCGCGCTATTATTCGATGCGCTGACGAAATTCACCTCTGATGCTGAGTGCGATGAACGTCTGGGCGTGCCTCCGGATCATCCTCGAGTCCCAAACTCGCGTGTCAACTGGAAGTCGCGTAAGGATGAACAGCAGGAAATCGCCGGGTGTCACCGCTGACAAATCCCATTTCAACTTTGATACTACCAGTTGCTCCCACGACTGGAAAAGAAAACAAATCATAATGTCTCGTTAGATATTTTTTTTTGTTTCATTCGCATTATAACCTTCGCATGCCGAAAAGAGCAGAGAGAAGGGACAATGGCGGGGAGGGGGGCTTTTTTTGGCTACCTGCGCGGCAATTTCCGAGAAGCCAAATCCGATTTATCTGCGGCCTGGGCCTTTCTCTAGTCGAGCGGCGCCTTGTGTGTGAGAGGCACGAGGTGTTTACCATTTGGCTCGTGAAAAAATGCAGGTATTTGCATTTTTTTTAGGCGAAAACGATGGGAATTTTTGAGAACGAGCGTGCGTAGCTCTAATTTCATATCTTGTTAATTAATGATTTTTCGTTTTCTGAACTTCGAGCGTCGGCTTCTTTCCAGGACTAAACTGAATTAACTTTAACCCTCGTTCGCGAGAGGAAACATGACAAGTGACGTTCTCTTCACACGACAGAGCTCGAAAGCCGCCATAATAGATTCATACTAAAAAAAATAATCAATGCCTAGCCATCAAACACACCTATCCTCCGTTGCTCGTATCAATTTTCCACGAGCGAGCTAGAGAGAGCGAGAGGGGGGAGAGGGGGGGGGGGTCGTTTCCTTCTTCAAAACTCGAATAGAAGTTTTAGCCCATACAGCCCACCCCCGACGAAAATTCTTCAAAACCTACGCGACAGATGTCCTGCTGCTGCTGCTGCTGCTGCCGCTGCTGCTGCTGCTGCTCTCCCAAGGACGCGATTTCTCCGAAATCATCCGAATGGAAAAGTTGCTCCGGGCTGGTGAAAATCACTCGACGAGATTCCTTTTATTTCTTCTCGTCGTCCGCGTGATAAGATAAAACCTGGCATTAGGCGAGGCAAAAAAAATAAGAAGAAAAAGAAGAAAATGTACTCGAATGAAGCGTAACGATCGTAGAAAAACGAAAAATCCGGTAAAAATTAAAACGTGGCTCGTTCTCGACAGGCACGCGAGTCGAATTTACAAGGCGGCTTCGCGGGAAGCCGGACTCTCACGAACAAAAAAAAAATCAACTTTTCAAATGGCCGTGGCGTTAGTTAGAAAGTCAGGTCACCGTACGCGCCACGACGCGCTCGTTCTCTAATGACGTGTTCCACGGGAGCGTATACGCACGCGCGACTCCTTTCGGCGGAACTTTTCGCGTCCGCGCGAGGCGAAATCCTCCTCGCGACAGCTGCGGCAGGTTGCAACGAGGAGCACCATCTGCGAGAAGTTTCTTTGTTCAGCGACGGAAGGAAAAAAAAAAAAAAAAAAAAAATTCGTAGAGGCAGGTGGAAAGCGTGGAGCAACACACGCCCAAATTGGAGCGGATGCAGCGAGCCCCCGTAATTGCCATCAGCAGCCAGGTGGTGCGTGCATGCGATTTGGTTCTTTTTGCAAAGAGGCTCGCTCGCTTTAAATTCAAAGGGAAATTTTCGCGCTAGGAGGGGAGATTTTTCCAATGAATGTTTGTTGGCGCGTGGCCGGATTGGGGAGGGTTGCAATGAAATCAAGATGATTGACGGCTTAACTTTCTACCTTGGGGTGTTTGATTTAGAGGGTAATTACTCGCGTGCTGTTTACGGATCGTAAATTTCATGCCGTTTTATTTTGTAATTGGGCATTTAATAATGTTACCACTTAGTGCGTTTCAAGACTTTTTCAATGGCGCCTATAATTTAAAGATTGAAAGCGACATTTTTGAGTGACAAATATCTGCTGTTTTTCTTTCTGTTAGTCATTAGCATACAACTCTATTGTTCCAAGATGCACGCACAACATAGACGTTTCCATATATCGATCTCGAAAAAAAGAAATTATTCAGCCATCTGCATTTTTATTGATTCCCCTCTTCCTTAAAAAAAATCCCACGACAATAGCAAAATATAACAATAACCTCTCCCGGCAGAAAAAAAAAAATTCGCGCAACACGTCGTCCCCTTCGTCACTTTTAAGCAACAAGTCCCCGAAAAAGCTGCGCAACAAGTCCTGTCGCGGCGTCCCCTTACCACCCCACGAGTCCCTTCAGAAAATCGATCAAGGCGTTTGTCACGCGCGCTGCGGCATAGCACCATTACCCCGGCCAATATGCTTTTCCTGCGTATAGAGAAGTGCAGCTGTCGCGCACCACCTGGCCTGACCCGACCCCGCGAGTACAGCGTCTCACCTGCCTTTGGTGCCACGCGTCTCCCTCCCCACTACATCTGCTGATTTCGATCTTCTCGTGCTACTGCGCCTGCTTAATATTGTTTATTATTGAGGGTCGTGGAGAGGCAACGATGCAGGTGCCAGACGTAGATACTCGGAGGGATTAAGGACCAGTCAGGTATAAACATGTGGGTCAGTCATACTTTGAAGACAAAAGAGAAATCTAATGGATTTTCCGACTTTTCCTTCTTTGAAGTTGATGGTGCAGATGACTGAAGAGTACGTGGACTTCACAGATGATTTACTCTAGTACACTGATGGCTGATGAAACGTGAGAAATATAAGGGCTTCATTTATCATCCAATGCAGTTGTAATTACGGGGTAAATATAACTGCATGATAATTTATTAATAAAAGTCAAAGATTAGCTGTCAAGGCCACAAATTTAGACGCTTTTGGACGTATCGAGATTAGCCAGCGCATGATTTTAAGAAGGAAAGGCATTCTTATTACGAATATCCTTTCGAGCAAAAGAGAAAAAAAAAAGAAATACAATCGTTGTCTTTGTCGCTTGGCGACAGTACGATAAATCGAATTCCAACTCGCCAAAAATACGGTGTATATCGTAATCTTTCCCCTACCAAACGCACGCGCGTGTGCGCGCGCACACGTGCGTGCCTGTGTTGTGTGTGTGCGAGAGAAAATCGCCGTTATCTCTCTCTTCGTCAGTCGCGTTAGCCTATGAAAGTTTCATTTCGGCCGGACCGACTTATTCAGATTTGGAGCTACACGCGCCGTCCACCGGGAATTACGCGACCGAACTCGATGCATTTCGTTTTCTCAACGTGCGCTTCAAGTGCTTTTCGAGAATTCGCTGAATTTCTCGTTGAATACCACGTGCCCCTCACATTCGAGGTTAGAATCTGTTAGAAGGCACGGCTCTATTCCCACTCTCTCTCTCTCTCTCTCACACTTTTTTTCGTGTGACATAACCACACGTTCCATTTCGTTCTTTTTTCCTGCTTCCTTGGAAATTAGATACCTATGCTTCGCTGTAACGCGCGCGTTCCACTGTTTTCGCAGTACAAGACATCTTTTGAAAGCTCCTTCTTTTCTCTGCCCGCTTATATTAATCTACATTAGATAAAATGCCCTTTTTTGCAAAAAAAGCAACGGTAATTTCGCGATAATCGCGTGTGTGTGTGTGCGCGCGCGCCGTTGGTAGTTTTTTGCACACGCAACGACAAGAATAAATTAAAAAGAAATTTCGAAGCGTCGCGATAAAGAGAAAGAGAGAGCATTGTTGTTAACTACTTCCTTTAGGAATCGTTGAATGTGTATTTTTAAACTGCGCGCTCATGAACCATTCATTTCTCTGGGCGAATTCAGGTATGCAGTTTTCACCGATTGTAGTCACAAGCTTTGCCATGAATGACCGTACGCAAGAAAAGAAAAGAGGAAAAAATCGACCAAAAACTTGTTCCCCACTAATGAGCCTCTACTTCTGGAGGCGAGCCAACAACCAATTTTTGGTCATCACTTGTCGACTAGATGACAAAGTTTTAATTTATACAAATCTATTTTAACGACGTCTCGCGTTCTTCTTTTATTCCTATTTTATGTAGTTTTTAGCGAGAGCTCGGTCGTTGCCGTGGAACCGATACATATATATTATTAGATAAGAAATAGGTTGAAATTATCATATATGAAAAAGAGCACTATGCATTGTGTCAAATGGAACGCCATCCACAAATGTGTTATCATTGCATAGCAGTTTTGTATATACGTAACTTTTTTAATTGCTCCTAGGGCTGTTTAATGGAACGAAAAAGATAATACCTGTTATAATAATATATCTGTAATAATATGTGTAACTCCGGGAATAGAATATTGGATCGGTTTACAATAAAAGAAGACCGATGTACGTACTTGTTTCAAAAATATTAAACACAAACATCTCTCACGGCCACACATTGCGAGGCGATACGATAAGCTTTGAAAGATTCCGTGAAATTCTACGAAATGTATAGTGTCTCTCCCTCTCGCGTCAGTAAGAGATACATACATATACGCGTACACGCGCAACAACATTTATTACTCAAAACAATGAAAAAAGAAACACAGTGCGGAGGACAAAGACTAGAAAGATAGGGAAAAAACAGCACTCACCCATAAGTCTTCGTGCGTGATGGAGTTGTCGGTGTAAAAGACAAGCACGTCGACGGTGAGTGGCCTTGGCTCTCGTAACTTGGATGCAACAAGAAGACAAGCGGTGCCGAGTAGCTGTAGCTGCGACTTCCTGATCGGGCAGATGCTAAGAAACCTGTCCAGGTAGTTCATGGATAGGGGAAACACCTCCTCCTGGCACTTTTGTTCCTCGCATACCTACGCCAAGAACAGAAGTTGCTTTTTTTTTCATTTCGTTTCAATAGGAAAACTTATGTGCATATGGACAGGAAGTCTCCTGTAGCATTCGCGACATACACACGCGAAAAACGTTTGCCATGCCTCGAGCAGTTGTTTTAAAATTTAAATGCCGCTGTAGTTTTTCGACAGTCGCCCGCTTCCAAGGTCATCGTCGTCGTCACACACATGTGGCTTTCGCTTGTACTAGTGTGCACGCGCTTTCTCGTGCTCTATAGCCACAAGGGAGGGGCATAAAAACCAACTAAAGATTTTTTCGCACGGGACCTCGGTGTGTTTGTGCCGGCTTCGACATTTCAAATTGTTGAACGGACAGATAGCGAAACAAAAATTACGCAACCACGGAAATCGAGCCGAAAGGAGCAAAAAAGGTAAACAGCGTTTCGTTAGAATAGCTGGTGTTCTGCGCAAAAACAACTGACCTCAAGCATCCACTCGGCGACGACTTTGCGCATGATGGGCGAGATGTCCTTCTGCACGATGCCGAAGTAGGAACGTGAGGGGGCGTACCTCTCCTCGCTTTTCAATAGATTTTGAAGTACGCGATCGTCCGCGAGAATAGTCGGGTCGAGGTAAGCCGTTGCTTCGGCCGGAGAACTTGACTCGCAGCATAGCAAATCCATTGTCTCTTCCGATCGTGTCTTCGTCGTTCTTGATTAAATTTAACACGTGGCTCTCTGCGCACTTCCTCCAGAGAGTTTCGCAGCACGAAAAAGAAATTTATTTTCGTACTCTTATTCGCGCACACACTTGCTCTTGATTCCGATGACTACGATCGAAACATGTGTACACACTTCTTCTTTTATGTATTTTTCGTTTGAGATAGTAAGCACCACACTTTGATTAAAATATTACACTACGAGAGAAGTTTTTTTTGTCGTCGACGATTTTCAGTACAAATGTCGTATAAATAAGTGTACGTACGTGTGTGGGTCTTCGTTCGTTGCCGGATCTTCCCCTCACGCACGCGAATGAGAGAGAGAGCTAGCAGTGAGAACGAGGCAACGCTTCCGATCGTCGACCCGACACTGGCAGCTTACCAGGTCAGAATGCCGGCTTTGAGCTCGCTGCGAACATGTGCCGCCGCCGGCCGCCGCTGCCGTCGTCGCAAAAGCCAGTATCTAGAAGAGTGGGGAGGGAGAACGAACAGACTTCAACAGTAGTGTGCGAGAGAGGAGCAAGCAGCGCCGGAAGAGTATACTTTTCAGAGACGGCGCGGACTTCGCCGGGGATGGACGTGGAAAAAGAGAGAGAGAAAGATGGAGGGGAATGGAATGCTTTGTTCGGTTCGCGAGGGATGCCCCTAATGTTCGGTTGCATGGCGCCCCGCCATCCCGTGCTAATACTACTACTACAACTCTGTGTGTGTGTGTGTGTGTATGTGTGTAGACACACACACATATGTACCCCAGATGCAACAGTTGGATTTTCTTTCGTAGACACTGTTGAAGTGAACGAGATGCCGTTTTTTTTCTCTCCGCATGAACGAAGCTTCTTTTGATTTTTCCATCGCATGAAATTCAATGTCAAGGGGGCCTAATATAGATTTCGTACATTTTTTTTTTTGAAGAGGGGTAAGGATTTGAAACAAGACCGAAACGCGTTGGAATTCTAGCTTGCGGATTAGTCGTACAAATTTTTCTACCGAACGATATCGAAATGCTGATAAAGTCATCGTGACTGTCATCGAAACAATATCAAAAATGATTTAAGATTAATGTATATTGCACTTTTTCCTTGAAAACCTTTGAAAAAAGTTCCCATTTGCCGAATGATGTTTAATTAAATATTATAATTGTTGCACTTTCTTTGGCTAAATCAACCATGAATTATTCACTTATAAAGCTCTTGATCATTTACTAAGTTGTCAACTGAATGTCATGCGAAATTGTATTTAATAAATTTCATTTGAAGTGTCGTGTCACGGCGTATTTTAGGCAGCACAGTAATGAGGAAAATAAATGTGATCTGACTCTTATTGAAAAATCTTGCAACAACACGTGTTTTTCAAACGCATCGGTGATTACGAACAATATTGCAAAAAGCCATTCAGCCGCAACCAAATATTATTCATCCAAACACGATTGGTATTTCATCGATGGACCACGTGGCCGTGGAAGAGAGCAAAATTTTGGTGTAAATAGGTACGGCACTGATTTCCAGTGTCGAACAACTATATACTATATACTAGCATAACTCGGTCGGGTTCGGCGAGATTCGCTTTCTTTCGGCTCGCTGTGTTGGCAAGTCGAGCGTTTACAGCGGCGTACAATATATTTTAATCTCTCGTGCTTCTCAAAATTCGATAGGCCACTTTGCGGAATTCCGAAGCCTAATTGTCGTTTTTTTCAATCAATCCGTCGTATGTGCATGAACATACCATCGCCTGAAGAAATGTCAAAAAGAAAAAAAAAGAATGTTATTATACAATTGAATGCGCGCTTGAGCTTTTCATAAATCAAGATCGCGATAAGATCTCGTTAGTTTTTAAGCAGCGAATTAAAAAAAAAGTATAAAGATTTAACAACTCGCCTGTACGCGAGTCGTCGTACATCCAACGAGGCTCTACTATTCTTGTTATACACTTGACGGGTGGGAGGGAAGCTACGAATTATGTACACATGCGCAACAGTTATGCGTTTAATAACCTGTTTGCTTTATTCCGATGAACTGCTCTGCTCGTTTCTTTTCCTTCTTTTTTTTATCGCGCTCTCGTAATTATTTTATTTTCCAACGTCGATTCGCTTCACGAGAATAGTACGAAAAACTCGCGTTGACATTGACCTTCGATTCTTTACGACATTTCACAATCAGCGAACTAGCTCGACCAAACAATTAAAACACATCTTTGTATTTAACACCAATTTTCACACGAAACCGATTTACAGCAGATCGGTGATCGATGGGTGGGGATGAGGGAGGCAACGCTTGCCTGCTCGCGAGTTGTAGCGCACTTTTTTGCTGCTCGTCGTAATTCGCGTAGTAGTAGTAGTCTCGAGTGAGTGAGCAAGCACTCCGATTCTCTGCTCTGGTCACTCATCCGACCGTTCTTTCACGCTCCGTTCCAGTCGACGGCCGATCTCTCAAGGACTTGCCGATTTTCCGGCGCGATGACACGAGAGTGAGAGAGAGAGAGAGAGAGAGAGAGAGAGAGAGAGAGAGAGAGAGAGAGAGAGAGAGAGAGAGCCGGCGAGAGTACGTACTCCGCGCGATGAGAAGCTCGTTTGTTTCCTCTCTCCCGTCGATCTGCCCCGACTGTCGTGAATAATTCAGCGGCGGCTCGTCGCAGCGCCGCCACGTGTATTTGCACGTTCGAGCGAATCGCGCCCCGAGTCGCCGGCATTTGCCGAACGCCTCGTCCGCTACGTGTAAGCTATAGGGAGTTGCGAAATAAAGCAGAAGCGCAGGCGCACGCGTCTTCGGCGTTAATTTGTAATCGGCCACTATATGGCAGCGGCAGAGGCGGCGCGATAACCACACGTGCGGCTGTAGTAGCGAGCTAGCGACGAGCGATAATGCGCGACGAGAGAAGCCCATGCGGGTTCGCAATTCGTCGACCTTTCCAGCGGCTTTGCGCAACGACCGACAATCAGAGCGCGATCCTCGCGCGTACGCACGAACGCGCGCGCGCACGTAATAATGCTTTCTCTCGCGCGACAGAAGAAATAAAGAAAACGGAATCTCTCCTTTGCTATATTTGGCGTTTGAGCGTACAAAAGGGGTGGGAACGCCGCGCACGTGTGTACATACGCGCAGCCTCTTTTCTCACGCTACGTGTTGCGAAATGTGCGCTGCTGATGCTGCGAAAGACGCGCACCCGGACTATCGACGAGTCGCGAATCGAATGCGTAATAGGTACTCGGCGACAGAATTAAGGTTATCGCGCACCAGTCCGGTTCTTTTTTTATCGCCGGCGGTGGACAATTTGCGTAATTGAGTGCAGTTCTAATTATGATTATAACAGATGTAACGTGGCTCGTAAAAACTATCGAGTGACATAATGAGGGAACGTTAAGAATGTTATTAAACGCACATGGATAACTTATCGTAATCTCTTTATACGCGTAAGGGAAATCTTTCGAACCGTAGAGTAAGCAGGAGCCCGAGAGAAACGCGTGTCTTCGAAATTGACTTCCGGCCCAACTTGTCGAGTTTCGGAGGCTAGTTTGTTTTCGTGTGTGCGGACCTAAATTAACATTTGGGACTGGCCGAGCCGAACGTCTTTGGCTTGAAACGACGTAAACGAATAGCGAAAATTCAGGCTGTTTTTTTTCCGATTAGTCGAGTTATCCTTTGGCGTCAATTTTGTGCTTTTCAAGAGAAAGACCGTATTACTTTGATTAGAATTCGTTTTTAATATTCACTTGCGCGTGCGTACGTCAATTGGAAAGACAGTCGGTTGGTGTTGAATGGCCATGGAAAGCGATGCCCTCCAAGTTACTTGAGAGATTTTTCGGAGATTTTTGTTGTCTAGATAGGTGGTGCGATAATTATGATAAAGTAGGAATACTTTTGTTCATGATATACTTTCGATATGTGGGAGACTTTGTGTTTATTTTTTTGTTTCTGCAAGAGGAAAAATTCCCCGATGAAACTGCTTTGGTCTAAGCTAGTCGGCATCATTTATACAATGAAAGAGTTATTGCGGTTTCAAAAAATTACCTCCTTTATTTAACCGTAATCGAGCACTTGTTTTGTCACGTGAATCAACACGTCTAAGCTCCCTCCAGAAGAAAGTAATGGACAAATCCACAAAAATTGCACTTATAGAGCTGCAATTTGACATTCGATCGAGAAACGAGAATAAAAAAAAGAGAGAGAGAAGAGGAAGTGTTAAGAACTATAACTCGCGCGCGTAAGAAGTGCAATGTGTTACAAAAATTGCACAGTTAAGAAGCGTTCACTCGTCCGTAAACGCGCGGGGCCCACCCCAAAAGAGCATTCGGCGAAGTAGCTCTACGCGCCCGACCAACTGACTCCTCTCTCTCTCTCTCTTGTTCGCCAGTGCAATATATGGTGTGTGTTCCACGCGGCTTCATCGGGATAATTAGAGAGTCGCTGCAGGTGGATGTGCGCAGGAAAATTCGCCCGTATATTTTGCAAAAAGGAGCTGTTGCGTTTCGCCGCCGCCGACACGCGCTCCTTCTTTTTTTTCTCCCTCTTGGCCAGAAGAATGAAAACGACCGTGTTGGAGTTTTTTTTTTTCTAAAACAAATTTTTCGAGCCCGCGTTGCGCTTACCGCTTTGTCAAAGGAGAGTTTATTATGATAGTCGCGAAGTTGAATAAAAATCGCAGTGCTTATTGAGAGAAGTATAGATTGTTGAAGAAGCCCAATAAAACTCGCTTTCTCCTATTTATTCAGCTGTGCGATGACCGTGAAAAGCCCGTTGTATGCGCTACTATCCTCACGGGCTATTTGTACGAAGCATCGTAGTTTCCGTAATGACAATCACTTTAATTCTCTAACTTCGGCGGTGAATTTCTCGACTACATACGAACTGTAAGCAATGTGTAAATTAGAAACGCGGTCGGGGTGTCGGTCACCGGCACAGCTAAGCGAGGGAAAAGATGCGGGCAGCGCCTTCAGCGTTTTCGTCGTCGAGCCTTGAAGTGGAAATCGTCGCCAGGGGCGGTGGAGAAGGGATCGGAAAAAAATCTGGCGGGACGTGCCCCTTTGACATCCGAGACGAGAGGAACGCGGAGGGCAGCAACGTGGGCTGTTTACGAAGCCAAGGCGCAACGTCGAAAACTCGAAACGCATCTTCGGCCCGAGGCCAACAAATTCCGAGGATCTCTTCAAACATCCTCTTGCTGGTGGAGGAGCGAACTTCACTCGGCGCTTCCGGGGGGCGCTTGCGCGTGGCTTGACAATCGAGCGGCGGGAGGCCTGTAAATTTGGCGGCATTAACGGTCCGTTTTGTTCGCTCGCGCCGGACAATGCACACCGCGCGCGACTAATGCAATTTGACGCTCGCTCAACGCCGCCCGGGACATCTTCTCTCGCACCCTGTCCCCACTTTTTCGGGGTGAT